ATGAAGCGCTTGCTTTCAGAGTTGTTGACTTTAATACTATTGCTTCATTCGTTATAACTGACGAAACAGATTTCATGGAGTTTGAAATAGATGACAAAAGAAGTTTTATAACATTTCCTAACAGAGCAGAGTATAGAATAGATAAAATTGCTGGAGTCATAGATACTCTCATAAATGAAGAAACTATTGACAACATAGATGTCGAACTCTCTTCTGAGGGAACATTGAAGTTCAGTAGCAAGAAAGAGTTCAAGATAACACGAATGAGTCATAGAGTTCAACTTCTTTTAGGAGCATACCATATGCAACTACCTTTGAAAAGTGTTGACAAAACGATTGAGATGAAATCTGTTCCATACGTATGTTGTGGTAATTGTTTGTACATTGAGTCTAAAATAGCTAATGTCACAGGTATTTCAGGAGTTAATAGTAAAGGTTCAGTAGAATATAAATCCTTCTGTTATGCAGTCAATTCAATGTTCATTCCAAATGTTCCTGTCATAGCAACTCATTTAGGTAAATGGGTTCGCATTAGTCCTCATAATTTGAAAGACATGCAATTCAGACTAGTTGACTTTCAAGGCGAGCCTGTAGAACTGAAGGCACCAGTGCGAATGACTGTTGAAGTTGACTTTTTAGAAAATATTAAATGCAACAGCTTACAAGAGAACTCAGAGCTAAAAATATAAAGTATGAATGTTATGTATTAGGTCATGAACTTTGGTTGTTGCTGTTTGATGAAACAAATGAGTTAGTTATGTCAGTCAAGAGAACAGAAAAATATTGTGTTAGTGAAAACTGCACCAAGTCAATAAGATTAGGTTTGCATTATGAAGATGAGTTCGATACTGTTGAAGAAGTTTTGGATAGATATTACAAATTGCTTTAATTTACTAAAACATATTTCAAGCAAAGTTTATATTCTGTTGAAAGTTTTGTATACTCGTTCGAATATTTATACTTAAACTCAACTCCTGTAGTTCCTGGTGTTTCAATGATGCGGATGTTACCTATTTTCATGAATAGTGGAGTTTGACCACAGCATTCGATTTCAGGGTCGAGATAGTCAATGACACATTGTTTCCCTGTTATTCGTGAGATAACATTTTCAAGGTCCTCCTTTGTTAGAATTATTTGGTTCTTGCTTATAAGATTTGTCAAAAGCTTCTTATCGTCTTTGAGTAAAATTGTTTGGTATAACTGAAGAAGGTAATGGTCTACGTTATCTGAAGGATTTGTTTGAACATTTGTGTAAGGGTTGTCGTTGGCTTCTCTTGAAAGAATTTGGTCCAGTGGTGGATACTCTAACTTAACATCTGATGTAGCGTTAGCGTTTGAAGCTGAGTTTAAATTCACGGATTTCAGTTCTGGTTCTTTTTCTTTCAAACACTCTGAACTATAGTTCTTTATGACAATATTGTTTGTCGTTCGTGAGTCAACATTTGATGTTGGTTCAATTGGAACATTAACGGCACCAGCTAAGATGGATTTGCTTCTCATTTCATATAGAATAAAAACCTTTTATATGTATGAAATGAACAATATACTCGACAAGGGTTTGAATGTAAAGCTAACGAATGAAAATATTGTTGAATTCACTGAGACAGGAGCTGTGTATAAAGATGTAGAACTACTGAACAAAAAGAGCTAAGGGAAGAAGCAGGAACATGAACAAAGGGTGGAAGCCTATAAAAATTTATGTCAATGATGGCTCAGGAGGTTCAAACATAAAGTATGCAGAAAGTTATAGAGTTTATGCTCTCAAAGGTGAAAAGCCTTCATTTAAGAACAGCTATTCTAACGCATATCCTCAAAAGCTAACGGATGGGGAAGTGGATGATATGAATGACAGCAAAAATATTAACAGAAATGGCGACAGAGATGCATGGAATTTGTTTACCATCAGTCAATTGAAGGTTAAACTTTAAAACAATGTTGGTCGTTCCCATGGAATATTTTTGACTTTAATGGTATTAGTCATGATATGAATCTCAAGGTATGAACGAGGAGAGATGAGAGACTTATATGCTTCCCAAATTTCTTCAAAAGGTAATGTTATACCTGACTGTTTCCAAATGAGTTCAATATCATAACGTGAGAAACCTTGAAAGATAACGAAGTCAGTTATGAGACGTTTTATGTTTAAAGCTAAAAACCTCCATGTTTGCATAAGTATTGCTACAGTTAAGTGGTAATGTCTGACTTTAGTTATGATGTTAGCTAATGGTGAGTGGCTTTGACACTAAACCTTTTCCGGCGAAGTCGTCACAAACGAGCAGAGTGTTTGAAGGATACTTTTTGAAGGGGTATTTTGAAAGTTTTGATAGAATGTAGTTTGTCAGTCGTTTCATATCGTAAACTCCTGAGTACTGACGTAAGTGGTGTTTGTCAATAATTCTTTCCATCTCTTCTGAAGTCTTTTGCATTCCTGACTGTATAAATTCAACGATGGCATAATATTTCTCTTACGTCGAATGTAACGTTGAAGAAATTCAATGAGTTCGCTGTCTGGAACTTTAACGACAGAGGCTTGAACTTTGACATGAATGTTTTCGCTGTTGATCCATAGAGTCTGAAGTTGCTGATATAATGATTTGGTCATAATATGAGTCATTTCCTAAACGTTCTGTTATGAGTATATGACGAATGAGGTTAAATGTCTTACCTGACCCATCTTTCCACAATAGAAATAAACACCATTTGAACAGAACTCATATCTTTGCTGAAAGGAAGAATGAGAGAAGAGTTAAGTTTGTCTGTAGTTTCATTCATGTCTTCATCTACGTCATGTATTAAATGCTTCATTTTATCTCCATTAAAAATGCAAGTCAGAAATATTCAGAACATAGCACCGAGTCTAACTGACAAGAGTATAAAGATATACTATGAACACGTTATGATGAAACCTACCAAAATTCAAGAAAGTCAGTATACTTATGAATATCCAAGACACTGGGTAGAGTATGTAGGAGGTGAGAAAGCTATTGAAATAAGACAAGTTAGAAGTATTCCAGCAGGAAGGACAATATTATTGAAGAACTTTAATGTTTTGAGATATAATGATGAAACAAAGAAGCAAGATAGTTTCCCTGTTGCTGTGTATGTGAACTTAGATACAGGAGATGACATGAAAGTTTTTAACACAAAGCTTCAAACGGTAGTGAAAGAACAACTGACTGCGGAAGGACATCCATTACCTTCAGAAGTTACCATAGCATATAATTTTGAAACAAATGCAATAGATTTTAAAGTCGTCTCTGCAAAGAAGTCAGGATTTACATTTAATGAAGCAGATGTATATTCGAATGAAAACTTCAAAGCTATTGCATGGTTAGATAATGACGATTGCTTTAAGAAAATATTTAAATTCAGTGACTCAAAGATGTCAATAGATGACCTTCGTGGAATGTTACCATCGACGTTTACAGTAGAAGGTTCAGCAGGATTGCTTACAAGATTGTCAATTGGTGGTTTGGTCTCGTGAGAACATTGTTATAAAATCCAGTATAAGTGAATTTGCTGAAGAATCTATATTATGTCTTTCAAACTACATGTATTCGCCACCGAAGCATTATAGTATAACAAACTTTGTCAGTAAGTTTAACATAAGACTTGTCGAACCTTCTTCAATGAAAGATGTTGTGCTACCTAAAGATGGAAAGGATGGACTCATTATTGAGATGATTTTAATTGCATACTATTAAATGAGCTTGTTCTTGAAGGTCATTCATGATGAAATAACTGTTGTAGAAGATGTTAGCAATTGTTCAGACATTTTGAAGCGAATAGATGATAAGAAAGAAGTTAGATAGACCGCAAAGCGGTGAGGGCGAAGCCCGTGAGAACGCTTATGTTTCATTGACTTTCTCCAGTAACGAGAACTTTTATGAGATAATATTGAAGAGAGATGATTTTAATATGGTGTAAATGGTAGCTTGGGCAGCTTTAGGCGCAATGGGAACAAAAGCATTAGCATTTGGAGCAAAAGCACTTGGAGCTTATGACGCAGTAAATAAAATGAGTGGAGGAAGGGTTTCGAAGACATTAGATGCAAATAAAGGAAGATTGGAGGCTGGGTTGCAAAGAAGTTAAGATTAAATAAAATAGGGCTCATAAATAAAGCATCCAATTTGGTTGCGACTGAGTCAGAAAATGCTTTAGGAAAGGACGATGAGTTTGCAAAACACGCAAAAGACTTTAATGACCAGATGAAAGGTGAAACAATGCATTTAAATAGAGTCGATGGAACTAAAGAAAATGTTTCTTCTCCACCAGCGGTTTATCATATGGACCTATGGAATGTATGGAAACCCTTATGAACGACCATTTGACCCATTGACTGGTGGAAGTAATTGGTATCATTACGGACGAAGAAGAAAGACAGTCAAGTTGGAGACAGACGTGAAGAAAGCAACTAAAAAGAAACCAAGGAAGAGAGTTATAAAGCAATGAATTCAACAGGGTGAAAAAACAGGTGAAAAAAGAGGTGAGATCTCACCACTTCACCTAAATTTATTTTTGTGCTATGTTTTCATACGTGTGAGGGTGGTGATATCATTTATTTTTTATTTTATTTTTTAAAATTATTTTTATTTTATTTGGATGTAATGACAGAACAAAAGCAACTCATACAAATCAAAACATATAACAAACATACATTTAAACATTTATTCTTCCTTCCTGAGCATAACATGTTCTTTCAAATACATCCGAGACCAGTTGACTTTTCATTGACTGTTTATAAAGATAGAAATAGTTATATCATTAAACCATACGATGACGAAGGTAAGTTATGTAAATTGTACGTTAAGAAGTTAGAGAAAGTTTATGGCTTCAAGTATGACTACAATAGGGTTAACACTGATGATGAAGATATTGAGGAAAATTTATGAGAACATTAGTGAAGTTGTTAGTGAGAACGATAGTGAGGTGAAATTGTTGGCGGCTTTGTAAATATTTAAGGTTAAGTTAGTTTTTGCGTTCATGTTGTAAAATATACGTTAACGGTTTTGTAAAGTGTCAAATTCACAAGTATTGGGTAAGGTGGAACGCAGTGCCACCATACCCAAGACTTGTATACTAACTAAATTAACATAATAGTTGTCTTTCTTTCTAAATAGTGCCCAAATACTTTTAACATTAATAGGCGTATAAGCTGCTGTAAATGTTGCACTTGAACTATCTGTATTCTTTGAGAATGAACCGTCCATAGGAATCCAATCCATAACTTTAACAGGAAAACATAAAGCCTCGTTTGTATAATGTTCTACAAGTTCTGTATAAATGTTAGGGTCTAAAGAGAATGACTTTGGATGAATGAAACATTCATTAAAATCCATCTTTGTTCGAAATAGTTGCTGGGTTACAGTTGTAATAGTAACTGTTCCACTAGCTTCTACTGCCTTCGTTATCATAGTGAATGGTTCATTCCATGGAACAAATTTATTTGTCGGTGGATTTGAATCTGAAGCAAATGCAACTTTAAGAGTTGGATTGAAAGCAATGATATCATTTACAGATATAGATGTGCATTGTAAGGCGTCGCTACTGAACTTTACTTTAAGCTGAATGTTTCCTGCAAAAGCTGGAATAAATCGAATAGCTTCTAATGGAAGGAATCTTCTAACAGGAATTCTTAAACGAAACTTAAAATCAAATGATTTTCCTGCTGTAATTGGACCACTAACAATTTGTCCTGTTCTGCATGTTCCCGAATGACTCCATACATCTTCATGTCGAGTCTTTGAGAAAACATCTACTTTCTTTATTTGTTCGGTAGTTTGTGAGTTTGAAGTTATATATGCTTCTTCTCTTGCGTTGTCTTGAGAATATACGATACGACCATTTGCAAGGATTTGATATCCAGCAACTGCATAGAAAGCGTCATCGAAACCAATCCAAAATCCTGGTGGGTTTGTTTTATTGGAACCTGAACCAATTTCTTTATCTACAATAAATTGACCTTCCATTTTATACGTAATGAATGTATTGTAAAGGTCCAACATATTTTCACCAGGAGGTGAGAGATTGAATGTTACCCATGTGTTATCTTTAGTAGTTCCAAGTTGTGATGGAATCTTTGCGTCAGAATATTTTCTATTAGTGTCACCAATTTGAACTGCATTGTCTATGATATCGAAATATGAGCGAATCTGATGAATATGCTCTGCTGGAGTAAATTCGTTTAACTGTTCGTTCTGCATGTCTTTACTTCAGATAAAAATATCTATTTACTTCATTATTCTCACTCTTCTTCTTGGCATTCGTGGTGGAAGTTGTTTCTTGACATTTTCAATGAACTGTACATTCTCTTTTGTCTCAACTTCTTTCACTGGCGGGTCAGGATTCTTTGACTCGGTTTGTTTTTCAATGAAATTCACGAACTTTGCAATAAGCTCTTGGTTCGTTATTGAAAGTACATCTGGCTTCTTTTCTTCTTGTTCTTTTGGTGGCTCAGTTTGAACAGAAGGTTTTATATGGGCTTCGTGGACTTCACCCTTGCCATGCACCTTAATACTGTCGCTTTCTGCATTCGCTAATGGAACCTTTCTTTTTCTTACGTATATTTTACCATCTTTACACTGACTTACGTAATAGAAAGGATGTTGTATTCCTCTTGCATCATTTAATATAATAGACTCTCGCTCTGATTTTGACAAGCTCATTTTACATCGGTTAAAGTTTTAATTTTGTTTTTTATCTGCAGTCAAATGACTCAGACAAGCCCTACGGACAAGACCCAAGGGGTCATAGATGTTGAAGCATTGAAGAAAGAAATTCGTGAGCAAATTTTATCCGAACTGAAGGAACAAAAACAAGAACAAAAGCCAGAGAGACCAAAGAGAAAACTTAGTGAAAAACAACTTGCTGCATTAGCTGCTGGAAGACAAAAGAACCCAAGACTACTGGCGAAAAAAGCTAGAGAAGAAGCTGAAGCAAAAGCTAAAGAAGCTGAAGCAAAAGCTAAAGAAGCTGAAGCAAAGAAAGAGTAAATGGTTTATTTTTATCCGAATTAAATGTATAGACAAATACCTTTATCTGTTGCGTTCAGTAGTGAAAACCCTGACGTCAAAATAAAGGGGAACAGAGTAACGTTTAAGTTTCCAACAGACTGGATTGTGAACATAAATGAAGAGAAGTACATTGGCATAACAAATATGTATATAACACGTGCTTTCAGAAAGGTTGACTTTATACTTCAAGTCGAGATAGAAAATGACGAACAGTCTTTAAGCGCCCAAAACATTCACATATACAAATACTTTAAAGACGATACAACATTGTTGCAATGTATGATTTCATTTAATGAGATGTTCGAGAAAAAGTTCAACATTGAAGTACAAACTTTACAGCCTTTACGTGAGTTTCTTGCACAACTGAAAGAAGAAGGTAGTCGGCCACAACTTATAGACTTTCATTATGAATTTAATGAAAATGAAGATGGAACTCATGACTGTCAGTTTGTTATATATTCACCATTCAATGAAGTAGCTAAAAAGAAAGAAAATCCATTACGTATAAGATTTCAAATCTCTGAACCAAGTGATGATTTCAAGAATGTTTTCAATTATGATGCAATGCTTCCGAGGAAAAATGAATTTTCCGAAATTAGATTTCCAGGTATTTGGATAGAAAGCAAGCTATATTATATTCAAACTTAAGTAAGGGAGTTGAAAATGAGTTCATTGGTCATACAAGAACTTCACCACTTCCTAACCCTAAATACTATAAATTAACTGGCTTCAATCGTGAGTTTTGGATAGACATGTTCTCCACTCATGACCATAAAGCACCAGTGTTCTTACCTCCAGACCATAAGGACTGTCTCTACATTGAAGCACAACTCTTAAACTCTACCATCGCAGTATTGTAAAATCTACGCTAGTTTTATTTTTATCACGAATGACCTCATTCATGACAAAAATAAATGACCTCATTCATGACCTCATTCATGACCTCATTGCTGACAAAAATAAATGACCTCATTCATGACCTCATTGCTGACAAAAATAAATGACCTCAGAACTTCAACTTACGAATAATCAAATGAGTCAGGGATTAGATATTGAAGCCATCAAAAAAGAAATTCGTGAGCAGATATTAACAGAACTAAAGACACCAAAAGCCGAAGAAAAACCAGAAAAACCAAAAAGGAAATTAAGTGAAAAGCAGTTAGCCGCATTAGCTGCAGGAAGAGAGAAGAACCCGCGAATGAAAGCAAAAAGAGAACGTGAGGCTAAAGAAAAGGCGGAAAAGGAAAAGGCTGAATCCGTTGAGAAGAAAGAATAAATGATATATTTTTGTTTGTAATAAATGTATAGACAAGTACTGTTAACAGTTGCTTTCAGTTCTGAAGACGAAAATGTTAAAATAAATGGAAATAGAATTACCTTTAAACTACCTATTGACTGGTCTGTTAATATAAACGAAAAATATATTGGTTTATCAAGTATGTATATAACACGAGGATTTAGAAAGGTTGAATTTGAGCTCGAAGTTGTTGTTATAAACGAAACCCAAGAATTTAAGCAAACTATTCACATATATAAATATTTCAAAGACGACACAACATTATATGAATGCATGAGTGATTTTAACGAAATTTTCGAAAAGAAATTTAACAAAAACGCTTTAGGATTAAATGTGTATCTTGATAAATTAAAAGAAGAAGGAATTCAACCACAAATTATAGACTTTCATTATGAATTTATTGAACAAATAGATGATTCACATACATGCACATTTGTTATATACTCACCGTTTAATGAAATAGCAGAAAAGAGACAAAGTGATTTTAGGATAGGTTTTAAAATTTCTCAGTATAATGAAGACTTCATGAATGTATTTAATTATAAACCCGGAGAAGAACGAACAGTATTATTACCAATAATAACATATAATGTATGGGACAGAAAACAAGTCATCTTATATTCAAATATCGCTAAAGGGGTTGAAAATGAATTTATTGGACATACTAGATCATCACCATTAACAAATATTAAATATTATAAGTTATCAGGAAATAATAGAGAGTTTTGGATTGATATGTATTCTACACACGATCATAAATGCCCCGTTGTATTACCCGAAGACGGAAAGGATGTTTTCTTCCTTGAGGCTCAGTTACTGAATTCAACTATTGCAACTTTATAAGAGAATTAATGAATATTCATGAAACCCTACGAGTCAGGGCCGAAAAGCGGCTAGGTTAGAAATGAGGTTAGATATCGGGTTAGATCTACCCTAAAATTAATTTTATCATTTATGAAAAAATTCATAAGGTTAGAAATGAGGTTAGATATACTCTAAAATTAATTTAGCATTTATGATAAAATTTAGTATATACAGAATTAAAAAATAAATTTTAAAAAATTTTAAGTTAATTTATTTTTAAGTTTATTTTTTAAAAATTATTTTTTTATTTTGTAAAGTGTCAAAATTTTTAACGTTAATTTTTAAGTTTATTTTTTAAAAAAATTATTTTTTGTAAATGTCAAATGTATTTTACGTGTCAAACGGTTTTTGTAAATTCTAGTAATTTTGGTTCCGAGGGGCGTAGACCCTTGGTACCCAATTACTAGATACTGTAATAAACAGAAATTCATCAAAAGTGACAGCTCTCAATTTTTTGACATTCGTAAATTCTAAATTGAATGAGACATTTGTGATAGAATGAAATCTTCTGAAAAATAATATCACATAAACTCATATTATTTTCTAATATATAATTATTTTATATAAAAATCAAATTCAATGATCTTAAAAGCGAAGGATAAACCTCAAAATTTACGAATATAATGAGTGGGAATATAATACTTATCTATCATAAAACCATATGAAATATTAATTTTTGCTTTACGCCTAATTTTTGACGACAATTAGCAAAAAATGTTAAATGTTAACACTCAGTCCATTTGAATATGAAAAATAAAATTGACTTTAATTAATATTTAAAAACGTGCTCTATCAAAAGTTCCAAAAATTCAATATTTTAGCTTTTTTGAGGTGTCACTTTTGATGAATTTCTGTTTACAACAATACTAACTTCTGTGTATGTGTGGCGTGAGTTAGCATCGGGTGGTTGCGTGATAGAATGCTTCTGTCTATGTGTGGCGTGAGTTAGCCTCGGTTTGTTTCATGACAAATTTTAACCCATCCAAATCTTTAAGTGAGGAAAATTAATTTTTATGATTGAATCAATTTTCGTTTTATGTTTCCAATAACTAAAAGGTTATACATCAAATTTCAATTAGTTTAAAGTTTTTATAGTTTAATCTAATAACATTAAACTTAGAATTCAAAATATATTTTTAATTGCATATATTATGCTATTTATATTATAAACATATCATCAAGCCTCCAATAAAGAGAATTGGAACATATTTATGTATCTGTGACACTATTGAACTTATAAGATATTAGTGATAAGATAAAACAGAAAAAACCAGAATTTTCGAAAAAGTGACACCAACTATTAAAGTTATTTTATTACTAGATTTATTTACAAATTATAAGATAATATCATTAACCGAATATATTTTTAATATAAATAAAAAACTTTTTTTATACAAAAAATTACAATCAATTGATAAATATTATAAAGCATTTATTCCAAAAAGATTAAGTAATAGGTGGGATCCTGCATATAATATAATTTTATGTCATAAAGTTTACAAATTTTAGATGGACCACAGTGAGAATGTGAGTGGTTAATTTAAAGGTGGTCTGATAAAGATATCGAAGCTTACTCAACACAGCATGAAGCAGTTTCTAATACACAATCTTACTAGTGGTGTTTCGGTCGCCAGCGCTCTCATAGGGGTGCTGATTTCAAAAACCACTACTTCAAATTATTCAACAATACTCAATGCAGCATGAAGCAGCTACTACTGCTGTATCTTACTGGTAGTGTTTTGGTCGTTGGCTCTTGCACAGTCTCTCAGATTTTCAAAATTTTTTTTCAACACTATCTTGTTTCGCTCTCAGAAAGCTATCCTACAAAGACATCGAAGCTTACTCAACACAGCATGAAGCAGTTTCTAATACACAATCTTACTAGTGGTGTTTCGGTCGCCAGCGCTCTCATAGGGGTGCTGATTTCAAAAACCACTACTTCAAATTATTCAACAATACTCAATGCAGCATGAAGCAGCTACTACTGCTGTATCTTACTGGTAGTGTTCTTCGCTTCTTACTATCAACTCTAAAACTAGTTTGATGTATTATTTATTCAATATTAACCTTAATTATTTACAATTCTCACTTTTTTCATTTTTTAAATGAATCAATCCGTTCCTGCACCCCTTGCTGATACAAAACAATATATTGATTTCATTCATTATCTTCAATATGGAGTTCAAGCAGAGATGCGTGCTAACTGCAATTATCGGAAAGATTCGCATTTGAATTCAGATGGAGTAACAATTATTAGACATTACTGTAGATGGGGAAGTTGTAGTGCTAACTTTACCTTTGAAATGAAATCTAATCAATACAGATTTGTAAATGGACATCATTTTCATAATCATGTTGGTGAACCACCGTCTTTTAAATATATACATATATAAATATATACATATATAAATATATACATATATAAATATATACATATAAATATATACATATATAAATATATACATATATACAATATACATATATAAATATATACATATATAATATATACATATATAAATATATAAATATACATATAATATACATATATAAATATACATATATAAAATACATATATAAATATACATATATAAATATACATATATAAATATACATATATAAATATACATATAAAATATACATATATAAATATACATATATAAATATACATATATAAATATACATATATAAATATAATATATAAATATACATATATAAATATACATATATAAATATACATATATAAATATACATATATAAATATACATATATAAATATACATAATAATATATAATATAAATATACATATATAAATATACATATATAACATATATAAATATACATATATAAATATACATATATAAATATACATATATAAATATACATATATAAATATACAATATAAATATACATATATAAATATACATATATAAATATACATATATAAATATACATATATAAATATACATATATAAATATACATAATAAACATACATATAAAATATACATATATAAATATACATATATAAATATACATATATAAATATACATATATAAATATACATATATAAATAATATATACATATATAAATAACATATACATATATAATAATAAATATACATATAAATAATAAATATACATAAAAATATACATATATAAATATACATATATAAATATACATATATAAATATACATATATAAATATACATATATAAATATACATATATAAATATATAAATAACAAAATACAATCAAAAAATAGTGTTTGGAAATTTAAGGTTAAGTGTCACTTTTCTAGTGTCACTTTTTCGTAAATTCTACCACACTCCTCCAATAAAGAGAATTGGAACATATTTATGTATCTGTGACACTATTGAACTTATAAGATATTAGTGATAAGATAAAACATTGAAAATTAGAATAGCTGAATGGCTTGATACATTATAATATATATGAATTTTCGTCTGATTGTGTGCTTTTTGTTATATTTCATCTCAATATCAGAAATTAATTAGATTCAAATATGTCTAATTAACAAGTATATATTTTTGATTCAACCAATTATATCTAATAAGTATGGTCGATCTAACCTTCAAATAACAATAGTAGAATTCAAGTCCTTTATGGCGAAACAGAAAATACACTAACCTATCGTCGTGATCGGAACGATTTTCGGGAAAAAAGTCATAAGACGATTATTTTTCGGGAAAAACGTATCTTCCCAAGATTTTATTGAATTCACTTGCATTCAAAAATGGGGGTATACCAATTTTTTATAACGTACAAAAAAAACCAATTCCACGTCAGTAAAGGACGATAGAGATTACTGAGATATTAAACGCTAGTTTTAGCGATGAATATGAGTTCTTAGATACTGCTATTTTGTGATATGATAGCATTGACATATATGAATCAAATTATTATTTCAAACACTATTATTTATATTTTTTTAATATAGATCAAAGTTAATTTGCTATGTTTATCATGTCTTTTGACCTCATCAGATTGAGTTCATTTTCTACGCAATATAAAGTATAATTTATTATCATTGTACATCCAGAAAACCATTTTTATTATATGAACATTAATTGAATATCTTAAAATAATACAATTGTAAAATCTAATAATGTCAATAGATACTTATCGAATATTTATATATGCTCAAGAGTTAGTATAGGGTGTCCAAAGGTGTGTTTAGCACAAACCTGAATACTGCGAATAGAAATAAACAAGTTACATATATATAAAGTTTATTTAAATATAATCACCATTGGATTCAATCACGCGTTCGCAGCGATCGATCCAGGCTTGAAAGACACGCTTTAAATCATCATGAGAAAATTGCTCAAATTGCTCTCTTACAAAATTTTCAAGATCATCTGGACTCGCGAATTCGCGTCCTTCAGCTCTCTTTTTTAGCGTGCCGAATAAATAAAAGTCAGAGGGTGCAATATCAGGTGAATAAATTGGGTTTGGAACAACTTTGACATTGTTTTCCAACAAGTAATTCATTACCTTATGACTTTTGTGAACTCTTGAATTATCAAAATGAATTGCAAACTTTTGTTTTTGTTGTTTGGATTTCTCAAACTCATCAGAATTGATAATTTGAGTAAGAACATTGTCAATTAGATACTGAGCATTCATCGTATTAGGTTTTTGAAGAATATCAATTGCGATGATGCCATTCACGCCCCAAAAAACCGACAACATCATCATTGGTGTGTTAATTTTTTTCTTCGGGAATGTTTGCGGATTTTCATCCTTCGGGATCCACATGATTTTGGCTTCTGTTGCATATTGAAACCAAGACTCGTCCCTGTTACTAAAAAGCGAAACTTCTTGGATTGATACGCACCCAATATAGAGAGGAGCTCTTTCGAAGATTGGACTCTAGATTTTTTTTGAACTGAATTAAGGTTGTGCGGAACCCAACGTGTATACGCTAGTTTGTAGTTCAAATAATTGTGCAGATAATAACTGACTGTTGTACGTGGTATCTTTGTCATCTCCTCTATCCTTCTGAGTGATGCTCTTGGGTCTTCATCTAGCGCTTGAAGAATTGCTTTGATTTTTCTTTGATCCGGCGATTTTTTGTCAATTTTTATGATGGGCGCCTTTTTGTTCATGAAGTGATACATCCTAACATGATACGTTACAGTGGAATAGCTAGGAGCATCCATACCGAAGCATTTTACCAATGTCTCGTAGATTTTTTTACAGTCTTTGCATTTTTTTGCAAGAGCGAGGATGTTTTCTTTATGATTCATTAAAAAAATGAAAAAAATCCCGCCAAAATTTCCCGCGAAACCGCCTCTTGTCTCAAAATTCATTTTATATCCCGGCATGGCGCCAAAATACAACTTACTCATCATATACATATATTCATATTTTTTATTATATATTTATAATCAGCATATATCTCCTTTAATAGTCTCATATAGAGCGCTGTGCTAAACGCACCTTTGGACACCCTATATTAGGCAATTACTAGTTTTCAGTAAAATCAATTGTGCATTTGCTGAATGTTTAAAAATATAGGTATGAAAGCTATAATTCAGAATCTTCTCATATATTATATGAATATATCTTTCATATATTCTAAAATTACTTAATTGGTAAGATAAATTGTGAATATTTTAATTCAAATATGTGGTTGTTATTATTTTAATAGTTTAAATGATATTATTGTCTAAACTATATATATTTTAATGAATGTTATTAATCAAAACTCCTTTGAAATTATGGATCAAACATAATCATTCAATAAATGAATTTATTTCTATAATTCAAATGCAATATTCTTAATTTTTCCATACATATTATGAAAATGTATTTGCTATTGCAATATATGTGAATTAATATTTGAATAATAATAAAATTTAAAAATATTTGGTATAATATAGAGATTTCGCTTTGAAACATTAATGCTTTGTTAACCCTACTATAGATTTCATTCAAAAAAGTCAAAAATTTTATTCCAAGAAAAATATAAGAAGAATGATAAACATGAGACATTTATATTGACCTATGTACTATGTGTAATTGAATCCACTATAATAATGCAGTGAAAATTTACTGCTTGATTGAAATCTTTAATATCTTATTAAAAAAATATGTTATAGCTGTTACATATGAATTGTACAATATTACCTTATATAGTAAATTATAATATGAATGTTGTTTGCTACTAATACGTCCTTTATTAACTGGAATTGAAATACTCAGTATTTAACATGAATTTTAAACAGTCTATGGTTGTAACACGACTTGACATGTCTACAAATTTTAGAATTTATACATAATTCATTAAAAATCCATATTTTGAATATTAAATCTTTTGAATTATGAAAAAGACAAACATATTAACGGTAAATATGAATAAAAACTTAAAATAGTTAGTAATGATTGATGTTATTTTTCCAAATTTTTCTTATTTTTCTAATTTTAATGACTTTTTTAACAAAATTGGGATTAATTTTTTAATTTTTCAAAAATTTTTGGATTTTAAACATCAAAAGATTGCATTTCTTTTAAGAATAATACAAATTCCTAATGAAATAAACATGATTCAAGACTTTTAACACAATTTAAAAAAGAATCTCAAATATCTTCAGGAAATTCAATTTATATTTCAACGAGGATAATAGCAATATTCCAAACACACTATATCATAAAATACAAATTCATTTTGGTTCAATGAATCCTGTTAATTTGTATTAACGAATTCATTGATTCAAGAAACCAAAGACATAAGTAATAAATGTTGATATCACTCAGTTTACAAATGTCAGATCATCACTCAATAGTCACCACAAATATATTCGATTCGCTAAATTTTTCATTTCATTAAAATTCAGACGTTTTTTTTTACTAATATCGATTGCAAACAATTCGACATTGCAAATCATTACAATAAATGACGAAAATACTTCATTATTAAATAATTTGCATTTTTATATTTTCAAATCTCAATTTTTAATCAAATCAAATATAAATATCATGTAAAACATCTATATTTAGAATGATTTTCCATATTACTATGGAAAGTTAATAATCAATATGGATAAAACCAAATTCCCTCGCTTACCATAAACTTTAAGACTACTTTCATCAGACAAACAAATGTACGAGCTACCCCTAAAAAATTCGGGTTTTAGAAATTTATTTTTAATTTTAGACATTATTTCATTACCACAGTTCACCAATCGATAATCTAAGTGTTGTAAAACACATCATTCTTTCTACTTTTAGATTTATGAATAAAAAAATTATATTTCTTAATTTGAACTTTTTTTAAATCTTATAACACATAGATCCTATTTTTATTCCATTGTACCAATGCATTTCATAGTTCAAATTCGTTTTGACACCAAATTAAAATTATTTTCAAAATATCATAGAGAAAATTGACATTTTACAAAATAATATGAACGAGTATAGCTACAGAATAATAAATTGCAATATATTATATGATTTACACAGTTTTTTGCATGATATCTTTTGAATTATAAAACATATTAACTTATAAAACACATCTCCGTCATAAAAAGAACAAAGTAAAGATATCTTCTTGCTCAAACTAGATGATTCCAATAATCAGATTATCGATAACATATATAACTAATAAGTGGATGCGTGCACTCAATATAATAATACCGAAACTATGCTCTGATCACTGGTATATTCAAATCAAGTATAAAACAAGTCCTGCCTAAAATTTTTGTACGTTATAAAAAAATTGGTATACCCCCTTCAAAAATAATTTTTCAGTTTTTTATTGATAGATTATTTTATAAGGCAAGAGAGTAGCAAAATTTCTTGCTCATATTGAATGATCATTCAAAATTGACCGCAAGATAATTGCTAAATGAGATTGATAACTATACAAAATCTCCTTTCTCGAAAATGTTATTATGCCTTCACCAACATTACAAAAATTAGAATCACCGAGATATATTATACTTCTGACAAAATCATTACGTTATCAATCCCAATAAAACATGTAATCGCGATTTTTTAAATTTGAAAATATTAATCTTTATTTGATTTTGGATATACTTTTTCCGATTGGCATACCAAAATTGTGAGTCCTTTTGTCAGAAGTCAGCGTCATCACACTTTTCAATACGTGAAGAATTTTCTATTTTTATCATTTAAATTGAATCCAACATATTTTCGAATCTCTTTCCTTCAAAATTTATTTTTCTATTTTCATTGCAAATTTTCTTTCATCTTTTGAATGATCATTCAAAATTGACTATGTATCGTTTTCCTCATTTATTCAAAATGTTTTGAATATTTTTATTTTTTTTGTTCAATTTCGATTTAGATGTCTCATAGTCGAGTTAGTCCTCTTAATGGTAATGAAGAGGAAGAACCAATAAATCAGGAAGAAGATACAAAAAAAAAACAAATGAAATAGATGTTAATAAAACAGAAGAGAGTTTTTTAAAAGGTGAATCAAAAGATGACATACCAAAAGAAGAATTAGCAAAAGAGAGACAAAAAGGAGGAAATTCTAAAATCGAACAAGAATCCGAGCGTTCACCTGATATTTATGATTTCAAATCGTTCTACACTCAAATTTTATTTATGGTTATCGAAATTGTACAGTTGACACTTCTTGCAGAACTATCTTATCCAACCAAAGCCGAGCACTTACTAAATTTAACAATTAACGATCATCCAAAATACAAAGATGAATTCACAAACGCTACAAATTTTGATAGTTATTCTGTTCCCAGTTTATATTGTCGATACACAAACATTGCAATTCTAATAATTCAAGTAATTTTGAATATCATTGATCAATTCTGGTTTTGGTATTGTTCAAAAGCATTCAGATCAATTTGCTTGTACAAATATGAAACCTTAAATGTTTCTCAGCGTAATTTTATTTTTTATATATTGAAAACTTATAAATTTCCATGGAGTTGGAGGTATGATCTTCTTATTGTTCTTGCAACACGCAGTCGACAGTTATTTGATTTGTCTAAAGTTACGGAATGTCTCAGCATACTTGATTTAATTAATTCTCAGGAAACAGACAATCAAGGTCCCGCACGCAAAGATACCGAAAAACAGCAAGAACCTGAGAAAGATAACATAGAACGCAACCACACATTCTCTGAAATACAAACAAAAATCAATTGGTGCCTTGAGACTATCATTTTTATTCTTACTGGTATAGCTTATTTTTATCAATCAAATTATGAAGAATACGTCAAATTAAATAACGTTAACAATGAACAAATTAAGAACATAATAACTGACCTTGCAAAAGCTTCTGACAAAAAATTAAAGTTCATTATTTCATGTGTTTTGGCCGGAGGCAAAATCCTTATTATATTCTACCAAATGGTTATTTACTCTATCGGACGTAGAAAAATCAAGAATATTATTTCATCATATTATGACAACAAAAAGAACAAAAAAGAGCAAGATCTCAACATAGTATCACAAGAAAATTTAAGAACGTTTGATTTTACTTCATTTCCACATCGCGAGAGATTGATGTTGATAATTGAATTGTATAGCATCAAAGGAGAGCACCAAAAAATTCTGTATGGAATCATGACTCCGATGATTGACGAAAATAAGGAAATTATACCTGAACTTTTTAAACAGCTTCCTACAAAAAAGGAATCAATTCCACAGGATACATTAACAAGTGAGATATCAAAAACCTGACTTTCAATTTTCAAACATATGTTTTGCCAAGTTTTATGCATAGCACGATGGTAGAAAAATTTATTGCCACTCTATAGCTACGGTGGGGTACTCCACTGGAGTAACTCACGATTATTGTAGTAAAAAAATTAATTTTTGTAAATATTTTACTTTTGAGAGGAATCTCCAATCTCCTGAGATTCGGAAATTTCCCGGGGATTGACTTTTTTTCTCTAAGTATAATAAAAGATTCAGTTATGTATTAAAATAAGTGTGCCTTAATTCCGAGGTGTTACCCCCTGCATTTTCTTTCGTTGAAAATTCGGTGATACCTTGATACATTTATTGAGCTCGCATAGATATTTAGAGAATAGTTGATATTGATGATGTATTGTACAGGACATGATGTATAAATTTATTAAGATTATTTAGTTAAACATTGTAATCTACTTTTGATATATTGGAGATTTCTAGCATGTTTATAGATTTTTGGTTTTTTAGTCAGGGTTACTCATGCAAATGGATTTTACATTAGAAATATGAATGCATTTCAATTTTTGATTTTCAATCATCTCATATCTCGACTTTGGCCCTGGGGATTTCCATAAGATTCTATTGGGAGCTAATCTGGTTTATTAAATATGATAATTTAAAAATTTGATATATAATTAATTAAGATAAGATAATAATATATTTACATACAAACAAAAGATATTATTCTATTACATAATTAGACCAATCAATTAATGTTTGGCCCTTTGGAATTGGAGTTTGTTTCTTAACCTTTTGCTGAGACTTCGAAGGACTCTGTGAAGCTGTTTGTGACTTCTTTTGGATGGATTGTGAAAAAGATTGGGCCTTTTTTGGAGGATCTTTTGCGATAATTCGATCACAAACGAGCCAAATCTCATCTAAAGAGTTTTCATTCTCAGAATTAGCTATAGTTACTTGTGCTCCAACTATTTTGCCGCATTCGCTACAAATCAAAGGAGAATATCCGATTCCATCTTCTTCTTTCCATTGTATTTGGTCTTGGTTGCAATGGATAGTCCTACTGAATTTATTGGAGACAGGAAGAACTGATTTTGGCCCGTTCTCGTTAATAATTTCAAGAAAACCAGATTTGTCGTTTTCAAACGTTTCAATGGTTGTTATCCTTGTTGAAGTCAATATTTGGCCTTCACAGGATGCACAGACAAATAAGGCTCTTCTATCTACTGATAATTGAAAGGTTTCTTCGGGTTCAATATTATTTTGGAACAATTGTTTGATTTGACGGGTCAAAACTGATTGGGTTGTGATCTTCGATGAACATTGTCTGATCCATTTTGGTGCAGAATCAATTAAAATTGAAAATCTTGGATCAATAAATAATACACAGCCAAAATCACCATTTTGCGAGATAATAGCATCAGCACATTCATAAGCATTCCTTAGTCCATTCATTTCACTATAATCAAGAGAGTTTTCCGTAGGATATAAATTTTGATCAAATTTCTTCTTCAAAAATGCTAATCTATCATCACATCTAGGTATCCCGAAGAAGAACAAGCATCTTAGCTGCTTCCCAGTCAAATTTAGAATATCATCAATATCAGATGTCAACAAAAGTCCTCCATTTCCAACAGAAATGGAATAAGTGTACTCATCAATGTATTTCTCACCTTGCTTTTGGTGAAAGATCGGTTTATACTTCTTAATCTTCTTTGTAAAATTATTTTTTCTCCAAACTTGCAACAAATCGAAGAAATTGTCTGCATAAAGGACAACACCGTCAGGGATGTTCTGGTATTGGCTCTCAATCAGTTTACCCAGCGAAATGTAAACAGATTCCTTGTTTTCGGAAATTGACGATAAAGGAACGTTATCGTTTGTAAAGTTTACAGCGAAAGCAGCAAAGTTTTGGTCATTTATAAAGGGATGGATCCCTGAAAAAGACAAATCGAAGTTAACTCCGAGAGATCTCTGCAACGAATCCATTGGTGTTAGTACATTAGCCGTAAATATGATGGAATGTGCTGTTTTCGTGAAACTTCTGAAAAATGGAGAAATTGATAAGGATCTGAGCACGAAATAGTCCTCTCCTGGGTTCGGCGATGGGTATATGTCGAAAAGGAATGGATCCGGATTGGTTTTGGCCATTGTCAAACTGGAAATCAAATGAAATAAATCGGAAAAATTAGAGTAAGGAATGAGATCTTTGGTCATATTATTAGTGTATATGTCATCTAGAAGCAATTTCAGATTAGCCCATTCTGTTTCTTCGAAGTTTATCTCATCAAAAATTTGATTTATCGAAAAAGCATCGCATTCCATGTCAGAAGCGCCTATTTCTGCAGCATGGTCTACTAGTATTGCTTTTAGCTTTGTAAGGAGCTTGTTTAAAGCATTTTCCTCTGAAAAATTTGTAATAAAAATATCTAAATCTTTGGATTTCATCGTAAGAGACAATCTGTTGAGTAGTATGCTCTCTATGTTGGCTAAATCTTCAAATATTAATATATTTCTGTCTTTGTTGATTCCTAATCTTTCAATTTCGGAAGAAAAGAAAAAAGTTTCTGCTGTGCAGAAAATAATGTCTGCATTTTGGACATTTTCCTTCTCTAGCTTGTATGGGCACTGCATGTTCTCAATACAGGCACTTTTGATCTCTTCAATGTCGAAATTTTGTATATTTTCGATATTTAAAGAATTTTGGCTAAAATGGCATTCTCCCATTGAGCAAAGTGAAGAACACCAGAATAGTGGATTATCAGCTGACTTAACTTGTGAGTTTAAACAAGATTCATAAATATTTTGTAAAATTAAAGTTTTTGGTTTATATTTGAGTTTATTTGCTCGATGTACAAGTTTTGATATATCTTCGTTAGTTCTGCAGATAACAATTATTTGGAAAGTGTCTTTACTATTTGTTGAAATTGTTTTCTCTGAAAAATTACCAGTAGGTGTATCTATTTGCATTGGAGGTTCAACGTGTATTACTTTGTTATACTGTTGAAATGAAAGTGCTGCTGAAATAATTAAGAAAGCTCGATCACTTCCTTCAGGTGATTCAATAAGTACATTTTTTTGAGTTAACAAAGAGTGTATTGTGTTGCATATGATGTTTCTTTGCATGATTGTAGGTGTGAAATCATCAAATTCTACTGTTACACCTCCAACCAAAAAACTCGACATTTTGCTATTGGTGTTACCCCCTAAAATTTAATATTAATTGATTCACTTTGGGTATTTCTAAACGAACTCAAAGATACTTGTCAAAGAGAAGAATCATCAAAATTCGTTAGTATGATGCTCCATTCAGTTAAATTCCCCTTAATTGCAGAATCGATGGAAAATTTTTCTAGATTTTAACAAACAAACGGTGATTCATGTAATGCATCATTTTATTACTAGTGTTGAAGATTTTATCAAATGTATTAGAGAATATCCGACAGAAATATAAAAAATACCAAATTTTTATCAAGGTTAAATGAACAAAGTTTACATGTTTGAAATTGCAGCTAATTGTTTTTAACATTTACAAGATGTTCAGCAAAAAGTATTCAATGACTTGAAAATATTTTTGAATAAAATCTAACAATCCTTTCAAGATCCTAAAGAATATCTATAAGAGATTTTGGTTAGCTGTTTTTACATATTGTTTCTTTTACTTACTTAATATATAAAAATGAAAAAAATGAAAATTCAAAGTCTTTCCAATTTATGATATGGAAGATTTGAGATATCTTTAATAGATGGATTTTATAGATTTTAAAATTTCAAAAAATTGCAAATTTTTCTTGTTTTTTAAAAAATGCTTTTCAATTCTTAGTTTTTTCATTTGAATTCATCCATTTTGAAATATTTTTGGAAAAACTTCGAAACTGGAATGAAGTCACGATAGGTTGCTTGTGTTGTTTCTTAGTGAAATGGCTCCTCAAATTTGGAAATTTATATCTTTATCGAATTAATGAGTATACTTTAAGTTATACCCTTACAAATAACATGGCATTGCATTGAGTGAGGATTTTTCATATTCATAACGAAGCAAAACAAGGTAAAAGTAAAAATTTATGCTTATAATTAGTAATGTTTAGTTCATTAAGTAATGGTTGCATTGTATTTTCAGAGGTAAAGATAGATTCTTCCTCAATGATACTGATCTCGGTAGATAATCTTCTTGGTAATATTTTAGCTTTCTCTATGAAACCAAACCCGAAGAATGTCTTAGACATCCATAAGCATGTAATTAGAGCAAATTAAATAAAGTAAGGGATCAAACCATGAAGAAATTGATGAAAATTTTAAATGAATAAACCCATTGAGTGAATTTTTAGCATCAGATGACGGAGGAATCATTTTGGGCTTGATAAAGTGCTCATGAGTTAACACTCTTAGTACCAGTGTTTTTCATAAAAAAAGCACTTTTAATGGGAAAATGTGACAAACAAGTGAAAATCCTATGACTATAACACCAGAGGATGTTAATATCCTCATTGCGCACCATCTACAGGAATCTAGCTTTTCTCATACAGCATATATATTCAGAAATGAAGCCTTAGTCGAAGATGATAATATAAATGTTCCACCACAAGCTTTAATTACGATTTTACAGAAAGGAATGCTCTACATGCAGCTTGAAAAAGCAATTAATAACGGAGCAAAGAACGAACAGACACCAGAACAAATTATAAATTCTTTAGTTGAGTCAGCTCATCAACAAGAGCCTGTTCAACACCAAAGACCAGCTCCTAAATTAAAACAAGTACACCACGCACCGCCACCGCCTCAAACTCCTGCACCTCCACCACCTCCCCCGCCTCCTCCGCCCCCGCCAGAGAAGATCGAAGTCACAGATCTTCCGTACGATAAAGCTCAGCTTTATAAGAAGCATAATGAAGAAGTTTTCTGCGGATCATGGACAAACGATAGCAAATACTTCGCTTCAGCAAGCAATGATGCAACAGCAGTAATTTGGGAATGCCAAAATCAACAATTCGTTAATCCAACTACATTAGATCATGCTCTAAAGCAAGATCGTAATGATAAAGGCGTTGTTTCATTAGCATGGAACTCCGCATCTACATTACTTGCTACTGGATGCAATGATGGTGCAGTTAGGCTTTGGACAAACAAAGGAACTCTCAAATATGTTCTTAATTTTCATACAGCCTCAATTTTCGCAATACAATTCAGTCCTGACGACAATTACCTTCTTACATGCTCCCAGGATACTCGCGTTATTGTCTGGGATGTTTCTCGAGGCCAACAAAGACAAATTTTCCAATTCCACAAGAAATCTGCCTTAGATATCGACTGGTACGACAACCAAACCTTTGCTTCTTGTTCTAGTGACCAAACAATCATACTCTGCAGGGTCGGAAACTCTCGTCCGCTTGTAACTCTTCAAGGACACCAGAACGACGTTAACAAGATCTCCTGGGACCCGTCCAAAAAGTATCTCGCAAGTTGTTCGGACGATGGAACCGTCAGAGTATGGCCAGACCCATTCGACCACAAATCTCAGCCGATTATCTTCAAAGGACATACTTCTCAAGTGTATACGATCAAATGGATACCAGGCGTAGACAAACCAAAGCATCTCGCGAGTGGCGCTTTCGATTATAAAGTCAGAATCTGGGATGTACCAAACAGAACGTGCATTGCGGTCATTGATTGGGTACAACAGGTTTTCTCAATCACTTTCTCGCCAAATGGTAACTTTTTCGCCGTAGGAGGAAGATATACTAAACTTGGTATTTACAGATCCTCAGATGCGGTTTTGATCGGCCAATATACGACTTCTGAAGAAAATTCCAGCTTGCCTGGAGGTATTTTCGAGGCTGCTTGGAGTCCTGCGGGAGATACAATCGCATTATGTGAAACAAACTCAATCGTAGCTCTTGTTCCAACTAATCTGTTCCCATACTACAAAGAGTAAGTATTTTTATTTTTTTTAATTGTTAGATTCATAAAGAATTCTTTATTAAAACTAAATTTTTCAAAATTACTTAGACAAACTTAAGTTATTCAATTACCTCTTCTTTCGAGGATTTATATCAAGGATTAATTTGATGAAATTTAATTCAATCAGATTACTTTACTTTAAGTTGACAGGTAGTCATTGTGGAAGCAAAAATTAAAAAATTCGCAATAAAATGGTTATATTACCATATAAATTTAAAATTTTTTAAATAATTTTTTCATATTAATACATGCATGCGTTTGGAGTTGATATATAATTTTGAACAGGATAGTAAATACCTAGAAGGAATAAGTCATTTTCATTTAAGATGTCTGACTTATCCCTCCTCAGGGACGATGTCAGTCAAATAAAGACAAAAATTCAAGAAAAAATGATTGGTTATTCAGATTTAAATCCATTCCAAAGGGAAGAACGAGCTAAATTTATCGAAAATTTATTAGAGGAATACCATACACTTATTACAGAAGCAAATGGACAAGTTTTAATGTGGGACAAGGCACAAATGATCGCTGGTAGAAAATTTATTGATCAAACAGATGCTGAAATGAAAAAATTAGAATATCAATTTCGAGAAATGCAGAAAAGAATTGAACAACGAGAAGCACTTATGGCAGGTGCATATCCACCAGATGGAGATTCTCAAGAGTTACTTTCAAGAAACTCTGACGAACTAAATAGAGGAGACAGATTAATATCTGAGCTTAGTCAAAATGTTTCACAAGCAAAAGACTCCGGACTCAATATAATGGATGCTTTAAATACTCAACGAAGAAAAATTCAAGATATTGACGAACATTTGACCAGACTTGATACAAACGTCGAAACTGGCGAATTAATTATTACAGAAATGCTCTGTAGGAATGAGAGAAGAAAATATTTCCTTTGGGGTATGATTGCTCTACTTGTAATTGCAATCGGTATATTTTTATACTTTTTGATCTTCAAATAAAGCTTTGTTTGTTAATATTTAAGATAACTTTCTCTACTTCATCTTAATTTGTAATCTACAGCTATATTTGAGTTGCGATCTTATATTTTTGCAAATTGCTTTAGAAATCTCCAAGCAAGAATAGTGAATCTTGGCTTGCTTAGTGATACCGACATGTACACACCATAAAACGATCATATGCAATGAGGTTAAATACGAACATTTGAGAGGGAATTCAAACTTTGAAAAATTTAATAAATTTCACAGTATGGCTAACAAGAATTTAACAGTTCTTGGTGGTGTTGTTATTTGGATCATCCTAGTAGGTGTCTCTATATTCGTATTTGTTGTTGCTTTCATCTTACTCTTTTCAATTTGAAGCAAATCATTAAAACATTTAGAAAAAAGTGTTATGGAGCCTAAACTACGAACAACAAGTCAAGACTTAGGGAAAATGGAACCATTTATTGCAGATATTTGGAATCGGCGTTCGACCGTGCATCCATTACCTCAAATCAATCATTATGCTGATGGATACATCAATACGGAATCAGGTGTAATATCTATCAGAAATGAAATCTGCAAATCATTAAAGAAAATTGAAGAAGCAGCTGCAGAATTTGATCCAAAATATGCAAGAAAGAACTCCCTCACAGCTCAAGAATATATAACTTGGCTTAAAGATCAAGAAGGAATAACGATTCCAATCGATGCAGCTCAAGCTTACATAGATTTTTATAATAATGCACGATATGGACCACATTCAGTAGAATTTACTGCAGAAGACTACACTTTCTTCAATACACACTTTAACAAACTGATGAGTGGAATTCCTCCACCAAATGAACAAGCTCCTCTTACTCCGGCCACAACAATCTTGCAGCGCCGTCAAAAGTCATTAAATCACTAGTTCTGTTTGTATGAATATATAGTTGTTTTTGTTTTTTTAAAATAAGAATTTTCACTAGTAATTCAAATCTTTTTCATATCCACTATCTAGGAGATATCGTCAAAAAACATATATTATTAGAGAAAACAATGAAAGGGTACATCTATATGTTAATATATTTTCGAATCTTCGAAGTTCCGTATATCAATTAAAATGGACCATCTTTGACATATGTTACTACTATTTTCAATATAGGTTCTAATAATAAAGCACTACTCTAATAAATTCCAATACAATCGTTATATTATGTTTCATAACATAAAACCACTCCAGGGATGCTACTTAACAATCCTCACTGTATGCTTATTTCAACTGATAAAGCATTTTTAGAGATAAAAAAATAATAAATTTATTAAAGAATTTATGAGAGTTGTGCAGTAAGCTTTCTTTTACGAACTTAGATTATTTTAGTCAACCTTGAATGTAAAGTCAACTGGGAGATCGAAGTTGTACTTAGTGTAGAATGGCTGCATGTTCTTTGTACGAAGTTTAACGAGCCACTCTGGAATCTTCTCTTCGACGAGGTTCTTGAGCCAGCCATAGCTTGGGACATCGTCGAAGTCCCAATAGTCTTGTCCAGACATATTGGAAACTCCGTAGACGTGGCACATGCGGCCTTCCTGTGTGTTAACAACTTCGACATTGAGGGAGTATGCTGGGTAAACTACGTAACCTCCCATTGTGATGCACCAGCAAACGTAGCCTTGGCCGTATTCTTTAATAACACCCTTATCAGCTGTGGCAATAAGTTTCTTAGCCTGATTCTTAAGGTCTTCGAAGAATTTGCCGGTTTCTGGGTCAAAATTTTCTTTGTATTTCTGGAAGCGAGCCATTTCCTCGTATAACTTTGGACCAGCTGGGAGGTCGACACCACAGCCTGATCTTGAGTGAGTGATGGCATCACTGATACCGTTGATTACATTTAAGCATTTGCCGTTCTTGAATAAAACGGTGACGACGGCTTCAGCGAGTTCCTTATAATCTGCAGGTGTAAGCTGTGGTAACTCAATGCTTTCGAGAGTAGCTTCGTATTGTACTTCTGCTCTAGTTAAAGCAAGAAAGAAGAAAGCAAACATTTGAAATTTTTTTCCTAATTGAATTGAAAAACATTTTTTTTGGATTTAAATAAACAAACATACATATAAAATATTCTTTTTTATACGATAATCTAAAATTTGAGCAACCACATTGCTTCCAACCGCCAATAAATAAGAATTGATATCCGACGAAAAGCAATATACAATGAGATACAAGCATATATGAATTACAATAAATTGAATTTGATTGTGCAGATCCAAACAAAATTCAATTTCTCCAAATTTTCTTTTCAATATAAATTTCTAACATATCAATTTTTCTTGATATTTTAAATCAACATGCTTAATTGTATAATATTGCTATTTTCAATTTCTTATCGATAAGCAAATCATAATCGGATATTGATAGCATCAATTAGCTAGGTATGGCAAATAGAGATACATTAAATTTTCAAACTTCAGATCAAAATAGAAAAATCAAATCCTTCAAAATTGATTAAAACGCCTTTAAATGACTGCAAAACATCATAAAAACACGTAGAACAGAAAGTTCACACATAAAATATGATTATTTCATGATAATTGAACAAAAATAAATTTCATTTATGGAATTATTAAATTATCTCTCAATAACATAAAGCACTCCAATTAACGAAGATAACGCGTATATTTAATAAATGATAAACAGTAATTTTTATATAAAATAAATAATATTAAACTAAAAAACAGTTTGAATAACAAAAACGTTATTCTCAGGAGTAGCAGCAACAATACTATATGATTCCTGGTGCACAGCCATCTGAGTAATTTCATTCTGGCACTTCTGATTGTGTAAGATTCCCAATGAAAACGCGTCAATGAAGAAAATGATCTTTTTCGTTGTTGCCAGAGCGATTATGTCGAAGAACTGACGACTGACATACGATATCGCTGCTATGAATTTCCCGTCGAAAGAACTTTTTCCGATTCTTGAGCCATTTACTGTGAAATTCTCAATAAATGTCTTGTTCTCGTGTTCGTAGAATACACAGATATATCCCATCTCTTCACAAATTATGATAGATTTGAAAATTGCTTCTTTCGGAATCTCAATTTGTTGAGATCTGAGATATTTCAAATCAGGAATGGTCAAAATAATCAAAATGCCATCAGATGACAAAGCAGTGACAATTCCAAGCTTCGTTGATGCGTTCAAACACGTGATTGGCTTGTCATGTGCCAATGAAATTGCGATTGCTTCGAAATTCTGATTTTCATCACACATCCACTGAACAACTTCTCCGCTTTGTCCTCCAGAAACAATTGTTCTTCCACAGGAGCAGAGACTTGTCACTGGATTAATGTGCGGTGTAATATCAGGTGTCAAGTATTGGTGTGACTCAGAATCGAAGAATCTGACAGTTGGAGAATTATAAGAAACAAAAGCAAAACTTGGAGTTCCATCTCCTTCCAAGAATGCAACTTGTGTCCTTCTCGCTGCAGGACCCATGAAATGAGCAATGGCAGGCATGTTGACGTCAAATGTGTTCTGGCCAACCCTTAAACACATCATCTTTCCTGTACTGAAAATTGAATAGATTCTGAATTTTTCTGTTGTTCCGTTACAAACTTTCAAAGCAACAACCGCGCTTTCTAAGTTTTGTATGGATACAACTCTCTTCTTTGGATCGATCTGCTGTTGTTTTTGAACAATTTTCACAGGGTGTTGTCCTGTAAACAACATTTTTGGAACTGCACCTTTCAAACACAACAAATTTCGAATTGTTTTTTCATCAATTTGTTCCAATTCGTTTTCATCTCGAACTGTATCATACAATCTGTAGTCAGTCATGTTCATGGCCATGGAGGCACTCGATCCTCTCTGTTTGAAGCCCCAGACGTGGTCAATCCATCTGTTTATTCTTTTAGAAACATTTTCTGATTCAAGGGATTTTCTGTTCAAATAAACATAATGTTCTGCTGATTTGGCAATCTGTGGCAACTGTACAGCCTTCAATCCTGCACCTTCTTTAAGAAACTCTGGACTGAAAAAGAATTCTGGAGGTAATTCGTCAATTTTCATGTCACTTTTTCGTTCCAAAATTTCTTGCAATTCTTTGTTAATTGAAACGAAATGTTCATTGTCATCTTCGCATTTCATCTGCTGGAATAATGTCGTGAAAGGTTCAACTCTCAAATTATAATGAACAACTAAAAGAGAATTCGAAAAAGTGGATGAAAAAAGTGTCAAATCTGCCGGGTCAAAACTTTCTTGTTGAACTTTTCTTCTGTAAGTAAACAAGTTCTTATTCATGTAAGCAATGTTATGTGTTAAGTCTCTTGTCGATGTCTCCTTTGTTTCATTGACAAGTAACCATGGGAAAATTGGATAATTCGTGACATCCAAAAATGATCTTCCACTCAACATATTTAACCATGTCAAATAGTCGTAATTGGAGATCGAATGGTTCTTCCAACGCTGTGTAAGGCACAAGCGGTCAATCTCAATGTAAGGAGGGTGTTCTTGGAAAAAGAAACAATTTGGCATTGTCACTTTTTTGAATTGTTTTACGAAATCATGATTTTTCTCATTCGGGAATCTGAAAATGAATCCTTTGTAGTCATATGTGAAAATGGTTATTGCATCTGCAAGATGATATGTCCAGTGCCAGAACAGACATTCAACGGAATCACCGCTGATTTCCAATGATTTGTTTTCATCTTGGAAAATGATTTTTGTCGGTGTGATGTAAATAATTCCATCTGTTCTTTTAGAAACAGAAATCTTTTGACAAGGAGCAGACCATAATTCATGAGGAATTGAACCAATGAACTTAGGATCTTTCTCTGTAATCAAAAAGTCTATTTCCGGCGTCAAAGATTTCTCAACTTTTCCGTTGTCAATTTTTGTTTGTTTTCTCAATTTCTTAAAAATAATTGGTCGGAAATGTGCATCATATCTATCAGATCTTACGTATTGTTTTGCTGTCGGCGGATTGAAGTATAGTGTTCTATCTTCAATGAGCATTTCCCAGAACATTCTCCATTTCCTTTCTAGATTTCCTTTCCTTGCTTTCAGACCTTTTCTTATCATTTCAATCGATTCATCCAGAGTGAAATCATTAATAGCAGGAGCTTCGAAGTTACTTGAGAACAATTTCACCAAAACGTCTTCAACGTTTGAACTTGGTTTCAATTGTTGTATCAAGTTCATCATTGCGTTCGTTGAATTGTTATAAACTTCGACGTTTTGAGTAATCGCCTGTTCATATTTTCCGAAGAAAACAGTTGCAGGTTTAAACAAATCAATGTTTTTGCAAATGACTAAAAACAAAGGATTCAAATCTTGAACACTTATATCTGTTCTTTCAGCAATAGTATTCAAGAAAGGAATGACTTGTTGAGCGTATTCTATATCTTGTCTCAACATAAAAGTCATCAACAAAATCAATTGTTTTACAGTTGTTGTAGAATTTGCATCAACATAATCAATCAAAGGAACTAAAAGAACAGCGATATTCAAGTCATTCCATGTATTATCAGAGAAATAAAGGCCGAAAGAACTTTGCCTTTTATTATACAATCCAAGTCTAAATGATTCAACGAACTGCAATAAATCGAAATTCTTCTTTTCCAATTCAGAATTATCATGTTTTTCGAAACAACTTCTTTGATGTCCATAAATCAAGAAAGTGAAAACAATATTAATAAAATCATTAATTTCTTTGTTATCTCTTCTTTCCATGACAATGAAGACAAGTGCAGATGCCAATGTATTCTGTATAGAATGGCAATCTTTGTTCGAATACAAACTAATAATATCAATAACTTCAATTGCATCAGCTAATAATTGAGTATTATATTGGAAAATCGAAACCAAACAAGCAAGAAAATCATTATCAATGACAATAGTATACAACAAAGCAAACAATAATCCTAATGTAGTTATAGATTTCGAAACAATTCTGACTTTGTCAGTTTGTGAAAACAGATTATGTAAAAAGTTTTTCACATGATATAAAACATCAGATTCGATGTGAAAACTAATAACAAAAACAAAAGGAAGTAAAATACTTGACATTCCTCTGTATCTTTCATGTTTCGAAAGATCTTCAATGGATTCATCACTTGCTGCAACTAATTCATTACAAAAAGTCGTCATCATGCCATTTACATATTCCTTATCATTATCAATACACATGTTCAATGTATCTAAGACACAATCAACAAATAATGCATCAGTATTTGCAAACAATTCAATAATTGTTACAAAAAGAATTGGTTTTCTATGAAAGATTTTTTCTTTCATGTATATCATTATTTTCTGAATTTCTTCTTGCATTTCAGGAACTTCTATTGATAAAGTTGAAATAATATGTAATAATCTCAAAGAAAATCCAGAATTTCCTGTTGGAAACTGCAACAATTTGATTAACAATCCAATTGTTTGCATGTTACATGTTTGTTTTGCAGAAATTATTACTAAATTCAACATTTCATTTGTTACATCATGACCAAACTTGTTGTTTTCTATCAAATAATAACATCTTTCAAAGATATAAGTGAAAGAAACACATTCAGTAAACAAATCAATATGATTTACTGATATGTCATTCCATATTTTCAAGATGTAATAAATCGTTGATTCATCCAACAAAAACCAATTACTGAATTCTATAATTATGTGTTGATAGAAAGAATTCAACAATGGTTTTGTTTTAATGTTTCGTTCCATGTTCATTAAGAAACCTCTTAATCTAGGTGTTAAATATTCTATTTTCAGTTTGTACATGAAATAAGAAATAATTTGACATGCGTTACATCTAACCATTTGTTTTTCTATTTCAGGAGAACAATTAATAAATTCACTTATTGCTTTCAACAGGCATTCGAATATATATCCAGAATTTTCTTTCTCATAATCAATTCTCGAGAAATGGCTCAAAATCAAACAGATTCCTTTTGAACCAATAAAAATGTTTTTGAGAGGACAAACATCAATAAATGAATACATAGTAAAAATAGCTGGTTGTGAATCAACATCAGCCAAATTCATCATAGCATTATTTTGCGAATATTCAGGAGAAAACATCTGAACAAGTTTCGGTAAAGATAAAATATCAATAAAGTTACAATTAATTTTCGTACAAAATTCTAAAATTCTCTCATTTGCATTCGTCAGAAAAACGTAAATTCTCGAAACTTGTCCATTAACATTAGAATTCATTGCTTTGTTTAAATGAGGTATTGGATGGAACATAACAATCTTATCTAAGTATTCATCCCATCTATTACAAGATGTTTTGAGTTTTGCAACATGTTCTCCATCAATGTAAATATTAAAAGTACTTAAATAATCAAAACTAATTATAATGTTAAACCATTTGTTCATTGGCAATTGTTTGATTTGCGATGAAATCATTTTCGTTGGAAAAACATTGGAATAAATATAAACATTATTCATATCAAAAACAAAACTTAAAAAGTTATTAATACTACAGAAATTAATGAAATGCATAGTATCTGTTGTCTTGTCGAAATCTGTTAACAAAACATTACTCGATACTGTAACTTGGCCAAGAAAATCTCTGACATTTAAATTAGGTAATTTTACACTTCCAAGTTGTGCCGTAAACTGCAGAAAATTCGTAACAGGAGAAGATGTTTCATTAACACTTCCACTCAAGAAAGAAAGTATTGTTGATATATTCTTATTAGACTCTTTCGAGGGATCAGTTAATTCAATACATCTAAAAAGTGACGGCCTGTCAAAAATTGCCGAAGAAATTTTTGTCAAAATTGCAATCATCATCATTGATTCATTTTCAGGTGGATTTTCTTTCATTATATCCAAGATATATTTATGCACACCTGCTTTAACGCAATTGATGCATTGTATGTATGATTTGGCAACAACAGTTGACAAATCTTTCAAAAAAACACTTCGAAAAGGTGACTCCAAAATTGGCAAAATTAAAGAACCAGCTTCGATACAGTTAATTCCTGTGAATTCTATTTGATTCACACTTACTATCATGATTATCACGGAATAGACTTCCTCAGACACCCCGAATTTCCTTATAACATCTGCTATAGGATTCCAATTAACAACAAGAATTCTTTTCATCATGGCAATACTTAATGAATATAAAATCAAAAGTGAAGTGACAAAAACAGGAGAAATTCTTGATTCAGTAAAAGTTGTTTTTTCAATTGTTGTTAATGAAAGAATGTATTGAGATACAGCAATGAAATATTCGGACTTTGCAAGTGTGATATAGAACTCATCTTTAGCACAAACCAAACTAGAATGGAAGATATTCAAAATTGATCCTCCAACATCTAATTTTCTTTCTGGTTCTAATGTGATTTGTTTCAATATCTTCGTCAGCTGTGAATATATGACATTGCACTCGGAATTCGTTTCCACTGAGTAGCAGAGGAGAGAAGACAACAAAACAGTTGTTTCGCGTTGAACAGTTTCGATGAACAAGAAACTACAAATCGTATTTATAATTTCTTCATTGGAAACACACATGTTACAGAACTTATCTGACTTGGCCAGGTCATTCATTGACGTCATCATCAGTTTTCTCGATTCAACAATGAAAGGAAAGTTGTCATCTTCTAATTTAAGTTGCATTTGGAGCTGTGAGTTCAAGCAAACAAGGAATTCGGATATGCATTCGTTAGAAATGTTGTTAAAGTCAAAGCAACTCCGAATATAATACAAAAGTTCAACAAATAAATAAGGATATGGTGATGAATTAATCAATAATGGGATAATAGTGTTAACCATGGTGATATCTTTGATCTTGTAGTTCAAAAGAACAAAGACTTGGGCCGAAATGTGCCTTAAATTCACAATTAAAGGTAATGGCTCTTGAAAACATGAATAATCAGGGGTAAACAACATGGCATTGAAGAAGATACTGAATGATTGGAATGAATCATAGTAACTCATCGCTGGTGGTTGGCGAAAAGGTGGTTCTAAAAAGGTTATTAACAAAATTTCAATTAAAGGTGGCTTTAAAAAGCCTAGCGAGTCAATAATCATGGATGATAGGACGGCAGGTACAGATTCTTCACTTGTTTCGGCTAAAAACTGTAAAAGAGGCTTATATTCTTCTGGTAAGTTTTGTTTGTAATCGTTTATGGACATATACGCTGGAATTAAGACTTCCGTAGATCGCTTGATCGGATCGTTAAGAGAAATAACGTTTGGATCTGTAAATGTTCGCTTATTTATAACTTGATTGATAATTACGCCGAATTCTCTAAAAACAATAGACGTAAGACGTGAGATTTCAATGGCAAATCGAAGAATGAGTGAATTAAATGGCGTAAATTGAACGTTGTCTTTTTTATAAATAATCTGAAGAATTGTTAAATAAATTAGTCTTACAAATTGCTCATCTAGCTTTCCTTTTGATTTGGCACGTAATTCTCTTAGAATTATTGCAAAATGCTGGTAAATTAGCTCGTTTTCGATATATTTCGGTTGTTCGTTGCATAAAGATATGAGAGAAAAGCAAAATTCAATATTTGCTGGTAGGAAATATCCCGGAAAATTATGAAATACTTCAAAAAACATGTTCAAATGAATCAAAAAATCAACAGCACAAGGAGATCCTGCGACTTTGAGGAAGAAGTAATAAAAAGTTCGAAATACTAGTTGACTTCCCGATGCATAAATTCTTTTTGTTAATATAAGTGCTGATAAATAAAAATTTAAATCTTCTAGATCAATGCTTTGGATGTCTTTGAAATATAATGATGTAAAGGATTGCAGAATAATCATAAATATATGCTCAATTTGAGAATCTGATGTAGTAATATAAATGATATTATTAATAATGTATCGAATGACTGCACTTCTATCGCGTAATGCTAGTTCTTGTATTACTGTATCATCCATGACTTTCTTTTTCTGTAAGATTTTCGAATTAACATTTGGTAAAATTGCGCGAAATTCCTCAGGAAAAGGAGGGTTTAACACTCCTAAATTAGTAGTAAATAGAACTTTTAGGTGTTCGAAATAAGCGATGCCGGTATTTCTTGTTATTGGGAGAATATGATCATCAATCGATACCGACATCAATTGAAAATATTGAAATTTGATTGTTAAAAAATATCTCACAAATGCAAAATATATTATAAGTTTATTGACCTAGAATTTCTTTTCAAAACCAAATGAAAATCTTATTTTGTGAATTCACATTAATGAATATATGACTCATTCTACTTCCTGATGCTCTATAAGGATGCAATGATTATGCAGGCATATTTCTCTTTTTGGAAAAAAAAAATTATTTATATGAGCTGAAAAGTTGAGAGGATTAAATAAAAAGAGTTATAACGCTATCAAAATATAATAAACATATTCAGTTTACAATCTTTTATAAAATAATTGAAAATAGAAAGAAAAATTGGTAAGGATGATAGTAATAACTGGCTACACATGATTTTATGGGAATGTTAATACATTCAAAACTTTTAATAGGATTAATTCCGGAAAAGAGACCATTAAATTTGCGACAACAATAAACAACAATGTTGTTTGTTTGCATATTGTAGAAAAGAGAGCTATATACAGGCTTGTGAGAATAATAACGTATTATTTTAAGCGACGTCGCAGCTTCAAATATGATATCATTGCATTGAAAACTTCCACAAAATGTAATACTTTCCAAATTTGATGTGAGATGGAATGCACCCCATTCAATCTGACAGTCTTGCGTGATTGTAATTGATTTAATAGGAATACCGTCAAAAGCTTGTCTTTTTATGATTTTAACTGTTTGTGGAGTTGTATAGTGCTCTACAGAAGCAGTGACTTGATAAAGTGTAGAAAAATTCTTAGAATATAGATTAAAAAACATATCATTTGCAAAATATGGATTATTTTCATCAACTATAATCTTTTCTAGCACACTATTAGCTCCACACAAGCAATCTCCAATTTCTTCTACATTTTTACCAATCTTTAAAATTTTAAAACGAGTAAAAGCAAAACAATAGCTTCCCAGATACTTCAACGAATCTACTAATGAAAATTCTTGAATAGTATGGACTCCTTGGTCAAAAGCATGAGTGCCAATTTTCTGAAGATTTCGAGGAAGAGCAATACTTTCAAAGTGATCATATTGAAAAAATGCATAAGGTGCTATCTCAAGAACTTCATAGTTGACGCCGTTAATATTCACATTTGATTCAAGATTTAATACTCTAGAATTAAATGAGGTTGTATCAATAGCATTACGCTTAGTTTGTCCTTCAACACCAACAATTGCAAATCTATTCGTGCTATCAATGGTGTATTTGACACCACCAATAACACGACTAATTTAGAAAAAGCTTTGAAAAAAAAAAGCATTTTACCTGAGGTTATTGATATTTAATTTATTTAGCGACCTGGACCACTGAAGGTTCAAGCTACAAAATTGCTCCTAAGGCATCCGAAAAATAACATATTTTCATGAGTACAGCTTTAGCTTTCCTGAGCTTGAAGAATATTTCTTTTTAATTTTGCTTTTTCACCTCACTTTGAGCAATATCTACAAATCTCAATTATTAACTATACTCAATTACCATTTAAACATTCTACAGAATCAAGGTATTTTTAAATCTTTGATTCTCAAACTTAATAATTACTTAAATTCCTTTATTGCATATTCTGATTATTTGATATGTTTAAATGAAAAGGTTTATACAAACATCAAAACACAAATTAGTAATATATCATGAAACTAATGAGTTAAAAATAAAAATTATATAAGAGTGGTAATAATAACAAGCTACACACGATTTGATACGAATATTAATACATTCAAAATCGTTTATAGGATCAATTCCTGAAAAATTACCATGAAATTTGCGGCAGCAATAAACGACAATACTGCTTGTTTCCATTTTGGTGAAAAGGGAATTGAATACTGGCTTATTAGAATAATATCGTATTATTTTGAGGGAAGATGCTTTCTCAAATATGCTTTCATTGCATTGAAAACTGCTATAAAATGTTATGTTTTCCAGATTTGCTAAGAAATGAAATGCTATAAATCCAATTTGGCAATCTTGTGTAATTGTAATAGTTTTAATAGGAATATCATCAAAAGCTTGTCTTTTTATGATTTTGACTGTTTGGAGTGTTGTGTAATGCTCAATGACAGCAGTGACTTGATAAAGTATGGAAAAATCTTTAGAATAGAGATTGAATAACATATCATTTGCAAAATATGGATTATTTTCATCAACTATAATTTTTTCTAGCACATTGTTAGCTCCACATATGCAATGTCCAATTTCCTCTAAATTTTTTCCAATTTTTAAAACTTTGATTCTCGAAATTGCAAAGCAAAAGTTTCCTAGATATCTCAAAGAATCTACCAGCGACAATTCTTGCATGCTATGATATCCTTTATCAAAAGCATAGTTACCAATTTTCTGAAGATTTCGAGGAAAAGCAATACTTTCAAAGTGATCATATCGATAAAATGCATAAGGCGCTATCTCAAGAACTTCATAACTGATACCGTTGATTTGAACATTCGATTCAAGATTTAAATTTGATAAAGTAAACGAAGTTGGATCAATAGCATTGCATTGGGATTGACCTTCAACCCCAACAATTGCAAAACTATTTGTGATATCAATGGTGTAGTTTACACCATTGATAACAACACTTATTGAAAAAAAGCTTTAAAAAAATGGACTTTAATCCGAATTTTCATAGAGTATTGAGAGCAATCTATGACTTCTATTAAAATTTAAAACATTAGCAATGCAAAATTTTCATAAATTTCTTTCATTATCGGTTTCCTTTTTTATATCTTCGTTGTTGATTAATAGTTATTATATACATTAATCAATCAAATTGAAAAAGCTATTTCTGCTATTTATTTTTCTAAATAAATTACAAATATTTAAAATAATACAATAACAAACAAATATAAGATTAAGAACGCGGTTTTCTTCTTGCAGAGAGCATCTCCGTTTGTGGCCTTGGCTTTTTACTAACTCTAATTTTAGGTTTCTTTTTTTCTGAAATTGTAACAGTGGAAGGACGCTCTCTGTGATAAAATTCATCCATAACACCATTGAGAGATTCAACAACGCGCTCTGGACGATGAATCTTTTTATGATTTTTACCAATAAATTCTTCTACTGCTTCAAGCTTCCAACTTCTATAGGTTTTATTCAGTTCTACATTCTTTTCGTTCTCATCCTTTATCTTTCCTTTAATTTTATTTAATTCTTCAGTTAAAAAGTCAATTTCTGATTCTAAAACAGAAACTTGAGTCTGAGCGGCTTTGAAACGATCAGTTGCTTCTTCTAATGACTGTTTGAGAACATTTTCTTGAGCTTGAAGATTAATTTTTTCAGATTTTGCTCTTTCAAGTTCATTTTGAGCAACACCTACAGAATACTTAAGTTCTAGTATTTGGTCGTTCTGTTGGTCGATCTTTTTTTGAGCTTCATCACTGACTTTTTTAGCTCTAAGTAACATTTTCTGTTGATTTATTTCAACAAGTAATTTATCTGATTTCATTTTATTTGCTTCGATTTCTCCTTCAAGTGTTTCTATCAAATTCACTTTAACTTTATAATCATCTAATATATCTCGAAGTTCTTTGGATTTTGTAAGTAATTGTCGAAGTTCTGCTGCCAATTGCTGAGTTTTAGCTCTTTGTGCATCAACTTTTTCATGTTGGGCGACTGATTCTCTTAATTTCATTTGGGATGAAATGGAAAGTTGTTCAGATTCTGAAAGCAGTTCTCGCTTTTTAACCGCCCAAATATTAATTTCCTTTTCAAGGTCTCTTTGAAGGTTCATAATGTAGAGTTTATGTTTCATTGCATTATCTGACACAATTTGAGCTACTTCGTATGGTGCTTTTTCAAGAATATCCGTAATTTCTTTCTGAACTTTCGCTTTTTCTTCATTTAATGAAGCAACTGACTGTTTGGTACGCGATAATAATAATTCTGTTGATTCTAGCTGATGAATTATTTCTGCCGGTGATAAATTTGCATTATTACTCCTAATTCGACCTTCAATGGGAGTGATAATAACAGGTTGTCCCCATTCTGCGGGCATATTTCTTTTAGCTATTTGATTAAGCCTATCGCGAAGAGTAGCTTGTTCCTCTAAAGCTTCAACTAGCGCTTGATGGGCCTCTCTGTAGGCTGCTTCTTCATCATCGATAGGTTGATACGGGGGTATTTCCCCCATCCACTTAGATTTTATGCTTCAATTCGGGCAAATTTCTGCATCGATAAATCACAGATATTATTAATAATATAATTTTTAATATTTTACAGGTAAGAGTTTAATCTCGTTATTTCAGAGATGATCGTAGTCACTTTTTCCAAAAATTGACTTGAATATAGAACAAATAGCTAAACTAATAACAATCATAATTTTAAATTTTCTTCTCAAATTTTCTTCATTTTTTAAACGTTCACTTATGTCTGAGATTATTTTTCTTCAGATTGGACAATGCGGAAATCAAATTGGATGGGAGTTCTGGGAAAAGGCATTAAAAGAGCATAAAGATTATCACAAAAATGCACCTTACGACCTTTCATATAAATCATTTTTCGAAATTCGCGAAAGAGGATCATTTGAAAACATCAAAGATGTTAGAGCTCGAGCAGTTTTGATTGATTCAGAAACAAATGTTACAAAACAATTAGAAACATCTGCTATTAGAGATATATTTAGAGGATGTTCAATCAGCGTCGATGTTGGCGGCGCTGGTAACAACTGGGCTGTAGGTTACCATCAAAATGGTCACTTGCAGATTGACTCAGTTCTTGAGAAAATCAGAAAACTTGCAGAGCCTTGCAACCACCTTGAAAGCTTCTTCATGCTTTACTCCCTTGGTGGTGGTACAGGTTCTGGCTTCGGTTCCTACATCTTGGAACGTGTTGCTGAGGAATATCCACGCTTATGGAAGATGGCTACTGTTGTTACACCAACAGATGACGATCCGGCAGTTGTAACAGCTCCATACAACTCATTACTATCTTGCGCGCATCTTTGCAAGTATGCAAACTGCGTTTTCCCAGTTGAAAATGCTTCATTGCAAAGATTCGTTTCTGGCGCAGAGCCAAATACAAAAGGAGCTTTCAGTCAGATGAACTCTGTTGTTGCAAACTTCCTTCTTGATCTTACAGCAGGTTCTCGTTTCTCCGGAAAAATGAACGTCGATCTTTCCGAAATTGAAACAAATATGGTTCCATTTCCACACCATAAATTCCTTGTTGGCGGCATTTCCCCTATTTATCCAAAGAATCCACCGAGATCTGAAAAATCATTTTTCTCAGAAGCGATGTCAAACAAAGCTACATTGTGCGACATTGACCACTCACAAGGTACATATCTTAGTACTGCCCTCTTAATCAGAGGAAATATCTCTGAGTCAAGTGTTCAACAAAACACAACTCAGTTGGCCGAAAAAATGAAGTTCCCTAAGTGGAACACGGAGCATTGGAAGATCGGACTTTGTTCAACACCATCTTTGACATCTAAGATCTCTATCTGCTCTCTTTGCAACACTACATCCATTACAGGAATGTTCGACACGATTCTTGGAAGATACACAAAACTTGCAAGTCGTGGCGCTTATATTCATTTGTTTAATGATAATGGTGTTGAAAGAGAGGATTTCGAAGAAGCTGCTGATCTCATAAACTTCGTTAGAGATGAGTATGATAGTGTTGCAACAGAGGATGATGTAATTCCACCTCGTCCAAAGATATTCGTTTGAAATCATTTTTTTTCTTTTGTTTGTATATATTGTTGTTTAAACTTTTAATATACTATTATTCAGAAAGCCTACTCTATTAACTTTAAGTAATGAAAAACAAAAAATCAAAGATGAATTTATAAAAATATATTTTAAATCATTGTCTATGAAAATTACTATAAAAATGTTAATGTCAAATCATAATCCATCAGGTTTTGAACCAAAATGACATTAGTGAAAATGAGTATTCTAATTTTATTAAAATTTGAGGAAGAAATAAGAGAATTCAAACGAATTCTTGATTTAAATACTTTTATGATCTTTGCTTCATTCTTATAATAGCATGGTCATTTAGGGATAGTTAAAAAAGAGAGTGATAATTTTTAAAAAATAATTTTTTACAAATTAGTAAAAGAAAAGAGGCTAAGTCTCTTGACAACGCCTTTTCGCATTAGTTGCAATATATTGATAATCGTAGTCTTAGATTTCAACTTGTGGTTTCTCGTTGTTGATGTCTTCTCTGTCGTCATCGAAGTCGAGAGATTCTGGCTTCTGTTCTGGGACTATGATCCAGAAGCAGAGGATAGCAGCGATGAAAGCGAATACGCATCCAGAGCCGAGGAGTGGTCCCTTCTTGCCCTTTGTTGCTGCGCCGATGCCTGAGCCGATGATCCAGTTAGCGAGTTGCTGGCCGACGACGACGAAGATGTTGAGGATGCCCATGAGTGTACCCATCTCTTCGTCCTTTGAGCACATGCCGACGATGGCGTATGGGACAGAGTTGAAGACAGAGCAAGCGATACCGAGTGGTGTGAGGAGTCCGAGTGCAGCCCACTTGTTGTGGATGAAGAAGATTGGGATGAGGCAGACACCTTCGATGATCTGAGAGAGAGCGTAAGAGAGCTTGAGTCCGATGCACTTGATGATCATATCCTGGACGAAAGACCAGACCATGACGAGGATTGAAGATACACCGATGATGATGAGACCGAAGCGGACGCCTTCATCGTAGTCGAGACCCCGGAGCTTGTAGATATCTGTTCCGACGTAGCTTGAGCACTCGTTGTTGAACTCTGTGTAACCCATCCATGAGAAGAAGTAGATGATAGCGATTCTCCATACTGGCTTTGGCATTGCCTTGAACTGTCTGAAGATTGCGATGAATGGGTTTGGTCTTTCGACGACATCTGTGAACTGTTCTTCGTGAGCTGTGAAGACTGTGATTGTTACACTGACTATGATGAAAACGATGCCGCAGATGATGACGAGCTGCTGGTAGTTGAGTGATGAGTACTTGGCGACGTTGAAACCACCGATGAAGTTAGAGAAAACCTGAGCGAGACCGAGGAGGACAGCAGCGATTGAGTTTCCGAGAACTTGCTGTGACTTTGGAATAAGGTCTCCGATGACTGTTCTTGCTGGTGCCTGGAGGAGGTTAACAGAAACGAAATCGAGGACGAGAGCAATGATGAGGAATGTGATACTCCATGGGCGTGGGTTTGAGCTGCTGATTCCCTTACCGATTTCTCTGCAGAAGTAGAGGAAGAGGAATCCGATGATTGATCCAACGGCACCTGTGATGATGAATGGTCTTCTTCTGCCGATCTTTGCGTGGAGAGCGTCACTGTAGTATCCGACGAGTGGTTGGCAGATGAAACCGGCAAGTGGGCCGATGAGGTAGATGAGTGATCTGTAGACTTGTGGGATGTTGATATCTTCTGAGTCCATGATTGGAGAGAGGAGACCGAAAACGACTGTGAATACAGTTTGGAAACCGAACATTGATGCACAAATACCGAAGATTCTCCAGATAGAAATTCTATCTCTCTTTGCGAGTGGAATCCAGCCGTTATTTCCTTCAGTCTTCTCGACTGTGTCCATGCTGTCATTATCGAATTGCTTGACATCTTGGCTAGTGTTAGCGTTTGCAGTTGGAGCCATGCTTTGCTAGACTGCTTTTCGAAAAATGAGCAATGTTTTCTCTTCTCAATTTATTTTCAATAAATTTCAATAAAGCTCTCAATTTTTTCTATAAATCACAATATTGTGAATACGGGGCGCCATCCATTTCATGACATCATCCATTATGATATACTATTCATTTAAATAGTTCGGGCATGCTATATTTGTTGATTTTGCACGATCTCAGTTGATTTCTCTCAATTCAGATGCTAATGACCGAATACATCTCAATAAAATATTCATTCGAAACATGCATTTGCGAAATGAAGCTGACATAATATATATCAACATTCATTTATGCTGATTTTGTTATTGGAATTTGAGAACTCATGGACTTTTCAGAAAAAATTGACCGATCACAGTTTTTCTTAATTATTAAGATGCATGTAGCTATTAAGTGCATATTACTCAAAGAAAAATATTTTTGAATGAGACTTCAAATATTTTTATACACATTATTTCACAAATAGGTATTACATATTATGTAGTATATAAATCCTGAAATACTCGGCGATCGGATACTATTCAATGAATACCAAATTTTAAACCTTCGACTAGATGGCAAATAATTGGCAAGTTAGACATACAAAACTATTATACTGATATATTTAACTGGATAGTACCAATTAAATAATTTTTTTAATATTTATTTTGAATAAATATTCAAGAATCAAAACAAATGCATTATTATATCTTAATATTTGCTTTCCAACCTAATTTTCGCTTTTCGTCTGGACCGTGCGTTCTTCCTATCTAGATTTTTATTTCAAAAATTAGAGTTTTGATGTTATCAATTATATATAACCTACTACGCATATATAAGCGAATAAATATGCTTTAGTGCGATCTAAACCAGCTTTCAAATTAGAAAGCAAAAACTTTTTGCAGAATTGATTTTGAACATCATTAATCTGCTAACTATCAAATACTACACTAGATCTATTAGAAAGAACGCAGATGTGAGGTCGAAAAGTGAGCTTTAACTAACATGACTTTTTTTTTCGATTGCTATCATAGTATGAACTAAAACACATATTGAAAGATTATGTACGGCTGCTAGCATTAATACTTCTTGTGTGTTAACAGCTCAGTGACTCCTCCACGAATCAGATTGATGCAATCAAAAATTATGGAGATAACTCAATTTTGAAAGATCTCACAAATTTGGCTAATATTCGTATCATGGCCAAATTCTTCAACTCATAGACATACCAATCATATTATTATCTATTCCACAGCCTATTCAAATCATAAAAATTAAAATTTTCAATGATTGAAAAACATTTTATTGACGAAATTTGAGCATTTGTATTTTTATCATCACAAAGAACAATATTTATTCTTCGTGTTCTTTAAAAAACGATCAAACACATTGATGATGTCGATCAATGGTAAATCACATTTGCAGCATGAATAATCAAATAGAGAGCTATTTTGAAATGAAAGTCAGATAATATGTCAAGAGTTCCAATTTATAATCATTGAAATAATTTTCAAGGAAAAATTAGTCATATTGTGTGATTGATAAATAAAAAGCAGTGTGAGATGATATGGATAATGCATGAATATTGGTCATGATACGAATATTAGCCAAATTTGTGAGATCTTTCAAAATTGAGTTATCTCCATAATTTTTGATTGCATCAATCTGATTCGTGGAGGAGTCACTGAGCTGTTAACACACAAGAAGTATTAATGCTAGCAGCCGTACATAATCTTTCAATATGTGTTTTAGTTCATACTATGATAGCAATCGAAAAAAAAAGTCATGTTAGTTAAAGCTCACTTTTCGACCTCACATCTGCGTTCTTTCTAATAGATCTAGTGTAGTATTTGATAGTTAGCAGATTAATGATGTTCAAAATCAATTCTGCAAAAAGTTTTTGCTTTCTAATTTGAAAGCTGGTTTAGATCGCACTAAAGCATATTTATTCGCTTATATATGCGTAGTAGGTTATATATAATTGATAACATCAAAACTCTAATTTTTGAAATAAAAATCTAGATAGGAAGAACGCACGGTCCAGACGAAAAGCGAAAATTAGGTTGGAAAGCAAATATTAAGATATAATAATGCATTTGTTTTGATTCTTGAATATTTATTCAAAATAAATATTAAAAAAATTATTTAATTGGTACTATCCAGTTAAATATATCAGTATAATAGTTTTGTATGTCTAACTTGCCAATTATTTGCCATCTAGTCGAAGGTTTAAAATTTGGTATTCATTGAATAGTATCCGATCGCCGAGTATTTCAGGATTTATATACTACATAATATGTAATACCTATTTGTGAAATAATGTGTATAAAAATATTTGAAGTCTCATTCAAAAATATTTTTCTTTGAGTAATATGCACTTAATAGCTACATGCATCTTAATAATTAAGAAAAACTGTGATCGGTCAATTTTTCTGAAAAGTCCATGAGTTCTCAAATTCCAATAACAAAATCAGCATAAATGAATGTTGATATATATTATGTCAGCTTCATTTCGCAAATGCATGTTTCGAATGAATATTTTATTGAGATGTATTCGGTCATTAGCATCTGAATTGAGAGAAATCAACTGAGATCGTGCAAAATCAACAAATATAGCATGCCCGAACTATTTAAATGAATAGTATATCATAATGGATGATGTCATGAAATGGATGGCGCCCCGTATTCACAATATTGTGATTTATAGAAAAAATTGAGAGCTTTATTGAAATTTATTGAAAATAAATTGAGAAGAGAAAACATTGCTCATTTTTCGAAAAGCAGTCTAGCAAAGCATGGCTCCAACTGCAAACGCTAACACTAGCCAAGATGTCAAGCAATTCGATAATGACAGCATGGACACAGTCGAGAAGACTGAAGGAAATAACGGCTGGATTCCACTCGCAAAGAGAGATAGAATTTCTATCTGGAGAATCTTCGGTATTTGTGCATCAATGTTCGGTTCCAAACTGTATTCACAGTCGTTTTCGGTCTCCTCTCTCCAATCATGGACTCAGAAGATATCAACATCCCACAAGTCTACAGATCACTCATCTACCTCATCGGCCCACTTGCCGGTTTCATCTGCCAACCACTCGTCGGATACTACAGTGACGCTCTCCACGCAAAGATCGGCAGAAGAAGACCATTCATCATCACAGGTGCCGTTGGATCAATCATCGGATTCCTCTTCCTCTACTTCTGCAGAGAAATCGGTAAGGGAATCAGCAGCTCAAACCCACGCCCATGGAGTATCACATTCCTCATCATTGCTCTCGTCCTCGATTTCGTTTCTGTTAACCTCCTCCAGGCACCAGCAAGAACAGTCATCGGAGACCTTATTCCAAAGTCACAGCAAGTTCTCGGAAACTCAATCGCTGCTGTCCTCCTCGGTCTCGCTCAGGTTTTCTCTAACTTCATCGGTGGTTTCAACGTCGCCAAGTACTCATCACTCAACTACCAGCAGCTCGTCATCATCTGCGGCATCGTTTTCATCATAGTCAGTGTAACAATCACAGTCTTCACAGCTCACGAAGAACAGTTCACAGATGTCGTCGAAAGACCAAACCCATTCATCGCAATCTTCAGACAGTTCAAGGCAATGCCAAAGCCAGTATGGAGAATCGCTATCATCTACTTCTTCTCATGGATGGGTTACACAGAGTTCAACAACGAGTGCTCAAGCTACGTCGGAACAGATATCTACAAGCTCCGGGGTCTCGACTACGATGAAGGCGTCCGCTTCGGTCTCATCATCATCGGTGTATCTTCAATCCTCGTCATGGTCTGGTCTTTCGTCCAGGATATGATCATCAAGTGCATCGGACTCAAGCTCTCTTACGCTCTCTCTCAGATCATCGAAGGTGTCTGCCTCATCCCAATCTTCTTCATCCACAACAAGTGGGCTGCACTCGGACTCCTCACACCACTCGGTATCGCTTGCTCTGTCTTCAACTCTGTCCCATACGCCATCGTCGGCATGTGCTCAAAGGACGAAGAGATGGGTACACTCATGGGCATCCTCAACATCTTCGTCGTCGTCGGCCAGCAACTCGCTAACTGGATCATCGGCTCAGGCATCGGCGCAGCAACAAAGGGCAAGAAGGGACCACTCCTCGGCTCTGGATGCGTATTCGCTTTCATCGCTGCTATCCTCTGCTTCTGGATCATAGTCCCAGAACAGAAGCCAGAATCTCTCGACTTCGATGACGACAGAGAAGACATCAACAACGAGAAACCACAAGTTGAAATCTAAGACTACGATTATCAATATATTGCAACTAATGCGAAAAGGCGTTGTCAAGAAACTTCGCCTCTTTTCTTTTACTAATTTGTAAAAAATTATTTTTTAAAAATTATCACTCTCTTTTTTAACTATCCCTAAATGACCATACTATTAAATGGACACCACAAAACATACTAATAATGACAAATCAAAATGCACTTGATTTCGATAAAGCACACATGAACTTGTACTATTAATTCAATTTCTAGTCAGTGTTGAGATTTATATAGACTAACAGAAAAATTCAATTTGCTGTGCTAAATAATAGCGACCTTGTGGATAGAATAGAAAACTTAACATTTAATGATGAAAATTTCATATTTAATGATGAAATCACCTTATATATATTGGATATCAATTTTAAAATATCTAAAAACGATCAAATATAACATAAATTTTCATTATTATTCAATGATTCCTAAAATCTTGAGTGATAAATTGGAACCAAATTCAATAGTAACAAACGATGGTTACCAATTTCCCAAAGATGAACTGAATAATGATCAGCTATTGGCTTATTTTTCCAATCTTGGGGATATTAACTTACTTGATTATCTAATAATTTACTTCAACAAAAATAGCTTTAATAACAACATCCAACTAATGAATTTACTCATGGAATTCATATTTTCATCTATTGATGCGCCACCTGAATTTCAAAATTTATTAACGACTTTATATATAGAGATATCAGAAGGTAATTCTATACTATCACAGTATCTAATAGATAACAATTATATCCAAAACTGCTGCCAATGCTTTCCATCTCATTTTTCTTTTATAATTTTACAAAATTTATGCGAATACTCCAAAGATATGGCGATGATTGCCATAGAAAATGGATTGGTGACACAATGCAGTGAATTATTTACTTCACATCCTATTCTTTACCTAGATATTATTTTATTTTTGGCTTCTTTCTCAAATTACTTTGACTTATATAGTAACTTATATCCAACATATACTACATTTGTCGATTTTGTTATGAATCCTGATTCTTATGAATTTTTACGTAAATTCGATAAAATAACATATAGTTTAGAAGTAATAAGCAAATTCTGCTATAATATTGACTTCTCGAAATACTTCTTTACCCATAGAAATATTACTACATTCATTTCATTTCTTAATCAGCATGAATTTACTACTTTTATGTATTTAGTTCAAATATCATTTTCTGAGACAAAATATAATACAACAAAAGTTGATGAATTTAAGGTTGTTCATAATTCTGGAATTTTGGCCAAATCTTTGAATATAAATTTGTTTAATTCAATTGTTGATGCCGCTTGCAAAGCAATATTAAGTTCAAGTGATGATTTACTAGTAGAATATTCAATTAAGGCATTAGAATCAATCTCATTATACCAAAACTCCGCTGATATCATTTTTGAGAATAATATCATTGAAAAATTACTTCAAATGCTTAATGAAGACACTAATTTTGAGACAAAAGCTTCAATCACAAATTTACTTTGCAATTTGATATATATTTCATTTGATTTAGCAAAGATCTTGAAAGATAATGGATTTTATGATTACATTGGCTCTGCCTTTGAAAATATTATTGTTCAATCAGGCAAACACATCTTAAATGCCCTGATAAAAAGCATTGAATATATTGAATTAGATAATTCATTTGAAGAATGTGTCAGAAATGGAAATATCATCAATACATTATCATTGATTGCATATGATGAAGAATATTCCGAAGTTGAAGATGAATTTGGAAATTTGTTATCAGAATTGTCTTCTACAGTACTAGATTTGTTGGATATACCAGATGACTAATATTAAAGCTAATTTAGCATCAAATAAACTATTTGAAACCGTTTCTTTCGATATTTTAATAACATCTTTATTTATTTTCAATGCTATTCAGTCCATGATTATATTTCTTTTTACTAATGGCTGTGCTTAAGTTATTTAGTTCATTTAATGAGTTTCAGAAAATTAAATTTATTTACTCAGAATATGCATTATTCTTATATATTTTTATGTTTGTTGTTATAAACACGTTTATTAATTACTCTATATTTTTTATATTTTTATAAAATGATTCCGCTTCGTCGCATTGCCACTGCGGCAAGTGGGATTGACTATTCTTCATCATTACTAATATCATCTAATGACAAATATTACGTGTATGGCAGTTCTTTTTGCCTCTATCTCTATGAAATTCCCGAAATGAAACAGACAGAATTTATTTGTCAAGGATATGACAAATTTAGAATGATCAGATTATCGCCTACAGAATATGATATCGCATTTATATTAAATGCATCCAAAAAGATGTATTTTTTCAACTTAATCACTCATCAAATTACAGATTATATAGGCAAAATTGAATATCCCATTACAGATATACAATACACATGCGATGGACTAGAGATAATTATCTCTTGCGCCACAATTTCAGTTTTTCATATCGTTAATACAAAAACTTTAGCGTCAGAAATTGTTCAAGTCACTGCAGGCATACCGAGAACATTCGCACCAATACCAGGACAACCAAATACTATCTTATATTCAGCTGAAGAAAAAGAAATTGATTTAATCGACTTAGAATCTCGCGAAGTTACGAAAACAAATGTTAGAGCTACACCCATGTGTATCAAGTTTGATCCTCTGAACAGTTCTAACTGCATGATTATTACCAGAAGCAAGAAATGGGGCTATGTTTTGATAAGCCAAACAATTCGTGTCATAACCATCTCAGAATGTCGCCACATCAAGATGCTCAGTGGAGATTGGATTCCTTCCATGCCAGGCCACATCATTACAGGCGATGGAAACTTCGGAATCATCTACATTTGGTCAGTTTCAAGTGGGAACTTAGTTTACCAACAATCTATTGGAGATTCACCGATTACTAACATCACAAGGATCTCAAACAAAGACATGGTTATTGCATTCGGTGATGGATCAATTGGAATATACGACTGTCTCTCTAAAACATACAAAAACAAAGTTCCAAGAGCACACACAAACACCATTTTTTCTGGTGCTTTTTTACCTTCAGATCCATCACTTTTTGCGAGTGTCAGTGCTGACAAAAGAATTTGTTTTTGGAAAATTCCGACACTAGAAGAAGTACAGTCAATCAGTCTTGAAGACTCTAAACACGCTTTGTTTTGCATTGGATTTTCAGAAGGTGGCGGATTTATCGCTGTTGGAGATTCAGAAGGAAATATTTATATCCACAATTTGAAACTCAACAAAATTGTCATGAAAGAGAAACTCCATAGTAAAGCTGTCATGGGAATAAGTTGGTCACCTTCAAATCCTTCAATCATTGCTACAAGTAGTGAAGATCACACTTGTAAAATTTATGATACAGTTAAAAGAGGTATTTTATTCCAAATAACTGTCAACGCAAAAATGAGAAGATGCAGATGGTCTCCCAATGGAAAAGCTATAGGAATAGCTTGTGCGAATGGTTCTGTTTATGTTAGACATGATGATGGCGTCTACACAAACGTAAAAGTTTCAGAAAGCAAAGTTTTTGATGTTTGTTGGTCAAAATTTGATCCAAATAAAATCGCCGCAATTGATGACGACGGAGGCGTCCATCTCATTGATTTAACAACAAGAACAAGTATATCAGCTAAAGAACACAAAGGACCAGTTCGTGCGATTGAGTTTACTTCCAATGGAGAAAACATTTTGATGACAGGAGGACATGACGGAATGATTTGTTTTTGGGATGGAAATAATTTGAATTTGATCAAAAGATATATTTGTCATTCAAGCCATATCTATGGTATTTTCACTCATCCACAGTTTCCTAGCTTAGCTATCTCTGTTTCAAGAGATTGCACTGTAAGATTGTGGTCTCTTGAACATCTATTTCCAAAGAACAAACTAAAAATGATGATTTCCGAACAAAATTTTGCTTGTAAAATTTCGCAAAAAGATGGATCAGAAAATATTGACAAACTTATAAGAAGGATGTCGAAAGAAAATACCAAAATCAACTTCAAAATTACTGATATCATTCATGTAAATGATATCATGAGGATACAAAAGAAACGTATCAATAAAATTTGTCAGAATTTGCCAACGAATTCAAGTGAAATTCAGAGACTTAAAAGTGCAAAGAAAGTCGCATTAGAAGCTGCAGATTTATCTCTTAAGTGTGGAAAATTAAAGAAATATTGCGAACTAATGTTTCTTTGTGGTGAATACGATGCTGCAATTGCTGTTGCTCCTTCTGTAAGTTATTCTTTTTGGAAGAGTTTAGTTTTGGCAAAATCAAAGTTATGCGAAGGAACAGAAGAAGAATCAGACTTGTTGATTATTGCTGGACAAACAGAAGATGCATTAGAATCTTTAATGAAACAAGGTTTGTTTTCAATTGCCATTTTGTTAGTTGCAGGAACTCGTGATTTTCAAAATCAGCCTTCTTCTGTTTCTGTTTTTAATCCTCCTGAAGATGATTTGATCTGTAAATACATATTGGATTCTACGGAAGAAGTCAATTTAACTTTGTATTCAGTTGTTTCCAAGATGGCAGCAAATTATACAAAAGAAGGAAAACCTTTACATGCAGCAGCAAGTTTTCTTTCAATTGGAGATGTCGATGGATGTGTAAACAAACTATTTATGTGTGGAGAATTGACATGGTGTTTGGAGATCTCGAAGATGGCAAAAAGAAAGTATGATTTTGTTGAAGAAACTGTTTTCAAGCTCTGCACATTAAATGGTCTTGGAAAAGAATACTTTTTAACTTTAGATCTTCATATGAAGAAGAAAATGGTTTCATTTTTGAACATAAAAAATGAAACAGAACTTGATGAATTATTCACGAAATGTGGAATGAAGACAAGCGAACAATTACTTGAGAGTTCAAGGAGTCTCAAAGGTTTGAGTTTGGCCAAAGTTAAAATGACTGCAGGAAAAATCGAAGAAGGCTTAGTTTTGCTTATAAATTTGGCAAAAAATTCCTTTTCAAATTACGATTTCAATACTTTGGAAGAAATTGCAGAACTAATAAAGAACTGTGGTACATCACTTGACACGAAAATGCCAATGTGGTATACAGCAGTTGCAATAGTTCATTACGTAGGCTTGTACAAAGCATTTTGGAATGGATTTTCAACTGTTTTAAGTTGTTTGCAGGATTCTTTTAAGTATTGTGCAACTCAATCAAATGAACAATGGCTAATAGAGCGTATTGAAGAGACTCGGCTTCTTTCTGTTATGGGAATGTCCATCAAAAGTGTCCCAACAGCAGAATTTTACGCAGAAGAATGGAATTTGAAAGAGAATGAAAATGTTAAAATTTCCATTCAAATTTCAAAGAGCGGAAATGTCACGGGAGGCAAAACAATGATTGTAGCCACTGCAGGTGTCATCCCTATTGATATTGATAAATCTCTACAATACTCAATTTGCACAGGAGAGCCAATAAAAGAAAATCCTTTCATTCTAGAAAACAACAGAGCGAGAATGACAATTTCTGAAGCTTTGATGTTGTTTTCAGTCTCACCATTCTCTCCATTGCCTACAATGAAGTACATTATACCATATTAATTATATTTTAATTATTTTTTTATTCTTATTTTGTTTGTATTTATATTAAATAGATTATTTGTTGTTAATTTACCTTTTGTTAAATCTTTGCATACTTATGTCTATTTGTTCAAAAATATAGTATGAGTATATTTATAAGCATGTTTAAGATTTTCAATCATGTATATTAAGGAAAGTAACAATCTATGGATATCCTATTAATAAAAGAATTAATTAATATTTCTATTTATCTTTTTCTGTATCTAGAAAGTAATTTTGGCAATTGTTGTTTGTTGGATCGAAAATTATTATTGCACCCTTTGGTAAGATCTAAAGGGATTCCTGACTCATTAATCATTTTCAGATATTCAATGGATGTGTTTTCAATAATAAGTGGACAGCGAATAGACTTGCATTCATTGAATGCAAACGGTTCAACTCTTTCAACACAGAGAGGGAAATTGATGTATTTAAGATTATCACAGTTGTTGAATGAAAATTTTTCAATCAATGAAACACTATTAGACATGATACTTATAGTTTCGATGTTGATACTTTGATTGAATGAATAGCTACAGATCACATGGCAGTCAATATTTATTTTTAAGTCAAGAGACTTACAAAGATGATAAATAAGATAATATTTTGAATCTGTTTTGTTGTATAGAGTATTAGACACACATTTGTATTGATCTGAAGAAAAGTTACTGATGTTAGAAAGAGACTCACAATTAGAAATTGAGTTGATTGACATTTTCTGTAATGAATTTGTTGTTGTGAAAATGATTGATTTGAGTTTGTTACAGTTATTGAATGCATAATCGGAAATGATTTTAACTGATGATGGGATATTAATACTTTCTAATGAAAAACAATTCTCAAATGATTGAACTCCAATCATCTCTGAATCTTCTCGAATATCAACATTCCTTAATTTAGTACATCCATGAAAACAGTCATCGGGAATATTATATATATTACTTATATCCTCTAAGATAATGCAACTTTCGAATGCATTATTCATAATTGTGATTACAGTGGTAGAAGGAAAGTTGATTGATTTTAATTTTGAACAGTTTCTAAAATCCGAATCCTCAATAATAGAAAGTTGCGAATTTTCTCCAAATTTTATTGTCTCAATTGTTGAATTTTCAAAGACTCTTGCACAGATTTTTGAAGTTGAATCAGGAATTGTGATTTGAGAGGTTTTGAATCCCCAAAACTCATATATAATTGTTTGTTCATAATCCATAATTAATGAATCTCTTGTTATAATGAGATTTGATTTGTTTAGATATGAAACTGTAATATTTGTTATTTTCATAATTGCTCTAGAAGAAAACAATGTTTTGTAAGTGAATGACATGGTTACATTTGGAGAACCATTAATGAAATGAATTGAGTTAACAATTATTGGTGAATTAGGGAAATTTATGAGCTCAAGTTTGTCACATCCATAAAACAAGGATTTCCGGATCTCATCTATTTGCGATAAAATTGTAACGTTTTTCAAATAAGGACAAAATAAGAATATGCTATTTCCAAAACTCTTCACAATTTCAGGAATGGTAACTGCGTTTAAATATGATTTTTCAAAGCAAGAACTTTCTATTGATGTTACAGAATTTGGAATTGTTATTGCATTAAATCGTGTAAATCCAAAACACGATTGTCCAAGAGTTGTAATATTATTATGAAGATAAATATTTCTTATATATGATTTGTAAAAGCAATGACTTCCTAATATTGAAACAAATATTGGAATAGTATTTTCAGTTGATTTCTTGATGATGAAATATAAAATACTTTTATTTGCAGAAAAAACACATCCATTTTCAATTATCAAGTTATTGTTTTTGGTATGTAGTGTTAAGCTTGTTAATTTTGCATCAGAAAATGCAAAACCATTGACTTCTGTAACTTTTTCTGGAATTTGAAATGATGTAATATTAGTTTCTGTAAATACATCAGGAGTTAAAGATGTTAAGTTTGAATCTTCTTCAAAAATAACATTCTCTAGTCGAACACATCCATTAAATGCGCCTTTTCCAATTATTTCAATAGATGCAGGGATTATTATATTCATTATCATCTTATTCAATTGAAAAGCATAATTATGAACTTCACGAAGTCCTCTTGGTAAAAGTATTTCGGTAACATTATAACACTTAGAAAAGGCATTAATTTCAATTGTTGTTAATTTGTTACAGGATGATAGATCAATACAAGTAAGATTTTCACATCCATCAAAACTAAAACTTTTTATAGTTGTTAAATTAGGATCATCCTCAAAAGAAAAGGATTGTAAAGATTTTAGGTTAGAAAAGCATTTTGATTGTATTATTTCGCAATGAGCCGATATCCTAAGATATGGTGATGAATCATCGACTTTATTAAGTACTTTTCCATCATTTATATAGCAACTTTTATCAATATCTTTGTAAATAAGGGCCACATGAAGAATCATCACATGTCATTTGTTATTCGGTAAAATGCATATGGTAACCAGTGGGGGAAAATCATGAAATAAAACGATTTTTGTCAAAAAATTCCGCATAAAATTCCAAAAAAAGACATGCATGAAACACGTATAAAATATCCAATAAGATAAATTGAAAAGTGACATTCATTTCCTCACAAAAAATATTGAGTAGTTTGCGAGCCGGACTTTTTATCTCACATTCTCCAAATTTGCGAGTCGGATTTTTGGTTCAGGTCTTGTATAGCTGAATTCCTTGTTATGTTAACAGCTAGTTTTAAGAATTTAGTATTCTGCTAAAAATTGATATTTCAATCTCTGAATTCCTCTTGAAAATGTGTGTCCACAATAGAATTAAGCATTGGAGTATTATCAAATTTTTGAAAAATATTTTTTTAGCTCGAAGTTTCTGCTTATAAAACTAAACTTAAACATGTATAAAATATCCTATATTCTAATAAAAAACTTCGAAATGCAGGATTGCTTGTCAAAGTTTGGTAATCTTTAAAATTCTTATGTATTTTCCTGGAATTACAGAATTGCGGTCAAAAAGAATCTCGTTTGGATAAAACAGACAGATTCGAAAAAAATATCAGCCATTTGTTTTAGAATCATCTAATGACCATATCCACAAAATTAGAAGCAAATCGGAATTGGGAATCTTAGTTTTACAACCTTTGTTTGGATAAGATTTAGTTTATAGATACTTTACAAATTGTAAACTAAAATTTGACAGGAATCTTCCAAAAGAGATTCAGAAATTAAAAATTTTCATGATTTTAATTCATTTTATTTTCGAATTTGAAAGTTGAAATAAAAATTATGAAAAATAGTCAGAATTGGTTTAATTTCGAAAAAGATTTTTCCCAATTTGGAACTTGCATAATAAAGAAAAGGTAAATAATTTGATTCCAAATAGTTGCAATCATAAATTAATTAAAATACATTTTCTTTACATATTTTTTTAAATCAAACAAAGCATTCTATTAATTTCTTCTTCATTCATCTCGAAATCAGTGATAAAATTCGTCCAAAAGTCTTCACTAATGCTATCCTGGCTGCTTGCTAGAACTTCAATTGGTGAATCTGAGTTTTCAGTAGTTGAATCCGGAGTTTTGACCTTTGTAAGCTGTTTGTGACGAATCTTAACTTGGTCTCCAGATCTATTCTTGAGGAATTTAGCGATAGCAGCCCATTTATTTCCATATATTTTATAATTGTCTAAAATAAGTTTGTCTTCTTCTGCAGTCCAATTATCTCTGCTTTGGCTAAGGAAACCCTTATAACGCTCAATAATAGATCTTCTTGAATGATTTGCACCGAGTTTTTTCTCAAGGACGTCCACAGCCCATTTGATATTGTTATCATGCTTCTTGACTTCTTTAATGATCTTCTCATCTTCTTCTTTGGAAAATCTGTGAATAACTCGCTTAAACATAAAAAATAATGAAGTGGAAGATTTTTACAATTATATCTCAAATTAACAAGATTATTCAAAAAATAAACATTTTGACAAGTTTGAATTTTTTTGTTTGGTATTTTTGTTAGATACTATGAGCGTGATTGATTCTCAGATAAATAATAATTGAATAATCTTCTCAATTACTGCCTTAATCGGTTTTATTTTAAATACAATTTCAGCTTTTTGATATAATTCAAAAAGTAAAGGGATCTTATATCATTTTCGAAATTCTAAATGTATGTGAATTCGATAAATATTGTTGATTGAATTTTATTCAAAAAGTCACTCCGTTGCTCAAAAAAAAATTATATCAGTATCTTAAAACATACTCAGGGATATACAAATTACAGTATAAAGTGATTTGTCAGACTCAGCGTCATTATTAAATTGTATGATCAAACGTTCATTTTTGACAACAGTATTCAGAAAAAATCAATTGCTAGAAAAGATTGATAGTCTTCATACATGTTTTATCTTATATTTGAAAATTTTAAAAATTGATAGGATATATTTTTCTCTTAAATATCAAAACAAAATTTGGATGTCATATATGCGAATTTTATTCTCAAATGCATTTGGTCAAGAACAGAAAAATTATTTTTCATATCATTTAAATTTTGTAACAAATTAAAATCATTAGTTTTAAATACAATATTGAACAGAAGATTCAATGTTAGTATTTCATTATAATAAATTATTTATGAATCAATTAAGTAATAATTGGGAACATTCTTGAAAATCATGGTAATGAGAAATGGTGTGAAAGAAAGGAACGCTGTGCCGATATAAAAATATATGTCAGCCAAAATATATTGATTTAAATTTTTTGCGATATTCCTATATGAAATCATATATTGGTCTGAGAAACAATTTATTACTTGCATTATTTGATAAACGCGATGATTTTTGTTTTTTAAATTAATTTTGTTGAAAATATTTACTTGTTTATTGAAATAAGAAATACTAAAAGATAATTTATCTTCAATTTAATGCAGCAGTACTATAATCATCTTTAAAAATATAGCAATAGGCAGAAAAATTTAGAGTGGGAAAACATTTTGGAAATTTCTATGTACTCACAATTTTTTTAAATAAAACTCGGCATCATTCTGAATACTTTTTAAGTGCTGCTCAAAAAGCAATAGAAAGATATTATGCTCTTATATAATAATGACAAATATTGTAAAAAGTGGAAAATCTTTTTTTTACCAAAAAATTTAGCAATTTCCACGATATTTTGAAATAATTATATGAGATAATCTTTTGTGTATAAATCTCTGATGCCAATCATATAATTTACGGGACTTTTCGATTCAAGATATCCTGCTCGTAATAAATTAAGAGATTATTCGGAGTAGACAGATATAACTTCGTTATTCTAGGTCTGCAAGTTGTAATAAAGTAGTAAGATTGGTCTCAATTTGATTTGAAAAGTGTAATTCCGAGAAAAAAGATCAAAGACGAAAAATAACTAAATAACCTAATGATTGTTTGTCTTGGCCTAATCATTATTTTGAATACTTTTTTATTTCCATTAACACGGACTATAAAGAGGAGTTTCTAATCGCCATTTTTTGATAGAAGACATACAATTAATTCTATGAAGTTCCCAAAAAGTTTTTTGAATACAATATCAAATTCAAAAACTATCCTTGGATTTTTTATAAAATCATGTGTTTTGATATTATTTCTATTGGAAAAGCAATTCTCCTTAGTGAGAGATTAAATCAGTTGATTAATTTAACTTTTGATATATTCATTTGCATATTGATAAATGATTTTGTGAATGAAGTTAGATAAGGTATATCATAACATAAAAAATCAATTCAGCAATTTAAATAAGAATAGAAAATAAATATTTATTTTATTTAGAGATCACCATAAATATGTCTAAAAGCCGTTGGATCATAAGGTGGATCTAATGATTTCATGTATTCCTGCATATTCTTTGTAAGATATTGACCAGTCTGGTCCAAACTATTTGGCAAACTCTTTCTAAACGTAACATAATCAAAGGAAAGCTGTTCATACATAACATAAGTTGCAATTAATGCTTCTGTCTTAACAGATTCCATCAATTTCTTGAAGAAATGAAAATCAAATTTCAATTTCTCGCAAATCGATGGCAAAGGTTGCAAACACTCCAAAACATTGTACATGAGTGTTCCTGGCTTGCAAACTTTGTAGGAATCAATCATTTTACTGATTTTATTAACAAGTTTCGGTTGGATTTCGGATGTTTTTTCTTCGACCAAAATACCTTTGATTGATTCCGTTTGTACTCGAGACATGAACTTCTTTATGGCAGCTGTGGCTTTGGAGTTTTGTGCCATTGTGCTATCAGCGCTCCTGATAATCGCCAAAAGGTAAAGTTCGCTTGCATTTGGAGATTTCTTGATAATGTCGTTAACTATGTTCTTCTGCTTATGAGCAGTATGTATTTTATTGAACTCTCCGGAATTTCTTCGCTGTTTCTTAGCTGTTGGCTTGATTTCAGGAGTTTCTTCGAAATCCAAAAAGAAAGTCGAGGCTTTTCCGGACGTTTCGATGCTCCTCGATACGACATTGTGGCCAAATGATGAATTGTTATTCGCTTTTCCTTCTAAGTTGAAGGCGGAAGTTGTCAAAATCGATTGTTGGGCCATGATGTTGGCTTCTGTCGAATTTATGTTGATGGAAAGACGCCTGAAGAAGCCAGAACTGCGTTGGCCGGGTCGCATCTTTGCTAAAGGAGATAAAGACTGGATTGGTTTCTCGATTTCTTCCTTTTTAGGCTCTTCAAAGAGGTATTGTGCAAAGTAATGTAACGCTTTGCTCAAAAGCATCGACGCTTCGTGTCCTGATGAACTGATTTGTCTAGAAATAAAAATTCTTCTGATATGGAACTCAAATGTTTGATCGTTGGTGTAACAATCGTCTACAAATGCCTTAAGAAGTGTTTCTTGCATATCATCTTTCAGCGGCGGTACGTTTTTACTGGAAATTTGATTGGATATAAGTTTTACAATATGCAATTTTTCAGTATCTGCGGCACACTTGATAGCTTTGTACAATCTGGATTGGTTTGCATCGAGGGTTATTCCGAATTTCTCTTGTGGTTCGAACATTAAATTGTATTTCACGGAATATCCTGGTTTTATGAAGTTGGAAGTATGAACTTCGCAACAGTCGATGACAAGAGAGTCCTTAAAAGCAGGATTCAAGTAAGTTGGCTTAATTAAAGCGTCAATATTTAAAATATCATGGTATTCTTTGACGATATCTTCAATAATAAAGAATTCCTTGCATGTCATCATTATAATTGCCTTGTTTTCAGTTTCATCAATTGCCATTGGCCACATGGGAGCGTAATTGCAATCATCTTTGAAGAAAACTTCAATAAGAAGTAAAGATTGAGGATGATCTGGATGTCCTGAAATGTAATCAAGGAATTCTATAACTGAATTAACGATAGATGTGTCGCTGTAACCAGCAGAATGTTCTTTGTATAAAATCTTGATGGCATCTCCATAAAAGTATTTCAGAAAAGCGCCTTTATCCTTGTCAATGACCAACCTGGCGATCTCAATATGGTTTATCGGCAGTTTTGTAATGGAATCTGAGATTGCTTTGATGAAACATGAAAAAATATTAGATAATTGTGTTTTGTTTCCATATTTGAGCATCTCCTGGTCATAAAGATACCAGAAAATATTGGCAAAACCCGAAATTGCCAAAAAATATGAAACTAAAAATGGTCCGTAGAAGTCTGGCTGGCAGTTATTTACCAAGTATGCCAAGAATTTGTAGGAAAGATCTGAAAATTCGATAAATTCGAAATGTAAGAAAAGATTTGGAAAAGTAATTCTGGCAAAATACTTGAGATTACTGTTATTTGTTTCGAAATACATTTTTACCATTTGGGCAAATTTCTCTGGGTTTCCTACAATCTTAGAAAACCAGTTTAAAATGACAGAATAGTAATTTGCAGTTCCTTTAGAAACATTTACCTTGCATCTCTCTTCTTTTGCCTTAACTAGCATAAATAAATCTAAATACGTCATCGACTTTGGGAGTTCGTCCCAATACTCTGTAAAATATCTTAATAATGACGTGGCAGGCTTTAATCTTTGAGTTTCTTTCTTCCAATTTGTGGCATCAATTATTTGCTTAAATATAATATCTGTGCATCCCCAGCTTTGATAAAAATACTCTTTTTCTGCAATTTCCTGGAGATTCATAAATTTATTATCTTGTATTTGACACTTACAAAAAATTGACTCTTTCAATTTTGTCAAAAACGACCCGATATGATCGGTAAAAAGAATTACACATTCAAATATTTTTGTCTAGTTATTTTCATTTCATGAAGAGCAATAGTTTCAAATAAGTGACATCGACAAATTTGCTTTTTATAACAAGGTTTGGAAACTAGAGTTCCCAATTTGGATTGTTTTCATTTGGGCCAAGGCAGTTCACTTCACTAAAAATAAAGTATTTTATCATCAGGTTTGTTAAATTGTGAAGAAGAAAAAGAAAATGAAATTACAGCATTTTAAAGAGCAAATCTTCCAAGATCTTCCGATAATTTGAAGATCTTCGAAGAACTACTCTGTAAGGTATTGTATTTGCGTCTATAATGATGTGTTACAGCTTTGTCGTGATTTTTGCAAAAACTCCTGATCTACAGGAAGGAGAGGCAATGATAACTGAAGCAACGCATTTTTAGCTTGAGCTGAGGAATTTGGGTTCATATTTTAAATTCGATTTATTTTGAATTTAGGAGAGAGAAAAACAAAATCTTTTGAACATATTTCATTAACATATAAGTTTCAAATAGTAAAAAATATTATAAAAAGATCATCTGATAGATTTATCTCAAAAAGATATACAGCAAAATTTGGATAAAAAACTATTCAAACTTGAACACGCGTGTTAATGGGTAATATAATTGCATTATAATGGATTATTTGCGGGAAATCCTAATTGTGATCAAATTCATAAGTTTTAATAAGTTTTCTGTCGGAATCCATAAGTATTTCTGTTTCAATTTTGAGAACAAATAATTATTCAAAAACTTTAAATAGTATCACCAAAAAGATAATGACGTTTCGTGTTTTTGAAGTCGAAAAAAAGATAGAATGGTATACAAGAATTCATTATTTCGTGACATATAATTCTAATAACAAAATTACTAGGGCAAGTAGATAGAGCAACAGTAGTGTTTGCCAATGCAAGTATGATTTGCAAAATGAAAATAAAACTAAAACGATCTGAACCATCAAAATCGAAAAAAATTACAAAAGGCTGGACAATCATAATAATTGCTTCTAACCAATATTTATATGGATTTGTAATTGAAAAATAAAACAAGTAATTGCTTAATAAGCAAACAACAATACTAGCATATTTAAGATTATTTATTTAAAGCATTTCCTATCGGATAAATGTGTTCTATGTATTTGCAGAGATGTTCGAGAATCCACACGTTAGACCATATGAGTGAGAAAATTGCTAATGACAAACATTTCACTGCGCCTGATAGACTTAACAACAAGTCATCGAATAAAATGTAGTAGAGACCAGTAACAAACGCATAAATCACGGCAAGTGGAGTTAAAACTAATGGCAAATTCAACAAATTTTTGTCTATGTCTATTGGATTTGAGTATCTATATGAATACTGAATTCTTGTTTGATGACAATTATATATTAATGGTTTTGTAGTTATGCTTTCGTTGAATTTCAAAATTAATTCTTATTTGATGAATTAAAAAATTGATATCCATTAAAGTCAACCAAATCCGGACCGCATATTACTTTAAATTTAGGTGTTCTAACAAAAGAATTTTTATAAAGAAATATACCAGAAATATTAACTCCTGTAAAATTAATTTCTAAAATCCCACCTTTTGTGAATCAAAAAGATTCCAGTTCCGTCGTTTCATCTATTGAGAGAATGTTCATAATGAAAATATTTCTAAAGTGCATGATATATGTCCACAATGACAGCATTTTAAATTTTAAAATATTCATAAAAAACCGCTAATAATGATTGCTCTCTAATGAATAAAAGTTTCAAACAGTTATAAATACTATAGAAAGAAGATTTTCTTATTGATTTATATAAAAAAGAAATTGTAAATTTCAAGTTTGACAAATTTTCGAAAAACTGAATAAAAAAACAAATTAATTTTAGGAATTTATCGATTTTCATATGAAATTTTAAAATTGAGCAAAATTGGAAAAAGGCGGCAATCTTTTAATCTCTTGACAATTTTCAGTGTGCGGTTTTATTATGAAAGTTTCTTCTTCTTCAACAAGAGTACAATATATAGGTATTCCTTTCAGATCTGCGCGCTTTTGCAAATCAATAATTTTGCCGAAATATATTGGTGGAAAACTATCAGGTTTGACAGAGAATTTGTCGTATTCTCTAAATAGATTGCTAAAATTACCTTTCCAATAACGTTTATCTAAAAAAACTTTACTTCGATATTTGGTCCAGATAAGATTGATCCCATTTTGTATGCATTCTATGAAATCTTTCGTATATTTGTAGAGTTCTAAGACACAATCATTTAAATAATCTTTCACTAAAAACGAGCAATACCAAAGGTAATAGATTGGGTTGACATACTTTTCGTAGTTTGAAATCAATTCATCTGCTTTAATCTTGACGTCGTTAGAAACTGCTGCGATTGTTTTAGCACATTCTTCCTTTTCTTGATCGGTAAACAGTGTCATGTCGAAGTAAAGAAACATCTTTTGAATGAACTGACGACTCACGAGTTGGAGACGCGAAACAATATGGCCTGAGATAACGAAATTTATATGTTTGCATTGGATTGCAACTTCCCTTAGTTTAAATTCTGTTTGTCTGGTTTCAAATGGAGGATAAGATAAATAACTTAGTGTTTTTCTGAAGAATTCCTTCTTTTCTAGAGTAAATTTGTCAAAAGGTGGATCTATTATACGATATTGTGGGTGCACGAGAGAAAAAATCATTAAAAAAAATGAGGTGTCACTTTAAAAAAAATGTTCTCTTTTTTGAGCAAATTTCTGATTTTATAATTTATAATAAATTATAAAATGCAGTAACATTTATGACCAAAATTCCTTCAAAAAAAAGTTGTAATTCTCTAGCAAACGATTATTTATGATTCAAATGCTATTTGGTATTAAAAGCAAAAATAATCATATACTAGAGAATTACACTTTTCCGACATTTTTGGATCGTTTCGCGCCCCTGACAAATTGTCCGAAAAGTGTTAGTTTTCCTCTGAATTCAATACTTTACATTTTTCACACATGGACAATATTTCTTCTAAAATATATCATCTTTTGGCAATTGCAACATGTTTAGCGTATCAGGAGATTCCAATTTTACTCCATCAAAGTTCCTCAAGGATGTCAAAAAAATAAGGTTAACTTTTTTATATGGAACAAAAGAGTGATAATGAAATTAACACGCTCGAAGAAGTTCCACGCATATTTTTCGACTCATCAACGCCGGATGACTGTGTTCTTTCAATATTATCTGGACTTCCACCAGTTTTCGATGAAAAATTCGGAGAAGCATTAGATAAACAGATAAAAATAGCAGAAAGCTCAATAGGAATCGTCTCAGAAGAGTTAACAAAGCATGTATATGCCTCTCAGGATTCAATTTTTGATGCCACATCACGATTTCTTAAATTACAAGAACAAGTCGAAAATTCTACACGTTACATTTCATCAATACGTAGTGAAATCACATCAGTACGTGAAAATACGCTTGATCCAATGATAAATGTATATACTCACATTCGAAATCTTAAAAGATATAATAAAAATTCGAAAGTTGTTCATTTTACTAAATGTTTGTTACTAATAGACGAAATATTACATTCTAGACAATTCATTACAGCATCATACAACTATGAATGCATTAAAAATATTTTAAATCAAGATGATTTAAGTTATTCACCAGAAATTTATGATAAATTCTACGCAATTGGATTTCCTGATTTCCCAACTGATGTTTGTGGGGAATCAGATCCTCTAAAAATTGGCGAATTGAAAAAAATCGGTTGCATATCAGAAATTCTTGAATCAATACAACAATTTCCATCTAACCTAGAAACAATACTTACAAAGGAGCTTCAAGAATTATCCGAAACCTTCGACGAACAAAAATATTCCGAAGTTATTGCTTCATATCTCTTTATCAGTGAATCACCACCAATTGCAAAGATGCTTGTTAACATCTACACCAAATTACTTCACGATCGAGCCTACGCATACTTCGAAGCTTCGAGTAATGACATTGATACATTATTTAGGTTTATGGATACGAACTGCGCCCTTCTTAAAAAATTCCAGACATTCATACAGTTCCATTCTGATAACAGTCAGATCACAGATATCATTGATAAAATAAATCCGGATTATATTATCCCAAAAATTGATGGAGAACGCTTTGATAATATCCTATCATCAATTCTTACAGGTTTCCATGATAATTTCAACCATTTTTATTCGGCTGCTGAGTCTTCTGTCCTTCAATTTTTATCTCGTATTAATTGTAAGTCATTGGATGCTCTTTCCTTCATCAAACTTGTCCGAGGCCTCAAGGAATTCACATCCATACTTACCTGCGAAGGAATCCAAGACTGGCTCCAAATAACTTCTTCCGAATATCTCCAACGCTACACAAGTGCCTGTATCATGTCAACCAGGCAAGCAATAGCATCAGATAGTTGGGCACCTGTACCAATTGAGTCCGATTTCCTTCAACACGTTCAAACTGTTCCATGTGATGAGCAAATCTTCGAATTTCCAACAGATGAAGAGCCAACGAAGCGATATACATGTAGTAGTGCCATGCAATGTGTACGAATCATACATTCTTTGGTATGTTTGTCGGTTGAATTAAACAAGGAATCTTGTATTTCCTTGATTATCAACGTAAGTAGTACATACGTTGCTGGCATTATCAATACATTCTGTTCACCCTATCCTTTGCTCACTGTTTCCGATGGTTCCGTGTCATTTTCCCAGAAATTAACTCGAAGTTTTCAAAATTCTTTTGTTGAAAACCTCAAAACAACACTCAGATTGATCGGACACTTGTCGCTAACAGAGCAAAGACCAGTAGAGAGTGCAGAGTCCCACTTGATGCAGATGATTGTAGGAACAGAAGGTTTGAAACTCTTGAGTTGGTACTTGAAAGGAATTAAAAATTATTTGAATACAATTGAAAATGAAAAAGTGACAAAATTTTATGACATCACTGTTTTTCAATTGTTGAAACAATGCAGGCCTAACATCTCTGCATTCTGTGCAAGGAATTTCATGAATATCAAGCAGTTAAAGTATCAAATCATTGCTGCAGATTGGAATGTTCAAGAAATTACAATAGAATATCATGGTTTCGTTTCTATTTTGAAGAAATCGCTTGAAAACTTGTCTAAAACATTGTTATCATTCCAATTACCAAGAGATGTATCTGATGACATATGGAGAGGCACGTGGATGAGAATTTGCAATGTTCTAATTCACGCTTTTGGTTCTGTAAGAGTTTGCAACAGCAATGGAAGATCTCTGATGATTGGAGACACAAGAGCTGCTGCAACTATATTCACAAATATGACGAAACTAACAGATATTGATTACGTCGATGTTTTGGACTACATCAATGCTTTCTTCTTTAATTTGACTGAGTTTAGTTCTTGGTTGGAAAAAGCTTCTTTGAGATACAAATCTTCCTATTTAGTTAACTTGATAAGAACAGGGCTTAGCTGTAAACTGTCTTCAAAGGATATGAGAGACTTGCTAAGCAAAGTAGAAACACCTCCTAAATAAAAATATTATGTTTTTTTGTTTGAATAATTTATATAAATTTTTTTAAAAAAAGTTGTGCTTTTAAATCTTTTCTGACACACTTTAAATTGTTGCTTTCTATAATTATTTGCTTGGCAAATATAATATTATTAATCACCATTGGCAAGCTGATTTAATTGTTAAAGCTTTAAACTTACGAGGCAACAATATTCTTTGACAATTATTGTCGAAAAATTGAACAAAAGTGATAATTGTGAATATATTCAAATGATATTCTGGGAATTTAAAATTCACTACAAACTTTTTCTGAACAAATCTCAGAAAAATTACTGAGATGAATTGGAAAATAAATCACTTCAAATGTTTTGGATTGAATATTTTTATTCGGTTAAGAACCAAATATAAAATTTGAAATAATTGAAGTCAAATCTGGTTTATTATAGAGTTATTTTGTTTATCATGCGGGTGTAATAACATGAATATTTTATAATGTTTTAAAATAGTGTACTACACTAGCTCAAGTTATATCATGATATATAAAATGATTTTTTATTTCATGTGCTCACTAATGTATCGAATAATTTCAATGCTATCATTTTCGGCTGCATAATGTAGAGCTGACTTTTTATTGCTGTCAATTGCATTGATATCAATATTTGGAAGAGAACAAAGATATTTAACTACTTCACTGTTTTTAACAAGAACTGCATAATGAAGAGGTGTTTTCTCCTTTGCATCTTTGACTTTGATATCAATTCCTGGAAGAGAACATAAATATTTGATGACTTCTACATTTCTATTAAATGCTGCATAATGCATTGGAGTTGCTTGGCAATCATCTTTAGCATTTATATCTATACTTTGAAAAGATACAAAATATTTTGTAACTTCGACATCTTCATTTAATGCTGCATAATGAAGAAGTGTTTTCTGGAATCCATCGCGAGAATTGACATCTTCGTTAAGCTGAGTATATAAGCATTTAATTGATTCAAGACTATTGCTTGTACAGATATTTGAGAATATACTAAGTTGTCTGAATAGTTCCATGTTATTTTTACTCAAAATGTATTCAAAAAGTGAATATGGTCTTGCTTCTTCAGGTTCAGAATTTAAATAAAAAAGATTACTTTTTTCCGAATAATATGTGTATATATTAATGTATCCTTCTGTAACTGCATATTTTAATGTATATGTATCTCCATCTTTGCATGCTTTTGATAAAATTTTGAAAATTTGAAAAAAGTCATCACGATATAAAGAACATTTCATTAAATATTTAATATTTTTGCCAGTTTGGGCCGTGTGATCCTTGATGTAAGTTGTTGCATCACTTATGGCTTTGTTGTTTAAGAGTTTTGAAATAAAATTTAAAGCATCAAATGCTTTTTCTCCATTTTCGAATGTTTGTATCCTTGCATGCTGTGAAATAGCTATCACCTCAGAACTATTAAACTTTTTATTAATAATAGTAAATATTTGAATAAACTGATTTGTTGAAAATTTACAGCAATCAAAGATCTTGCAAAGATCTGCTGCAGTTCGGACATCATAAAACTCCACGTTATTGTACCATATATTTAAATCTCTTGCATAAGCTTCGTAATCAATATGAGTCATGAAAGTGGCTTTAGATTTTTTTTTTTGTAAAGCTGGGTATAATGAATTTCAACATTGATTTACCATGTTGATTGAACTCAATAGATCTAGTTAGGAAATACACTATAAAAACTAATTATCTCATTGGTTGACCATATCAAAGATTTTGGGTGCAATAAAATCCAAAATATCAATGAATTTATAACTTATTTATGATGTAAATCAATAATTGTCAATTAAAAAGAGAAAAGTATGGAACCGTGATTATCTCAATTTTCCTTCAAAAGTAAAAAATTTTCGTACCATATGTGCATAAATTAAAATTGATCCTCGATCTTGTGATTGATGAAATTACGTTATTTTTACATTTCAGCAAATCTCATTTTTCACAGAAAAAATTGAAAGAAGATTATACCTGTGTAATAAATGCCAATATGACTTATGTATGTTTTAACAATAATTTTACCAACTTTTGAATTTAAGCATTTGACAATGGTTATTTTTTAAGAATGTATTGAAATCCATTAAAGCATGTAGTTCGTTGTTATCAATTAAACGTTCATATAACATGATTTTTGAATGATAATTCAATTTCAACACATTGATTTTTCAAACATGCCGTTAAGATATTCCATTATTTAAATAAAGCAGTTATGTTTGCTTCATTTCTAATAATGCATTACAACCTTGGTGCAGAACAATTCCTATTCTCACAACTTACAAAAGATTCATCTGAATTCAATTTCTGGATTCCAGGGGAAGTTGCAGAACATTTTCTTGAAAGAGCTAAAAACCCATGCAAGATTTCTCAAGAATTGTTTAATAAATATGTCACTGCATCACCAGGATATAGATATCATATCAGGAAAGCCATTTTTTATTCCTATATGGGACTCAATTATGAAACTGATCGCAAGAATAAAAAGCAAATGGAACAACTCGAAGCATTCAATCAAGCAGTTGCCATGGTTGTTGCCAGACACATGACGGTAATCGATACCTTGGGTCATAAGTTTGCATACATAACGGATATTAATGACGTGAAGATGGTCGAAGGATGGAAAGATTTATTCGACATTATGGGTTCCGACTACAGCCATTTTAGAAAAGGAAAATTTCATAAACTCGGGGAAATACTTACTTCTATGTATGGGTGCCTCAACAGCGAAATAAGAGACGGAAAATATCCTGATACAGGACTTCAAATACCATCACCCCAAGAGTTCCTTGATTTCATGAATAATGAAAAAACCGAGCAAAAGCCACCTGATGAAGATACTTTATAAAGTTGTGGTAATATGTAGCTAGGGATACCCCTGCAATCATCAATTCAAAGGTTATTGCAACAGTAAATCCTTTTAATTTAATAGGAAAAGATTAAAAATTTTTATTTTAATGCGTTTTTCGTTCTCTGTTATGAAAATTTAAAATAGACAATATGGAAATACTTCCCAAATATGGTTTGGTCAGAATTAGATTGCATATAGTTAACTTGCTCCAATTATTCTTCATTTTCCAAAAATTAAAGAAAAAATCATCAATAAAAGCAATTTTATATGAGAGTTATAACAAAGCCATGCATGTACTTTAATCTTAAATTATACTTAATATTGCTGCATGCTCCTTGATAGAATATTGCACACGAATTTAATATATTAAAGCTGTACGTTTGTGTACGTATGCAATTTGGCTTGATATCAAGATCTTCATTTATATCGTAAGTGCAATTATCGAGTACTAATGTTCCGGCATTGTATTTTTTCATTGAATTACCAATTAATATTGAATTTAAGATAACATTTGGGTCAGAATAATAGAATTTGATAATAAATTGATTTTTATTCGAAATTAGCTTGAGATAGTAGTATTTAATTTCGGTATTTGAATGTCCAAGAATAGATGAACATGTATTATTATTTAATGTCCAATATGTTGAATTACCCCCAACTGAAAGCTATCCAGAATGGAATAATGTGCAATCGGAACTTTTCGAATTGGATGAATTAACTTTAGAAAAATATGCTGGCGAAATATCTGTCAGAATGAAATAACTTGGTGATAAGCAGTTATGGAAGCTTATTTCATTGTAAATATGAGAATTAGATGGTTGATTTTGATTGAAAGTCGAAATGAATGTATCAAAATCTACTTTACAACTGCAACAAGATACATAATTCAAAGATGCATTGTTCCCATTGTGAATAATACATACGCCTCCGATCTGATGTCCTGTTTTACGATATGTATAATAATTTTGTTTATAGCAGTCTTCAAAACCGCAGTGGGAGACACGTAGATTAGAGTCAGTTCTTTCAATAAATATAACAGAACTTGTTCCTTTAAAATCAGAAAAGTGTGATTTACTAATCAACTAATTTGCCGTCATCTGACAAAGATTTTATAAAAATTCAAGATAAATTATCATGAAGTTTTTGAGCTTGTTGGTAAAGGTTTTGTTATTCTGACTCCGGTTTCAGTAATAGCACTTCTTCATTATAAAAAGTGACTTTGGGAAAATTTGTCTAACTATATCAATTGAAACACCCATCAGAATTTTGATAAGATTTAAAATCGAACCGATACAAAAACTATTAAAAAATATACTGTTAGCTGTTTGCTCTATATGTTCCAAAAATGTGATGATTATTTTTTGAATGCGACATAAAATTTTTATTCAATATAAAAAATGCTTCAACTTACATGCTCGTCTCTGCAAGATTTAACTTTTCAGTTTGATGGTGATTGTGTTCATATGACAGAAGATATTAATGAGCATACAATTAAATGTTTCAGTTTAGAAAAGATAACTGATAATTGGCAAGTTGTTCTATATACACGAGCATCTTACAATTATAACGTGTACTACATCGAGGGTGAAAACACATATAACTTAACGCACCAATACAGTAATCAACAAACTTACGGTTTTTCTAAGTCCAAGGGAATCATTGCAATCGAGAATTCATATCGAACACAACAATTTACTGTCTCATTATTTGGCTTTAATGTCAATGATGATGAGAAAATTGCAACAATTGTTTCACTTATAGAAAAAGACTCCTTCATAGTTCAAACAAGCCACTCATCGGATTTACAAAACAATTACAATCATTACAATTACCTTTCTATTGTTGATAAAGGTGATATTGTTATAAATTCGTTAGATTTAGATTCCGTGACACCATCTTTTAATAAATATGGTCAGACCTTTGACAAACAACCATTTTCTATGCAATTTGGAAAGATATATTAAGATATTGGTGTTTTCCGAGCTTCATTAATCTACAAATCAAACGAAACATCTGGTTTTCAATTCAAACGATATGGCCGTAACAACTATGGTTTGAGGATGCAGATGTTTCAAACCGAAAAGCAAACAATCTTTTATCCATCAAACCAAACACTTTGGCAAAAAATGCTTTCATTATGAATATGTACTCTATGCATTAGCTAGCTATTATGGATTATGCTTTTTATTATTTATTCCTATTGGAATTCTTGCAAAACGCCATCCAAACAGGTATTATAGGTCAGGAATATCTTGTAAGTGTTGCTATAAAAGCTGTACTCCAGAATATTCGGCGGCTGAAAAACATTACAAAGAGCATCCAACAACATGCATTTATTGCGTCATATGTTGTAGGAATCCGTGGGATTTGATGTATATGAACAAAAAGAGAGGAAATGGCGTTTCCATAGATCCGCCTTTCAAGATTTGTGCACTTCCAGTAATGTATGTTGTGATTTGAGGTGTATTTCTCTTGTTTGTTGAAATACATGTTCTTATTAGTTTATGTATTAAATGCGATGCCGAAGAAGCTAACTTTGAAGCAAATTATACTCCAGAAAGTGAAATCGCGGTTGCAAAGAGCCAAACACCAACATACACTGTGGATACAGAAAACATGTCTCAAAATCCTCTTGTTGATAACCCTTATCAGTAAATAATAAATTTATTTTTATTAAAAAAAAATAAAATTAAACTATATGGACCCAATTATTTTACATTGAAAATGATTTTACATCTCGATTTTACAAAATATTGGATTTTATTTTAAATATTAATTGCCAAATATCATCAAATCCTTTCAATTTCAAATGTTTTGATATCAATAACTCATGGCATCTTTGAAATGAATGATTTGCGTGTTTGGTGTCATATTTCAAAACAAAATCTCCTGCTTGCCAGAAAAATCAATATTTATTACACTCTTTATGTCATAAAAGGTTACGAATGATATTCACTTAATAACTACAATAAATTGTATCACATCATCACTTATAGTCTTGACATATCTGATCAACATCTTTTTTTCAAATTCCAAATTGTTTCTTCCAGAATACATTGGCAGGTCAAACGCCAAGGAAATGACTTTCTATGTCTTCTCAGTCATTGATTCGAACAAAATAATAAATTTGGGGACATTGATATATATATCAGGTCGAAATCATTGAGAATTGATATGTAATTGTCTTCTTGTAGCTATCTGAATCAGGTTATAGTTCAGAACCCAAAAGTTCTAGAAAAATAAAAATAATTAGTCTTTTATATTAGAGTAATAATAAAACCATACATATATTTGAATCCTAAGTTATACTTAATATTGCTGCATGCTCCTTTATAGATTATTACACAAGAATTTAAAATATTAATGCTGTAAGTTTGAACATATTTGCAATTCGGATTGATAATAAAATCTTCATTCGCATCGTAAATGCAATTATCAAGTGTAAATGTTCCAGGATTATATTGTTTCATTATATTACCAATTATTAATGAATTTGAAATGAAATGATTAAAAATTTGATTATCGTAATAAAAATACATGAAATATTGGTTTTTGTTTGATATTATATTGAGAAAATAGTAATTAATTAATATACATGAATAAATGAAAAAACTGCGAAATTTTGTGAAATTTAAAATAAAGAGTAAAAATGAAAATCATTATGGATTAAGTATTTAGCATCGCCTGATATTTTTAAGACCTATCTAGGTCAGGTAAGTGGGGCTTCCAGGCGCGTTGCGCCCTCTAGCCCCGAAGATGTTTAGTATAAATGAAGTTTTTATTCGGAAAATTGTTAGTCTTCTGGGTCGAAAACATTATATAATGTGTCACTTTTCACAAATTATATATGTTTTCATGTTTTGTCACTTTTCTGTCACTTTTCGGGTAAAAACATTTTTATTATTATATATAAATGAATTTTACAAAACCACCGTTACCGTTCTTTGGAAATAAGAGTAGATGTAAAGATATTATATTGAGAGAACTTAAGAAACTACCGAATGGTCTAACATTTGTAGATTTGTTCGGTGGAAGTTTCTATATATCCCATTTGTGCCATACAATATTCCCAGACTCAAAGATTATATGCAATGACTTCGACAACTATATGGACCGTCTCAAACATATTCCAGACACAAACAATATATTGAAAGAGTTAAAAGAAAAGATACCTATAGGTAAGATGGAACGTATACCATTAGATAAGAAAAATATTGTGAGAGAGGTTTTGAAAAAAGCAGAATATATAGACTGGGATAGTATATCTGCTAGACTATTATATAGTGGTGCTATAAGAGTTCATGACATTGAAACACTTATGTCAAAAGTTTTATATCTTAACTATACAAATGTTTTCAAAGAGAACATAGAAAAATATATTGAGGGTATAGAGTTTGTGAGATGTCATTGGACAGAGTTGTATGAAAAATATAAAGACAAGGAAAATGTTTTCTTTATAGTGGACCCGCCGTTCTATAACACATGGGATTTTCAATACCAAGTAGACTGGACTTTGAGAGACTCTTTAGAAACTTTAGACGTTATACATAACCATCCATGCTTTTACTTTACATCCGATAAAAGTGGTTTGGAAACCGTTATGAGATGGTTAGAGGACATACATGACTATGAGTTTAGATATGACAAGATAGAATATGAGAGAGGTCCTATAAACTGGAGAAAGTGTCATAACAAAGAAATTTTATTAGTAAGTAAATGTGGTTTGAAATCGGATTGTTAGTTTTAGGTTTTTTCCATTGTGTCATTTATTTATTTGACGTGGCAGAAAAGTACAGAGAATATGAAGATGAACCAATGCCTGCAAATGTTCAGTATATGTACTCGTAAGATATTTTTATCTAATATTAAATGGACGCACAGAACTTAGCGAATGCACAGCAACCTGGACAACCAAACCCAGAGAATATTCCAAATGAAGTTAGAATACAAACTGCAATGGCAAACTATGGTCAAGTGCCAACAGATGTACAAATGCAAACTGCCATGTCAAATGACGCTGCGTTAGGTTTGCCACCATGGTATGCAAATATGAGATGGAAAGAGTTTTATACAAACCCTGAAGTGGGATATAAACAACTTTATGCAGATGACGCGAACACAGGAGTTGACCCAGAATATGTTTTCTACCAGAGGAGAAACAGAATGTATGAGCTGCAGTTAAAGAATGCTATGGAACTCAACAGGAAACGTAAGAGACTAGGCGGACATTAGATTTTTACACGTAGTAAATGGGTTTCTTCAGTAGTATTGGAAACTTCTTCAGAAGAGTTGGAAGAGGTATATGGAATGGAATAAAATCTGTCGGAAGAGGAATTTGGAACGGAGTCAAAAATATTGGTAAAAGAGTAGGTCAGTTTGTTGGTATTATACCTAAAGACCCTGAACCAGAAGAACAAGCTCCTGTTATACAACAGCCTGAACCTGCACCACAGTCAAGTTGGCAACCAAATCCAACACCTCAACCGTATTAAAAAATTATATTTTTATCGTTCGATAGTAGTTGTATATGAAACTAAGTTCTAAGTAAAACGCATGGTATAATGGAATTATTCTTTTTCTTCCATCTGTAGTAAACCATACTTGAAAGTCTGAAATACTTCCACCTGGTGGTTCGTATAACTTTGTAGGTTTTTCGTAAAAGTCATTTGCCAAGCATAAGAAAGAGTTTTGGGCGCCAGAAAATGAAGCATGAACTATCACAGCATCTTGGTCGAAAACATCTTTAAATAAATATGGTTCATCTCTTGCATATCGACTGTAGATATTTGCTAAAGGAGGTTCAACTTTCTGATTTAACATTCTTTGCAAATAATACCATGACATTGCAGTGAATTCTGTATATATTTGTTCGTCTTTATTTGGATTGTCTTCGTAGATTTGAAATGACACTTGTGAATTTTGTTTGTCATATACAATTCTCACATAAAGTGTGCTATTGGTATTCGCATATTCATCAGCATATTTTGCATAACATGAATTTATTTTATCTTCTATATTTTTTAATGCAGTCTGTAGAGAAGATGAGAGGTCAACTTGTATTAGCTCAATTTCTTCCCACATTTTTCGTTGCCCTTCAGATGTATAATCTATATGAAACCTTACAATAAATGGAAAACTTTTATCTTCTACAGACACAAACTTCATTCTACGAAAGCCAATAGCTTTTGTGACAGATGGGTCTCTTAACCATCTTAATGGGTAGTCAAAACGATAGCCTTCATGCTTTACGGTATCTGTCTCAAACTTTTGACCGACATTAGTAAAAAGTTCATCTAATGGTTTAGTTGTAGCAACTCTAGAATTTTCTTTTTCTATTGGAAGCATATTTTATCTAGAATAAAAATGTCGAAAGATATTGCTTCCATAAGAGAAATACAACACAACCGACAACTCATTATGCAAGCTCTAAATAAGAACACAACAAACTTTTCAAACTATTCTAAGATATCTGAGTCATTGAAAGGGGGTGACTTAAAACTGACATTAAACCCTATAACAGATGAGTTTCTATTTCAAGACAAGAAGAACAATACTGTCTGTATAAATCCAACAAAAGGAACTTTAAACGAGAAACCTATAAATGAACTTCTTTTGAAAGCAGATGTTGACAACAAAGCTGACAAAGAATATGTAGACGATGCAATAGCAAAAGAAGAAGAAAGAGCTAACAATGCTTATGCAACAAAAGAATATACTCATCCTGAACTAGCAGACAAAACATATGTTGACAATAAAATGTCAAGTGAAGTGACAAGAGCTGAAAACGAATATTCTAAAAAGACTCATACACATTATATTAACCAAATACCAAGTCTTAAGGAAACATTAGAGACAAAAGCAGATAAGACTCATACACATTCTTATTCTGATATTACAAACTTACAAGAAACCTTAAACAGGAAAAGTGCCGTTGGACATACACATACCATTGCAAATATTACAAACTTACAAGAAACCTTAAACAGGAAAAGTGCCGTTGGACATACACATACCATTGCAAATATTACAAACTTACAAGAAACCTTAAACACTAAAGCAAATAAGACTCATACACATTCTATATCTGATATTACAAACTTACAAGAAACCTTAAACACTAAAGCAAATAAGACTCATACACATACAAGTTTTACAACTTTTACAGCAGATGATATTACACTAAACACAACCTTGCCAAGTAAAGGTCCAACAATACCACCGGCAACAAGTCTTGTAGATACTTTGATATCTAATGACAATAGTATTATGCATCTAAGACAGGAACTCAATGTGCTTAAACAAATTTTGCCGAATCTTATTTACCCGGGCTCATTATATGTTTCAATGAACTCTACCAGACCAGAAGTAGTACTTGGTTTTGGAACTTGGACTCAAATAGTCGACAGGTTTTTGTATTGTGCAAACTCTTCAAAGGAAAACAGGTGGAAGTAAAACGATTTCAGGTGCAAATTTACCTGCACACAGTCACTACATAGATTTAAGTACATCTCAAGCAGGTTGGCATAGTCATAGATATATTGGTTGGTCAGGAATGACAAAAGGTAAAGGATATGATGTTAAAGACGACGTTAAGTTTGCTATAAATGGTTACTGGAGTGACACTCAGGGAGATGGAAACCATACACATTTCGTTTCAGGATATACACAAACAACGGGACAAAGTAAAGACTACATGCCACCTTACATGACAGTTTACGCATGGTATAGAAATGCTTAGTCGTCATTTTCAACTTCTTTAGCATATTCGTCAGGAGTTGTCTTATATTTGTTAGGAACTGTCTTTGAAAGTATACCACCTTGAACTTTGACAAGTTTGAAACGAGGTCTGGCATAGTAGTTTTATCTTCTGCTTGCAGTGTGTACATTTTGCCATGTTTGCCTAAAACTTCATAATATTCTCTTGTATACTTTCTTCTATTTTTACGAACACGAATGTGAGTACCTGTCGGGTTCCCATTGTTGTCATAGTCAATAGTATTTTCATATGGGTCGCGTTTAGGTATTTCTATTTTTACTTTGTCACCTTTCTGAAGTTTGAAGCCGGCATTCTTTCTTGTTTGTCTCTTTTGACTAAATTATTAAATATATAGTCTTTCTCTAAGTCAGGGTTGTTTTTCATTTCTTCGGGGGAGTGGTTTCCCAAACCTTTTTGTTTACGGTTATTGTAAATATTTAAAACTTGTCTCATCTTTGCCATGGAGAAGTGTCTATATTTGTCGTCATATGACATTTCATTTGCTTCACCACCTTGTGGTTGGTTTAAGTCTCTTAACATTTTTATACAACCGTCAATGACACCAAGAGCAGAATGGTTTTGGTCGACAATGAAATATTGGTTTTCATTTTTTGAACGCAGATAGTTTTTTACATCATCTGATTTGAAAGAACTTTCACAGTCAGATGTCAGTTTTGTTGGATGGTATTTGTCAACGAATATTGTCAAAGCAGTTTTTACATCTAAAATATTTTTGGACCATAATGGTATGGCTTCACAGTATCTTTGTTTTGACCAACAAATATTAACCAGTATGGAGGTCCATCTGTTCTAACTCTCGGAATGTTTTCCAAGATATCCATAAACCAAGCATTTGGTGTTGAACTAAAGATTTTTATCATGAGTGCTTTCTTTGTCGCTTTAGAAACATAGGGGTCCTTGTTCGGATTCGTCATTTTTTACCCTATAAGAAATGGGTTTATTTGGCGCATTAGCAGGAGTTGCATCCAGATTTTTGCCCGCAGTGGGAACAATAGCCAGAGGTGCATTTGGAATTGGAAAGAAGATTTTGAGTACATTAGGTATACTTAAAGAGAAAGCACAACCTATTATACAAACTGTACAGAAAGGTTGGGATGTAGCACGAGATGCAACAAATCTTATTCCAAATCCTGAAACAAGAGGAAAAGTTCAAGGATGGATGGACAATGTAGGAAGACAAGCAGGAAACTATTATAACAAAGCAAATGACTACTATAACCAAACAGGACACTATATGGACCAAGGTGAAAGATTCTTTAACAGAGGATATAACCATGCACAACAGTGGGTAAACAATAACCAACCTCAACCGCCTCAAACGTGGGGAATGTAAATTTTTTTACTGAGATGAAATGAACAATGCAGTATCTCATACCGAAATGGCTCACTAAAAAAGTGACATTTTTGGCGCCAATAATTTGATTTTTCTGATTCTTTCTATTTAGATATATTTATTTAATATTCATATTCCTTTATATTGCCTCATATTATTTCCCATTTTTAATCATATTATACAAATCTTTAATAATTTTTAATGTTTTGAGCTTCAAAATCTGTTCTAACTATTTTCATTCATATATTAGAAAAAATAAAAAGTTTTTTAGAAATAAAAATTTTGTATGTAAAGTATTGAAATATTCTAGATGAGAAAAACATTCTCCAGAAGAGATTGATATTGATTGGCTTTGTGAAGCCATCACAAAATCAAATAATGGAGTTAAGTTAACTGATATTTGCGCGAAAGCTAAAATAAATCATGAAGGCAGAGTTATATATAATCATACTATCTTAAAGTATTCCTAGAAATTTCCAAAATTAACCGAAATATAACTGTACAGAATTACTATTTTCGAGATAAAATTCATATGGAAATACTAATTCATAACGCTTTATGTTATATAAAATTTAATTTATAAAAATTTCAAAATAAATCAAATTTAACACAATGAATATAACTGCAATCGAGGTTTTTGACGATTGATTCTTACGAGAAGTTTTCCAAACTTTGAGTTAATGTCTTGACATTAACTCAAAGTTTGGAAGTCTAATAAGGGGAATTGTAGGCTATGAGGTACTGATTATATATCAGTGCCTCATAGCCTGCAATTCCCATTAGAAATCGGAGAAATTTTGTCCGCATAACTTATGATGCGGACAAAGTTTCTCCCATTTCTACTTAGAATGAAAGGGCAAGAGGTATATAGGTACACTATATATCTCTTGCCCTTTCCTTCTTACCTAAAGACTTCCAATCTTATTTTTTTTCCAATTTTTCCCCTAAATTTAAATCTTATATAATATAAATAAAATGCATAATATCAATCACAAAAATTAATGTTTATTTTTTTAATTAAAATTGCCGCGCAATTTAAGGTTGCCTGTCACTTTTTTGTTAGCCATTTCGGTACGAAACAAAATGAACAATGCAGCATTGAGACAAATGAGTTCAAGATGGATTTGTCGGCTTCCAGCATTTACACCACGTGTTTGTAAAGTTCTTCCTATACCTCAGGAAGTTTTAGACCGACTTAAAAAACCTAAACAACCAGTTGAAAACAAACCAAACTAAAATTTTTTACTGAGATGAAATGACCGAAGAAGTTGAAACGGTAGATTTGACACCACAAACAAAAAGTTCAGAACCATTGTCAAAACCTGTCAAAGAACTTACAGATGAAGAGAAAAATTCAATAATAGAAAGTGCCAGGTCTGGAAATACAAACCCTAACTATAAAGTCACTTTTCATAGAAATGGAACGGCTAGTATCTCAAAAAAGAAACAGACTCTCACAAATAAAATATTGAAGTCTGAAGGAGCTTTCGAGACAACAGATGGAAAAGTTTACTTCACTGACCAACAGTTCATTATAGAACATCTCATTGACTTAGAGTCGAAATATTCTAAACTTTACAACAAACACAAAAAGTTGAAAGGAAAACAAAAACAAATGGCATATATGATATTTATGAAGATGTTGACGACACAACTGTTCCTGCAAGTGAAGTAAAGTCAGAGGAACCGAAAAGTGACGAAAAACCGATAGAAGAAGAAAAACCAAAAACTGAAGATAAACCAAAACCAAAGTTTAGTTTCCAAACTAAACCAAGTCAACCTTCATTAGCTGGTATGGGTTGGCGTCAAAGACTTATGGCAGCAGGCGGTTATGTAAAGTAAAGAAAAAAACATTTTTTTATTTTTATAAAAATGCCCCCATATAGAATGGATAGAAAGTCTGCTAGAATAAAAGCAGAGTTACAAAGATATGGTTGGAGAGTTTCGAAGAATTTTAAATATAGGAAGGGAAGACCCATAAAAGTCTATGACAAATTGTCTGGTCTTCGCTACGAAATGGATTTGGAAACAGCACGTGCCAATTATCCAAACAGACTAGAGAGGTTAGAAGAAGAACGTCTTATGGACATGCCTTTCGATGTTAGTGAACCTCAAGTTGAAGGACACGACGGCTTTGCCAGATTCTACTGGAAACATGACGAACAATTGCATCCTTTGAGAAAAAAAGGAAAAGGTGAAGACGCACATGCTCCCATGGAAAGAACAAGATATGCATATGAAAAGTATCGTGAAGTTAGAAGTCAAATTACATCTGGTCGAACCTTTACAGTAAACTTTGACGAAGGAAAGAACAAAGAAGGCTTCATGGGAGTACTTGCTGCAATTCAAGACGGAAATAAGAAAGGACACAATCTCAGATTGACCATAACAGATTTGGATGGTCACATTTACTATGCACATGGCAATGAACAAACAGCCGCAAAACTTCTTGACGCTTTCAAGACTACAAAGAGAGAACAAATGGTTGACTCCGACTCAGACATTTTGAATGCAATTGAAGGAATTGCAAGTGTCAAGTTCGAATGGTACCAACCTAACCCTCAAGCAGTCAGACAACATGCTGGATACTTCCCCTTCATAAATAAGTCTGACATTGACTTGACAAGGTATGGAATTTACAATTCAATTGAAACAATTGTCAATGAACCTTGCATTCTTACATGTCTCAGGAACTCTGGTCTTGTTACAGATGAGAAGATGAAGTATCTTGAGTCATGTGTGAAGACAAGGTACATTCTCAGAGGTCAATTGGCAAAAATTGCACCGTTGGCAAATGTCAATATCCGAGTCAACATACCTACAGCTAAAGGTTCTTCACATGACGACTATGTTGTTGACAAAGACTTACCATGGTTGAAGATTGTAATTGTCCACAACCACTTCATGTTGAACGAAAGTCTTACAAACCCATTCTTTGGTAAAAGTAAGTGCAACATTGTCAGAGCTGTAAACATTCTTTTCGAGAAAGGTTTGTTGGAACCAATTCCAGATGATAAGCTGACAGAAACTTTTGTACCAAAAGACGAAACAAACTTTTCATTGTTAGCAAGACCAAAAGTTGTTCCAGACAAAGTTCTAGTACAAAAGAAGTACACAGTTCCACAAGGGGTTGGTATGTTCGGATACCAACCTGAACCAGAAGAACTTCCAATGAGGTTGCAAGAACTTCAAGATGCTATAAACAAACTTCCATTGAGACATCCAATTGACGTCAAATTGTATTGGAGAGCATCTGAGTTAGGTCAGAAGGTTTTATATGAAACAGGTTGCTTCGACGATGTTTATGAGATAACAGGAGAAGTTTCTCAGAAGATAAGAGACTCACTTGAATTTCCACAAACTGGACCAATTGGTTGCGACAAGTTCGACTCAGATGAAAAGATATACTATGTCGACCTTAACGCTGCATACATGAGGTTTGTCCAATATATTCCGACTGGAATTCCAAACGAAGATGGTGAGTTCCGGGAAGGAACTATACAGTTGGAAAAGTCATACAACAACTGTATGATATTAGGAAAGCTTCAAACCCCAAACTTGCAATGACACTCAAATTGCTTATGAATTCGACATGGGGATATTCCATTAAGAAACCTCAAGAGATGAAGAGTAAACATTATGAGAAGGTCGACAACTTTGTTGAAAGGTTTTCTCCTTTTGTTTTGAAGTACGAATTCACTCAAGGTCAAAGTGGCTTAGTAACCACATTAAAACCTATTGTCGAACATTGGTCTTACCCTCAGTTCGCAAAGGCAGTCCTTGACAACTACAACAAATTCTTCTCCGAAGTCAAATCCAAAGTCAAGGTTTACTATGAGAACATTGACGCACTCATGACGAACGAAGAAGGCTATAACAAACTCATTGAAATGGGTTTAGTCGGTGAGAAGATGGGTCAATTCAAATTGGACAAAATTTTCACCGAAGTTCATGTCCTCTCCAAGCGTAAGTACTGGGGTGTTAAAGAAGATGGTGAAATAGTTAAACATTGCATGAAATAAAAAATTTTTATTCGAATTTGAATTAAAATGTGGGAATTTTTGGGAATGGGAAAGGCTTATTTACTTGAGGAACAGGTAAAGGTGGTGGAGGTGGAGGTGGTGGCAACCAGTCCATTTTATATTCCTTCCTAGCTAATTTCCGTTTAATTTCATGGTCGCCCTCGGAGTCTTTGAATCGGACAGGTCGAGTTACACCATTCTTGGTCTCAAACTCATATATAACCTGTTTGTCTGTATTTTCGTCGACTATGGCACGAGACACGAACATTGACCAAACGGACAAAAAGTGTCATTTCGGATGGTCAAGCAGCCAATCGCATTCGAGCACTTCGAAGAAGCCTTACGTTCCAAGGGAGAGGGTGTCTGGTGCAAGGCAGAGGTCATGAGACTCTACGAGCAGTACATCCTCAATGCCTGGGAGGACAAATCGTCCTTGAATTGGCAATTCTACAACTCCTCTGGGACGACCTCCTACGCAACTGGGATAACGAAAGAGCCCAATTCAAAGGTCGGGAGCTAATTTTCCAAATTACCATTAATAGTGCCTACTTATCCAACTAAACACTTAAATTTACTTGGGGTTTCCCCTAAAATAATTTTTTTTACTCTTAGAACCACTCGAGGTTCTCCTTACGGTTGTTGAGCTTGTCACCGTCAATGTGTCTGACCTTCGTCTTCTTGCCTGGATTTGGAACCCATTGAATTGCGACAAGCTTGCCCATGGAGATTGAACCGCGATTCCGAAGGTTAAGGTTCAAGTGTCCCAAGTTGTTGAGGACTGGGGTAAGAACCTTGCCTGTCTCCTTGTTGCGGATTTGGTATGGTAGGGTTGGGAAATTTCGTAACCGTCATCGGCAACAAGGGTTGCCCATGTAGCGGCTTCAGGAACTTCTTCGTGTTTCTCTTCTTCCTCTTCTTCCTCTTCTTCCTCGACAATTCCTTCTTCAATTTGGTACTCACGAAGTATGGTGTTGCATGTTCTGTCCTTTCCGAGTACCTTCCAGATGGCGTCTATCTCTTCGAAGAAACGGTAGATGAGTCTGGCAAGGTCTCGGTTCTCTCTCTCGTAATTGCGCAAGGTTTCCGTGAAATCGTTCAGGCATTTCTCATTGGAAGCTTGGTTCATGAGGACATCGGCTTTGAGATTGGTCATCTCTGTCATAAGACTACTTTGGAGAGTCTTAATGGTGTTTGTCAGATGAGCTTTCAATTGGGCAATTTGAATTTGAACTGGGCGCTTGTCTGGCAACCTTGAAAGGACATCTGTTGTTGTGTTCGGCTTCGGTGCTTGTTCGGACATCGAAAAAATGAAGTGGTTTGAGAATGGCGGTTTTACTTCAAAAAGCTTGTTATGACAGTTATGTCATACAACAAGTTTAAAATAATATCTTGTTCTTCTTCTGAACGTTTGTTGTCTCTTCCGATAAAAGTTTCGAACATGAGAACCAAAAAACGTTTTTTGAGATTGCGGAAAGTTCAGGCAAACGTTCATATTCTGGATATGTTGGGAGCAGTTCAAAACATCTGAGCTGACTTTCGGACAAAATTGGGACAATGTCAGAAAATTCATCTTTGGTCGGACTGCCTTGAAGGTAAGTCCCTTACATGTAAGTAGCTCTGGTAAAGTCTTCTCATTTCTGCTAACTTCTGGAGTATAGCTTCGTAATTTAAGAGTTTTAATTTTAATTGTCTTATTCCTCTCTTGACATCTAAACGGTAAGTATCCATGAGGTCAAGAGTAGCTTTGGTAGCTTTAAGTGGAGCTATCTCTTCTTTGACTTGTGCAATTTTGGTTGCAATTGTGTTTGAGCTCCTTCAAGTTTCGCCGTCTATGTCGTTCTCAACACCTTCAACCATAGCTTGAAACTCTTCATCGGTCCATTGAGTTTGGTGTGGACGAATTTAACTTGCTTCATTCAAAAAATGAAAAAAAAATGTTTTTACTCTAAACATGCCATGTATATGGCTATAAGAAACTTACCAGAAGGCTTCTTTTCACACGAGTCTCTGGTAACTTGAGAGTTCTGTTGGAGTTGGGTCTGGAATTTCAATTCTTGCCACCATAAACTGTGTATTGACCGAACTTGCATTTGCAGGAAGACCGGTCACTACAAGGTTCACAGTTGAAATAGTTGTACTCATACTTGGTGAGTACGAGTGTGAGTAAAAACATAAAAAAGTGAGTTAAAATGAGATGTTTACTGAACTGGCTGAATGTCGCCTTCACAGGTTATGTAGAACGGCTGACCAGAGAAGTGAAGGAGAGACTGAATTGCCAATTTCATATGGGGTAGGGGGTTCTCCTTGTTTGGTATTTTTATCCAAGGACGTTTGTTTAGGAACTTAACAAGAGCTTCTCTTTTGGCGTCCTTTATGCCATCGTAGGCTGTCCCGTCTGGTATTTGAATTGGAATTCCAGTCGAAGTCTCGAGCTGAAGTGTAGACCTTCCAGAAATAGTGGTGAACTTGACCTTGGGCTTCATTACCTTGCGCAAGTAGTCTTTTACGCAGTCGTTAATTTCAATTAGGTAAATTGCCTCGTCAAGTCTTTCTTGCATTCCAAGTTCTTCCATCCGACAGGAAAATATTTTCCCGACAAAGGGAAAAATTTTTCCTTCCGACAGGAAGAACTCTTCCAGTTGTCCGTCCGTAAACCATTCAAATTTTCGAAAATTGAGAACTTTTTGGTCGAACTTGAGAAAAAATTTTCCTTCCGACAGAAAAAGTTTTTCCTTCCGACAGGACACAAACGGATGACTGACGTTCCTCTTCCTGAATGCCTTCCAAAGCCAGAAGAACCGAAAGCTGCAGAACCACAACAGTCTCCTCAGCAACCTCAGTTCCAGCAAGTACCTCCACCAAATTACTACCAATTTCCACCTCAAGGTTAATACCCACCACAAGGCTTCCCGAACTACCCTCCTCAGCCTATGCCTTACTTCCCCAACCCTTGGTTGTTCCAGCAAGCTCCACCCCAGCAATTCCAATTCCAATCTCAATCGAAGAGAGACCAAGACTTCGAAGAAGGTCTGAACCGTTTACGCAAAGATTATGCCACAGCTCCAATGGAAGATGACAGGCTTTCAGTCTCTTCCCTAAGGTCGACCAATTCGACTCGTACCACAGATTCGGTTCGTGACCGTGAAGACTACCTCAAGCAGTCTGAGAGACTCTTCATCTTACAGCCATTTACAACTGGAGCTCTCAAGAACATGCGCAATTACGAAGGTCAGACACCAGCTGGAGACCGCAAAACAGACGTGCTTACAAGAGCAGTCCAACTGGTCAAGACAAAGACTGAGATAGTCGACTTCATTCTTGCAGCTTGCCCTTACAAGTAAAAAAATAAACAATTACGAATTAAACTTTTTACTCTTTCTTTTCTGAGTTGTTTAGAGCTGGTTTCTCTTGTAGAAACCTTTCGTACTCTTCCATGGTCATGTAATTGCGAATTTGGTACGCAATTCCAGGTTCGTTGTTTTTGAACCTTATGTATGTAACGCTTCCATCCTCCTCAGGGAAGTAAGCTGCTAACATCTGACCAAGTTTTCTCGGTGACTCTGACCTCATTAAAAATGTCACTTTTTAAACGTTAAGTTTTTAGTCTTATTTTACCCTTTGTTTGTCAAGGTAGTATTGGAGCGCAATTTCTCCAAATTCTCTGTGTCGGAGTTCTTCAGCATTTTCCAAGGTGTACCTGGAGAACTCAAAGAAGTTGTCAAGAACATACTGCCATGCTGCTCTTCTGAGTTCGTCGGTATTTTGGAAGTGTTGCACCTTCGAGTCTTCGGACATGAAAAAATGACACTTTTTCTATTAAACCGTTTTGGCATTTCTCATGAGTGAGTATAGTTCTGCCGAACCATTGGAAGAGAAGAAGTACCCTTGCTGGCAAAAGACAAAAATAGTTGCCTTAGTTGTCATTGCAATTGTACTTGTAATTGAATTCATTGTACTTCTCTTCACGTACATAAAACTCAGCAATGGTATTTGCTTTAAGAAGCTACCATCTTACTAAGACTAAACACTTAGATTTTTCAAGCTTGACTTTTTACAATTTGAACTTTGTTTGCGTAGATATGAATTCTGAGTAAAATGGCATATGGCATGTGTCAAACCGTTGAGTTTTCACAAAATTTAAAAAATAACGTTTACCATGTGAAACGTTTATAAAATAACTGGGGTAGAAATGAGGTGAAAAAACAGGTGAAATCTCACCTCTTCACCTAAACATTATTTTTATTGAATTCAGCACAAAAATCATGAATTTCCTTAAGATAGAAAAAATAAAGTTAGTTTTATTTTTATTTATTTTTTTATTTTGTATGTAAAGACAGTAATGTCAACAACAGAGAACACAACAACAGTTATAGTCCATGAAGCTATAAATGAAGAATACGAGTACATACAGTTTAACAAACAACTCCGTCTCATTCGTTCGGTCAAAGACGATATGTACCAAATGCAAAGTATTTTGACAGCATGTTTTGCTCCAGATACTAAGCTTCCTAAAGACTGGTTTAGGAACCAAAGCACACAAGAACTTTTGAGCGAAGCACAGCGAGACATACTTTTTTCTGAAAACAGTGAAGAACAGCGAGTAGGTAAAAAACCCCAGTCGCCAAAACTCTATGAAAATCGTGAAAAATTGCCAAACGGTTTGAGAGGATATTATGTACATAGACTTCTTGTAAATGCTGTTGCAATGTGGGCTTCGCCTCGTTATGCTTGGTATATTTACAGACTTCTTGACGAAATTCATAGACAAGAACGTGAAGAGATGGAAAACAAGCTTGAAGCAAAAGACAAAAGCATTCAGAAAAGAATACTACGTTCGGTACCAAAAGGAAAGGAAAAGAACTATAAGTATATGATTTATACTGAAGAGATGGAAAATGAAGAAGATAAAGATATGGTTATGTTGCATTTAGTCAGAAGAAACAACAAAAGCTTTTACGACCTTGCTAAGATTTACAAATCTGACAGAAATTGGTTCTATCGCGAAAACTTACCGATTTCAATGACCCCAAATGAAGATGTGAAACAAATAGTTCAAGATACGTTACCTCAAACACACTATGATATGAAAGGTTGTACAATACTTACCTTCAAAGAAGACTTACCGCTACTGAAAGAAAAAATAACAGAGTATTTGACAACTTCAAACAAGCAGAGTAAATGAACTCTTTATTTTTATTGACTTTTTACAATTTGAACTTTGTTTGCGTAGATATGAATTCTGAAAGAAGTATGAGGGTCTTGTATGACTTTGTACTTTCTCCCATAGTTCATGTCTGTCAAACTTACCTGCTATGGACTCTTTCATAAGTTCCCATGAAATCGTCTTCGGACAATCCGGGGAAAGTATAATGTCAGTAAGTATTTCTCTTTACATCCTTACTTAAACTCTTGGCTGTCTGTACACATATTACGACTGAGATGTTAAAGTGTCTGAGCTTCTTAAGAATTCGACACATGTCTTGTTCTCTGTTCTTTACAAAAAGGATGAGAAGCAAAGTCATCTATGATAAGAAGACATCTATGAGGTAAGTCTTCCAATCGTAAGATTGCAATTTCTTCGAAATGTATTCTAATCTCCTTTCTGTTTGTTTCTGAAGTGTTTCTTCTCTAATATTCTCTGCATTTCCTCATTTGGGTCTTTAAAACTTAGAATTTATATACTCATTATAGCATTATACTTCAAAACTCTTCTTTGGTACTTCTTTATCCAATCTAACAACTCAGAGTCTTTTATACATACTAAACTTAACTTCTTTATAATATCTTTGAACGAATTGACGGTTTGGTCAAATTGACCAGAAGTACTACAAATAAAACAACTAACTCATAGAATGGGTTCTTCTCATCTAGTTCTTGTTGTTGTGCAGCCATTTTAAGATAAGTGAAAGTCTTACCCGACCCAGGTGGTGCAATTAGACCTGTTATACCATTCTGAGCAAATAAGAACTTTCCATGTATAGGCTTTATCTGAGCATTTTCTAACTTCCTCTTGTTCTTGTTTAAAACATTCTCAAATTTCTTGTCAATGTCAGCAAAACTTTTTTTTCTAACATATTTTTAGAAAAATTAAAAATTTTATCTTTTAGAAAATGTCTAGCGATTTTCGCTATCTATATTCGAGACAAGCTTTTTCGACAGCAAAACATCTGTCGACCATAAAATCTTACATAGTGTAAACAAGAAGGTGAATTTGTTCTAAAGTTCTGTTTCTGGGAATATGACAAGAACCATAAAACATTAAGCAGAGCAGTCTTAAAATTTGTCAATGACAGGACTTGTTGACAGAGATGACGCCGATTGGAAAGATGAAGTCCAAACAAAAAAGTTCTTAGAATGCAAAGAAGACACATGCGCTGTTCTTGAAGATGAAATAGAAAACAGAATAGATGAGCTATTAAAGGACAAAGAACTTTTACATAAATATGGTTGCGCCAAATTTGACATAAACTCCACCAGAAAAGAAGAAGAGAGAAAAGAAGAAAGAAGAGTAGAAGAAGAGAAGAAAGAACCTGAACCAGAGCCAGAGAAAAAGAAATTTGACATGTAAAAATAAAATTTTATTTTTAGAACATTTCTGGGTCAATGTCAATGTTCTCTTCCTCTTTAGGAGTAAACACTGGCTTAGACTCTAAAATCTTTTTACCCAATTTACCTTGAACTTCTACAACTTTAGACTCATAATATTCATAGTCGTCTGTCTTCTTTGGTTCATAAGGTATAACAAGTTTGTATGCTTTGCCTTCTTTAAGGTTTGAGAACCTTCTGTCAAAACTTTCTTTGACTGTTAACAAACCTTCTATGTCTAAGTCTTCAAATTTCGCACCATTTTTAGTCACAATAGCAAACTTAACTGGTTCGATGTTCCAAACTTTGCTGAATGAAGACTTTTCAAAATGGTAGAAGTAAACATTCAAATATGTGAATGGGTCTAGTTCTTCTTTAAGTCCTGACATGTACTTATTTACTGAGATGAATTTTGCCATCTTTTCTATCGGATAAAAAAATATTTTTTTTAAATTTACTCAGAAAAATTTTTCTTTGTATATACACCATTCTGAACATCAAAAAGACTTTTGACATTTGCCAAGAATGTTCGTTTAGAAGCTGCCATATAACCATATTCTTGACAATATTGTTTATATTCATCATATAAAGACGATAAAGGACGAACCCCTCTTGATTTTGCATTTATGAAGGAATCTCATGAAACAATAAAGATCCTTCTAAGATTCCATGCAAAGTTTTGTCTAATGATAGGCATTAATTATAAGAAAAAAATACAGGGAACAATTTCAGTTAAAATGAAATAATTCGGTGAGGTACAGTTATGGATACTGATTTCATTGTAAATATGAGAATTATATGATTTATTTTGATTGAACGTCGAAATGAATGTATCATAATCTACTTTGCAACTGCAACAAGAAACATAATTCAAAATTCTCAATTTGCCACTTTTTTGTATTGATTCGGCATGTATTTTTCTATTACAGGCTTTTTAAAGCCAATAAACTAACTTTTATCATTAAGAGTGGTAATGTTAATGCACTTTTATATTGATATTTGTTGATATAATTTTTACTATTAAAAAAAATTATTTTGGGGAAAAAGTGGAGAATTGAGAGAATTTTGATCGTCTTTTTTTACTTTATTTCCACTCTAAAATAACCCGATTCAAAGATGCATTATTCCCATTGTGAATAATGCATACTCCTCCGAACTTATGGCTATCTTTAACATATGTATAAAAAGATGATTTATAGCAATCATCAAAACTGCAATGGGAAACATGTAAATTAGAGTCGATTCTTTCAATAAATATAACAGAACTAATCCCTTTAAAATCGGAAAAGTGAGAATTACTAATCAATGAATTTCCTCAGAATTTGCCACAAAAAAAATCTGAGTCTCACTTATTGCAAACTTTACAACATTTTGCTCTCCTCATGCTGTGACTCATAGATTTTAAATAAATAGCTGAATTGAAAATAATTTTTCACATTCAATTATAATTACATATGTATTTCAATGAAATGTTCTTCTTGTAGTTATCAGATTCAAACAATATTTCATAATCTAATTTCTTAGAAAAATAGAAATAAAATTTACACTTTTCCGACTTTTTGTCAGGGGGCGAAGCGACCCAAAATTGTCGGAAAAGTGTAATTCTCAGGTATATGATTATTTTTGCCTTTAATGCAGATCAGCATTTAAATCAAAAATAATCGTTTGTCTGAGAATTATACTTTTATATCAGAGCAATAATAAAACTGTACATATATTTGGATCTAAAACAATAATTCTTAATGCTGCATGCACATTGATAGAAATTTAGGCATGAATATACAATATAAATACTATATGTTTGAGCAAGTTTGCAATTTGGATTAACATTAAAATCATCTTTTTTATCATAAATGCAATTATCAAGTGTTAAAGTTCCAGTGTTGAATATTCTCATATTATTCCCTAATATTATCGAATTCGAAATTATGTTGGAGCCTCTATTATAGAATTGAAAAATATATTGATTTTGGTTTGATAGTAATTTGAGAAAGTAGAAATCATTCTGTGTATTAGAGTGTCCAAGAAGGATAAAGCATGTATTGTTACTCAATGTCCAAAATGTTGAGTTACATCCTACTGATCCCCATCCGGAATGAAATAAAGTTCCAGCAGTACTTTTGGAGTTAGAAGAATTAATATTATAAAAATACGCTGGTGAAATATCTGTCAGAATGAAATAACTTGGTGATACGCAGTTATGGAAGCTAATTTCATTGTAAATATGAGAATTAGATGGTTGATTTTGATTGAACGTCGAAATGAAAGTATCATAATCTACTTTGCAACTGCAACAAGATATATAATTTAAAGATGCATTATTCCCATTGTGAATAATGCATACTCCTCCTATCTGATGGCCATCTTTTGGATAAGAATAATATGATTTTCTATAGCAGTCTTCAAATCCACAATGGAAAACACGTAAATTAGAGTCTGTTCTATCAATAAATATAACAGAATTTGTTCCTTTAAAATCAGCAAAGTGGGAATTACTGATCAATTATCTTCAGAATTTGACGATAAATACACATCAATTCAAATTTTGAAAAAAAAAATAACATATTTTGAGATTCTTCGATATTTTCAATAAATATTTTGCGCTTTTCGCGATGTAACTCATACTTTTGTGAAGTTACCGTATTCAAAATATATATCCTAACCCATAAAAACAGAAATCTAGATAATTATACTTTTATATGAGTGTAATAATAAAACTATACATATACTTAAATCTGAAAGAATAATTCATATTGCTGCATGCGCATTGATAAAAATTTGCACATGAATTTAAAATTTTTATACTATAAGTTTGAACGAGTACACAATTTGGATTCACTATAAGATCCTCATTTCCATCATAAATACAATTGTAAAGTGTTAATGTTCCAGTATTGATTTGCGTTATCTTATTATCAATTAATATTGAATTAAAAACGAAATATGAACCTCTCATATAGACCATGAAAAGGTATTGGTTTTTATTCGATATAACATTGAGAAAGTAATAATTAATTTGTAAATTATTGTGACCAAGTAGAGCAGAACATGTATTATTGGTCAGTGTCCAATATGTTGAGTTTCCTCCAACTGAACTCCATCCAGAATGAAATAGAGGGTGTTCGGTGCATATCGAACTTGAAGAATTACAATTAGAAAAATATGCAGGTGTAATGTCAGTTAAAATGAAATAACTTGATGATATGCAGTTATGTAAACTTATTTCATTGTAATTATGAGAATTAGATTGTTTATTTTGATTGAAAGTCGCAATGATACTCTGATAAACTACTTGGCAACTGCAACAAGAAACATAATTTAATGATGCATTGTTTCCATAGTGAATAATGCATACTCCTCCAATACGAAATCCATCTCTAGGATAAGAATAATAATAATAAGATTTATAACAGTCATCAAAACTGCAATGGGAAACAAGTAGATTGGAGTCAATTCTTTCAATAAATATAGCAGTACTAGTCCCTTTAAAATCAGAAAAATGTGAATTACTAATCAATTAAATTCCTAAACACCTGACAAAATATTTGCATTCAAATGTAAAATTTTGTCATTTTTTGCTTATCATTTCAATTTTCGAAGGCAAAAGTATCACATCAAAAAAAGTGAAAATATATTGAAAAAAAAATACATATGATTTTACAAAAATACAAAATAATTCTAACATTTATTTCTTTGAAACATTACGCCTTGGTGTTACAGGTTTTGCTATTCTTGCTCCAGTTGCAGTAGTAGCTCTTCTTGAAGAAGAAGATGAAGTACTGTGAACTGATAAATCACTAGCATCACTTGCATTGCTTCTAGCGCTTCCTTGTTGGCTATTTTTAGAAGCATTGGAATGTGTAGAAAGATTTGACTTTTTACTACCCTTTGATGCATTTGATGCCATTGATGTTGCAGATCGAACAGAGTTCTGGGATGTTCCAGATCTTGCTGAATTCTGAGAAATTCCGGATCTTGCTGAATTCTGTGAGGAAGCACCACTTCTTATTGATGAAGCTGATGATGCAGGTCTGGAGTTAAGATTTGGCATAGTTATATTAGCTTTTGATGATGTTGGTTGTTGCATTTGTCTCATCGTTATTCCTGCTTGAGATAATGCCAGTCTTAACTTTGGTTCCATTTCTCTGTTGTTCTCTGCTAAAGTTGTTAATTCGCTGACAACGCCATCAATTGTTGTCCTTGCGAGTTTAAGTTCTATATCCATTTCCAGCAATGTTGCAGGGTAATTTGCATCAGCTGGAATATTTTCTGTTTTTCTATGTGCCTCGCGTGCTTTTGTTAAAGCAATATTAGCACGCTTTAGTTTCTCTTTGAGTTCATTATTTTCTGAAGATGTTTTATCAACAAATGGTTTCATTTTCTGGATTTCATTCTGTAAATTAGAAATTTTATCTTGTTGTTGTTGATATGCTTGATCCATTGCTTCGTGCTCTTCTCTGCGACGTCTAACATCTGCACGACGAGCGTTCAAACGCTGCTGAGCAAGTTTCTTTTGTTCTTCCAATGTCTTCTTTCTTTCCATGTCAGCATCGTTTTGGTCAATGGTTTTGAATCCTTCTCTGTATTTGGTGTTTTGTCCATTGATTTTGTTCATTGCCTTTTCAAGAGCACGAAGTTCTTTAACTGCTTTTGTGACTTCAGCTTCTAATTCATCACCTTTTCTAGAGACTTCTTCTCTTTCTCTGGCGAATTTGATAATATTTGTGGCTTGAGAAGGTTCTTCTTCTCCTTCTTTTTGGTATTTGCCCATCATAACTTTGAATTTTGCTTGTAAAGTTTCACTTCTCTTCTTTCTTTCTGATAACTCTGTAATTGCAAGATGCCTTGCTTCTTCTTCTATCTTAAGTTCTGTTCTTAATGCTGAAAGATGTGCATCGATTTCAAGAACTCTTTCTTGCATAGAAAGTTGGAGTTGTTGACGCCTATTTTCGAGAGAAATAAGCTCATCACTTTTGGCGGCAACTTGATCTGAAAGTTTCTCGACTTGAAGCCTTAACATGTTGATTTGGACAAGAACTGTTTCTTTCTGGCTTCGAGCTCTTGCTGTACTTTTATCTAATGACTCTTGATCCAAACGCAATTCATTCAATTTAGTTTCAAGATCGAGTTTCTGTTTCTCGGCGTTTTCTTTTCTTCGAGCTGTTTGTCTTAAATCTAAATCTAATCTGTGTAATTGTTGACCAAGCATCTTTTCAACGGACATCTTCTGTGAAAGAGTTTCTTGAAGTTGGTCGATTTTAGCTTGCAATTCTATCTTTTCTTCTTCTGTTCTGTCGCCTTCTATTCTCGAAATCTTTCTCTCCATTTGCTGAATCTGGAAATTTGAGTTGTATTTGAGTTCTTCTTGTTTCTGTGTTTCTCTATCGAATTCTTGAATCTTAAGTTGCAAGTTCTTAGCACGGCTTTGACTTCCTTGCATTTCTGCAAGAAGATTCTTTTCTCTCTTACGTTCTTCGTAAACAGCCTGTGATAATTTGTAGATTTGACCTTTTTCCGCTTCGATTTTCTTCATCAAATCTTTCAATGTATCATTTTCTTTCTTGAGAAATTCGTTCATGACATTTGTTTGTTGTTGAAGTTCCTCGGTTGAGTCTTTTTGTGTGTATAATGCGTCTTTCGTGAGTTTAAGTCGTTGTAAATAAGCTTCTTTTTTCTGAACTTCTAATCCGGTTTTTCTTTTGAATTCTTCGATCTCTTCTCTGATGGCGCGTTCATTACTTTCGGCTTTATCAAGCGCATGTCGCTGAGTTTCGACAGTTTCGCTGAATTCGAGTAGATTTGCATTATCAATTTCGAATTGTTTATGTTTTTGAGTAACTTGATGATCACCAATTGTTAGACGACGATCTAAAGCTTTATTATCTTGCTCTGCTTTCTCCAAATTCTTTTTCTCTTCGCGAACATTATTTGATATTCTGTCTGTTTCTCCTTTTCTAGAGTCGTATGCTTCTGTAGTCTTTTCGATAGCGACATTAAGAGATTGAAGTTGTTGAAGCGTATTTTCCCATTGAGATAAAAGCTGATTTCTTTCATCGTGTAATTTTCTGAATTGTTCTGCTGTCATATCTAATTCAATTTGAAGAGCACGAGTTTGGGTCACTTCTGCCTCAAGTTCTGCTCTCTTTTGCTCAACAATACCTTGAGATTTTTCGATTTCTAACAACATATTACGAATTTTGCCTTCATCTTCACGCTGATAACGTTGAAGGACAAGGAAATCTTCTTCCTTATCTCTTGCGGCTTGAATCCATTGCTGTAATTGTTCTTCATTTGCAGCGTATTCTTCTTTGAATGCTTCTATTCTTTGTTGTGATTTAAAAATTTTAGATTGAACTTCGCTATTTTTAGCTTGAACCTTTGTTGTTTCATCTTCTAGTTTTCTAACTTCGCTAACAATTTTTCCGTATTCTCTTTCACTTAATTGCTGTAAATGTTGCTCTTCTGTTGCTTGAGCTTCTTTTGCTGTAAGTAATTCTTGTGTTGATTTAACTTCTGTTGTTACACTTTGTAAGTGCTCGTTAAGAACGTTTAATCTATCTTGTAAATCTGTGCATTCATTTTTAACTTTAGCTAATTCTTCGTTCTTTGCAAGGATCCTCTTATGTAGTGCCCTGTTTTCCTTATTTGCAAAGGCAAACAGCTCATCATAAAGGTTAGTATAAGGATCCATTCAAAGTACGTTTATTCAGAAAAAAATTTGAATTGATATGAAGGAACTGTGCTATAAAAACCTTTCTGGAAAAATTCAAAAACATCATTAAGTATGGAATCCGAATTACTACTATTTTTGCCTGTTTGGGTTAATTTGAATGATACAATTTAATGATATCATTAGTTTTAATGTCATATTTTCGAATTTCGACTTAATTTAACAAAGAATTAGAGACTTTATGAATGACATTTGTTTCTTCACTAATAGTTAATCTCTCAACTTTCGATGATTGAAGTCATAAAAATCTGTTCAATTCGCTGTAACAATATAATATTTTGGATGAATTAATTTGATACACAGAACTTAGGAAATAAGAATCAGTTTAATATTTGTTAATCAATTCATCTGATGTATATCTTCTAGATGAAGCATGCATCAATGTATTGCTGCTTTCAAAATAGTATGTCACTACTTTTCCAGCACATCGATCTCTATTTTTAGGCCCTCTTGATCTTAAAATAGAGTCAATAAAGGATTAGACAGTATTCTGATATTTAATTACCTGAATTTTTCATTTTCTTGATTGTTTCTTCGTTGCAAATCTCAAAATAAATTTTTTAGATCAATGAGGTGAAAACAATATCTTCTTTCGCAAGAGAAAAAATGAATCGTCGTCTATAATTTAAAGTTTTTATTGCTAAGAATTTGTTTGAAAATATCAATCCCAAGTTTTTAGAAACTAGTTTGAGTTGATTTGATCGATTTCATTGAAATGTTTTGCATTGGAAACATGAGAAGTCAAGGCATTCAATAAACTTCTCATGCTTGAAAACATCTTTACAAAATTTCGGTTTTGTAGGTAATTTTTTAATATATTAAGAACGGGACTCCGAATTGTAAATTCAGTGCTTGAATAGCTGCATTGCGGATGTGCAGTGAAACGTTCTTAAAATACTCTCTATATCCAAGAAATTACAAATATTGTTTAATATAAAAACACAAATGTGTTTATGATTGATTCATATGGAATGATAAACTAAATTCAACTCATATATAATTATAAAAATGTGAATGTTCTTTCCATTTGAATGTTTCCTTTGATCTAAACAATGTTTACAAGCATATTTCATCTGCATATGTTTGAAAGATAAGATCAAGATCAAATAAAATCCTTATCTAATCCTTGTTAAAAAAAATATAAAAACTGCTCTCCATTGGACTTTAGAGAAAGGCAACAATCAAAATTGTTAAATATCTCCATTACTTGATTAAATATATAAGTGGATGCAATAATCTAACCCGATATTCTCTAAAAAATTTGTTTTGCTCGAAATTAGAATTCAATTATTCTAGTTTTATCCGTAAATAATAGAGAGACTAGTGCTAAATAAAGGACAAGAACGGAAATAATATTGGAACTATGTGTAAATATTTACAGTTGGTTTTATGAAATGTTACAGTTGGATTGAAAAATCGATGAAATTTTCATAGGATTTCAAAAGTCCAAAGACAATGAAAACAGTAATGAATGGATGTCGTTAATGTGTATATCCTTATTTCGCAAACAATCATTCCGAAATCCTAAATATTGTTATTCCGCAAAAGATGCCAAACAAATAAAAGTAGTAAAGTTATACCTTTCATTATATTTATAATATATTTTATCAATTAAGGCGAACATGTGATTTAAAATCGCCAAATCATCAGAATTTGAATCGAAATCAAAATTATATCCTTTCATTCTTAGAACAAAATCCAACTGCGTAAATATTTACATTTAATGCCATTTTAACGTTATGGAAGCATTCACTTTAATGGGGAGAAGCTTCCTAAACTTTTTAATCCCATAAATATGGTCATTATCTGGAATAAAGAGTTAAGCGTCATATGTCACTTTTTGTACTAAGGAAACATCGACTTTATGCGTTATGACTTTTCGATGAGGAAACAAGTGTTCACGTATTATAAACTTCCTTATTCCAATAAACCGACTCTAAACATAATTAATTCTAAGCATGATAATGGTCTCTTTTCTATGATAACCAAATCAATTTGGTTATCATAGTAAAGCACCAAAAACTGGAATAGGAATAACCGCACTTAAACAGGAATAGGCAGTGTGGAAACTAGAGAAGACTCAACTGATTTTTTAAGCAACTCTTCTTGCCGATTCAAATCTGCTTTGCTAATCATTGTATATTACTATATTCTGATTAGGATACTTTAACGCTTGATGCATGCACATCATTCTTTTAGCTGATTTCTAAAATACAATCTTCTATTAACTTTGAAATTTCTTCAAAAGTTATAGTAATTCCATAGTTCATTCGTAAAATGTTATTAAATAGCTCTGACTATTCCTTTGCACGCAAAATGAGGTAGTATTTTTTGAATTTTTTACTCAAAATAAAACAAAATCTACCCAATTTTATACCACTAAAGCCTATATTGACACACACATATATAAATCTCTATTGTTATAAGATAAATTTGAAAAAATAAATTTTTTTCCTAAAATGTAAAATTATACTTGTATTCAAAGAAAGTAGATCGTTTATAAGGAAGGTATTATATATTTGGGGAGAAAATCCCTTACAATATACAAAAATATGAAAGAATATTCAATCATCAGGAAAGAGCTTAGTACTAACCATTTGTGAGACGTTCATATAATATCTTTTTCCTTTTTGGGGTTTTTAATCGGATTATCCATTTCCCTGCATTGACTTTAATTCATTCTTGATGATCTGAGTATACATGATCATTATCGAACGTTTGCCATACTCTTCCACAGTTAATGATTGCTGAAAAATGAATAGTACTGAATAACAGCTGGAATTTCATAAGTATTTTGCGTATTTATACTGATTTAAACATGAAATACTCATACAAAATGCAAAGTTTTTAAAAACAATCAATAAAAGATTTTAAATTAGATAAAATATCATATGTCACTTCTTTTTTCATCTGGATAATAAAATTGATAAATTTTTTTCTAATTAAAGATAAAGATGCATTTATAGTAGTAGAAAATTAATTTCTAGACTAACGCTTGTTTATTGTCACCGTTTTAAGTCTAAATTTATAGGAAATGGTTATTTTATTATGCATTAAAAGTTCTTCTATAAAATTAACATTAAAATCATCTTTCGCCTAAGAGTAATAACAAGGTTATGCAAATTTTATTGAAAATAGTACGAGAATTTTGTTTGAAAATATAATATGGTTAAAAATAGGGAATGGATGTATGAATGTTCCATATTTATTTTATCCGAGTTGCTTCATGATTCCATATTGCCGATTCCTATTCCAGTTTTTGGTGCTTTACTATGATAACCAAATTGATTTGGTTATCATAGAAAAGAGACCATTATCATGCTTAGAATTAATTATGTTTAGAGTCGGTTTATTGGAATAAGGAAGTTTATAATACGTGAACACTTGTTTCCTCATCGAAAAGTCATAACGCATAAAGTCGATGTTTCCTTAGTACAAAAAGTGACATATGACGCTTAACTCTTTATTCCAGATAATGACCATATTTATGGGATTAAAAAGTTTAGGAAGCTTCTCCCCAATTATTGATGAGAAATCCAAATCAAAATATATAATTATAGATTTAAATTTGAAAACAAATCATGTGGATATTATAATATGGATTTTATTAATAAATCTACATCATAATAACAATTCTGTTCAGTTTCCAACGATTGTTTTTTCAAAAATCCGAAATTTAGAAAATTACTTTTAGAACATGTTGAGGTTTGTTGTAAGTATGATTATTTAAAGGATAAAAATCAGAGTTTTCAAGTTGATTCGTTTTCTTTGTTGTCACTCTCAAAGTAATTTTTTGATATGATTAAGCTCGTTTAGTATAATTATCGAATATATTATCATTTGGGCTTTGATATAAAAAATCGATCATTCTTTCAATTCGGGCTTTCAAATTTCCGATATTAAGAATTTTTCATGATATAACAATTAAGAATTAAATAGTGAGAAACTGCTCAAAATAATTGAATACTTTACAAATTAACTGATAGTTAAAAATTTGACCGACCATGGGACTTTTCTTGATGAAATAGCATATTTGCTGTATACAGAATAGGATTTTGAAGGTGGCATAATTAATTTTTATGAAATAGTTTGATCAAATATCAACAAAAAGTTTAATCGCATTTATTGTAATTTTATAATATACATGAATAAATGAAAAAACTGCGAAATTTTGTGAAATTTAAAATAAAGAGTAAAAATGAAAATCATTATGGATTAAGTATTTAGCATCGCCTGATATTTTTAAGACCTATCTCAGGAAATGTAAGAATGGATAAAACTATCGCTTTCAAATCTTTCGCAAGTGGAAGTAATTTTCGCACTGAACGACTTAATCAGCTTTCTATATGATTATGTTGATATAGTCATATGAAGTATACAGAAATGGCTGCTATTTTTTGTACTAACAACATATTCAGAGCTAATTCCTTTAAAAAATTAGGAATTTTTGATGAGTACAATAACCAATTGAGAATATGATAAGATTCACAGTGAAAATGTATATTAAAGAATTTCAAATTGAGCATTAATTCAATATTAGCGCTTTTTCTGATAATGTCACGGGTCATTGGAAAAATATTCTTCTATATCATGAGATATGTTTATATATCATAAAATCGATTTTGATTTTAATATATAGAATTAGATACTCACAACTTTTCTGAGACAAACGCTAATTTCTTATCAAAGTTCACAAAAATCATCACGGTGTTCAGAAAAAATATAAAATGCACTAATATCCAGAATCTTGTGTCTAGCAATATTACAAATTTTTCATATTTGGCAAGATTTTTTAATTCAAATTATTCAATTTGTTTAAGATTATTATCAACATTTATATATATAAGGAATACAATAGTTTTTACCGATTTTCATCAACTTGTAATAATCCTCTCAAATTTCTAAATAAATTCAATAAAAAACCCAATCATTTCTCATAACTCCTAATTTTTAATAAAGTGATTGTGATAAGGCATGCAATCACATTTTCACTAATAACTCACAGTTTATCGATTTTGATTGAGCTAAAATCATTCCATTCAAAAAAATTCAATTAAAATTGGGGTATGATTTTATCATATATCCCTGATTATTTTTCACCCAATTTGTCCCAAGACTTTCAATTTTTGAATGGATTTCAAATTTTCAATGAAATTCATAAATCATTTTTCCTAAATGGGTAAAGGCCGCAAGATGTTCCGCAAGAAAGCTTCATGGATCACATACCGTGAAAGCGTCGGTGAAGCCTTCTACCAACTTAACCAAAAGAGTGAACTTGTTAACAAGACAACTCAATGCATTCCCATATGATACATTTATGGCAAGTGAGCCAGAATCAGACGGAAAGAAGCTCGACTACACATCCATGAACCCAATCGATGTTGAAATGTTCACTGATATATTTGGTGGATCAGCTTCCGATTTCAACATTGGAGTTCCAAAATATGTTAATGAAGACTCATACTCTGCAAAGGGAATGAACTTCTGGGTATCTGGCTTCGAAATAGAGCCATTACTCTTCTTATAATTGTTTTTTAGTATATAAACAATATTACGCATAGTAGTTCTATCTTAATTAGCCGACTATTTTTCTCAAATTTGTAGAAAATGACACTCTTTTAAATTTTGTCTTTCGATTGCATTTATTGTAATTAACAATAATTTAAATTGAACTTGAGCAAAAATCCAAGTCTAATTTAATGCAAATTCGATTACTCTTTATAATATTAAATAATCTGGTGAATTGGATCTATTTTCTTATGACAAAATGTTTCGGCTATTAATTTTGTGTTTTCTATGCATATTTAAAGAAATTAATTCCTAAAATATGATTATTAGTAAATATTTTTGAAGGATATGAATCTCCATGACATGTATATTTATGATCTTAAATACGGAAAATTCCACAGAAATAACTCTATTGGGGCTGCACGCCGATAATACCGAGACTTTTTTTCGAAAATGATGATGATTTTTCAGTAACGTCAATTGTTATTGACGATGTTACATATACACTCATCTCTTCATATTATATTGTAGGAGTTAAAACTCCTTTTAGAACATGTGCTGATGTTGAAAGTAAAGTTATAAATTGCACCCTTCAACGACAAATTAATGGACTCCCTGTTAGAAAAGTTTCTTCGTATGCTTTCCAGTTCCATAAAGCACTACAATCTGTTTATATTCCAAATACGATTAATGAATTGGGTTTTGATTGTTTCGGATACATCTCAACTTTGATTGATGTCCAATTTGAGGAAAATTTCGATCATGCTCTTATATTTAACCAAGGAGTTTTCGTTAATGCGACAAGTTTGAGAACAATTCAAATTCCAGCTACTTCAATTCTTAATTATCATTATGTGTTCTATCACACTCATTTAAATATGCTGTTTTTCTGTGGGATCAATGATATTGATAGCTTAACTTTTACAAATGAGCCAGATACTATTGTGCTGAATCGATACTACAAAGGTAATACATTTGGAGGAATATCTACAATCTCTAAGATATTAGTTTGTGATACTCATGTCTGCAAATCAAGAAATAATTATTGTATATATAGAACTAGTTTGGCATTTTCCTATATATATGTTTTTGTATTATTGTGATTATATTTTAAAAATTAAAACATTATATTTTGTTACTTTTTGAAAGATTCTTTTTTCATTAGAAGATTAATTTAAGCTATATCATGAAAAAATACATCGTATCGTATATTGATTTAGGAGGATTCTAATAACATATAATTATTCTGAGAAATTTCCACTGGATGTTTCTCACCTGTTTTTGATGGATAAATCTTCACATGATATGTTATGGTAATTCATTGAGCAAATTCAAAGTCTCTCCTATAACGTTATAAAGATATGAAAATATTCCTTGTCTTTCAACATAATGCATTAAAAAGTCATAATTATGCGTGAACTGAGTCAATAAATTGTAAGTGATCTTTTGATATGAGTGGGATAATATGTTTATTTTTTGCAGTATGAGCAACAAAGATCGACATATTGAGCAGTTCTTTTTTCCTTAAATATTCGTTATTTTTCAACTAAACATATATAAACAAAGCATTTATTTATAAAAAAAATGCAATTACAAAACAAAATTAAAAAGTTAAAGCTTAATTACAACAACTTTTCCTGTTGCGAGGACAATTACAGCGCAATCGTATTTCTTAACGTAATAAAAAGAAACAATTCTATGTTTTGAAATATAAATGGTTCTTTTCTCCATAGATAAAGCATCAATCAAAATAATTTCATTTCCATCAGTTACGACAGCAGCAGTTTCTCTTCCATTCCAATCAGTGAAACTGTACAACGAAGTCACAATTGAATTAATGAAAAGAGAATTAATCAAACTTCCTTCAATAGTAAATGAAGAAATTCTGAAAGATGATGAAGAACCATCATTATCTTTCGACAAAACAATGACGAAATTCAAATGTGGAGTCATAGTAATCATATCCGGAATTCCCTGCATAGAAATGGAATTCATTATTACTCCACTTGATGAAAGAATTTGGACATAATTCTTAGATCCAATCAAAACAAAACAACCATCAATGTTTGTGCATAAACTACTACAAATACTTGCACAATAATAAGGAATTCGACTGACAAGTTTTCCATCATATAAAAAGTCAACTTGTGACCCGGAAATCGAATAATCCCATTTCCTTTTCGGAAAAGAATTCGATCTTTCAATCAATGAATTTTCAAAATCAATCATATAAACTCTGTTTCCTGTGACAATGTTTATTGTCTTATATCCGTAAATTGACACACTTTTTGATGGATCAATTTTTATCCTTCCTTCAAAATGGTTTATTGGTTTAACCGCTAACGGTTTTGACAAAATTTTATATTCAAAGATTTGAGATGAATTTACAATTGAAATGAATTCATTAATATCTTTGAATTTGTTTGTTATTTGGAGCATTTCAGTCAAAGAAAGTAAATCTTTGTTTTTCGTGGAAAATGTCAGATTTCCTTTCTTGTTTACAAACGGTTTTTCAACGATACCTTGTGTTACTCTCAAATTCCATAATAATTCACAATTTGTCAAATAATTCGATGTCCATTTCGACATGATTTTGTCTATGAATTTTTCACATGTTTTTTCACTTAAATTAGGTATTCTTTGTGTCACTTTTTCTATCGTCTGACGATCAACGATTAATTTTAGAAAAGCACCATTTTTGAAACTTATTGTCACGAAGTCATTGAAGACTTTGAAAACAGTTATTAATTTAATGACGAAATTTTTGAAATAATTTTCATCATTTGTTATAGAAATAAAAGAATCATTCATATACAATTTCACAGATATCTTTTTGTTTTTCTCGTCAAGAACAAAAACATCACCGATAAAATCTGACGGTTTTCCTATCATCGTGCCATGTGAAGTCAATTTCTCTATTTCAGAAATTTTGTAAAATTCTTTGAAATTTTCAAAAGGAGCACCTATAAAAGTAACACTTTTCATTTTCTGGTTGAATTCGTTTTCATAAATAACAGTCTTAGAATTCTTGATCACTTCACTTAACGATAGATTTTGGAACTTTTGGATATGAGTAAATTTAAGGTTAGTTTGTGAAGTGACTTCCAAAACCTTAAATAATTCTTCTGGTTTCGAAATTGCTTTGGTTGATTCGTCCATGAAATAAACATCAACTTTTTTGATTTCTTCAGCTAAATTGTCATCAGAAGAAATCTGACTATTTTTGAAAAATGTCAGATCTTTTATCGAAATCAGATTTGCAACAAATTCTCTGACGTTTTCCGGCCGTGATTTGATGTCCCAGTTCGTTTTACAGAAAAAGTGTTTTTTTGACAATTTTCTGAACGATAAAATATTTTTAAAACCGTTTTCTAATTCTTCTTCAAGTAAACATTGGATAAACCTTGATCTGAAGTATTCAGGATTGATACCTATTGCGGATCCAACAACACCAATCATTTCAAAAATGAAAATCCAGTTATTATCATCTGTTGTTGACAAAATTTTCAACATTTGGTCGGAAGTTTCGAAATTTTCCGAGAAAACAGATAAACAAATCCAAACTAGTTTCTTCAGATCAGAAACTTCTTCTTTGATGTTCTTCTTATTAAGTAAAAGTGATAAAAATTGAAAAGATTTTTTGGATCTAAACAACAAATAAAAAACAGCCCAATATGAATTTGATGAATCCAAAATTTCCAAAAATTCTTTTTCAGTAACATCTCTTTCAACGACATCTACTAAAAGATTCAAGAACTGGTCATCGTTTAACTGGAAATCTTCTGAAAACAATGTGAAAATGGAGTATTCCGAAATGATCGAACTTTTCAATGAAAACAAAGTTCTTAAAATTGACAAAAATTCATCTTTTTGGAAGAATTCTTTGTCTATTTTCTTGATACCGTTAAATGTCATCAAAATAAGCTGTGTTTGGTATTTTTTAAATTCAGGTGAAGTCAAAAGTGACACAACTCCTTTCAAACAGTCCAAATCAAATTTAAGATTTGTACAAATGTCTGTGAATATCTGTACATGACTAGATAAATCTTTTTCTTTGAATTTTTCAACGGTTTTCGTCAAAGAATATAAAAATAATTTGAATTGGAAAATGGTCGGATAAAATAATAAATAAGGAGGTATCAAATATTTTTGCCAATGTTTCAAGACCGACAAAAGGTCATTCTCATCATTACAAAGTAGCCAGACATCAATATTCAACAAAAATGAAACAATCATTTGTTGTTTCAATTTTTCATTTGTCAAATTTTGAAGCACGTTATAAGTTTGCATGTAAACTACAGAATTTATCCAATTCTTGTTTGTCATGTTCTGGAGTATGATAGAAAACATCTCGAAACCTCTTATATTTGCGAAATGTTTCTGTGCTTGGCTTGACGACAAAACAATTTCATACAAACATTGTAAAGAAATCGTGAAACATTTGATGTCGTTTGTTTTGTCGCAAGCAATGAACATTGGAAGGAAAACACAGGTGTCAACATTCTTGGAAAGAACGGAAACGAAACTACTCGGTTTAGTTATGTTCTTGTTTGACTTTGTAAATGAATACAAAAGTCTGTTTTTGTAATTCGAAGCGTTTTCCATGCCTGTTCCAAAGATCTGTTGAATGTCTGGTTCGTTTAATGGTTCGAACAAAAGAATAGGACCTAATGACGCTGGACAACTATGGACATTTCGGGTTTTTGCAAAAGAAAAAGTGACTTTTCCTTTGACCGAATTTTCGGTAGAAATCATAATCGCCGGCATTGATTGTCCGTTGATGTTTATTGTAACGAAAATGGACTCCGCGTCTATGTAATATGTCAACGCGTAGAAATACCATGCCTGCGATTGAAATTTCTGCCTTGCAGCTTCGATTCCTGCTTTTAAGTTGGTTCCCCATGAAATAAATGGAAGTTTGCCGCTGAAAAACAGGTCAAATAGATGGCCATTCATATCTCGTGCCTTTAATATGCTTGGAAATGACGTTTCCGCTGAATCATCTAAAAATATCCAAGTAATAAAAGTGAATCCGGCCTGGATATTGTCAACAGTGTGGGTAATGGAGTGTTGCCCGTCTACTGGGATGTATGTTAATGGAGTTCTTTTGTCATCTTGCAATAATGTAAACAAAATGTTGGCATTTTGCATGAAAACATCGATATCTGGAGTTACCAATAAAGATAAGAACGAATAAACTACACTAGCTGATGACTTTTCGCTAGAAATTTTCATTAAAATTTCAACTCCTTTTTTCACATCGATAGACTTCTTTTTTATTGATTCTAAGATAGCTATATCCAATTCTGCGGTCCTGCAAGCAAGTCTGTTCCTCTGACTATGATTTACAAGCATCAAAATAAAATCTAAAGAATCATCCTTCATAACTTCGAACAAAATCCTTACCGCTGAGTTGCATTTGGTCACTATTGGTTGGTCTACTGCTAAAACTTCCTTTTGGGCCATTAAACTCGCAAATGCAACGAATAATCTCGATTTATCTTCAATAAAAATCCTGTTTGAAGTATTTATCAGCATTTCTGATGATTGTGGAGATATTTGAGCTATACTTTCTGTACTTCTTATGTAAGTTAAAATTTCCAAAAAATATTTTTTGCAAAATTCATTGTTTTTGAGGTAATTGAAGAGCGTTGTGAACTGTTTATACAACATAAATACGAAACTCTCCTTCTGTGGATAGAATCTCATATAAGTTATCGCTAATTTGATTAATAATGTTGCGAAATCTATTGTATCTTCATTTTCATAGTCTTTTATATTGGCTTCGAATATCTCTGATATGGTTTCGAACAGTTCATCATCGTCAATTCGACCTTTATCCTTCAAATATAATTTAAATGTTTCTAAAATGAAATCGTTAACGCCAAACCCTACTAATAACTCAAGCAATGTGGTCATAAACCTCTTGTTGTTATAGAAATACGATGCGATCTCGTTTTTATTGCAAATCATCATAATATTGTAAATTAAATTGTTGAAATTATCAAGAGTATCGAGATTATAGAAACATATCAAAGCTTTTCTAAGTATATTAATCATTTTCTCGTCATTCTGGACCATTTCCCTGTGAATTGTAAATCTAGATACAGTTTCATTGAAAATTTCAGGGAAATGCATGAGTTTTCCTAGCAATTTATAGAACTCTAGGTGATGTAGTATCATGTGCTGTATGTATTCGTCTCTTGCAGTGTTCAACCAGTCGTTTTTGTGTTTCAACACTTGAAATGCAGGGTCGAACAAAGTTTTTCTGGGGAAAATCTTTTTGACTTGGACTCTGAATGGCTCTGGCAATGAATTGGCAACAGAAATGATGAACATTACTAAACCGATAATTTTATAATCTTTTTCTAAACGTAAATTAGTCTGTTGTGTCACTCTTTTCATAAATATATCAAAGAATGATGCATTATTCGCAAAAATAGAGACATAAATCTTAATTCCATTTTGAAATTCTTTTGGAATCAAAATTGAAGAATCTTGAGGTATCGGTAATGCTTCGTATGAGTATCTTTTGAATACTTTGTCTTTCTTGTCCCATTGTTTGATGTCTGTTGTTTTAATTGTTTCAATTTGAATGAAATTGTCTTTTATAAAGTCAACTGTAAATTTCGTTTGGTTTATTTTGTTAAATAAACTCGTAGTAATCGATCTGAAAACCTCATCGCCATATTGGTGACCTAATTCTTGTGATAAATTTTCAAATAACTTTAATGATGCTGGTTCTAGTTCGTAAAAGTAATTTATTAGTAAACAGACGATTTCGGTTGCATATTTGCTAGGAATGTTGAAGTTTGGACGATGTTCATAAATTTCATTTAATAAATTGAAAAATTGCAATTTCGCTTCTGGAACGATTTGTTGTAGAACGACTAGCTTCACATATTCAGCAATGTATCCGTATATTTTTTCCGAAATAATAGAGATTTCTACTAAAAATGTTGAAATCTGCTCAATATCAAATGCAATGTATTCAGGTTTCATTTTCATGTGTTGTTTGATGATATGGCAAAGAAATGTGTTCATTTTTTCGTTATTTTGAATTATCGTCAAAGCAATTAAAGCAGAAACCATCATTTCGTATTTGTCTGAATCGGTATCTGTCTCTGAAATAAGAAAATATGTTAGAAATGTCTTTAAAGCAAATGCATTAATACAATCGATCTGAAATTGCGTAGAACTATGGAGTGAAATATGTTTTTGTAGGGTATTGATTAGAGTATCAATATATTTTGGCCATTGCTCTAGCAAATTATGAAATAATTGATGGTCATTACGATGTGAAATGATATTTTGAATAATTTCGCTACTATAACTAGGAAATTGATTGAAATGTGGCAGCAAAGAACTTTCTGGATCTTCTTCAGCTTGCTGTGCTAGAGGTTTAGCATTCAATATCCAATTAAGTTGCTTATCTGTGATCATTGTATCAATAAAAAATAATGGATTTCACTTCAATAGATTATGTTATATTAGTGTAAGACAATTTTTAGTTTCCATTCCATTCAAGAAGCGAACAATGAAATTCAGAATTCTTTAGTATCAAAGAATTGTATTAATAATAGTAAATTCCACATGAGATGCACACTAATTATTTAATGACGAAATTAATATTTCAAATCAATTTCATTAATTTGAAATTTTAATTATTGATAAAATACAGTTAAGTAAGAATACAATGACTTTTAATGTGGAATGTAGATTTTGCAATTCATTAATTTATATCATTGATTAAATTTCAAAATATATTTTATTAAAAAATGATGAATTTAATCCCATCCAGGATTTTTAATGATTAATGACTTGTAATATCTTTGTTTTCAATATTATCAAACATCTTCTTCAATGTGAGAAAGAGTCCAAAATTCAATTTGCACGATTTGAAATCTCTCAAAATTTGTGAATTAATTCAAATAACAATTCTTAAAACTAATTGCAAAACAAATATTATTTAAAATTATGCAAAATTATTGCGACTATTTTTCAGGCTTTGATAATTATTTGAAAGTCTGACAACTGAAGTTCAAATTTGAATGTATTCTTTAAGTTAAAACCCAAATTTAAGTAAAAACTTATCTGCAATGTGTTACCGTCTCAATGAACAAAAATGGTTTAATCTCTTTCAAAAATATTCTATGAGCTTAAACAAAATTATCGATCAAAATAAATTTTTTGCATTTTTATAAAAGTATTAGAAACGTATGCTTATTGCAAATATCGATTTTTTACCAAGTTTAATTCGGAATAACCGCTATCAAACTTTACATGATATTTACAAATTATTTTTATCGGAAATAATTTAATCACTTCATTTTAGAATATGAGCAATCCACAAGAGGAAGAAATAATATATAACGCACAACCAGCAGATATCAATCTCACACCTTTGGACAAGCCAGGTGTAATCCGTGTTGGAGATCCCTATATCATGCCTTTAGATCATCCAATGCCTGTTGTTGTTTCATCCAATAATGATGAAGAATACCAAGTTCCAAAGATGAAGATTGGTTTCGGTCCCGAAGTCCAGCAAGGCAACCCACAATAAAATATATTTTACTTTTACTAAAACATACTTTGGCTTAATAAATTTATGTGATTTCTTACATAATTCATAATCTATTTAATATTTAATTATTAGAAATACAATTTTTTTGATTTTCTCCTCATTTGTGGTAAATGTGCTTTCAAATCTATAAAAATTGTCAAAAAATATTGTATCTTTGATGAATTTTCGAATATTATTATGTCTTATTGCAGACAAATTAAATTATTGAAATTGAATTAATGGGGAATTATCCAATTGCACTCATTGGATATGAGAAAAAGTAGTAAAAAAAGATATTCAATTAATTGTAAACCAACCAATCTAAATAAGCTATTTTACTATAATAGACTTACTTCTTCTTGGCAATCTTATCGGAGTAGAATGCTAATTCTTCACCTTCGAGGATATAACCATCAGCACGACCGCATTGGCCTGGGCGTGATGTGATAACAGCTAAAAGACGACCCTGATCGAATTCAGCAACGAGTTCTGGAGCAACAACACCACCATCCTTGTTAGCAGCCCAGCGCTGTGTCATCTTATCTGTAACCTTCTCTGGCTTGACATATTGGGACTTGCCAAGAGCCTTGCCGAACTGGCGTTCGTACCACTGCTTGAATGGAGCAGCATCGATGGAAACGACGGAGCCACGAGCAAGTGTGTTTGTGCGGACAAGATCGTTGTCAGCTGGGTGATATGTAACGTTAAGGATACGTGTCTTGCGTGTGCAGTTCTCAGAAGCCCAAGCGAATGTGCCTGTTTCGAGACGGAGAGCACGCATCTTGAGGTTGCCACCGCGTACACGGACGGCGTGGATTCTCTTCTCACCGATACGTGTCTGAGCAGATGGACGGCCGGCAAGGAAGTTACGTTTCTTACGCCATGCGACTTGGCGAGCGCCAGACTTTGTGTGCTTGAGGTCTCCCATACGAGTAATTCCCATTTTAGGAAAAGGCCGACCAAACCGAAAAAGCTTCTCAAAATTATTTCTTGAAAAATATTTTGTAAATTTACAATATTACTAAATTCATACTTAATTGGATTTTGATGTAAAACTCTGAATTTTGAATTATAAACTCCATTTATTATTTTTCGCCCCCTAATTATCATTTATGAAAACTTATACCTTTGACTTTTCTCGATTTAACAGACTGTATGTTGCAACTTTTATATTCGTGTTATGTCTGTTAATGGGTGTTAATGTCAATTTTGATCATTTTGATCGCTTAACTCAGCTTCCTGAAGATCGAAATGAAACATTTTTTATTAAGAATATAACAGTTACAAATAAGGATAATATTTTACATTTCTCGTTCAAAATTGATTATATATTTACAATCACATTCAAGCATTTCTTCGAACATCTTAAAATTGATATCATATCAGCACAAAATTCAGCAAATTATAATCAATACAATTTCCACAATCAGAGATCAACGAAAAACTATTACAATTTTTCAATAATATGTCCTTTTGAAGGAGATATTTTCATATCTCTCGCTTATTATTCAAAGCACTTTAGAAGTTTTAGTCTCAAAATCAACAACATCAGTACTAAAAGCCTTACATCCATTAATACAGCGTCAAATGAGCTTTCAAACTTTTGTTTCTCTGAAAACAAAGTTATTTACAATCACCCTGGTTCATTAGTATTAGCAGCATTCAGTAGTGTTACACAAGTTACAAGAATATCAAATTTCGATAATCCGAATTATACAATTGGAAAACAAACGATATTTGTGCCAAAAATTACATCAAAACCACTAGACGTACTCTTTAATGCTCTTTTACCTACATTTGATTATAGAATTCAAGTTCCAAATCAAAAATTTTACTTTTATGATAACTTTAACAATAAATATCTTAGAAAGCTGGTATCAATACTTCCTTCAATTGAAGTAATAGATGCAAAATCAGAGATTTGCTTTGAAACCGTCAAATTATTTTCATACGAAAATTACAACCTTTCAAGCTTCCAATCTCTATTAAATATATCAGAAAGTGGGCATCGTATGATAATTGGTGTTTCAGATTACTTCATGAAGCTGAAAAACTCTCAAGAGTACTTTGTATCAAAAAGTCAAGGAAAAGAAATCGTTTACATTTTCGATGAGATGGACATATCCTTCCTCATTGCATATTTGAAGGATGCAAGTGAATTTATTATATCTGATCAAAAACAAATCGTATTACTTTCTTGCATACCGAAATCATGTAAAGTTTATTACATCAAAAAGCCTCAAGAAGATGTAAATTGGATTTCCGAACTTTCAACAAGGTTTAACATTTCAATACAGATTATTAACACTTTTGAACAAACTCAGAATGATATTTATCTGCTGAATTGATGTACATCTTGAAATTGATTGAATTAGTTGTTAATTTATCGTAATTTTTTTGTTTGTAATTTAAATATACGGTTTAATAATAGATTTTTTTAATTTTGAATATGCTTTAAGTAATATTGTGTTATCGTAAGAGATTTACGTAATGTAGTGGCATTGTTTTGGAAAAGATTTAAAGAGTAATATTAGTTCAGTAATTATATACTAATTATAATAAGCTGATATGACTTAGAAGTCATTTCAATGTAAAATCTTTGTTGTACGCATTGTATGTTTGGAAAATAAAGAAAGTCGATATTGATATTTCGAATCTTCGATGTCTTATCTAATGAATGTTGTTGCGTAATGGCTACAGATATATCTCGTGCCTGTTTTCATTTTCTAAATTTTTCTTGTTTTGCAAAATACCAATAGGACTTTGTAGTTTTTGTTTTTGATTTTTATTATTTTGAATTTTTTTTGGAGGTGAGAAGTAAAAAATGATAATAAATCAAATTTATCGATTCAATCAAGCATTTTAAAATGATTTTAAAACGAACAAATTATATAATTTTAAATGTACTACTATATTTCATACAAATTTTATAATAATTCATCATATTTTTGATCTTGTATAAAGTTTTTGGAAGTTAATGAAGGCAGTGAGTTCATAATTGGAAAATACTTGAAAATGTATGTGCAAAATTCTTCTCCATTAAGATACAACGCTAATTTTATGTAGACGTCAAAAATAATAAATAGGTTTTCCTCATTGAATGGATGGAGACTATAAGGATGAACCTCCAACTCCACCCGATTTAAAAACCGATGATGAGGAAAGTAATGAACTTCTTGTATCCGATTTTGATACTGAAGAAGATTTAGAAATAATTTTTTCAAATACCATGGACGAACAACTATATTCTTTGGTTCAAATTATCAAATGCCTAGATGAACGTCTAACCAATCATCAAAACCTCGAAGATAATGAAATAGAATTAATCCTTCATATTGAACAGGATCAATCTCTTGAACTATCTCTATTTTCACTCGAAATACTCAATACATACTTATCGGATAACAAAAAAGAAACAAATCCATTCTTTTCAGATGAAATTTGTGATACATTACAGACAATAATAGAAAACTCCCATGAAATGGAGAAAATTTATGCTTCACTAAAGTGCGCAAATTCAATGACACAAGGACAAGGCCAAAATCATTTCAAATTGAATTTTGATTTTATTTTGTTAGTCGTTTCGCGCGGTTTTGAGATAGTTATGACTGAAGGATTAGACTATATACACAATGACAATATACAAATTTGCTGTTTATCAATACTTTCAAAATTAGCAAATATCCAATTTCCAAACGAAGCAGTTGAAGCATTTGGAACTAAAATAGTACCATATTTAAAGAATTGCCTTGACAATGATGCTACTTGTACCATCACAATCGAGTTAATTACAACATTAATTCAAAAAAATTTAATCAAATGGCTCAAATCTTTGATAATCCAGAGTTTCTTATAGATCTTAGTTCTCTTATTGATAGAAATGAGAAAGTGAATAGAGCCATCCTGAAATTGATTAAACTTCTCGTTGAAAAAGATCATTTAATTTCTCCATTCGTTTTAGACTCAGATTTCTTGACCAAATTTCTTGTTTATGATGACTCCAAGACCGATGATTACATGTGCTTAGTGTTTGACGTTCTAGGATACGTTGCAGAACGTTTTCATTTCATCAGATTAAATTTTGCAGACCAAAATCAAATTAACTCCTCAATTAACAATATCCGAGCATGTTGGAAGAATATCATTGAACTCGCATCAATAATGCTTGACACATCCATAGCAAAAATGAAAACAAATTTTTCAAAATTCTTTTGTAATTTTTTAGAAATAGGAAATGAAATCAGAGAATTACTGTTCGATGGAAACATGGGATTGGTTGAGAACCTAATAGATGCTGCAGAAGGGTCTGATGTCAATACAGCACTCAAGATTTTAGCTGAATTAAAAGCGTTGGCATCATTTAAATTCGATCCAATTTTTTTGGATGAAGGAATTCAGGAAAAAATAGATGATTTAGGGAAATTGTTTGATGATGATGACTCTATTTGGGATGCCATTGAGTCTCTTAAGTCTACTGTTCTTTCTTGGGATAATACCGAAGAGAAAAAATAGAAATATTTATGTTTTTATAGAATTTTGTTTGTATTTTAAATGTTATACTTATGCAACACATTATTTTCTTGTAAGTTAAGATCTTTGCTATTAAAAGACATCTCCACAAACTAGTAAAAACATGTCTTCTCTCAAATAATGAAAAATTGAATCCAAAAGATTCAAATTTTTCGTGCGAAAAATTAACATATTATAAGTTAAATTGAGTGCAAACACAAGAATGTTCCATGGGCCAAATTGAATACTTTACAAAAATCAACACAAAAATCATTAATGGACGCCCAAAGCTAGCTCAAACCCAATGAATTACTCGCGTCCAAATGGCTAAAAATGCTTCGAAACCTTAAATCCCTTTGAAGCCCTCGATTTAGAAGGATCCAATCTTCTTATCTTTAGATTATTAATTTCGATAGATTTAACGATATTCACCCATTCCCTTAGTCTGTAATAAACAGAAATTCATCAAAAGTGACAGCTCTCAATTTTTTGACATTTGTAAATTCTAAATTGAATGAGAAAAATGAAATAATACTAAGCATAATACAATATTCTAGATTTAATTATAATTAGGAAAAAGTTAGTTTTGAGAGTACTTTTCATAGGCATATAGAATGAAATCTTCTGAAAAATAATATCACATAAACTCATATTATTTTCTAATATATAACTATTTTATATAAAAATCAAATTCAATGATCTTAAAAGCGAAGGATAAACCTCAAAATTTACGAATATAATGAGTGGGAATATTTCATATGGTTTTATGATAGATAAGCATTATATTCCCACTCATTATATTCGTAAATTTTGAGGTTTATCCTTCGCTTTTAAGATCATTGAATTTGATTTTTATATAAAATAGTTATATATTAGAAAATAATATGAGTTTATGTGATATTATTTTTCAGAAGATTTTGTGTTCTTCTTCAAAATTTTATTTTTTTATTAAAAAGAATCTTTACAAAATATACATTTACTTAAATTAATATTTAAAAACGTGCTCTATCAAAAGTTCCAAAAATTCAATATTTTAGCTTTTCTGAGGTGTCACTTTTGATGAATTTCTGTTTACAACACCTTAGTCAAATACTAACGTTGTTACAGTATTAGTGTGAAAATTACCCTAATTTAATAAAAATTTCTTTATCTTTATTTTTAAAACGGATTTTTGTAAAGTATTCAATTTGGCCCATAATATTCTTGTAAAGGTAATCCCACGAAAAGTGACACCCTTCTTCTTTTTTCCTAGGGTTACTGATCGCTTCTTTTCTGCTCGTTATGGCAGAGATGAAAGAAATGATTGGTGGAGCCTAATTTATTACTCCAATTAGCAACTATCTTGTAGAGTATTCTTAGTTGTATTGTCAGTTATTCTCCAGCATTATGCAATTTAAAATCAACTTCGTTAATTTTAATTATATTGCAACTGTACTCCTATATGGAGATAACATCAAGATTGCACCTGCCAAAGCCCCATATTAAAAATCGAAATTTTGCATCTCGAAAATGCAACGACAGAATTCCTCGTAATTTTGAGTTCTTACGTCGCTTATGATATATATTCAAATAACTTGAATATAGAAAAAGTTACTAAAATTTGAGAAAATTATTGCAATAAGAAAAAAAAAGTCGGCTTTTAGATATAAATTACTTATAAATTACGATTACCTCTATGATGAGTGCACAGTACCGAATATAATTGTTTGATATTTCTGATTTTAATTTTATACATTTTGATTGGAATAGTCATAACTCAAATATAGACAATAGTTACTACAATTATGCGAATATAGTGCGTTTCCATTCATCTATTTACTTGTTGTTGTTGAAATAAAAACTTTATTATTTTACTATCTTAAAATAAGAATTTTGTTATGGAAATAATATTTCCAACAGCAATCATGACATTGAATCAACTATAGAATGAGTTTTTATCAAATATGATATCAAAATCAAAAATTAGATGTTTTTTATGAGTAAAAACGATTTCATTTGATGATTTGATTAATTATACAATACTTTGATTTTCCAAATTTTTTTCAAAATTGATTTTTTGAAGAGAAAAATCAAATTTTTGATTTTCATTTTTGTATTTTTGAATTTTTTTTGGAATTTTGAGTTGATCAATTAAGCAGAATGAGTAATGCGAATGCTTTTTATATATCACAGAGTGATGAGTTAAAGGCGAATTTTAAAAAATTATTTTAAATCACAAATATCTTTCTTATTATCCTTTTTTCTAAAAAGAATAGTACTAAGCATTGATAAAGCATGATCTGTATTAGTAAAATACTTGAATGAAAAGTGTAAAAGTAAAGTTTTTATTCAATTTTATATTAGATCTAAACAAAAAACTGCATCATATTAATATTCTAGTCGAGAGATGAGATTTTGTTCGTTTTTGTTAGAATTCAGTATACATTGTAATCTTGAATTTTATATATTACTTGAAATTATTAACAAATGTGATGTTTTGCTTCGATTTATGATTAATTTTATTAAAGTATCTCGACATGTATCTTGAACAAGATCGTTTCTTGAAGAACTCCAAGATTTTTAAGAGACTTCTTACGAAATTTGATAGATGATAAGAACCACCATTTACGCAAAATGGTTTATTAGAATATAAAATAATTCTGTAGTGATCCATTTTCATTATACTATTTTCAGTCAAATCCTCAAAAGTAACAATTCAAATCTATTATTTACCTGATAAACCGGATATTACATAATAAACTATAATCATGTAAGCTGGGAATAATATGGTTTTATTCAAAAGCTCCAATCATACTTAAATTTGAAATACATATAATGAATATTGATATTTACTTATATTTGAAATTAAATTTGATATATAAATCATAACATGATAATTAATTGATAAAAATTATTGAAATTAAAACGTAATTCACAAATCTTTTTATTCTTTTAGTAACTTTTCAAACTAAGATCATATCATTCATATTTGGGACCTACTGATTCTGTTTATCTTATTTATTTTGAAATCTGTCGTTTAGATCTTCGTGGGATCACCTTTATTCTTGTGTAAGCCCTCAAATTGATCAATCAAGAATTGTAATTTTGAGTCTTCGATTCAGTCTGTCTTGAATATTCAAAATTTTGTTGGTTTGAATGGTTCACAAAATTGAATTGGTAAAAAAGGTTTTAATTCACCTTTGACTAACATTTATGTTCATATATCATAATCAGCATATGGTGTGTCTTGTAATAAACAGAAATTCATCAAAAGTGACGGCTCTCAATTTTTTGACATTTGTAAATTCTAAATTGAATGAGAAAAATGAAATAATACTAAGCATAATACAATATTCTAGATTTAATTATAATTAGGAAAAAGTTAGTTTTGAGAGTACTTTTCATAGGCATATAGAATGAAATCTTCTGAAAAATAATATCACATAAACTCATATTATTTTCTAATATATAACTATTTTATATAAAAATCAAATTCAATGATCTTAAAAGCGAAGGATAAACCTCAAAATTTACGAATATAATGAGTGGGAATATAATGCTTATCTATCATAAAACCATATGAAATATCAATTTTTGCTTTACGCCTAATTTTTGACGACAATTAGCAAAAAATGTTAAATGTTAACACTCAGTCCATTTGAATATGAAAAATAAAATTGACTTTGATTAAATGTTTTTATTTATCATGCAATTCTTCTTGCGACCAAAGATTTGAATAAAAGTTCAAAAAATAAGATAGCTTAAAAAATAATATACGGTAGTGTTTACTAATAGATGAATAGTATATAAATTCTATTAAAATGGATTTGATCCAAAAAAATATAAAACCAAAAATAATTGTTATAATTTAAATGAAGAAGTAATTTAAAACAATTTTATTTATGATCAAATTTTATATATTTTTTTGGATCAAATCCATTTTAATAGAATTTATATACTATTCATCTATTAGTAAACACTACCGTATATTATTTTTTAAGCTATCTTATTTTTTGAAATTTTAGTCAAATCTTTGGTCGCAAGAAGAATTGCATGATAAATAAAAACATTTAATCAAAGTCAATTTTATTTTTCATATTCAAATGGACTGAGTGTTAACATTTAACATTTTTTGCTAATTGTCGTCAAAAATTAGGCGTAAAGCAAAAATTGATATTTCATATGGTTTTATGATAGATAAGCATTATATTCCCACTCATTATATTCGTAAATTTTGAGGTTTATCCTTCGCTTTTAAGATCATTGAATTTGATTTTTATATAAAATAGTTATATATTAGAAAATAATATGAGTTTATGTGATATTATTTTTCAGAAGATTTTGTGTTCTTCTTCAAAATTTTATTTTTTTATTAAAAAGAATCTTTACAAAATATACATTTACTTTAATTAATATTTAAAAACGTGCTCTATCAAAAGTTCCAAAAATTCAATATTTTAGCTTTTCTGAGGTGTCACTTTTGATGAATTTCTGTTTACAACAATATTATATTCAAGAATGCGAACTTTGAAAAATTTTCAATATTGACTTCACATTTTTTTCCACTTCATTTTTCATGTCACTTTTATTTAATGAAGAAAAACATTGGAGAAATAGAGCATGAAAAAATCTTATTACATGCAATGGAAAATGAAAATTTCCAATATGCAGAGTGTGAAGCTTTCACATGGATAAAAACATATTTTGGCGGAAATATAACACATCCATATTTGCAAAATATATGTAGAGGATTGTCAGAAAGATATGATATTCCAATTGGGAGAGAGTATTATAGGAGAAAAGAGACATGCTGGTATTGGTTGCATAAAAATTTCGAAATTATAAAGAGAAAATTAACAGTCAAAATTAAGATCATTTTTGAAAATGGAGAGATCATAATTCCACCATTCACTTGTTCAGAGCAGTAACATTTTTTTTGTTTTATTTTAAACATTTTTCAGCCTTCAATTCAAATATTTTTTTAGTACAATTCTCTCAATTTTCTAAGGGAGCTTTAGTTGTGGATAATTATTCCATGAAAATGATATTAATTTCTTTTGATTCTATCGGCTCTCAGAGAATACCGACACAAAAAGATAATATATAAATTAGGAACATTTAGGACATATTCCAAAAAAATTTTGATGATTAAAAAAAAAAGTTTATTAGATCCTACCATAAAACATGTACACACTCAAACAATACCATACTTTCATCAACTGAGACTCAATTTTCATAAAATATAAATAATTTTTACAAATCTTGATGAGATATTATCTCAATGGCAAACGCAAAACTCTTTATACAATCATATTCACTATTTCTAATCTATACGTACAGTATCTTTTGAAATGTTTATAAACCTCAAAGAATTCTAAGATAAGATTCGCTCTCTGTTAATGAACATTCATTCTTTGATAAAACATATATAATCAATACACTATGAAAACTTCATAGAAAACATAAAATATTTTCAGCATTTTGGCTCTTCTTGAATATATAGTCTGGTTGTTGAGTTTGTTGCTTTGTATCTTATTCATACAGACGTAATATACATATTGTTGTTTTTGAAAAATTTGATGAATGTTGAGTTCGGCCAAATTCTTGGATTTTTAGATCATTCACATTATACATATTTCAATACACCATTTATCTCAACATTTTGACAATTTGAATCAAAATTTTGTCAAATTGACAAAGTTTCATATTTTTTATGACTCTTTACTTCCCTTCTAGGACTGAGTATCCTAAATCGTGTTCATTATGCTGTTGTAAGAGTCATATTGCTATTTGTATCGATAATTCGCTTCTAATTTACAAGATAACTAACGATTCGTTTTCATTTGATTTTTCTGTAGATTTACCTGTTAAAGATGCACCTAATCTTAGTTTCAATGATACAAACTATTCAGAAACGCTATATTTAATAGCATATTCCAAAAATTCGATGACAATAATCAGTATAGATGACAAAAAAGTACTGTCCACATTCATTTCCAACTGTGTTCACCTTGTTTGGGACATACTACAGCTGGCTTCGATGTTCACTTGTTCAGATGACAACGTTATTCAGCACGCAAGTATCGATTTTGGCCCAAACAATCAAGTAAACCTCGGAATAGACTGGTCATGTCAATTTAATGACGTAATTACGAAACTTGTCGTACCAAATAGCTCTCCAAACACATTATTTGTACTAACAAATGAAGGATCGATTCATTTTTACGGCCGATCAGCGAATTACAAATATTTTCGATCCATACGTGAAATAAACTTCCAAATAGAAGGTGAGAAAGTCATAGACATCGCTGATTCTTTCTCAGATTTTTTAATTTTAATGACAGAGCATATGATTTGTTTTTATCATACTTTGAAGTTCAAAATATCATCAGTAATAACTACATCATTGAAATTTACTTCATTTACCCGTTTAATTACGATTCCGAAATATCCTTTCAAATTTTTCACTTTAACTAAGCACAAAACATTGATTCAATGGTGTTTTGACTTTGAAACAGGATCCTTCAAAATAATACCCAATCCTTACAAGTTTATGACCAAAAACACGGAAATGGTGAATACTTTATCAATTTCTGAGAATGGGTTCTATTATTTATCGGATAAATTACGTATTATTAACTTATCTGTCGAAACTACTGATATAATGGTCCAAAAAAGCTTCGACATCCCAATAATAAGTTATCCGAAATTAATTTCAGCGATAGGAAACAATATTGCGTTTATTAATTATGCCAGGCAGCTTTGTATCACGAATAATGGTAAAGTGAATACAATAATTAACTCTGAAGGTCCAATAATTGGATTAGCTTTTCCATCTCCTTCTTTGATCATGTATATCACTGAAAACGAGTTCTATTCGTTAAGTATCAAGCCACCAATGTACAAGAACTTGATTTTGACCAGTAGTTTCATCGACCAAACAAAATCAATAAATTTCCAAGACATGAAAGAGTCAGGAGGCATCGTAGCTGTGAGGATTGGACAGAACAGAATATTCGTAATCAACTCAAAGGACCAGAAACAGACAGAATTGTACTTTTTCGAAAATTTAGTTGATTATTACATAACAGAGATGAAAGAACCTTCATTTGTTCTTACTGTTGGTCTGAAAGGAAAGAATACAATCATTCTCGATCCGAATCATAACGTTCTCAGCGATAATAAAGTAGATTTTTCCGAAATCTCAACAACTGTTAAGATAAATGACGAAATAATGTTACTTAAGAAGAATGGAACACTTGTTACCACCACAGATCTCATGAAAATGATGACTTTCCCTATACATCAGTCAGCTATTTATCATAATACGAGTAGCACCATTTGTATCTCTAATTCGACCAACATTTATGTGTTCTCAGTCAAAGGAGAGGCTCCCCGTGAGACACATTCCTTCAACGACAACGAAATCAACTTGATATCATTTGATGGCTACACAATAACATATTTGAACAAGGCAAAGTCAGTGAAACAAGTCATGTTGTCGATAAGAAGTGGTTCTATGACGAATATCCACGAAAAACCACAAAATAATTTCCCAACCACTTATTTTTCGAATCCAGAAGTGATGAAGAATGCATTAATAGCATCAGCATATATCATGGAGAAAGGGGATCAGCCTCCCGATGATGTCAGTGAAATTAAATTTTTCTTTGATATCAAACAAAGGCCAATTACATTGTTAAAGGGTGAAAACACGTCTAGATTATATAGAGGAGCATTTATGTCTCTTAAAGGTGTTGAAATTGATGACGATATGCGTTTGCAGTTTGAAGAATGTTGTAATTCATGGACAAAATCTAGTCGATTCATCAATTCCGCTGTTATGCAACATTTCCTTGGTGATGAGAAGTCCGCTGCACAATCATTGATCGAAATGAAACAATACGAGTTAGCCGCATCATATTCCTTCGAACACTCTTTTTATGATATTGCTAAGATGGCCGCAGCACACTACGCATTCCAGCGTGCATCTAAAGGTATGTCTGTTGAAGCTGCATCAGTTCTTATGACATTTGACGAATATCATGCTGCATGCCACATTTTGTACAATTCACAGTACTTTGAGAAGATGAAAGCATGTGCTCTTATTGGTATCGAGAAAGGCAAACTTACCGAATGCAAATTTGGCAAAGACTTGACTATTGTTGACCTTGTTCCTATTGACGAAATCTTAAGAATTTCAAATCTTCATTAAATTCTATATTTTATTTTAAATCTTATTGTTGTAATTGTAATTGCAAAAAAGCATATTCTTAATACTTTCATTAATAACAACATACACTCTTCTTTTTATTAACCTCACTAGACAATATAGTTATTTATAATACATTAATTTTTTTTTATTTTCAGTGAAATGAAAATTATTTAATTTACTCTTTGTATCCCATAAATATCATATTTTCAGATTTAGTTAGAGTTCAAAATGAATTATTATGGGGAGTAAATAGGATGATTCAATGGGAAAATCGCTTGCTAATGCTATATCAAACTATTCATTAGATTTTATACTTCTATAGTATCAAATTAGTCAAAACATACAAATTGAACAGGGAAAATACACTTTAAAGCATAGCTTGCTGCAATTTCTTGTTCTTATTAACAATAAAAAGTTTCTCAAGTACGATAATTTTTGAATACAATTACTGTCCCTTATTATAGAATCTTCCTAAACTATTGAAAATTGCCCATTTCACCCATGACAATAAATATGAATTTAATCCAACATAATACCCTCAGAAGATGTCATCTATTTCTATTAACCCTCATAATAGAAAATATTAGAGCATATGCTTATATTATTTTATATCTAATGTAACTAGATTATTTTTATTTTTCAAATTAATTTATATTATGCATAAAATAATCGGTCGCTAGGAAAATTTTATCGTTTGCGATTCAAACAGGAATTTCAATTGTAGACAAAATTGAATGGCGAGTAACCAATCTAAATACCTAGAGTTCTTTGCATGATTGTTCCATCGATTCACGCCAGCATTACATTAATACCACAATAATTCAACAAAAATTCCAGCGTTCTTCCAACTTCAAACTTTCTAATATAAAACGCATACAGAAAAATTGTTCTTATCAGATGAATAAATCCATTAACTCATCAATTCATATAGCTTGCAGAAATAGATTTGAAAAATGCAAGAGAGTTCAGCTGGGATGAATATTTCAGCATTCCAGATAAATACGATAAGATTAAAAATGGAACGTCATTATTTGATACTTCCAGTCTTTACAATTATTACATTTATCTTTGCATATTTAAAGAATGCAAAGAAACAGGTGCACTTCACATTGAAAGAAATAACGAAATCTACACATTACTTGAAGAAACAATATTTAATAATTGTAGTTCCATCTTATCTAGTGGAACTGTTTTTTATCTTTGCCAGGAAGAAGGACAATTTGTCCAACATAAAACTTGTTATTATAAATCAATCACAGAAACAGGCCGTCTGGCATTTACTCAAATTGTAAATTATTCTCCATCTCATAAAAACTATGCAATCGAAGTTTCAGTTTTTGAATGCGGTGAGAATGAAGAAAATGGATTCATGACATTTATTGTTGGAAATGGTGATATCCATTTTGAGAACAATAACATCACAAACAACAAATGCAGACGGTGTTCATCAGTAATTATTCAACTTGATGGGAGCACAGGTACATGTAATTTCTCAAATTTCAGAGATAACAATCAAACTGAAAGTTGGTCATTAGTATTTCTCAAAAGTGATCCAAATTCATTAACTCAAACAATTTCTTATTGCAATATTATTGGCAATAAATGTAAAATCGACGACGAACAAGTTCTATTTTATTGTCAATTAAATGTTAATGTTGATCACTGCATATTTTTAAATAACACTGCAGTAATTATGTTTGAGCACGATGTTGAAAGCTACACTTTGACTATTTCAGAATCATATATTGAATCAAATTCAACAACAGGAGAAGGATCTATTACATTTAATAATCTAGTACAAAATTACGATTTTAATACTTTTACATATTATTTGACAGAAAATTGCATCATAAATTCAGAAAAATTAATGTCACTAAAAGTATCATACCTTTCTAAATTTTCAAAAACAGCGACAGCAGGATTACTTCCATCTAAAAAGTAACAAGTAATTCAAAAACTCAAATGTATAAATTGCTAAAATAGTGTGTGTAAGAATAAATTATTTGACGAATATCATGCAGCATGCCACATTTTGTACAATTCACAGTAATTTGAGAAGATGAAAGCATGTGCTCTTATTGGTATCGAGAAAGGTAAACTTACCGAATGCAAATTTGGCAAAGACTTGACTATTGTTGACCTAGTTCCTATTGACGAAATCTTAAGAATTTCAAATCTTCATTAAATTCTATTTTTATTTATTTTTATTTTATTTTTATTGTTGTAATTATAGATTAAGATTATTTTTTAGCCAGGTCATATATAACAAATATTTTCTGCTATAAAATTGATTCACGCCCGTAAATTATTTTTACCATAAAAATTCTACTTAGCTCCCAGAAATCTTCCAACATTGAACCTTGCGATAAAATGAGAAGAGAAGAATTATCGCTATCAGATAGATAGGTACACTAACTCGTCTATTCAAGTAGTTTCTTACATCAAATTTGAAAAATGCAAGAAAGTTCAGCTGGAATGAATATTTCAACATTCAAGATAAATACGATAAGATACGAAATGGAACCACATTAATTGATAGTTCCAATGATTTCAATTATTATATTTTTCTTTGCTTGTTTGAAGAATGCAAAGAAACAGGTGCAATTTACATTAATCGAACTAACGAAATCTGTACATTAATTGAAGAAACAGCATTTAATAACTGCAGTTCCACCTCAGAAAATGGCGGTGGATCCGTCTACTATTTCTGCGAACAAGCAGGACAATTTGTCCAACATCGAACTTGTTATTATAAATCAATAACAGAAAGTACTAGCATGGCATTTGCTCAAGTTGTCAAACCTTCTTTTTCCAATAAAAACTATGCAATTAAAGTTTCAGTATTTAAATGCGGCGAAAATGAAGGAAAAGAAATCGGGACATTTAGTGTTGGATATGGCGATGTCGGTTTTGAGAATAACAATATCACAAATAACAAATGCATCGAATGTTCATCACTAATTATCCAACTTGATGGAAGTTCAGGTACATGTAATTTCTCAAATTTCAGAGAAAATAACCAAACTGATAGGAATTCAATCGTATTTTTCACTTTTGGTCACCGCTCATTAAATCAAACATTTTCTTATTGCAATGTTATTGGAAATAAATGCGGAACAGACAATCACCAAGTTCTATTTTATAGTTGTTACACAACCAATGTTGATCACTGCATATTTTTAAATAACACTGCACAGTACATGTTTGGCCAATATTTTGAAGTTGACATTTTGACTATTTCAGAATCATATGTTGAATCAAATTCAACTACAGGATTTGGAACCGTTACATTTAAAAATCTAAAAGATACTTACGATTTTAATACTTTTACTGATTTTTTCAAAGGAAAATGCATGATAGATCCAAATTTAATTTCAACTAATTTATCATTTTCTTCTAAAATTTCGAAAACCACAACGGTAGGATTATTTTCATCAAAAAAGTAAAGATTAATTCTTAGTTTCTTTAAGACTGCTATCAAATAGTGCTGGAATTGGGAACAATCTTTTGCATGCATTTTTATCAGGGTAATTAAAATGAACTAATGTGAAGGATATCAGGAGAGCATTTTTATCCCTTATATGAAGTAATTCTCCGAAAGTTATACCAAATGCATAATTCCTGGAACCAAATAGCACTTGCATCACCTACAATTTCGAACTTTATTTCTTGAATATTGATATTTGTCCCAAAATAGAAGTTTGTAGAATTAAATATTAATATATATATATATATATTTAGGGACTTCAATCAGTACACAGTTGTATTGTATACTGACAAAAATCGACAAAATCAAACATAAAAAAACATAAATAAACTTGAAATAATATTCTTTGCGTGTAAACCTTTCAATTCCATATATATTCTTAGAAGAATATGATATCAGGTTTAATTATTCAAAATTAATATTAGCTTGGCGCAGAATTTCTTTTATAGTTTCATCATCACCAACTAAGTCTTTCAAAGTATTTCCAAATTAATATTAGCTTGGCGCAGAATTTCTTTTATAGTTTCATCATCACCAACTAAGTCTTTCAAAGTATTTCCAAATCTTGTTGGTGTATAATAGTCAACACCATCTGTCTGTACAGCCAATCTTATTGTGTTGTAACTTTTAGTTTCAATTGCATTTTGGAAGAAATTCATATTGAACAAGTTATCTCTAGCGTTTTTATCAACGTGGTCGTATTTCAACATTAACTTAATAAGTTTATATTTATCACTTCTAGCGAACATGATTATTGGCGGCATTGAGAAATCAACAACATTCTTATTTACATTGAAAATTGATGGATGTTCTAAAATAAATTCCATACAAAACATATTATGTCCAAAAACAGCATGTTGTATCAAAAGATCTGGATTTCCAATGTCAATATTTTCGTAGTTAACTAACAATTTCAAATTCTCTGTCTGTTTAAACTCAAGTGCTTTTCTTACCGAGTTATACCCATTGTTATCCACCAAATTCGGATCAGCGCCGTGTTCTAATAAATATTTTGCCATGGCCGTGTCTCCGTATTTTATTGCCATGTGAAGTGCAGTTTCTCCATTCGAATCTTTTCTGTCAATCTGTGTCGTAGGGATCTTAGAAATGAAAATAAGTATGGCTTGCACATTAGATATCACGGCGCTTTGTAATGGACCGTATCCGCCTGAATCAATTGAATTTGTGTCACAACCGTTTTGTAAACACCACAAAATTGTGTTTGGTTGTACAGAAGAACATGAATAACACAATGTATTGATCATTTCGATCTTCAGACGATCTTCTGATTGTATTTGTGTCTCTAAGATCCAGTTAAATATGTCTTTTTTAGAATATTGAGCTGCAATTTTCAAATATCCTTCAAATTTTAGATTTTGCTGCTGTACGAGTCTGACTAACTCTATATTACCTGATGTAACTGCAAAATACTGCAAATAATGGTCCCATTTGTCTTTGTAGTCTAATTTTGGATTTTGAACAATTAAATACTTAAAAATTTTCACGGAACCGTAATAAACTGCATATTGAATAATACTTGGCTCTTGACGTATTGTTGATGGAAAGTCTAAGTAATTCCGTTTAATAATTTTATTAATATTGAAAACAGAATTTTTGTAAAGCATAAAAGCATCAATATCGTCATTTTTAAGAATGTATTCAAGAGATCCAACTTCACAACCGTGTTCTAAGTATTGATTAAATAATTCTTCTGAATTCATAACTTTATCGTAAAGTTGTGGGAATTTCTTTGCTACTTTATCAGAAACTTTTGCTCGGGCGACGTATTTTTGAAGCTTTGCATAAAATTCTGGTTCGTTTTTGATATATTTGTCAAAATATACTGAAAGAGTTAAAATTACATTAGGCAAGTCTTTATGGGTCTTTGTGAATTGATATAGTTGGGATTCATACTCGACAAAATCAATTGAGCCGTTATCTGTTAATAATCGAAGAAATCTAAAATCTTTTGTATTTCGAAAGTAAAGATAGTTTGATGTACTTCTTAGTAGATGTTCAATAAACTTAATTTTGAAATCGCCGAAATAGTTTTGAGGTGATGCATGTATTTGACATAATTCGAACAATCTTTTAAGAAATTGAAGAGAATATTTAATATTTCTGATGTAAACAAGCATTACTATTGCATTAATTCCTATTTCTGTGTCACCCATGTGTTCTTCTAAAACTTGATTAAAGATTTCATCAATATTATCAATGGTGAGCGTGCTGATTAAGTCACTAACACGGACATATGGCATAAATTCATCAAGGACATCTTGTGGAACTATAATAGGAGGTCCTATCATAATTTTGTTTTAAAGTATAATGCTCATATTCTTTCATAGTTTGATCTACTTTGTTTTAAAATTTAACAATTTTTAAGTTTCAAAAGAAAATATAATGAAATTTGTAATCTTTGTAAAGGTGACCAAACTATTTTTTGAAAGTCCGCCATAACTTTAATGGTACTATTTCAGCGTGTACAATGAATACAAAAATTCTAAGAGTGCCACATAAAATAGTACTTTAGACTTGAGTTAATGCTACCAAGCAAATGTTAAAAAGATGACTTTAGTGTTTTGATAATCAAAGATTAAAATCATTATTGTCTAAATCAATAATCATAACGACAGAAGTTAATGTTTTTTCATAAGTGCTTTAAATCCACTTTTAAAAGTATACCTCAAAAATCAAAATATCAAAAAAAAATTGGCCGATAGGTTTGGCTTTAATTTTTGTCTGCTTTTATGATTTGATATGGATGTTATAATTTTAAAAGTTGAGCCAAATTCACCAATAGATTTTTGAGATTTGCAAATACTCAATAATTTTCAGCGTGTTATCTTTTATTAAAAGAACTATTTGGTTTCAGTATCATATAAATTGATATTTACTTTCTATTTGAACCTTCATTTAGCTAATGATTTAATAATACAGATTTCATCTAGTCCTTATAAGAGAATTTTGAATTTGTTATAATAAAAAAACAAACAGATATAGCTTACACTTCTATAATAAAGATACCTTTTATAGAAATCAGTATGAAATGTGTTTTGGCTTATTGGAAGCATATCAGACATAATCGCCATAATCAAAAAATCTATATACCCAATAAGTAATAAATTTGTCGATATAGATTTTCCATAAAATTAGTTTTTAGTCTGATCTTAAAATAAATTTAATTTTTTATAAAAAAAATCACATTTAAAAGTATCTTTTTAGTAGCTCGAAATCCTGTTGGTGGATTTCGGGCGTACTTCAAAATTAGCTTTTCTTCTACATATGCAAGCTATATTTTAAATATGGAGCAAATCGGATCGGCGAAAGGAGTTTAGTTACCTTTAATCTTTGTAAGCAATAACAATACTCTTTCTTATTCAATAATAGAAAATTATATTATAGCTGATAAGAGATAATATGGAACATGAAAGAAGGACCATACTACAAAAAAAAAATCAAGAAAAATTATTTGACAATGTTTGAACTTCGGATGCAAATACCTCTAATAGCATCAACTCATCAATATCAGAATATAATACAGTTTCCATTGATAGTGATATATCTAAAATTTGGATACTAAGTTCAACAATTTAAGATTCCAAATTTGAGATGACGATATCGAAATATAAAGATGGTATTGTCATTTTGAATAATCTTGATACCGAATATTAAATTTGATCTAAAATCAAAGAATTAATTGTTTCGATGGAAGAAAAGTATTATAACAAAGTATTCAAGCAGAAGGATAAAGGAAATAAGGCTTTCCTCGTGTCGAGCAATATCGAAAAAAAATTTTCACAATATTTTATAGAGAAATGTTATCCAATATCAATAGTAGCTATTTACAAATTTATTTTATCTCCCCTTCAAAAGTGATTTGATTGCTTTTAATAATATTTTCAATACTTCTGAAAGTTAATTAAATATTTCATATGCTTTTAATATAGAAGTATATATAATTCGAACTTATAAATTCAAGGATTGAAAATTGCTTGGAAAAAAATATTGTTTTGAAAAATTAAATCGGAAATTAGATGTGTACATTTATTTTATAGACAATAATAAAATATAAATTTAAATGTGTTCTCAATGATTTTTATAGAAAATATTAAAAATATCCAAAAGGACTGATAATAAGTTCTATTACTTTTGGCTTCATTTTTGAAGATAATATCCATTGTATTTAAATAAAATGCGGTGGCCGAAATATTTCAATTTTTGTGAAATGAATAACCCCCAAAATTAATAAATTGTGAAGTGAGGAGAATTCTGAAACAATAAAAAAACACAAATTGTTGGTTTATTCATATTTTCTAATATAAAGGCTAACATTAATATGATGTTGTAATTGAAAATTGATAATTCTGACAAATTTTTTATTCAAATATTTGATAAATAAACTTTTAAAATTTGTGAAGATGTAAACTCAAAAAAATCGCTGGTGAATGAACTGGGAACGCAGTTCCCTAGCCAGAAGAAGATCACCTGGTAATACGAGGAAGATCCCAGATCTTATCCCGATTAACCCAGATCTCCATCTTTATCCGAAGACATTTGCTTACCTTAAAGCACAACTTATGATTTTAGCTAATCTTAATCAAAGCATTAAAAATACAGACAAAGATAGGGACTCTCCTCTTTTAAGATTTAAATCACTTATCTCATCCGTTCTAGGTGCACTATATGCAAACTTATTCGATATGGCAAAATATGCTTTATCAGAAATAGAAGAAATACTCAAGAGAGATTTACCTCAAGATGTAGACTTTCTTGGATATCGAATTATGAAGGCTTTAACTGCCTTACTTCGAGTTAAGTCCTTATTGTCTGTCACTACTGCAACAGAAAAGAAAATACGACCATCGCAAACTCACCAAAAAGTCGAAAATGTAGAATATTGCATGTGCAGATTATGCGAAAACTATTTTCCCGTTGATCAAATTGAGCAACATATGTTAGTTTGTGCACAAGCATTTCAGAGCAAAAATTATGTTGTCTCACTTGATGAGAAAATCCGCTCGTTAATATATACAGCTCGAACTTCAATTTTGGATGTAAATTGGCCAGGAGATCAAACAAACGCCATTGGACTTATCTTTCCAGTGCTTCATTGCACAATCCTCCTAGAGAGACTTCTCGAACATGACGCAGAGAATAACTACGAAGTTGACAGCTTACAATATATTTATGACGGACTTGACGCTTTGAGAATCTCTGACCCCAATAACGAGAATGCTAGAAATATACTGGTTCGTGCTGTGATGTATTGCCGCGAAAAACTCAAAGCTTGCAACACATTAAAATCAGCATATATTTCTGAAGGAAGTGCACCGAAATTAGTCAACATATCGGACTTTTCATTCAAGAAGCAGATATCAAGAGGTGCCTACGCCCGAGTTTTCTTAGCCAAAAAAGAATCAACAGGAGATGTGGTTGCAATCAAAGTTATTTCAAGAAAACACGCAGCAAGAAAGAATACAGCCTTTACAGAAAAGAACATACTTGTTAAATTCCAGTCAGAACATGTTGTTTCGTTATATTATACTTTATGTGGAGTTAACAACTTATACATTGTTATGGAATACGTTCCTGGTGGAGATCTCAAGACAGTTCTTCATCATTTAGGCTGTATGGATGAACACAACGCCAGATACTACATTGTCCAGATTGTTGCCGCTCTTCAAGACTTACGCAAGCATAAAATTGTTCACAGAGACCTTAAGCCTGATAACATCCTCATTGACAGGGACGGACATCTCAAATTGGCAGACTTCGGTTTATCATTTGTCGGAGTTGTCGAAAAAACACTTGAATTTGCAGGAACACCAGACTACGTTGCTCCAGAAATCGTTCTCAACAAAGGACACTCATTTCCGGCTGACTATTGGTCACTTGGTGTCATAATTTACGAATTACTTACAGGAGTTCCACCGTTTCATGGCAAGACCCCAGAAGAAACATTCATGAATATCTGCGAAGGCATTTTCGAGCCGATCGATGGTTCTAAAGAGGCAATTGACTTAATCCGCCAGCTTTTGAGACCAAATCCGAATGAACGTCTTGGTTGCAGATCAGTCAGTGACATCATGGAACATCCCTTCTTCAAGGGAATCGATTGGACAGCTCTTGATACTTTCGAACCACCATTTTGTCCTTGTCTTAAGAGCGAAGAAGATACTTCCTACTTCGGAAATTGTTCTCTTAAAGATTACGCCGATATCCAATTTGATTTAGAATCAAATCGAAAGAGAAGTTTCTCATTCGGTCCTGAAATCGTCGAACACTTCAAAAGTGACTTCGATAAATTGAACGAAATGATTAAGAACGGACAACAAATCGAAGACAACGATCTGAGCCAATTCCCTGTTACTTCGATGAATGGTCTTATGGATCGAACAACTCGGACAGCTTCCCATCGCAGAGCCAAGCATATGTCCTTTGAAACAGCCTTATCTACTCCAATAACCCTTACTACCGGTTCTTTGCCAACAACTGCGATGATGTCCACTCCAATGATCAGACCAATGGTTGTGAAGAAGAGAAGATTCTCAAGCTCAAAGACACCAGAACCAATACAGGTTAAGCAACCAATTAGTTTGGTAGCTCAACCAAATATGTTATAATTTTTTTTATTTACTTATTTTTTGTTTATTTTTTGCATTATGACTTATTCTCTATCATTTTGTTATGTATTGATTGGTAATGCGGAATAAAATATTATATATAATTGTTTTTCTTCAAATTAGACTTTCTTTCATAAGCCATTGTTCATTAATTTTTGTTCGATTATACTTGCACATGTTAAGAATGGATATTTTGGTTTAACCGAATTTTATTGCGGAAAAAATATTGCATCGAATCCCAAATTGATATAATAATTCAATGACATATTGAAGCATACGAATTTATTAGAACTCATTAGTTTGCCATTTCAGATTCGGTGTTTTGATAACAATGTCATAATTCTTACATACTCGTTCAATACCTTGGGGATATATTATCTAGGCCTATATCTATCTGTGGTATGATTATTAGCCAAATCGAACAAGTTTTATTTTGGAAAATTATTTACAGGTATAGAGAAAAATCATGAAACAAACTGAAGAAGTACTTTGATACAAAAAGAGAAATATTTTAACAACAAAAATACGAGATTTCTATAAGAAATATTCTCAAGGGATGAGCTTAGGACGGTTGAAACACTCAACAGACCTTTGTCTTCTCCCTGCGAACTTGTTCGGGTTTGGTATCGAAACTTTTGGCGAATTTGGTCGACTTCCGCCAAAACTTGAATTTGATGAGCTTCTTACGATTGGATGACCTGGAGGAGCTCTTGTTGGGAATAGAGAAAGAGGTGCTGCTATTCCCAGTTCATCTCCATCTCTTCTTGATGAAGAAGTTAATTCTGCAAACTTTTTCGCTTGCATTGGAGGAAGAGGTGGAAGAGAGTGCTTTCTTCCTTGTGTTTGCAGGATCTTGGCCTTTTCTGCGAACTTCATCCATGGATGTTTAAGTATTTGGTCCAAAGTTGGTCGATTTTCCGGTTCTGCAACTAATATTCTGCAAATAAGGTCTTTGCATTCAGGAGAGACGTTTTTTGGTACTTGATAGTTGCATGTAACAATATCTCTCATCATCACATTGATGTTTGAAATGTTCCACGGATGTTTTCCTGTAACCATTAAATATAAGTTGACGCCAAGTGACCAAATGTCGCTCTTTTGGCCGTCGTAAGCTTTATGGTAAAGACACTCTGGTGCCGAGTAGCACGGAGAGCCACAGAATGTAGTCATCATTTTTGATGTTTCCATGTAGCCGCAAAGGCCGAAATCACTGACCTTAACATGTGGAAAACGTTCAAATAAAACGTTTTCAGGTTTAAAATCACGATGTGCGACTCCAAATGAATGACAATATGCAACGGCAGCAACTATCTGTTCGAAGATCAAAGCTGCAGTAGGCTCTGCAATCCTTTTGTTTTTAGCGATATAGTCCATTAATTCGCCATTCTGACAGTAATCTAAGACCAAGTAAAAATTATTCTCATCGGAAAAGAAATCGTGCATGTTCACAATGTTATCGTGCTTGAGGTTGGCTGTTGTGTCAATTTCACGCTGAAATCTCTTTATATCATCATTGTCTTTCAAGTTAGATTTTGGGAAAACTTTTATGGCAAAGACTTTTTTGGTTTCTGTTTGCTCAACCTTATATACTTTGGCAAATGCACCTGCTCCGAGTCGAGTGAGAAATGTGTATCCCTTTATCTGGGTATTTGGAAGGATTTCACTATGCGACATCGAATGACACTTTTGTTAAATTTTGGAAGATGGAATTCTGAATTTCCTTAGAGAAAAAGGAACTATACTGCTAATAGATTCGAATTACCGTTTCCAAATATCTTTACATCAAAAAATTTTGTTTTTCCAACGATTTTCAAATCTATAATTCGTTTGTAAATAAGCTCCACTACATTTACTAAATAGAAATAAATCATCACAGCTCGCGAAATGAAGATTGCAATTCATTCAATTGAAAGGAAATAAGATTGAGATAAATAATTCTAATCGCTGGAATAAATTCTTATATTATTCACTCAAATTGCCCGAAACATATCCGATTCAGAATTGAGCAAAATGAGATTAAGAGAATTGGCTTAACAAATCAGATAAAAAGTACAAGCACAAGACATCAAAGTTGTTTTGTCAGTGGGTTCCTGTTAATTAGAAAATTTTTTTCATGAAAAAACAATTTTTTATCAAACAAGTATGTGCGGACATGTGAATAACGTAGTAATACTAGAGGACTGATATATGAGAACTGAGAAATAACCAATAAATGAAAATTCATTCATTGGAATATTTGGATAAGATTAAATCTGCAATTTGCACGATGTTTTCATTCTCTGACTCCACAGATAAATCATTTATAATATCTAAAAAGTCATCTGACACTTGAAAATCTTGTGATTGATAAATCAGAAGTAATGAATCGTGTAAAAGATCATCTGGCATAGAGTCAGAAAAATTTAATACATTTTCATAAAATGTATTGTATAATTCATCATTTTGCCATATAAAATTATTTTTGATGGAAGAAATAAGAATTGAATGAATTAGAATCTTGCAGGGAAATGAATGTCTATCAAACTCATTACTTTTTATGAAGCTAAGTGCTTTCATGCATAAATTTTGATTTTTTCCTGCAAGAAAAGAAATTACGTGAAGCATTGCCTGATAAACATTAGGATATATTTGCAATTTCAGATTGCAAATGTGGTCAATAACTTGACATTTAACCATATTTTGTAAATTTTCTTCAGTAGTAGCAAAACATTCAAAGATTTCAAAAACTTCTATTAGCAGGCTAATGTTGGAGATATCAAGCATACTGAACAGAGTTTGGCAGTTTTGTACCGATAAAGGTGCAAATGGGAATTTTTTAACGAAGTGCCTAATAATTGATAGACATGTAGTGCTTATTTGTATGTTAGTGAGTAAAAGAGTTTGAAAACAAAAGTCAATTAGCGAAATCAAATTTTCATCTGGAGAAAAAATTTGATTTATATTAATGAATATCAAATCTTTGCAATTCATAGCTATTAGCTCATCGGAATATATCATTGTCTTAAAGATATCTAATATAGAATTCATTATTTCTTGTGGTATCATGGTTTGAGACTTCGAAAAGATAGTTTTTAAGATATTTAATGATAAAGAAACAATTCTTTTTTCATCTTTTCTATATAAATTGCATGCAATTTTCTCAATAATGGATTGATCGATAATTTCATATATATCATCATTTTTGAGTAATAATTTTTGAATAATTAGTAAAATTATTTGTAAAAAGTATGCATCTGGTGTTTCTAACTGATTGCAACATAAAATGAAAATTTTATAAACTATATCTGTGCTCAAATCGAAGCTTTGATTGCAAGATAAATAATCATTAATATCTTGAGCCAAATTTATTGTCATTTCTATTTGAGAGTCATTTTGAAAAATTGATAAATCAAAATCTTCTTCTTCAAGCTGAACAAACGATATAGGTTGATCAGTATTAGTTGTATCTAAGATTTCTTTAGAATTGAGGCTAAAATCAAAGTTTTTATATTCGTCTAATGAAGAGAAAGACAATATTATGTAAAAGAATAAAAAAACATTTCATCCGGCAAAAATGGTTCCGCTGGGGCTCGAACCCAAGACCTTAGCGTTATCAGCACTACGCTCTACCTACTGAGCTACGAAACCTTCACATTTGAAGGATTTTTTAAAGACTAATAATAAAAATTTAACATTACGCTATTCAAACGATTTTCAAATCTCAAAGTCCATTCAATTGTATCAAAAATAAATTACAAATGTACTTATGCACCATTTCATAATATCTTCATATCTTTATTAATATTTCTGTAGAACCGATATAACCTTCTCAAATTTTCACTGTTAACGTTTTCTATTGTAAATTAACCCGATGAACTAACAATTCATAAATTTTTAAGTCTTTTTCAATTTTTTATATGGGTAGAAAGAAAAATCTTGCTAAGCACTCCCAAAAAAACGGAGATAATCAACACGGAAGCACCTCAGACATTGATACAGATTATGATGGTATGAATATATCTGATGATCCAAATGCTATAGAATATAAAATAATACACGCAAAACACCCTTTTGAAAAAAGAAAATTCATTGAATCAAGGGTTGTAACACCATCGCAGCGTGCAATTACTTGTTGTATTCAAATGAATAATGGCTGGGCGTCGGCAGCAGATCTTTTACAATTTCTCCAAAATAATTGGAGCTTCATAGGTAAACTTAACTCCAAACTTCCAAACAACATGCCAGATACAAGAATTCTTCATATAAATTTAGCGGTTAAAAAGAAGAACATTCCGCTTTTTATACAAGATCCAAACAAACCTCATTACTGGACAGTCAACTCATCAACAGATTTTGCTCAATTGCAAGATAAAACCAAATATAATATACCAAATCAGCAACCCGGTGAAGTTTCTAAGGTTGAAGGAGAGGTAACACCAGATGAGCCAACATCCCTTGAGGAAATTTATAAAATGGAAAACAAAGATTCTTTCGAAGCTCATATTCACGAAGCATTGAAGAGTTATGAACATGGAGTTACTCTGGAAGAGCTTGCAGAAGCTACAAAGAAACATGAAGGAGAACCTGGCCTCTTCCAAATACTTCCTCATGTGAGACGTGTTCGTGCTGTCTTAATTGTGAAGAAGTCTATCGGAGAAGTATTCGAAAAGAACGGAGTATGGACTTGCTATACAGAACCAACTAAAATTCCTGAAGTTGCACATACCGATTTTTACCCTGCTTGCTTGCGAACTGTTGATGTGACTGAATTAACTCTTGATGAGTTTTACAATATAATCAAGTCAAGTAAGGTGTGAAATTTTCATAATAATAACAAAGAAAAAAATATAGAAGTAAATGTTTGATGATATATTTTAAAATCTTTTATACTATTAGTATGTGATCAAATTTTACACCAAACCATCTTCAGAGCTCGGAAAAAATAATAAATTGAAAATCTAAATAGGAAATCAACCACAGTTTTTACATTATGAATCTACAATAAATTGTCATCCTATTTTTATGTTTGTATCACTTAATTTTGATTGCTTTCGTTCAGAAATTTAATCATATTTTAAATTGACAGACAATGTTATTTCACGATTTTTGTATGGTGCTTTGCACCATACAAAAAAGGTAGAATTCAATTTTTCAATAATATTTTCATATTAAATTTTCAACAAAACTCATAGAAAATTTAATATTTGGTTAATATAGTACATTGAGAATATGGGTTCATCGTGTGACATCTGCCGAATTCTCATATTATAAAATTTCACCTATTTCTTCATTTATGAACTAGATTTCAGCTACAACTTGCCAAGCATCGCGCTTATCTAATACCTTTTAGCAATACATCGAAGTCTTATCAAATTCAAATTTGTACTTTATTTCTAATTTCTAAAAGGAGACTTTTAACAAGTGTATTTGTGCTAACAGGAAGTTTTATTTTTTATGTAATAGTCTTCGAAATCAAATATATTGACAAGGTCACTGTGAAATTATAGGACAAACGATATGAAAAAAAAACTCAATTTTGATGGATCGGTACTATAATTGTTCTCCACATGTTTAGCATAGTATTTTATATGATAAAATACAAATATTATTAATTCAAAAATTGTAAAAAAGGTGGCAAATTTGTGATTTTTAAAATTTTTTATGATTGATCAAGACATTAACCAAAGTAAATACAACGAATTACGAAATATCTGTAAATACCACATCGATTCATATAATGCGTTGTATCAGATAAAATCGGAAAATGATGAAGAATTAAACACCATTTACAATATGATCAAAACAGAAATGATTGATTCGCAGAAACATCCTCCTTTAGATATTATAAAAGATATTTTGAGTATTATTCCGTATAATAATCGCTATGCAAAGTCATATTTGTATCTTGCCAAACTAATTTTTGATAATTGTCATGTCAAAGACATAGACATTGTTGAGGATATTTTAGACTCCATGTTTGATAATGGGGGTTTGATTAGATTAAACAAATATAAAGTTTTCGAAGAAATAAAATCAAAAATTATCGATAATCATGCAAATAAAACAATTTTCAGAGCAATTATGTATAATGACTTAGAAAGCTTCATCTTTTTTACTGAAAGAGATGGATTTGATAAAGATCAAACCCGGGGATATAATTATAATTTGTATCCTTATGATAATAAAGGATATTCATTTCTTGAATTATGTTGTTACCACTGAGTGGTTGATTGCTTCAAGTTATTAAGATCGAAATTTAATTCAAAGATAACAAATAAATGTCTACAACTTTCATTTTTAGGAGGAAATCCAGATATCATGGGTGAATGCTTGAAATATCAAACGCCAGATAAAGAATGCATGAAATATGCAATTGTTTCACACAACATTGATTTTGTCACATTCTTGATGAACGAGTACAATTTAGAGATAGATTTATTTAACTGCCAAAGTTATAAAAATCTTGATGCATTATTTGTTTATTACGTTCAAACTAATGATATTAACAAATGTTTTCTTTATTCTACAATATTTAATATCCCACACCTTTGTGAATATTTTCTTAACAATGGAGCAAATATCAATGAAAAAGATAAAGAAGGGAATGCCGCTCTTAATATTGCAGCATATAATAATCATATGGAAATGACACAACTTCTTCTTTTACATGGCGCAAACACCAATGAAAAAGATTATGATGGAAGAACTGCTCTTCATTATGCTATATGGAATAATTATAAAGAAATATCCGAAGTCCTTCTTTTACATGGTGCAAATATCAATGAAAAAGATAATTATGGAAAAACAGCTCTTTATATAGCAACTGAATATAATATTAAAGAAGCAGCACAACTTCTTCTTTTACATGGTGCAAATATCAATGAAAAAGATAATTATGGAAAAACAGCTCTTCATATAGCAGCTGAATATAATCACAAAGAAGCAGCACAACTTCTTCTTTTACATGGTGCAAATGCCAATGAAAAAGATAATTATGGAAATACAGCTCTTCATATTGCAGCTGAATATAATCACAAAGAAATAGTCGAACTTCTTCTTTTAAATGGTGCTAAAAATATTGTTCCAGTATAAGATATATTCCTCCAAAGTAAATAACATCAAAATTTGCTTTTATTTAGCGATATTTTTTTAATTTTATTTTCATAATACAATGATAATGTTTTCATTGACAAGTAAAATATGAGATTTGAGTTTTTTTATCAAATTCTTTCTATGCTTCCTCTATTTGTCGTTGATGGCGTTCAGCCAATACTTCTTTTGTCTTCTGAAAAATGGCAGACAGCCTTTCCATATCGGAATTATAGTCCATATTGCGGGATCCAAACTCACCTTGCATATCTTCGACTTTTGATGCTAGTTTGTTCATTTTATTTTCCATTCTCTTTAGAAATTGTTTAATATTAATATTGGGAATCAAGTTCTGCAACCACCTGCATATCATCTGTAGATGAATTAACGCTAGATACTGATACAATTATTGTAATTACTATTTCTGCAGCTTTTTCATAAAAAAGTTTAATAAGTGAGAGAACTTGTCTGCAATTCATTTAGGCTGAAGTTATCTGGATGTCTCTCAAATGAGGAGTGAAATCAAGAAACTTTCAGCATAAGTTAATGCAGATATGATTATCTGGCTCTTTGTGGGCAGAGAACTGATAAAAAGATTAATGGGTAATTAGGCCTGTTGCATGCCTATTCATTGAAAATCTACCTTATCTTTTGTTTTCCTGTCGCTCCTTTAGTTCCATTCCGAGGATATTGCCTGTGCAAGTACCTCAGAATGGCACTCTTTTCCGCAATCAGAATAAGATTGCGGAATTTTGACCGACAAGAGTGTTATATGCACTCTTGTTGGTCTACAGGTCTCATACCGCGAAATATACTCTCCAAAACTCGCATATAACATAAAAGGTTTTCATTACAATATATTTTTTATATATTTTGTTGTTTATATTTATTTATTCGTCTCCATTATTCTTTTTTAGACTAAATTGGACTATATGCACATATAAATGTGTCTTTACAACACATATATGCTCTCTTCATATTCTGATCCAATGACACATTATCGCAAAAACTATATTAAACTAGATTGGTCAGTGTTTTATAACACAATTTACTTTTATCAAGTCAATAAAATAAATTTGTTCATATGTTTAGTCATTATGATCTTTAAATGGTTTATAGTTTTTATGGAAAGTAAATTTTTGTTTGATTGAGATGAGAACCATTTTTGCGTAATTACATACCCTCTCCCAAAAACGCGAAAGTGCGATCCTCGTTGGTGTTTCTAGACCACGACAAACTTGTACAAATGTTTGAATGGTTTCAGATTCGTCCGTATTCTTAGATAACAAAGATATTAGATCAAAATACTCTTCTCTGAGATGTACTTTTTTGAAAGAATAAAACAATTTATCTCTAGGACGAATTTGATCAATTTCTTTGAAATACGTATAAAGATATCTAACTGGCAATAAAAGATAATCATTGAAAGAATATACGTGTATTGCGCGAGCAAAATATTTAACAATTTGAATTTTTTGTGTACAATTTGAAAATCTGTTTGTTGAAAACATATCCATCAATGTGCCAAAGTTTTCAACGCTCGAAACTTTGAGATAGAAGTATACGACACCTCGAATTGCAGCATTAGGATTTCTATGATATGCAAAGATAACTACAACATTTATTGGATCAGTGAGTTTTTCCGAGATAATGAAAGGAATTTCGGAGCAAAGAATTGACGTTTCCGGAATTTCAAAAAGTATGAAGTATTCATTTAGCTCTGTGTTGATTGTCTCAACAAGGAGATTTTTGATTTCTGGATTTCGTAAGAATCTGCAATCTTGAAAATCAAGGGTAGGCAAGCACATTTCACCAGACATTAAAATTTTATGTCAATTTTCTGATAATTTTCAATATAAATAAATACATTGAAAATCAGTGATATTCGACAAAAAATCAATATAGATTTTACAAAATATTTTGTTTGATAAGGGCCCGCTGCAACGATAGAGAGTAATCAAATTTTGAATACTTTTTTAAAAGAATCGTCATCGTCCTAAACAAAAATTTGTAATTTTCGAAATTAATACAAACACTTTTTTAGACACATCTAGTTATTACTATTATTTTTGGATCCGATTGAAATAATACCTACTAAATTTATAAGCGTAATAACCTGCATAATTTCATCGGTATTCAATGATCTAATAGGAACAATTTCATTATGTTTATAAAGATATTGTGCATCATTTTCTTTGTAATCGAAATTTTTTCCAAATTTGACTAATTATTCTTCTCCATAATAGGAATATAACTTTAAATTTCAGATAGTATATTCACATATTCAAACAAAGTACACATAGACACCAAAAATGTTTAATTTGTAGCTTGAACCAAGATATGTATCAAAATTATTCCATTTTACTAAATTCAGAGCATAATACTTCAGCAATGTCTTAATCTATACTAATAAATATATTTGGGCAATAGTTGAATTTTTAAGAATTTTCACTAAATTTCCCAATAAGAATAAATCAAAAAGTGACATATCACCTTTTTATGCCATGTAAAATGTCAAAAAATACATTTTATTTCGAAAAAAAGTATGAGTGAAAAACCGACAGCAGTCCAAGTTCTCGATACAGAGATTCTTTCATGCTGCAAGACTCTCGATTATGTTACCTATAAGCAACTTGTTACAGTCAAAAAAGATCAAGAAGAAATTTTTAAGAAAATGGCTCTATTGATTTCTGAATTTGAGAAGATTCAAGAGAAACTTCCAAAGAAAGATTTACAAAGTAGCACTCAAAAATTAAATTCAATTTGCGACAGATTAGAAAATGCAAAAAAGAGAATCCAAAATATTGTCCAACGCGCAGAAACAATGAAATTAGCTCTTGATTACAAGCCACCATCAGTTAAAACTTCTCCTTATTACGTCATGGAAACATACACTTAAATTTAAGTTCTTGATCCAATATGCTATTCATCCATCAACTGATATTAGAGTGTCAGAAATCTTAGTGACTTGAATATTGTTAATTCTAAAATATTTATTTGAAAAAAATATTTTTATACTTTGATAAGAAATGCATTATCCTTTCCTAAAAAGTCAGAACATAAGCTATATTTTCTATTCTTAATACCATATTCCCAAAGTTCCCTTCAAATTATTCACAACTTACATTTTTTTCTCATTACCAATCATTCCCCTATTATTTTGATGCCTTTTCTTGAGATATTTTGTCTTTTCTGTTCGAGGCTTTATTTTTCTTTCATTTTTTGTCAGATATTTTCAATAACAACGCAGAATATCAATTATTCATATAATGATTGGCTTCATTGTAAGGAGTATGCATAAATGGCATAAAGCAATGCTTTTGAAATAAAGAATTATTGTTTATAAAACATAACAAAAAAAATATAAAATATAAAATTATATGTGTCCGAATATGATGTGGCAGCAACGCTGAGCCCAGAATGATTCAGTCTTTGCAGCTTGTATTGGAATCTTTGCGACAAGTTGCTTCACTCCATTGCTTTCTGAGTAAATTGGTATTGATATTGTTCCTGGAGGGAGTTGTTTCACTGGTTTCAAGTGCATAACTGGTAATGGATTAACAATTTGGTCATTGACGTCTTCGATGCAAGAACTCTCTTCATCCCATCTAGCTCCAACTAAAAGCAAACCAGAAACATTTGCTCCGACATCTGCTGGCGCTTCCTTATTATCAGGAACTTTCAGCATCATGTAACAAGTGTGAGGCATCGAAGAATTCATTCTGCAGAACTTCAAAATCAAAGCGGAAATGTATGCTTTCGGATCGGCCAAAGAAGAAATATCGATAACGGCTGGCCTTGCCATTCTCGACCATTGGTTGTATGTCTCTGCCGCGTAATTCAATCTCGCCATCCAGTTCTCAAGTGGTCCTGGCCAAGGCAAAACAGATGTCCATTCTTCTGGTAAATCTCCTTTCAAAAGAGAAAGAGGAGTTTTATATGGACATTGTCTAACGAGTTGAATTGCAGTTTGTTCGCGAAGTGCATCGCGCTCGAATACAGCTCCAAGAGGATCTGTTCGAGGTGGATCTGATACAGTTATTTGGTCTAATTCTGGAAGTTTCTTTATCAAGGAATAGAAGAAAACTCCACGTTCTGAGAATGGAATTTCTCTTGAAACTACAATAGGAGACTTCTTTCTCGAAATCTTTGGCAATCCGATGATTTCTGGTGAATCTTCATCAGATGTATGTGAAAGAAGATCCAGCAATTCAGCGTAAGATTTAGGGGGAGCGTATGATGTCTCTATTCCGAGGATTGGAGACTCTGGAACAAGGTTTTCTGTGCTCATAACTCTCTCGAAAATCGCTCTGATTGTGTTTGAATCTTGTTTGAAACTCGAATGTCCTCCGTAACATAATTCAAACGCATTCTTAGTGGAAGAGATGGAGAAACTTGTTGGCTCTTGTAGATATGGTTTGATTATGTTGGAAGCAAATGTGAAATCAGCTAAAGAGAAATTACAATTTTCTGCAAATGTCACTTTTTCATAATTAGTTCTTTGAGCAATTGTTGCATGAGCCAAAGCCAAAGAAAGGCTAAGTCTGCAGCAAGCAGCTCCTTGGAAGAAGTCTTGAGGAAGGCTTTCCAAGCAATTTTGGATAATTCCCTTTGTTGTATTTGGACTTTCCAATGCAACTTTTGCAGCCAAATTCAACAATCTTAGAGGGAAAGAAGAAACATCAGTCGCTGAGATGAACAACAAGAAGTTTTGATGTGCACCTCCTTTGGCAATTGCGTTATCAACTTCCTCAATGAAATCAGGCATTGACTCAGAGTTTTCTAATAACAACCAATCTCCTCTTTGCATTGCATAATTTAGAGCTTTTTCTGCTGAAAGCAACTGACCATTTCCAAGTGATCTGACTTGTAAATTGTGTCCTTTACTGAGTTTCTGGATGTATCTTCTTGGAGTAACTCTTCCATGCAATGTAATTATGATTGGTGTCAAAGGACCGGCGATTTTCATTGCTGATTCTAGATCGAATTTCACTGGTTTCGCGTATTCTTTTCCTAATGTATGTTCGATGTAAATTCTCATTACACTTTCGAAGTTTTGTTGATTCAATTCTCTTTGCAAAAGTAAGCATTGAAATTCTGTTAATCCTTCTGAGATACAAGAAGGAATTGTAACAGAATGACTCTTGTACCAATCTTCTAACTGATGCGCAGATATCTTCAGTGTTTCTCCAATGTGTTTCAATGCTGGCAAAGTGTTTGCCAAAGCTAAAATTCTTCCCCATGTTTTCTGTGACATTTCTTTAACAGGAGGACTTTCGATGGTTGGAACTGGGCTTGGCCTTTTGAGGAATACATTCAGTTCTTCTTGTGTCAATCTTCTCTCAGTGATACTCAAATCTGTGGCAACAGAAAGAGCAAACTCTAATTGATGGTTGTATTTCATCGCTCTTGAAATCGAAATGAAAAGTGCATATGTCACTTTTGGAATTATATCCTCAATTTTATCACTTGCAGACAAAGTCGAGTCAACAACATGTCTTATAAATGCATTAGAGAATCTATAAGAAGCATTGCGACTGTACAATTGAGAAGCAGCATTACTAATCAATGCAACTCTGTTTGCAATTGGTAAATACTGACCTCTTTGTTCGACCAATTTATCAAACAATGTTTGCGTTTGTCCCAATGTCTTTGTACTCTCAGAGAGTGTTTGTTTGTTACCTTCTAAAGTAGTAATCAAAATCTCGTCATCTAAGATTTGGTCTTTTCCTATTGTTCTTATTGTTTCAAGGATCTTGTCATTGATCTGTTTAATTATCTTCTCTTCGCAAATGATCTTTTCTCTTGCATTCTTGATATCCTTTGACAATGTTGGATTAACAATGTCAGCAATGTGCAAAAGTTCTTGTTTTGCAAACGCTTCTTTAGAAATTTCAAATTCGACAACTGTTGTTTTAGTAAACGCTTGCGGAGATGGATTCTCTACTAAAGGCACTGTCATGTACAACTTGTAAGATTCTTCGCATTCTGCTGCTTTATCTCCAAGTTTTACATATGTTTTGTTGTCTTGTTTGAAAGTTCTTCTTGTTGTCAAGTTCTCTAGATTTGCGTCGAATGAGGATTCAACATCTTCCATGAGTATTGGAACACCTAATCTTATAGAGCTCTCTATTGTTCTCATAAGATTATGTGTTGTTGGCCTTACAACTGCGATTTGTCTCTGGTTTTCACAATTTTGGATGAATTTGGAAGCAATTCCCGTTGAATCCAAAATAAATGGTGTTCTTTCACTGTTCATTATGATTGTTGCTGACTCGATACACACTCTGTCATCAGGCAATCCGAATGCAATCCAGTCGCGAACAGTAGAACTCGAAACCATTGATCTGACAAATGAAAAGAAACCTGACAATTTGAAACCATGTTCATTCAAATAATTCAAAATCATGTTGTAAGCGGAATCTCTGAAATTGGATGTCATTGGACCTAAATAAACCAAGAATGATGCGCAAACGAAAGAATCAGCAACAATTGATTGTGCCAAAACATCATTTTGGTCCTTATTTCTCTTCCACGTTGCATTGTCTTCAGAAAGAATTTGTAGAATTCTCTTTGCATGAGCCATTCTGTTTTTAGCTGTTGTTATTCCTTCTGACAACTTTCTCTTCTCTTTGTTTGCTGCATCACATCTGTTCTTTAGTTCTTCAATTGTATCTGAAAGTTTCTTGACGTCATTTCTTCTTTTCTCGAGAACTTCTTGATCATTTTGAACAGCGTTTTGCTTGTTTCTTATTTGTCTTTCCTTTGGTTGCAAGTTATTATATGTTACTTCATAGTTATACAATGATGTTGCCCACATACAAAGAGATTTAGCAGCTACAGAAACTCTTCCAACTTCGCTTTCTTGGAAGTTTGGATTACTTTCAACATAAGGTTTGATTTTAGCCAAAATATCTTGTGGAACATGGCTTTGGTCGCTGTATTTCGATGAAATTCTCGAGATGAATGTCGAATCACTCAATAATTGGACAGCGGATTTCCAACTGACATCTACTTCAGCTAAAATACAAATTACTTCCATAACAGTTTTAACAACTAAAGGAGGTTCTCCGAAACTTCTTAGATCCATGATATCTCCTCTATTTAGACCCTTTAATTGTGCAATTGCGTTTGCAAGTTGTGGTTCAACAGACAAATATTCTTGTTTCATTTCATTGTTGAGTTTCTCTATTTCATCCAGTTTGTTCTTAACATTCTTCTCTTCGTATCTCAATCTCTGTGCCAATTTCTCATAAGTTACTTCGTTTTCATTGATGTAATGAAGTAATTGATCGGCTTCTTGACACATTGATTCGTATCTTGGTTTTTGATCAACCAATTGAACTTCTGTTGTCTGAAGGAAGTCAGAAATGTATTTAAGTTTATCAACACCTTCTTGCAAGTTCTTGGATTGGCTGTTGTTTTCATCTGTCCTCTTTTTAACCAAATGAATAAATGTTGACAAAAATGTGACAAAAAGTGACGGAGTAATGATGTAAATTTTGTTTTCGCGTTGCAACATTTTCTGAGCGATGTCCATTGCTGTATGATGCACGAAAACAGCGGCATCAACAATCTTATCTTGGTCAGGCATCTCAGCGAATGATGCGGAAGCAATTGCCTTGAGAGAATCATCAGGCAAAGGTTCGTAATAATCGAAAACAGAAGCTTGTGAAATTGATGGATAATTCTCTAATAATTTCGGTGTCAAATTATCCAACAAAATCATAACATGTAAGTACTGCCAAACTCTTCTTCTATACATGTTTCTTAAAGTTATAATTGACTCGTTTTCTCCTATTTGTTTGGCCGTGAAAACAAGTTCATTACAACCTTTGTCGACTTCTTCTGAACTCAAGAACATCAATGGATCTCCGCCTCCCATCAAAATTGACAAATTATTTGAGAACTTCTCGTTTTTAAGTTGTTTTTCTCTGACAACTAAAACGACTTTCTTTCCTGTGACACCTGCTTTGATGACACTGTTCTTTATATCATCAGTTTCGTTGTTAGATGTTGCGTAAATTGTATCAGCGCCTGCAACGAAAACTCCCAATCTAGAAACAGTTGTTTTTCCTGTTCCGACTCCGCCATAAAGAACCATATGTCCAAATGGTCTCTTGAGAACTTTAATCATTCTTGCCAAATGAATTCCTGAAGCTCTGAGAGGCAAAATTGTTTCGCTTTGCATTCTCTTTGCGTTGTTGAATTCATTGATAATGTTCTGAAGATTTTCGATGATTTCTTCTTCTTTGTATTCGGTGTAACTTTGTTTCAGATTATCTGAATTCGAAATATTTAGATCACAAAAGAATGTTTGATTAATTGTGTCTAAATTCATATCAACACCAATTTTAGATTTGATAGAATACAAAACAGCTTCATCGAAATGTTTTCTATCAACTTGATCAATGATTCTATCTCCAAATACCCTGAAGATTTCACTATAAATCAATCTAATAAATGAATCGGAATTAGATAATGATTTGTGATGAGTATAAAACACTCCAGAAATGCTTCTAAACAAATCATGAAGTGAAAAAGTATAATGCGGATGTCCATCTTTCTTTGGAATGTTCTGGACTAGTCTTTCATAGAACAAACAAAGCGCATTTGATACTTTGGAAATATTTGTTCTTACAAATTCATCAAATTTCGCGAAATAAACTTGGTAAATTGATGAAATAATGGTTGTCAAAACCGCCGTGTCAGGTTTTGTATAATTTAATGTATAAACATTTGCTGAGATAGAATGCTTGATAGGAGAAGTGTTATCAGCGATACAAATGATAGAAACATTCTTTGTTGGATAAAGTTTGTAATTTGGTAACAATCTGATACCTGTTCCATTAAATATTGATCTGATAATTTCCAAAGGTTGTGTTGCTGTTGGAGAATTCGCTTTATCAATGACAATAACTGATTGTGTTCTTCCATGTGGTTGCAAGTACTTTCCAGAGATTCTTTCGAAACAATTAGCTATCATTGTTGATGCTTCTTTTCCTGTTGTTAAAGGTGAAAATGTAATTGTTGTGTTTGTTTCGCCTTCGTTTTCTAAAGAAGAAACACAATATTTAACTAATTCTGTCTTTCCTGAACAAGGATCTCCAGTCAAAATCACATGTCTGTGAGCACTGAGCATGTGTTTCATAATGGTTGATATTCTGACTGTTTCTGTTGTTTGTACGAAACAATTGTTGCTTCTGATATCTTCCATGGTCATGGTCACTTCACTTTGGTCATTAATTCCGAAATGAGGGACTTGTTCAAGCCAATTCGACCAAGTACCATTTGCTGTGTTTACTGAGTAATCAAACAAGATTCCTCTGTTAGGGAAATCGGCTAAATTACTCATAGAATCTCTAACAAATGATTCGAATTGGATTCTCAACGAATTTGAAAGGAAACCGCCATAACTCCACAAGAAAGAATAAGCAAACAAACTAGAAATGATTGTTTGTCCTTCGTGTGAATCAGGAATTTCCAATCCTTTAAGAAGAGTTGTGAAGAAAGAGAAGAAAGTGTCAATCATGTTAAATGGCGAATACAAGCCACATAACTCGTTAATGAAGTCAACACCTGGATTAATTGTTGCTTTGACACATTCATCAATTCTTTGTATCAACTTCTTTTTATCGTTGAAAAGTGGATAAACTCTTTCTTCCAAAGCTGCATTTACGAAGCTATTTGTTCCGAATTCTTTTGCGGAAACATTGACAATGGAACAACGACTTAATAGAGCAGGAGATGCCTTAGAAAGATCATTTGTTTCAAACACAAATCTCATTGTATTCGGGACGATATATGTTGAAGAACTTCCGAATGAAATTTTGTGGTTGAAATCAAATGCCGTGCAAATTTGATCTGTCCAACTTTGATCCAAATCTCCTTCGAAAACAACCCATTGCTCTTTGTTGTTTAATATAGGAACTTGGTTCAAAACTGTGCCAATCACACCATCAAACCATTTTCCTTCTTCATCAATGCATCCGAACAATTCTTTTTGAGTGAATTTTCCTGGTGAAATCATTGTTTTTTCAATCTGTAAATATGCTTCATTTGTTTCACTGATAATTGTTCTTGCTTCTTCTAATAATTTAATAATAGAAGATTTTCCACTTCTTGGATCTCCTACTATTATGATTCCTTTCTTGTTAAGAGAGCAAAGTTGAAGCTGAACAACTTTTTGTATTTGATAATCATTCATCTTCAACTGTGCTTTGACAAACGCTGTATCAAGATGAATGGAAATTTCATCTTGTGCTTCCAAAATTTCAGGAAGAAATCCGAATTCGTCATTGATCAAAGGTAATATTAGTTGCTGGTCATAGTTAGGTAACAAGGGCATCATTATGTTTGCAATTGCTTTAGCAACATAAGTTGTTTCATTTGATACCATTTGACTTGCAACTTTCTTACTTTCTATGATGCAATTAATGATGTTTCTTAATGTGAACAAAGGTCTTGATTGTTCAGAAACAATAGCAGAAGCATGTTTGAAGAATCCATTGATGGAATCAGCCAAACTACTTGTGTTTGCGAATCCAAATACGTAAAGCAAATTCTCAGAAATTGATGTAACATCAGGCTCATAAATATTTACTGGTCTAAGAGTTTCTTTGAGATTTTCTGGGAGTTTTTCGTAATATGTCTTAGAATCATTGCATGTAATAAAGAGGCCGCAATTCTGGTTGAATTGGATATCAGTTCCATCTGATTCGTATTTCTTTTGTTGTTCGATTTTTGCGATAGAAATACTTTGATATTGTTCACTTACTGCTGAAATCACATCTCTATCCAAATCACTGAAACCTTCCAAACAAAGCCAGTATCCTCCTGTTGCTGCTCCTTTGATATATGACATGATTTGTTGTGTTGTTATGTCTCTTTCGCATGGTCTAACAGCTGCGAAACAACCCAACATTTCTGCCATTGCGAGGAACATATTTGTTTTACCTGTATTCGATTGTCCGATGATTGCTGCGTGATATCCACCTTTTATGATGTTAAACAATGAAGTGAAGCTTTCGAAAACTAAAGGTGTTGTTATGAATTTTGTTGATTTTCCAATATATTCATAACCATATTCGAAATTTTCGAAATTCTGAGTAACAATCAAATCTTTGGAGTTTTCATCCCGTCTGTATGTTAATTGTTGTGTCCAGAATGGATCAGAAACAGAAGTAATCTGTTTATCAATCAGATCTTGTACTAAATCCATGTAAAAGATATCATTCAACATCAATGATTCGATCTTATTCTTTTCAACAGGATGCAAATCCAAATGAGTGAATTTCGTCATATTTTGAATGTCTTGTTTGATTCCATTCAAAACTTCGATCAAACTCTGGTTTGGATTTTGAGAACTCAATGCTTCTTCTATTGTTCTTGTTCTCTCCAAATGTGTTGCAACTAATGCACATTGTATTGTACATACTTGTACCCAATCTTCTCTTATCATGTCATGATGTTTTTGTTGTGCATTTCTTATATCTGTTTTCACAGTTCTTTGCATTGCTTCGCACAATCCTAACAGCCAATTCTCAATGTTAGTGTGGAATTTAACTGGTCTTAATGAGATTCTTTCTCCTAAATCATTTAATGCGAAAGCAATAGACGGAATATGACTTTCCATGATGAATTCAACTGTTTGAATTCCTGTGAATAATTTAGGAAGATAAGGAATAAGTGCTTGATGATCTTTCATCTTAGAAATGAGATTAATAAGCTCTGTATTCGATAACAAATACAATCTTGGGAATGTTTGTCGTTTCTGTTCTAAAAATGATTCAATGGACTTATAAATTTGATCCAATGATTGATTTGCCAAAACTAAATCATTAATTATGTTTCCTGTGTTACATAACTTGAACGCCAATGGATCATCACTTGCTCTTTGTGAGAATGACTTCCATGACTTCTCAACAGCTGATAAATCTCTTGATTCGGCTGATAATTGTCTCGCGAGTTCCGAATTTTGGAAAATTTCAGAAATGAAAACAAAATTCTTCTGACAATTATCAACAGTTGAAATTGCTGATTCGAATGTATTAATATACTTAATCCATTCTTCAGCTCTCGCTCTGTGCTGAGCAACAAACTTAGAAGCCCTGATTGAGTTCAAGATTGACTTAGAATCATCAATAGCGTTCTGGATTTGTTCAATTCCTTCGAGATAATAAGCGTTTTTGTGGTTCTTGAGAGGTACAGGCGTGAATTGCAACTGTTCGATCGCGTTCTTCATGTTGTTCAATTGATCTAACAATGCTTGTTCGTTTGTTGCTTGTTCGGAGATTGTTCTTATCTTGTCAACATACAAATATGCCTTGAGATCGACAAGTTTTCCGAACACGAACTGTGGATCATTGAAGAATGTGTCTCCAAGCAATTTCTCGATTTGTTCAGTATGTGATTGCTTGAGAGCAGGATTCTTAAGGTCAGAAATGATTGGAACCATTGCTGCGAAGTAGTCAACCTTCTTCTTAAGGTCTTGTGCAACATTATTTTCAGGTAATCCTTGAGAAACAGTACTTGCTTTTGTAACAAAATCTTGTATTTCAAGTACCATTTTATCCGGATCGACACTTTGGAAACTTGTGTTGCACCATTCTTCTGTTTTCTGCGACCATTCCTTTTTCGTGTCCCATAACAATTTCTTGAGATTGACATTGACAAAAAGATGCATCACGTCATCGAAATCTGTTAAAGGAATCATCATTGCTGATTGATATTGATTGTATTCTTGAGAAGATTTGTAAATCTCTTCTGTTTGTTCAACAATTGATTTAAGGATATCAAGAGCTTCATCAGGAGTTGTTTGTAAATTGGAGAGTTTTTCATTATTAGATAACAAAACAACTTCGATAACTCTTGCATGCAAAGCAGCGCAAGATTTGTCGAGCATTGATTGGAATCTTGGCTGCAAAATTTGTCTGTTGTCATCAGCATAACTCAATGATCTCTTAACTGAATCGAATATAGGTGTCAACTCACTGAACATATTGATTTCATCCTGTGGAATTTGTCCGCCATTTTCATTTGCCAACAAATGCATATCACGTATTGCATCGGACAAATTATATAATTCTCTGACAGTTTCTTGATTCTTTTTCACAGCATTCAAGTAGCCAACGAATTGTCCAACATTATCTGTTTGAAGGGATAACTCGTGATAAGCTTCTCTTACTCTTTCATTGTATTTCACCAAGAATTTATGGGAAATTGTCTTAAGAGCTCTTTGTATTTCGTTCAGACATTTACTTGGTGATTTCATGAAGAGTTCTTTCATTCCGGAAATGTTGCATTCATACAATCCTGTGTCATAAACTTCTTCTATCTTACTGATAAAGTCTTCTTGGTCTTTCAGCTCTTTGATTGCAGACCGAATTTCACTGGCATTGACAGTTTCTTTGTCAAGAAAACTGACATCAAATTTAAGGTTCTTTTCATAAATTTGAATGGCCTGATTGAAATTCTTTTTGAAGAAATCCAAGAGTTTGAATGTATTCTGTATCAAAACTTTGATATGTTCAATGACCATCTTATACAATGGATCATTTGGCAAGATATGGTTGACATCAGGTGTTGACAACTTCTTTTGTTGCGTTGGACCTAATTCTATCGCACTGGAAATGTATTGTTTGAAGACAGGATTGTGGATCATGCGTGGAATGGAACAAAGAAGCTTTACAACACCTGTTCTGATACTGGAGATCTGATTTATCACTTCATCAAATGTTGGTTGCCAAACAAAACCTTTTTCGTAAATTCCTTCAACGGATAATACGGGTTTTGAGAATGTTGATTGCGCAGTTGCTTTCATATTCTCATAAATGTTCTTCCATTCAAAAGGAATGTCCAAATCTTTGAAATCTGAATTATCATATCCTAATAACTCGGAACCAGCTTGAAATCTGTAGGATAATACAGTAAATAGCTCGAGTAATGACGAATTACATATTTCTCGAAGGTTATTAACGATCAAATAATCGATCATTCGGACAAATCTTACAACCATTTGACATAAAGCGTTATGGACAGCTTTGTTTGTATATTTGTTGCTTGTAGCTACATCGTATGTTGATTTCGAGTCGATATTCTTTTGTTGCTTCTCGTATTGAGCAATTAATTGGTTTAATGGTGATTGGCTCTCTTGGTCTTTGTCGCGATCATGAGATCCTGTATCCATTGACTTTTCGCAAGCTGTTGCCATAATTCCAACGATGTTGTTGAAGAATTGATCGAGATTTTCTTTAAGTTCTTTGTGATTTCGGGCATTTTCTTCGACAAATGCGCCCAATGTGTATGTTTTCTTCGGATTGATAGTAATAATCTTGAGTTTACGTAAGTTTCCTAACTCTTGCTGTATTTTGATGAATGCAGGACGTAATGTTGGGTTTGCGAAGAATAAATTTGTTGTTAAGCCAAGCTGTGCATTGCTTTGCTTCTTCTTAAGAATGTTTCGATGCCATGTCTTGAAATGACGCCATTGTCTTTGGTATTTAAAGAATGGAATTGTCATTATTCGAGAAAATAGATCATTTTCACGTAACCATTGCTCCAAAGGTATGAAATCTACAACAGGGCGATTAAAGTGAGTAAGTCCTTTCAAGCTTAATGTCCAGAAATTCGAATCTTTCATTTGTGAAGCCGGAATAATGCGTAAACATGTTGGATGCTCCGAGTCTTCGATGATATTTGCTGGTTCTAAGTATACATATTCTCTTGTATCTGTTCCAGCTTTAGCCCTTTGGATGTATTCGATTGGATCTTTCGTATAAGGTATTTTTTGCGGCTCTGATTCGATTGGTATTGGTTGATCTGCAGTAACTTGTAGTGGCGGTAATACTTTTTGTCGCAATTGAATTAGTGGAGATTTCAATTGTGGATGATTTTTGCTGAGAGTTGAATTAAACGTCACTGGATGATTATGTATTGCTTGTTTTGGAACCAGGCGACCTAGTAATTCTTTGGAATGTTTATTAGGTATATTACTGGGGCCTGGAAAAGTCATTGACTCGAAAATTTTAGTTCGTTTTTTTCCCCTTTGTAAACAGATCTTATGAAAGACAGTCTAGATAAGAACTTCACACCTCTCTTTTAGTGAAAGTAGACTCGTATCTTGGAATTTGAATAAATGTCGTACTTCTCACATCTTCTAACTAGCAAACAATCACATTATAATCTTTGAATATCTTTTATTTGTATTCTTACTCCAATAAATAGCTTTCTTATCTTAAGTTTTATTGATATTTTTTAATATATACATGCATTGCATAGCATATTTTTCTGGGTCCAGGAAATTTAAATGGTCCTGGCGTTTTTGTTTGAATATTGTTCTTAGTTTCGGTCAGACTTGAACCAGAGAACTCAACTCCACAATCTATTTATCAATTCATGGTCGAAATTATAATTTTTTTAATTTTATAGTTTTCGTATGTTTACTTATAGATTTGATTTTAAGTCTCGGATTTTAGTTTGAAATCCAATTCTTAAATATCTAAATCGAACAAATTTTTCTTGATGATGAATTTCTGTTTTGGAATTTGAGTTTTGTTAAGGGTGTACTGTAAGCGGTTTGACACCCATTTCTAAATTTCCATCATTTCAAGAAATATATCCGTAATTTTTATTCCTAAGATTAGTAATAATGTACTAATGCATAATAATAAAAGAAAGTTGAAAAATGTTAAATAGGTAAGGAGTTATTTATGAAATAAGTATAGCCTTAAATATCCAATTGATCGAAATTGAGTACCAAATGATCGAAATTGAGGGTCTGTCAAACCGACTACAGTGCACCCTTAAGCAATTAAAAGGGGGGAACTTCGTCGACAACAAAGGTATCGACCAAAATTGTTCCCATTATGCTTGACATATGAAGTATAGTAATAGTGTGTATGGACTCATAGAATGACTTTCGTTTGATTTCGAGATATATTATCATCTTCTAAAATATCCATACTTTACTTGATAACCCATATGTATTAATGTATTATGAAAATTAAACGAAAAATATGGCTCAAGACGAGCAAAATTCGATGCTAAAAAAGTAAATTGTTTAATTATTAGGGTGCTTTCAGGTATTTTTCTGAAGAAACACTTTATTCGTTTTTCTTTCTACATCTGTATATAAAACATGCACAAATAAGTATTTATAATTAAAAATATTATTCGAATTGGGTAATTAAATCGTTAGATCTTAGATTTTATTAATCATTTCTTCTTAAAATGAGACTGTGGTAATGGGAACTGTGTATGAGAGTTGGAGTATTGTTAAATTGCGCGAAATGTTGATAAGTTTCAAAAACAATTTGCAGTATGTTCAAGTATATTAGAATTTAATAATATGTGATAACATCGACTGCAAACAATCGATTTTAAGTGATCGATGAAAATCGATATCAATATTTAAAATTTTCGAGGTTTTTTTGACTGATAGCAATTGCTTTGGACACCTAGAATGAAGTTCTCCTTGGTGAGTTTCTCCAAATTTTTTCCATTTTAGAAAAAGCCTATGCAATTTTCTAGAAAATGATAACGTTTTTTTCAATTCTCGATTTTTTTTGGAAAAATGAGGTTAATTTTTTTGAAAATTTATAATTTAGAGAGAAATAAACCATTTTCATTGTGTTATAAATCGATAAAACCTTTTTATTTTTGCTATTCTATAATATTTCTACTAAAATATATCACTTATACAGCAAAATCATATAACTATTTTTCAAAGATATAGAAAAGAAGAATATATTCCTAAATTATAAATCAGTCATAGTTTACTATCAAAAATAATATATTATTATATATAGATAACCATCCATTGTTAGTAATTTAAAATTATTTCTGGTTCAAATTAAGGATTATCTTCACATGTTTAGAAAATATTGTAAACATCTAGAAAACAATCAATAATATCATGATTTTATTAACAGATGAGTTCAAGATATATATTGTGATTTGATTTTCGATAATAAATCTGAATCAAATGTATATTAAACTCGCACATTTAGTCTTCTTATCATAATAATGTTATTAGTTAGTGACTATGGCTACAAAATAAGCAACATTAGATCTGTATCTCATAATCAAACGGAAGTTAAGCTAAGATATTTGAGATTTTATCACCTGGTAGTATGCATGATACTATACCAGAATGACTAGTCAATCTGTTGTTTTAATATCGTTTTAATTTTTTTATGCCAAAATAGTACTCTGGCTATCATTGGTAATACGTAAGGTTGCTACTGTTGTAATATTTCGAAAAAATAAAGGTATCAACTTTAATGCAAGATATGATGAGTTGAACATCGAATAATTGGGTTTTTGTAATACTAATATTCTTTAGTCCCTAGTATATCATTGTTTCATACTAATAACGTGGATCAATTCCCTTTCAATGATCAGATAAAGCAGAAACAATATACTCAGGTGCCACTTTTTTGGTCTAAAAAATGAGTTCCCCCCTTTTAAGCAATTCATATATATATCTATTAAATTATGATTGTTTTTCTGTAAAAATGAGATCATTTTTTTCTGATGTCGAAATTATCTGATTTGACTGTTTTTAAGGAAACGAAAATAAATCCGTCAGTCAATTCAGAGCAAAAGGTTTTGAGCATAGATGAAATAGTACCCGAAATTGGTGAAGTTTCACCAATTAAAGACGATACTATTCAAATCACCGAAAATATCAACGATTATTACATTGCTAAGAGCTTAGAAGCATTTGCATTTCCTCATCCACAAATCCTAATAAGTCTCCTTCCAGATAAAGAGAATTTTGATTCATACGAAATCCGAAGAAGACTTAAAACAATATTCCTTGCACCAGTTGATGAAGAATTATTAACACCATTGCAATGCATTGCTAATTCATTTGGTACAACAACGCAACATCTCATTTCGACCTTTAAATTTGATACAAAATTTGGATTTTATGAGCAAGAGTGGAAGAAGATTTATCCAAAGCTCAAATTCAGTACAACAAGTCCATTATCCGAAGATTGGGCTCTCTTAACCATTGACAACCTCAAACAACTTCATATCCTTGCATGTATCTTAGATACTCGTATTTATCTCTTACATACAGTTTATTCTGAAGATGATACAGAAGATCCTGTTGTCTTTTCAACATTTGTTGGACCAGAATTTCCAAAATCAAACTGTTACTTGTATTGCTTAACACATAACAAGTTCCTTTTATTATCAGCGCTTTCAAGAGAAAAGAAATATGACATTCATCACGAGCTTTCTCAGAATATCCAAACAATTCATCTTTCTGATAAAAGAACAGCTCATTACCTCTCATTTTCACAGCTTTTCAAGTCTATTTCGGAAGTTGGAACATCATTCAGCAAGTTAAATTTCTCATAAGTCATTGATTCCTCTCTGAAACAACCGAAATTTGATTTTTCGAAAGAGAATGGCGAATTAATTATCAAACTTATAACACCACAATACGATGAACAACTGAACAAAGTATTTACAGAGCTTGGATCTACAAAATTAACAAAAACCGAAATTGACGTTAATAATCACGAATTTCCAACTAATTCACAGTTGTATACTACAAGAAATTCAGCTCTTATTGTCACAGAAAGCGAAATCTCCAAGGATTATGATCTTTCTTCGTTGAAAGAGATAAATAATGAAAAAGATCTTAAAAAGATTTCGACAATATTCGACAAAAACGGCATTCCTGAGATCGATGAATCCTCTGCAATCACACAGTTCCAGTTATACCGTCTCCTTTCCATGTTTTCAGCGAAACCGGTTAAATTTGATTACCAAGGCAGCCAACACCTCTTCAAGAACTATGTCACACCATCATACAACATCAAAGACCTATCAAACAATTCATTTGTTGATCTTTTGTGCATGGATGATGTTTTATCAGCTGCAGCATCCAGTTTGACACTTTCATGCTCTGTTTGTCTTAAATCGAGGCGTTCTAAAGAGTTCAAACACTCCGTTTTCATTCCACACCGCGAAAAAGACTCTCCATTTGTTTCATGGATTTGTCGATCATGTTTTGAGCGGCAAAGTCCTAAAACTAAATTTGAAATGAAATCAAACTTCCCCGAGATCCACCAGACAATTGAGAACTGTGGCCAGAACTGTCCTGATGACAAAATCATCGAATCATTCGAAAAGATGTCGAAACGTGTTAAAAGCACTATTTCAACTATCAAACAACGACCAATTGGCAATCAGAGGTCAATTATTCCAGTTGTTATTTCTCTTCATGATGAGTTCATCAAGATCTTGAAAGTTTTCCGTCAGAGATTGATTCAAATGGAGAATATTTCATCAAACGACTTAGTTACAATCAAAGACGTCACAGAATACAACGCAAGAATCGGAAACAACCAACGCGTTGTCAAAGTTCCAGAACCAGATATCGAAGTTGTCGACAAAATCACATTTACTAAATTCATTGAAGAGATGACAGAAACATGTCATGAAAATCTGACATCAGTTTTGACTATGTCACCATTTGATCTTTACAAGAATATCCAAGAACAATCTAAGAATTCTATGAAGACAAAAACAACAGATGACAAAATTCAAATGGATTGCGATGATTTCACTGATCCGAAATGTCACTTCACTTTTCAATCTACAAATGATCATAAGATCACAGACATCACAAATGAATATCGTATCAGTGAAATTGATAACGGTTTGTTTATTTCAAACAATTTTGTCACTTTTAAGACTAAAGGCAAAATTGTTGGAGTTTTCAAGATTGTCTCTAAATTACTTGTTTGTCTTAAAACAGACGATGTTTTAAGAGTTTATTTGTGTCCTTTATCAGATACATTTGTCGAAGAAAATGTTTTGATCAAGGAAATCCAAAATGGTCAACTTTGTCACTTTTTTGAGAATCAACTTTTAATTTATGGAGATAAAAAAGTCACAATTCTCGAAATTGACGATAACTATGATGTTCAAAACACTAAAGTTATCGAAAACATTCCAATTGAAGTCAAATACATTGGTTCTGCAAATGATACATTCTATTTATGTTCTGATAATTCGTTTGTTACTATTTATGACGCAGAAATTTCAGATGTTAAAGAAATTGAAGGAAAAATCATCAATGTCACATCATCTTCATCTAATTGCTTTGCCATCAGAGATAACCAGACGGCTGTTTCATTGTTAGATGATGATTTCATCAATGGTGTCCATTCAAAAGCTGTTTTTACATCAATCAACGGTTTATGTGGCATTTTGTCATTTGACGATAGTGGCAAACCGTTTTTCACACAAACAACAGAAAACGTCACCAAAATTAAATTTGTCAACAAACGAGAGAAAACAATTACTAAAGAAACAGGTCTTTTCAAGATCAATAAACCCGATAAAATTACACCACAAATGGTGTCACATCTTTTGTCTTCTTTTGTTCCTTCATTGGTTATGACATTAGATAACAATCGTTTTGCTACATTTGTCACGAATTCGCTTGAAATGAAGAGTCTTTGTGTCAAAAGGAACAATTTCGAAGGTCAAGTTAAAAACTACTTCAACAAGTGTCTTAAAACAGTTAGTTTACATTCAACAGAAGAAACTGTTTTAAGTGTTGATAGTCTTTGTTCATTAGTTTGTTTTATTGGTCTTAATTCCGCATTTTCTGCAGTTGATTCTATTTTCGGACATCGATTTTCTAATTCAAGTTTTGATGGAGTTTTTGTGTCAACAAAATTCACAAATGATCGAATTTTTATTCCATTAGTTTTTGAGAACAAGAAGATTCAGAAGAAAGATATTCAGAATGAGATTGATTGTTTAGTTTCTAAGCAGGTTCCAGTTGTTTTAGTTTGTGGTTGCAGCAATGACTGTTTCGAATACGAAGGAATTGATAAACTTAACATTCTGTCATTCATTTGCCCAGGAAAAGAATCAAAGAGGATTCTGAGTGAATTTGTTTCTAAGGAAATCAATTGTTTCGAAGAAGGTGATGAAAAAATCACTGAAGTTTTTGAAACCGTGGAAAAGGTCAAAGGATCAGATGCTATTAAATCAGCCAAAGAAGTTTTATCTTTGATCGCAACTAAGAAAGCTTTCGACAACTCCGAAATTTCTTCTATTTTGAAATTTATCAACTAAATAAACATTTTTAACTTATTGGTCACAATTTTTTTATAATTATAATCTTATAACCGTATATTTTCGCGATAATACTATAGAAACAATATAATCGTATTCTGATTGCAGAAGATTGTGCCATTCTGGGAGAAATGTAGTGACAATGTCTCCCAGAATGATACATGCAGACCAACAAGAGTGCATATGGCACTATTGTTTATCAAAATTCTCTTAAAATTCTTCATAAACAATTGCAATATCAGATGTGACATCATAATCAAGTATCTGATACCTTAAATATATATATATCATGCAAATCAATGTAATAACTCAGTTTTTAATGATAAAATAACATAGAAATAATGGATTTGATTTCAAATCAGCATTTCAAATCCCAACCCTCACTAATAAAAAGTCTAGATTATATGCTATCATTATTATAATTCTGATTTGAATTTGGCTTTATAAGAAATCCAAATAAAAATGGGAAATTTGCGCGGAAATAATAATAAATGAATTATTCATAGAAAAACTTTTCTAAATTTTTATAAAATGGATGATAACCAAGTTATTATAGATATTCCTGGAGCAATATCAGAAGCAAAACAGGTTCAAAATCCTCAGCATAGAGTTACAAAGTATATGGACGTTCTTTATGCAATAAATCAAGCTGAAAAAATTGATGAACGTTCGTACAAACATATATTATCAATATTAGAAGATACTTATGCACTTTGCCGTCAATATAGAGTTCTAAATTCGGATGAAATCAAAGAAGCTCTGAATTATATCAAAAGGATTGTTAGACAAATGGACAAAAACGAGCAAGATGCACTTCCCTTAACTCAAACTAAGCTTCGCGAATATATCCATCAAACAATTGGCGCAATGAGATTTATAATTCGAGATCTAAAGGATTCCAAAGAAAATCCATATCATTTCCAATTAGACATATCTACAGTACTCCTGAGTATTATGATGTTCATCTTATTTATCTTCGTTGTCATTAAAGTTAGGTCTGTTGAAAATCCACGTAAAAGGAGATGAAATTTAATAGAAAATATACATCTCAGCTAGCTATTAGAGGATTCTACTTAATGAATTTTCCATAAAATTCAAAATTACAAATTATTTTGTCATAATTCGCAATATTAACTAAACTGTTCATTTTATTATATTACGCTATGAAATATGAGTTGGGTTATAGATAAAAAGAATTTTATTTAATAAACATGAATAAAGATTTGAGAATATATTCACTTTGATTGTGAGTCAAGCCTGGCCTTGATATCATTGATCAGATTAAACATTGTTGACATTTGGGAGTTAAAATCTGATTTCAAATTATTAATTTGTTGTTGCATCTCTGTTCTCAACTGATTAATATCATTTGATCTTGAACTGTACTCATGCCTTGGCTGATTGATTGGCCTTGGTGGCTGAGACTGTTGGCGAACTGGTGGAGGAATCTGATTTTCCTTATTTTGCTTTCTTTGTTGCTGTTGCTGTTGTTGCTTAATGCTCGAAGCTGGCCGCCTCCTTGGCTTGGGTCCTTTAATTGGCTGTGGAGGTGGGATTGAAGATTTGATATTTCTATGAATAACTGCTCTTTGCTTCGCTTCTTGATCTTTAGCTCCCTCTTGAAGTATGTTTACATCATTCTGGAAATGCTGTCTGAAGATCCTTGCGCAGTTCTCATTGGCATAGAAAAATGGTGATTTTCCTTTGGCATTTTTAAGTGTAGCATTTGCTTGGTGAGCTAAAAGATTATTGACCATATCTGCGTTATCGCTCATAGATGCATAATGCAATGGGGTGTTAAGGAGATAATCAACCGCGTTAATATCAGCGTTATAATCAATAATTCTTCTTAACAATTCAGTACTTCCTGATATTGCAGCAAGGTGCAAAGCAGTCTGACTCTTAGCATTGATTGTATCGATTTCAAATCCTTTTGAAAGGAATGTTGTCACGGCTTCTGAATTATTATTTGAAATTGCAACGAAAATTGGAAGGTCGTCATTCTTATCAGGTATTTTCCAGTTGGCATTCTTTGAAAGTAAGTGATCTAGAATCTTTTGCTGCTTCGTTCGAGCTGCGATATGTAATGGAGTTTGGCCGTCCTTATTTTGTGCATTGATATCAGCGCCATTGTCTACTAAGATTTCAACAATGTTGAGATGTCCATAGTTAACTGCAACGTGTAATGGAGTATTGGCTTGAACTCTTGCGATATTAATATCAGCATGGAAATCAAGTAATGTACGGAGTGTATTCTCAAGTCCATTTGCAGCTGCATAGTGAATTGGAGCCCAGCCGTTTTTATCCGTTACGTTAATATCTGCGCCAGCGTTGCAGAGATATTTTACGACTGAAGAGTGATCGTGTTCGCATGCGTAATGTAATGGAGTTTTATTATTTTTGTCTTTTGGTGACTTTTCTGCGTATCCTTCTAATAATAATATGATGATTAGTAGATTTCCTTTTGAAGCAGCAATATGTAATGGAGTTTTTCCATTTGCATTTGGAAGATTGCAATTTGCGCCGTTATCAATCAAAAAACGAACAATATCTTCGTGCTCATTAGCTACAGCTTTGTGTAATGCTGTAGAATGATCACTAGTTTGTGCATCGATATCAACGCCACTATTTACAAGAGATTTCACATTGTCAAGTTTACCTTTAGCTGCTGCAGAATGCAAACTTGTCATTTAAAAAAGACGTTAACTCTCAATTTCTCTCTAGTTTTGGCGCCAAGCCTTTAGAATAAGGGAACATCTTAGTTACCAATTAATTTGCATATTCCCTAAAGAAAATTTTCAATTATCAATCATTTCCCCATAATCGAATCAAATTGTGACTTAAATGAGTGCATTTTCATTAGATTCGATATTTCCTATTGATTTTAGGATGAAAAAAGAAGTTTTGATTTGATTATTAGCATAACAAAAAAGAATATTTTTACAACAATTACACTTTCGTAGATTGGTGAAGTTTTGGTTTGTGGATAGGAGCAGTCCTGCAGCTCATAGAAGTTTGGGAACGTTTTGGAATCAAAATTCCCTCAACTTCTGTTTTCTTTAACATTTCTACTCTATTTTCATCAACAGACTCGAAATCAAGTTGCTGGGCCTTAATTCCTTTCTTAGCGCAAAGCTTTTCAACCAAATTTTCAATCATTTGGCATCTTTGCTGCATTGGTGCCAATGCTTTAGCTTTTTCTGCATGAATCTTCAAAAGCCTTGCATCAGCATTTTGTTGGAAGTTATTTAATGCTTTTACATGAAGTTCTAGCAATTTCTCCCTCTTGTTCTTATAAAAATCTGACATTTTTTCATAATTTTCCTGATCTTCAATTTGTTCAAGTTGATCTGCCTTTTCTTTCTTCTTTTGAGCCTCATCGAATTTCTTATTCAATGCTAGATTCTTTTCTTCACTCCTCAATTTCCAATATGTTACAGAGTTCCTCTTGAAAAGCGGTTGTAATTCTGTTGGAACAGATGCATCGAAATCATCGACTTCTTTAGCTTGTGATTCTCTAATTTGCTGTTCTCTTTCTACGTTCTGTTGCACTTGAGCTTCAAGATCTTTGTCGTATTTTTGTGAAATATATTCCAAAAGAGCTGCAAGTTCATTTCTCTTTGTAATTAAATCCTGGATATACTCTTTACTTGAGTTGAAATGTTTTGTTTCTTTCATCTTTCTATTAACGTATTCATTAGCTTCTGAAGCTTTGCATGCTTCCATATATTTCTGCTCATTGACCTTCTGTTGTTCTAAACGGCGAAGTTGATAAGCAGAAGCTCTGAGTTGTTCAATGGATGGATCTTCTTCAGGTTGTTTATCACTAAGTAATGATTGTGTGAAATCATCAAGTACAACTTCACGTGATTTAGAACGATATTCTGATGAAGATGTCGCTGCGGCACGAGGAATAACATTGCATGTGTAAGAATATGCGTTAATACGTCTAGCAACATATTTATTTGTTCTTATTCTTTCGGGAATACGCTGTTGCTCTTGAACCCATGTTAACTTCTTTGGAATTTCTTTCTTTTGAGAAGTATTTGATCTTTGAGAACTCTTTTCTGACTTCGGAGAGTTTGTTTCTGATGTAGGAAAGCTTGTTTGCTTTGGTGTTGATTGTTGTGATGTTTGTTTCTCTTGATTTTCTTCAGGTGCGAATTCATTTTTCTCTTTTTCAGAATCGGATTCGCCATCGAGTTTATCTTTTATAACATTGCTTAAGGCTAAACCTGATTCATTGTTCTCATTATCATTTTTAGGTAAATCCTTTTCTTTTGAATCTTCGTTATTGTTCTCATTATCTGATTGATTTGATGAATGCGATGGACTACTAGAAGATGAAGATTTTTCGCTATTAGATTTTGATGATTCTGTTTTATTTGGTGATTCTTGATTTTCATTTTCCGGTTTTTCTTGATTTGGTTCATTTTCGTTGTGTTCATTTTCATGTTTCTGTTCTTCTTCGGCGCTATCTGATGGTTTTTCTTGTTTATCTTCTACTGGAGCTTCATCATGATTTGCTTCAGCTGGGGATTGTTGATTTTCTTGCTTATTTTCATTTTTTTTGGCCTCTTCTGGGTGTTTGTTCTCACCGACTAATGCTTCATTCAAAGCAGTGGCGAAAACTTCAGACACCTCTTCGGTCATCAATAACGTACTTTTTCTCCCCAGAAATTTTTATATATAGACCCCAAAATTCGAACGTTTGGGAACAGTTTGTACTTTACAAAAAAAATCAAAATTAAATAATGCGCCAAATATTATCCACTATTGATACATCACTATACAAAATCCCATCATACGCTGGTTGCGCAATTGGCTGTGCTGTTATTTTATTGTTAATAATCATGGTTATAATCAGAGCAATCCCACATAAACCTAAAAAGCCAGAAGAAGGCGAATCTAGCGGTTCAGGACTCAATATTAACGATCGTGACGTCGAACTTGGTGAAGCTCACGGAAATGATACAGAATCAGCACAAATCGATCTATATGCTAATCCGGCTGGTCAAAATGAGGATCCACCAATTAAGGGAAGAATCGATGCTAGGCCTAAGGATCTTAGTAGCGATGACGAAATTTAAATTTACTAATAATATTTTGTTTCCGACTAATAAATCTATATGTTGCTTTATTCATCATTATCATATTTATTTATACACTACATGAAATAATTCTAATTGATTCTTTATATATTAGTCAAAATTTTATAATGGAGAAATTACTCGCTTCGAATGAATTTCAAATTAAAACATTTGACAATATAGTTGCAAAACTCAATGGCCAAGAGTACCCTGGTATTCTTGTTTTCACAAATGGGCATTTTCTCCATTATGTGGAAAATACTGATTCTTTAACATTCAGATTCGGACCTGACGATCTTGAAAACGAAGCTTTATCCAAGAAATCTTCAAAAGATGTTCCACTTACAGAAAAAAGTCAATCCATGCTTCGAATTTTTAATAATCAAACAAAAAGAAATATAATACTTTCATTTATCGGAACAACATGTAATTCTGATGTTGATCAGGTTATTGAACAATACAAAGTTCTTAAAAGTTCACCTCCTCTTCCTGTAGACAACGTTGTTGATAAATTAAAAGAAGTAATTCCTGAAGAACTCTTACTAAACGAAAACAATGAACTAGATCCAAAATATGCTAAAGATCTCCTTAAAAATAACCCAGTTCTCGATAATCTTATGCGAACTTACCCAGAACTGCTGGAAGATGACTATTTAGTAAACTTCCAAAACCAAATTATTGCAGGGATGTCTACTGGAAGGTTGCTTCCACAAAATATTGCCGAAAATACTAAAAAAGAATTTGCAAAAGAGAAAAAACTTAAATTTAAGACAGGAGACTTGAATTTGGACAATCATTTAGTCTCGCAAATATTCAGAAAGCATCCAGAGATATATACTGCTTATCAAAACCTTGTTCCTTCCAAAAAATCTGAAGAAGAATTTTTCAGAAAAGACTTTATACAGCTTTTAAAGGATGCAAAAGCTAAACCTACACCTCCAAAGCCAGCAGCCCTTGAATCAGACCTAACACACGGTCAAGGTTTTATAGAAAAAGTCGAAATCGAAGGAGAAGAGCTCAAAAGCCTCCAAGCGTATGCCGATGCTATTTCTGTTGGAAACAAATACGATTCAGTTCAAAATACTATGGAAGTTCTCACAAAAACTGAAAATGAAATCCAACAAACCGAAAATCAGCCAGAAGAAGTTATCCAAATACCACCACATGTAAGATATCAACCAAGTGAAGAAGAATTGCAGCAATTTAATGATGCAATTTTAGAAATGAATCAATTACTTGCTGCATCATTGAATAAACAAGTTGAAATTGATCAAAACACATGGTATAAAGCACTAGAAGATATGACACCAGATGATGGCCTCCAACACGTATTTGTTGAATCAGAAGAAGATGAAATTCTCCAAGTTGCCATCAGAAAGGCAGAACTCCAGATATTTGCTCATGCTTTCTGGCAAGCAGTCAATACTCATAATGAAGAGAAATATAAAAAGCTTGGAGCTGCAATTGAAAAAATTCAATCAGTTGTGAATCAAGAAGCCAACAATTCCAAGCTTAAATTCTTATTTAAGGATTTAGAATTCATGTTTAGACCAATTTTGGAATTTATGCACAGATAATTAAAAAAATTTGTTTGTTTTTTAATAAAATATGTATTTAATATAATAATTTCTCTTTTCTATTACAGATAATGCATTTTATCGATTAAATCTTCCTTAAATACGAACTCATATGTTGCAACTCATTCCAATCGCCATTGTATAGCTTTTATAACGATGATCAGAAAATAACTGAAATTACAAAAGTTTTCAGCTATTTCATAAAAGAAATGACATTGGTGACAGACCTTGCAATAATTGCTGATGAATTTACTACAAAGTTTTCTTTCCTTCCTTTCAAAGTGGTCAAGTCAATAATAGCTGCTTACTACAATGCTATCGCCGAAATAAACGAGTTCGGAAGGGTGTTATATAAAATATATAAAGGTGAATAATTGAGAAACCAAATTTATTTCATGAAATATTCAATTAGAGGAAGAAAGATTAATTCAAGGGTTTGTGCCAAATACCACAAGAAATTAAAGAATGCAGATGCAGTTGTTGCTAAATGCTGTCATGTGTTCCATTCTGATTGTTCTTTGAATGGTTGGTAACCAATTTGCAACAGAAGATTCGAAATTGTCAGCAAAGATCACTTTGATTCTCAAATCCGGATTTTGAAACAGTTCGATCATTAGGGAATGCAGAGAAATCAAGTATGAAGAAAAGAAGCAAGGGCTATGATAAATTACTCCAACAGCCAACAATTGGAGATGTTGTTGTTCCTCTTAATAATATTAAAATTTTTTGATTGTGATTAAAAATTACTATTTTTTTATAAAGATTTACTTACCAGATACTGGAATGCTCTCAGAAAAGCAACGAATCCTTAATCTAATAGACATATAGTTTACAAGTTACATCTGCATGCATGTTCATCATATGAAAGAAGAAGTTCGCCGATTTTTTGATTACCATTTATGGTTGCAATATGAAATGCAGTATTTCCGTCTTTATCTTTTTCATTGATATTTGCGCCTTGTGAAAGAAGTAGTTCGGCAATTTTTCGATTATCTTTTTTGGTTGTAATATGAAGTGCAGTGTTTCCGTCGTTATTTTTATCATTGATATTTGCACCATGTGAAAGAAGTAGTTCGGCGGTTTCTTTACTATTTTGAAATGCTGCAATATGAAGAGCAGTTAATTCATCTATATTTTTATCGTTGACATTCGCACCATGTGAAATAAGAAGTTCAGCTGTTTCTTTACTATTTTTAGATGCTGCAAAATGAAGAGGGATTTCTCCTTTTTTATTTTTTTCATTGATATTCGCGCCATGTGAAATAAGAAGTTGGGCTATTTCTTTATTATTATTCCACGCTGCATTATGAAGAGCAGTAGATCCGTAATTATTTTTTCATTGATATTTGCACCATGTGAAAGAAGAAGTTCGGCAGTTTCTTTATTATTATTCTCTGCTGCAATATGAAGAGCGGTTACTCCATCTTTATTTTTTTCATTGATATTTGCACCATGTGAAATAAGAACTTCGGCAGTTTCTTTATTATTATGCTCTGCTGCAATTAGAAGAGCGGTGTGTCCATATGAATCTTTATAATTGATATTTGCACCATGCGAAATAAGAACTTCGGCGGTTTCTTTACTATTTTTTTGGGCTGCAACTAGAAGAGCGGTTTGTCTAAATGCATTTCTATAATTGAAATTTCCACCATGAAACATAATAAATTCAGTGGTTTCTGTGGTTGCTTCGATATTTGCACCATATGAAAGAAGAAGTTCGGCAGTTTCTTTACTATTATTTTTCGCTGCAATATGAAGAGCGGTGTTTCTATGAGTATCTTTTTGATTTATATTTGCACCATGTGAAAGGAAATATTCACAAAGAGATGGTATATTAAATCTCACCGAGTAATAAAAGCATTGCTCAAAATCATTAGTTTGATCGAAATAAACTAATAATGAATCAAGATTTTTATATTTTCCACAACATTTTACATTGATATTTAGATTGTATTCATTCATCAAGAATGAAACAAAATCAATGTTGTGTGAAATAATTGCATATCTCATGCATTCTTTATCTGGCTTTTGATATTTCAAACATTCGCTCATGATCTCTGGATTTTTTCCTAAAAATGATAATTCTAGACATGTTTGAGTTATTTCTGAGTTAAATTTCGATCTTAATAACTTGAAACAATCAACTGCTCCGTGGTAACAACATAATTCAAGTAATGAATATCCTTCATCGGATTTTGGATATAAACTGCTTTTTAATTTTTGATTTTGATTAAATCCATCAATTTCCGTGAAAACTATGAATTGTTCTAAATCATTATACATAATTGCTCTGTAAATTGTATTTTCTGATTGAATATCTAGATATTCGGAATTAATTTTAGAGAAATCAGCAGGAATGTTTAATACAATTTCATATTCTTTATAAAACAGGAAGTTCAAAGTAAGTTTAATATTATTGACCTCTTCGACATGATATTCATCATATATGAGTTTAGCAAGTGATAAATATGACTTTACATAGCGATTATTATACGGAATGATATTTAAAATATTTTTGATTATATTTTTGGGAAGGTCTTTAATGGAATCAATCAATTCTGCTTTGATATTTCTGTAAATAGAGTTTAATTCTTCTTTATTTTCCGTTTTCAGCTGATACAATGCATTATATAAATCGATGTAGTTTTGATGGATACTTCGCAGTTGGCTGTATGTATTTGGGCGAATATCTTGATCAGACATGAATATCTGAAAAAATAATATTCCTTCAAAACTTAGGAATCTAAAATAAAACCAAAATGGTAATATATTTTTTACTTTTAATTTTCACAACTTTAAATGATGATTTCGGGACAAGCATGATGTCATGTTATTTTAAGTTTGATTGAGAGGAATAAAGTTTGATGATCAACTGTGTGAAGGCATAAACTTACGGCATTTCTTTATGCCCAAAAAATCAATATTTGTATAATATAATTTCGGGCCTCATATGGCTATGCTTGCCCTTCGGGCAAGCATAGCCACCTTCGGCAAAATAAACATATGTTGATTATAGGAAAAGTGTTTATTCAAATAAATTTGACTGACTGTTTCAATTATTCATAAAATTTATTAAATTCACGGTGCATATTCATTGACATCTGAAAGACAATATTGGTGTGATATTCATAGTCCTTTATTAACAATTTTTAAAAATTCGATATTGCAAAAGACCTCAAAATTCTCAATCTGGATATAAAAATAGTATTGAAATGTTTAGCTCTATTTATTTGTAATATTATCTTATATCAAGTAGCAACCTCAAATCATGTGAACTCAATAAAAAAGGAATTTGTCTATTAGGTTTTGATATTTTAATATGTTTGTTTATTGAGAGTCCGGATCTATAATTACGACCCATTTTCTGACTATGCGATTAGGATTTCACTTTTTTTACAAATCTTTTCAATTATTCTTAGATAAGAATATGGCAGCAACTTTTAGACCTTATGGTGAATTGCCACTACTTCTTGACCAAGCAGTTGAGAGAAGTAGATTGATATCAGAAACTTTACAGCAGTACGTTCTCGAATACGCTCAAGATTTCGAATCTTTACAAGAAAAGATTTCGAAACTCGCTTTTGATCCTCTTATTCATAAAGATGAGAAAAGCGCACCAGATCCAAACGAATTCCACTCCGAAATTTTCAAAGAATTTCCGAAAATGGCAGTTAAAAACCTTCTCCAAGTAAAATCTTATGAATATGCAGCACATCAGTTGAAGAAGTTCGCAAACAGCAACATTGCTTCTACGCAAGCCCACTATGCAGGCCGCGCTGCAGCGATTAAGAAATCTTTGCAGGAAGAGTTAGCAAGATTCGAAGAAGCACGCCAGAAGAACGACGAAGCTAAAAACCGGTTTAACTTAGCCGGATGTGTCCTCCGTGATGCAGAAGCCAAAGGAGTTAAGGATCTGGGCAAGTTACAACAAGATTTCATTGAAGCAAGAAGAAGAGCAATCAACGCAAACACCAAATCAAGGATTGCTGCTGAAGCTTCAACCCAGAATATGGAAGCTTTAGTTACTCAGATCGAAGAACTCGAGAATTGGAGAAGTGAAGAATTGAAATCAATTTTACTTGATCTTTCAGCGAAATTAGCTAATGTTGCAAACCACCTTATTACTACATCATCAGATATGGCTCAGTCTGCTCACGAACTCCCTCTTGAACTCGATTCAACCATCATTTCTAATTTCAACCAATTCCGCCGCGCCGGAGCAGATGATGCCTTCCAGTTATGGTCCGTCCACCCACTTACATCGCAATACCTCCCTCAGGACCAGCTCTTCAAGAAAGAACGCGAAGCTGGCGGAGTTCAGCTTTTCGTTGTCAAAGAAAACTACAATGGTCCGGCCAACCATCTCAACGCTTACGCTGGAGAGATCGTTTGCGGACTCAAACAAGAAGGAGAATACTATCTTTGCAAGAATATTAACGATAGTGTTGGATTACTCCCAACAAGCCTCCTTAACTTCATGTAATGCTATTTAATGCGTTTATTTTCTTTTATTATTTTTTTTATATATTTTATAAAACGCTAAAATATGTTTTTTATTTTTAAATATTCTAAACATGTCCCCAAATAAAATGATTATCATATATTTCTTGATAGATTATGATTAAATAAAAAAAAACATTACTAAAACAAAATGAAGCTTATAAAGGTTGCCAATAAAAGTATATAATAATTTCGATGCAAAGATCATATTCATATCCTTTAATAAGCTAGATCATTTCGATTTCATACATTGTTTTCAAGAATATTACCTGTATTATTATGGCATATTGTATTAAACATCTATATATAGATGTCCTAGTCTTACATTGGCCTTAAATGTCAGAAATTTTTAAATATTTAGGAAAAATTTGATATTTAGGGGCTATGAAAAGTTAATAAAAAGGTAGAAGTCTTTTAAAAAAATAAATAAATAATTGTTTTATACAAGGATAAAAAAAAATAAAATGAATGAATACAATATAGCTTAGAATGATCCAACATCAGTGTCTTCGCTTGAAGAAGAAGATGAAGAAGTAGAAACTGGTTTCTTGCGGGATAAAGTAGATACTCTACGAGATGAAACTGAGTTTCTGCGAGAAGAAGGAGCATCACCGCGAGTTGTACGAGATCTTTCTCTTGATGCCGATGGACGTCTCGAAGATGTGTTTCTTCTTGATCTCTGTGATGAATTTGATCTGGATCTTTGTTGTGGAGCTGGGCTTGATGAAGAAGATGAAGAGGAGGATGATTCAGAGTTATCTGCAGATCTGGTTGTTGGCTTTGGCTTTGGTGATGATGGTGGTGGAGCAGGAGCAGAATCTGAAGAATCTGAATCAGAACTTGAACTCTTTTGGCGACTTCTTGGAGCATCTGAAGGTTGAGCTGTATTCCTTCTTTGTCTTGTAGGTGCACGAGATGTAGGATTCTCGAATGTAGAGTTAGAACGATGAGTCCTTCCTTTCCTTGATGTTGGTGGTTCTTGCTCATGTTGCTGTTGCTGCTCTAAGTCTTCATCATCGGAAGTAATGAGATAACTGATGGAATTCCTTGTATTTCTGCGGCGAGTTGATCTAGTACAAGTTCTTGGGCCAGAATGGCTATCAACACTGTTACGGCGAGATCTTAGGCCTCCGCCAGCAACTGTACCTGCTCTACTGCGTGGTCCATGGTGTGAATGTGTTGAATTTCTGCGAGAATTAGTTCTGCTGTTAGGCATTGCAGTTTGAGCGCGTGATCTGTGGCCTTTGCCACCAACATGTACAACGCCTTCATCAGAAAACTTGAAGTCATTGTTTTTACTGAAATTTGGAATCAAATAAGTTTGGACGCAGCAATTTGAATAAATATAACCGACAATAAGAAGAACGGCAAAAGCACCGCCTGGAATGACATATGGTCTAAGGACGAGCTTTTGAGAACTTGATGGAGTAGTAGATTCTTGTTTATCAGCATCAACTGATACGTTCATTGTTGTATCTATGACGACTAGAGTTAAAGTAGGAACGGTTGAGCCATTTCTGGTTGTTTCTCCTAATGAATATGAAAACGTTTGAGTTTCTGTCACTATCATGCCATTGATTTCGATCTCTTGTTCTAGAGCCTCGCGTCTAAAAGATCGTGCATCTGTTAAAAGAAGAGATAAGAAAACCAAAGTCATATTATTTTTTTGAAAGATTATAAAAAAAAAACTTCAAAGTTTTTGAGAGGTCCGAGTGAAAATGAGAAAAATAATTTTTGAAAAATGATTAGCAAATGATATAAAAAATGTTGAGTTTGGATGATGCTTTTTTTCCTTCTCAAAATTTGCAATGCCAGCTTAATTTACTTAATTAGATAACTATAACATGTGAGAACTTGATTTTTCTAATCAAAATTTGAATTTGGACAATGTGGCGGGAATCAAATTTTATTGGATTGCAAAACCGAATTATTGTTGGAAATTTTGAAGATACAGATAGTGTATATCTATAAAATGAGCTAAAATTGATGAATTCTAATCCTATAGGATTAAAAATCAAAAAAATGATATGGTCAATAGAGTGTTTTTCATTAATATAAAAATAGCTTTAAAAATTTAGAGAGAAAATTGTTTTAACGACTCCCTCACAAAAAAAAATCTCCTCACAAACTTTGAAAACGAGTAGATAATTTTTAATCTAATTAATTAATAGAACAATTTTTAAAACTTTCGAAAATGTCACTTTTTCATCACCGGAATTTTTTTCCATTCATGGGTTAAGCTATAACGCTTTAGGAACAAGCTTTGCGGATAGAAGATCCGCAGAATTTGCACCTTCTATTTTTTATTAAAAAATATATTTATTCTTTAAAAAAACCAATTATTTGGTATGAAATATATTTTTTTCATTTGATTTTCTAGTTCTAGTGTATATTTTAAATCAATTCAACGTATGTTAATGAAATCAAGTGAAAATTAAATCGTTTTTAAATAAATTCAAGTAAAAATTAAAAGATTTGAAAAACAAAAGCTTTATTGGAAAGTAAAGTTACTAAATTTTGTTTAAAGTTGCTTGTTCTTATGGAATTCGTCTGTGATCTTCTCTTCGAGTGCATCGAAATCAACATCTTGTGTTAATTTGAATCCAGTTGTTCCACGGTTAGCAATGAACTCTGAGAGGTCCTTAACTCTGTAAGTTCCTTTGTAGACTAATGGCTTATCAGCTTTATGTCCCGATGGGAAGAGCATAAGAGTTGGATAAGAAGAAAACTCAGGGACAGACATTGGTGTATCGTTTTCTGAGCCATCCATGAAGCATATTCTAGCCTTTGTGTCCTTTGTGAGTTCTGCGAGTTCTCTAAGGACAATTAAAAGACGTGGACAGAGTTTGCACCAAGAAGAGGTGAAAGCAACAAGGGTATCGTATCCATCCTCGAATACAACATCAGAGAATGTGCTGCCAACGATATGCTTGAGATTATTGTTGGCATCTTCTGGAATTGGCTCGGAAATGATTGTATATGGTAATTTTCCGGCCATTATGTCTTGTACGAACTTCTCGAGGGTTGGAAGATCCATGATATTGTCGGTTTCGCGATAAAGAAGCCATCTGCCTTCTGTTAAATTAGATGTCTTGAAAGCGACGAAGTATGGGGCGTCAAGGCCTTCAATACGACCTGCCTTAAGGAATAAGAGGGCGTTTGTGCCAACAATTGGACCAAATTGGAATTTATCGCCATATTTCTCTGCAAGTTTCTTAAGGAGATCAATTTGCATCTCAGAGACTTTATCAAGCTTTGTATTAACGACGAAACCACCGTAAAATGGCTTAGAGGAGATATCAACAGCACGTGGATCTGTAAGTAATGTTTTGAGTGGTTTTCCTTCGAATTTCTCGATTCTACGCTCAATGTTATCGTAGATGTAGTATCCTTTCTGAAGAGAGATGTTGAATTTGGCAAATAAGGATGAATTGACTGAATAATACTGAAGTTTTCCGAGATGCCTTGGTGGCTCCTCTAAATCAATTCCAAATACGGTTTGTCCGTGCTCCTCAAGAGCTACTCTTAATTGTTCTTTGGATTTCAGATGTTTAATTGGACCCTCTAGAAGTTCGCCGAGCCATAAGAAGAAGCTGGAAGAGCGAGCAAGTGGTGGTGGTATGTCCATTTTCTTTCCATTTTGAAAGGCTACACAGCATGGATAATATAAGCAGCCGTATTTGGCTCCATCTTCATGTCCACTGCGTGCAAATGAGATATTGTTTTTGTATTTCTCTAAACCGAAGTTGGCCCAGATATTATTTGCCACTGTATCATGGAATATTGTAACACCAATTGGTTTTTCTTTCATTTTAGAAATAAGTTCATCACCAGTAAGATAAGGTACATGAACTGCTTGACCTAGTTTAGCTTTAATGCGTGTTCCTGCCAGAGAAATCAAGAAAAGCATCGTCACTAAGAGTCACTTTTTTAACCTATCAAAATTGAACTCAATATTAGTGATACTTCTGAACTGATTATCTCCATTCTTTTCGTGATCCCTAATTAAAAGGCGAACTATTATTCCGAAATTCAAAAAAGATTTTGACGATCCAATCACGAACCAGTCTTGTAAAGCTTCGTATGATTCTCATAAGTATTATGCGTGAATTTGTGATTAATGATGGCATAACCAGAATCAAACTCAAAGAAAATTAAGGAAGATATATCAATTAATACTTAAAAGTCTATAGGATAGAAAAATCTAATTGTCCTCAGCGATTTCTTTGTATGTGTAAGCAACCAATACAATCTTTAATTTAAACAATTAATATGAATGATCGCGTGAAATTATCTTACAAATATCATCTTAAACGTTATCATTATATAGGAACTTTGAACCTATGAATCAAAAATTTGCATAAATTTTGGAATAATGCTTTCGCTATTACTAATAAGTTAATGTGTTCGTTGTTAAATCATTGGGAAAGAAACAAACCCTTAAGACTTATAGAATAAAGAGCTTATGCTTCAATTGTCGTTTGAAATCATTTAGATATCAATCAAAAATCATGATAAAAAATTGACAGGAAACAAAAATCAAACACATTCAATTGTAATTGAATTGGGCAACTCTTGTATAACTCTTTGAGCTTTGCAAAAATTAATTCGGCGGCTTATATAATTTTGTAAAGTTTTGAATCTATTTTACAACATTTATGTGTTTTGATTCATTGCATAATCTTATTCGAAGTATTTTAGAATGCACGAGTGGGATATTTGATCTAAATCTAGGGATTATATTTCCGGATAAGCATATAGATCCACCTAAGATAGAGGCAAAACCTTCTTTACCTCAAGAACATTATCCTCGTGGAGAATTAATAGAACCCCTCAAAGGAAAACCTATAGTCTACCCAAGCTGGATCAAAGTCAATGATTTTCCTGGGGATAGATTAGGTCCTAACGAAACGTTACAAATCACTCCAAATCCTAAACTCATTGAATACTTTATTCAAGAATCAGAAAATATGGAAGAAGTCCCTATTTATCGAGGTAAACAATTAGTCCATATCACTGATTTATTACGATTTAACAGATTTGAAGTATTAAGTGATGATGATCTTACTTTTTTGGGACAATTTGCAATGATGGACTTCCTAAGACTTTATAGATCAAATGATTTGGAAGAAATTCGTAAATGTGATGCAAATAAAATAGGATGTATTTTTGAAGGAATAATCTTAGATTATGCAATCCTTTATAAAGCTGATCCAGAAGTCATTAACTTGATAAAAGAGTTTGCAACAGCTGTAAAGTATACTGAAGATTTCATGTTTACAGATAGATTGCAAATCAATTTCAGCTTTCATTATTATCCAACCATCAATTATCTGACAGGTTCGTATTTAAATTTAAACGGCTATACTGCTAAAGAGCTTGGTCTTGAAGAATTGCATGTTGTCAGGAAAACTTGAACAATTTAAGAATTCTTTGGTATTAAATCATTCTATATGAATTTTGTTATTAAAAACCTGTAGTTAAGTCTATTGCATTAGATATTCAAACGAGATAACATTTTATTAGAATAAAACAAGAATGTGAAAACAAAAAAAATACAAAATACTCAAAATCCCAAACGTGACGATATTATATGGAAAATAATATCGGACGCTACGATAATATGATCAAAGTAGCTAGGTTGTCATCTCTACATTCATTCATCAACAAATGTTACGTAACTAAAATTCTTCATCTTTTGTCATCACTAAGGGGCAAACGTATAAATCAAGATATCGAATTAATGGTGAAGTGTCTTCCTGTACTACACTAACGTTTACAGTCCGATTGAATCACTCTATTGCAGGCAGATTTCAAAAACTTTACTCCGTTCTAATATTTTCTCGATTTGATTCATTCATTCGGAATTCAAATCGATTTACCATGCTTAATCTTAATTTCATGGAATTATTAATTCCAAAATTTTCAAAATTTTGATCAACTTTTTCGGGGAAGTGTCAAAATTTTGAATTTTTTCGCAATTTTTATTATTTATAAATAATGAAAGAGTTTGATGTTTGCGGAGCCGAATTCGATGACTTTGCATCGCATTTCTGCAACAATGGTTCTAATAAAAACACATGTATCAACAAATTGCAAAATTGGGATTGCCCACTTGTTTTCAAAAAGTCTTCCCTCATACTCGATCAAAGAGGACCAGGCCCATGTGGACTATTTGCAAGCCTAGAAGCTAATATTATGGTTCAACTTTTCCAATCTCAAGGGGAATGTGACCTCCCGTGTGCTGTAAATCTTGCAATTCTCAATATCCTGACATTGATTAGCGATAAGTATAAACTTTGTACATCATTTGACATTCAAAACAAACAAGCACATTTTATATCATTCGAAACTAAAGATGATGCTATTGCATGGATGCTTGAACTTAAATATAATGAGTTCTCAAATGCCTGCTTACTTTCTGGTGTTTCATTTGCATATGCTGCAAGAAATAAAGAATGGTATTCTAATATGCCAGCTCCTTTTGTATACAACACATCAGATACATCAATGTTGTTTGTATTCTTGATGAACACAGGCGAAATCGATGGAACTTATGAAAAACAGAAGAATATTGCCGTAAAAGTTTGCGGACAACATGATCAACAATTGAACAAACAATATTTCAATCCAGAAGCTCCTATTGTTATTTTCCTCAAGCATAACCACTTCTTCGCAGGAATGTTAGAAGGTGATAACTATCTGATATTCAACACTCTTGGAGGTGACAAAGTCGTTTCAATACAAAAGGATAAACTCTAAATAATATGTTTAAACTCATATTTTTTTAATAATTTCATTTTTAATTCGAAATCTTTCATAAATATCTATCCACACGAAAGTTCGAAATTTTCAAAGCAAAACTACTTACTAGAGCTACAAATTGTTTCAAAGAAAAAACCTTTTGGAAATATATATACAAACTATATTTTGTTGAGTGTATATGCATGTATACAACTAAACCGGTGTAAACAAACTCATAAATTTATACATTTAATCTAAAACCTAAAACATTTCAAAAATTTATTTTGATTCTTTCTTCCTTTTCATCGTATTTAAAATTAATGTATGTGGTCAAGATATTATCTCATAACACAAATGTATGTAGATCGAAATCGAATTGATATGAAGATGATTTTTCTCTGGTTTGAAATAATGATAGATTTTGTAGCATAAATATCGAAAAGTTTTAAACTTGAGGAATACAAATGATGAGTAATGCTATTTGATTGTTTTTTTAGAGAATTGTTAGAATAGCACGAAGATGTTTGAATGAAAATGTTATAGTTAATACCTAAGATAGTACTATGTAAATTAAAATCTATTTTTTTGTATCAATCGGTACTCTGATTCCATTGAAAAATATAATCACATAGAGATTCTGCAATTTTATAAATGGCAATCAGTTGCTCGATCACTATAGATGATCCCTACCGCTTGTGAGAAATTCCAAATTTTTTTTGAAATCAAGAAAATAAAGAACAACACTAAAGAAATGATAATCAAAATTTGAATTTCAAAAAAATTTTGGAAAAACATAGACATAATCATAGTTGAAACAAATTTTTGAGAGAATCAAAAAGGAAATTAGACAAATTAAAATGATAATCTTATTGTATTTTATTAGGTATTGATGTTATCCTAATGAAAGAGTACAATTCTGACTTTCTTTGATGTTCAATTATTTTTTTTAACCAGAATCTAAGGAGAATATGATGATTCGCTTTTTCCTACTATAAGAAAGCTGTAGCATAGTGAAAACAAAGACATAAAATTGGATATTGTTTCGACTTGAGGAACTTTATCAAGAATGACGTCCTTTTGAATATAGTTATATTCAAGTCAATTATATCAAAGCGCACTATCAAAAGGGATCATACTCTTATAAAATCGTATCGGGAATTCTATCGTTTATTGAATTTTATTTTTTATATAATTTAACAATGAGTCTTATTAGTGCAATTACAGGTAATATCAATGGTCTTAAGAACTTCATTACAGAAATTCTTGAGTGTCAATCCAAGGAACAAGAAGTTGCTCGTGTTAAGAAAGAACTCGCAAAGATTCGTCAGAGTTTCGGCAAGTCAGGCCTTAATGGTTACAGCCGCAAGAAATATGTTGCTAAACTTCTTTATATCCACCTTCTTGGCTACTCATTTGACTTCGGTTTCCCTCAAATGGTCGAATTAGTCGCTTCTAATGTATTTTCTGAAAAGCAGATCGGTTACATCACACTTGGTGTTTACTTAAATGGCAACTACGATCTTGTTACAATGTTCATTGAACATTTCCGCAAAGAAATTCGTAACCAAGAAAATGAACCAGGCCAGTGCCTTGCTATTGCTGCCGCTGCTAATATCGGTGGTCGTGAAATCGCTGAAGCACTTTCAGGCCCAATTCTTCAAGCATTAATCAATCCAAAGAATTCTGATTTTGTCAAGAAGACAGCATGTCTTGCACTTTGCCGCCTTTACCGTGAAACTCCTTCCGTCATCCAGCTCGAGCCCACATTCGTCGAAGGTCTCAATCAGCTTTTATTCAGCATGAATTACGGTGTTCAGCTTTCTGCTGCTTCACTCATCTTGATTCTCCTTCAGCGTTATTCCGATAAGATGGCTCTTGTCCTTCCAACAGCTCTCATGCAGCTCGGAAAAATTTTCTTCGATGGAACTATTTCTCCAGACTATCTTTACGGTCGCAACCCAGCTCCATGGCTTATTCTCAAGTACATGCGTATTCTCCAGTACAAGCAGAACTGGGATGAGTCCGAAACAGACAGAATCAACAGAATTCTCGATACTTGCCTCCAGAAGACAGATGTTTCCCTTTCAGCTAAGGAAGTTCACTCCAACCTCATCTTACTCTTCGAAGCAATCAACTTCATTATCGCTCGCCAATTTTCAAATCAACTTATGTAGCGTTCTGCTTCAATTCTTGGTGGATTCCTTAACGCCAAGCTTTCTAACGTTCTCTACTTAGCTCTCGAATCGCTTACACGCCTTGTACAAGCCAATCCTTCGATCATTCCATCTCTTGATCAACACAGACAGACACTTTACCTTGCTCTTCGCGATCCAGATAACTCCATCCGCCGCAGAACACTTTCTTTACTCTTCGCTGTCTGCACAAAAGAGTCAGCCGAAGAAATCGTTCACGAGCTCTTGAACTATCTCAGATTCGCCGATATTTCAATGAGAGAACCTCTCTGCCTCAAGATTGCCGTCATGGCCGAGCAATTTGCAGAAGATCCTGCTTGGTTTGTTGATGTTGTTCTTCAACTAATCACAATGGCTGGCGATGAGTGCTCCGATGGTGTCTGGCATCGTGTTATCCAGGTTGTTTCCAATGTACAGTCACTCCAGAGATATGCAACAATGACATCTTTCGGATCAATGTGCTCAAACAACCCACACGACAGACTTATCGCTCTCACAGCACAGCTTGTTGGTGAATATATCCAAATTATCGATATCAGACCAGAAGAAGTCATCAAAGAGTTCATTGCCAAGTACAAAGTTGCATCTGACATTTCCAAGGGCATTATTATCACTGCTCTTGCTAAGATTGGTGCTAAGTATCCACCAGGCAGACCAGCAGTCTTAGAATTCATCCAAACTTTAACTTCATCAACAAATATCGACATTCAACAACGCGCAATCGAATATATTACAATACTTAATGCTCCACCACAAGTCATACAAGCTGTTTTCAAGCCAATTCCACCGTTTGAGAACAAGAAATCTTCATTATTACGTAAAGTCATGCTCGAACAGGCCGAAGATGGCCTCGAAGAGGAAGATGAAGAGGACAACAACGAAGAAGACCCATCGAAGTTCGTTACACAGCTTCCTACAAAGGCAGCACCAGCATCAGCAGCTCCTGCAGCCGCTCCAGCCCCAGAACCAAAGAACAACGCCGACGCAATGGATCTTCTTGGCCTTGGCGCTCCAGCAGCAGCTCCAGCCCAACCGAAACCAGTTGCAAAACCAACAGATTTCGGACTTGGAGCTCCAGCAGCACCACAGAACGCTGTTTCAGACTTACTCAGCTCTGCACCTGTTGCAATTGTTCCTGCACCTCTTAATAACAAAGAAGCCATTAAGAAACACTTTTTGGCAAACGACCAAGGTCTTTGTTTCGAAGATTCGAACATTGCTGTCAATCTTTCGATCCAAGTCAACCATCCAAACGCCATTTTATCATTCAATATACAGAATAAGACAGGTGGAATCCTTACAAACGTTGGAGTTCACATTCCTCCTGTTCCTTTCCTTGCCGTTCAATCGAAACCAGGAGCTCCTCAAATCAACCGTGGAGAAATGACTGTTTACCAATTCGCTTTGAGAGTCAGACAGCCATTTATCGATCCACCATCTTATACACTTAAATACACATGGAATGAGCAGAGCCACAACGAAGTCTTGGATTTACCTTTCAACATTTTCAAGTTCACTGCTCCATTCAACATGGATTACAACAACTTCTTCGCTCGTTGGGGACAGTTGACTTCTCCTGCACAACAGGCAACAACATCATTCAATCCAGTCGGAGATCCAACAAACCAGATGAAGCAGATTATGACATCTGTTTTGGAAGTTCCTGTTTTGCCATTGCAAGTTCCACCAGGAAATGTCTGCGGCGCTGGAATTATCAATGCAGAAGGTGGCGTTTTGGGAATTTTGTGCAGATTCTTCGTGGAAAATGGCAAATGCAACGTTCAGATCAACGGAACGTCACCACAAATCACTGCTGCAGTTCAGAAGGTTCTTGATTTATACTTCAAATAAAAAAATATTTCTTTTGAAGGATTTTCTGAAATGCCATGTTTTTTTTTCTCGTTCTCAATTTTTTCCCTTACATTTTGACATTGCCTTTCAAAAAGTTGAATACATGTAAAGATGTAATTTGTTGCTAATCGAATCAGAAAAATTTAACTACAAACAATAATATCAACATTTCATACGGATCTTAATGAGGACGTCACTTTTCCGGAAATTTTTCAATACTTTTACAAATCGAAATGTTGTCTAATGGCCTAAAATAAGTGTTTTTCGCAATTAATAAGTGATTTGTGAGAGGTAGGGCAACGATAGGTCAAAAAGGCTTCTCTGATAGATTTCCTTGCCTTTTGGATATGCTATAATATATAGCCTAGCATGATAGGATATGATGTTAAAAGTTAGAACATAACTTAGGATCTTGAGAAAAATGAAAAACAAAAATTACATAAAAAAAGAAAAAATTTATCTAATTTGTTTTTTTGGACCGAATAAGTAATTTTATTGAATTTCAATACGACACATAGATTTTATTATTAGTAATAAATATAATGGTTTACTATTAACAAGGAACCTAAACTAATGAAAATTTGATTTCAAATATTGTATATGATTATCATAGATTACCAAAATATATTGCTATTTATGAGGATATAATATTGATTATTAGTAAATCGTATAAATTTAATAAATATACCATGAATATTGAATGAATTTCTTGATTCATAGGGGTAAAACGCGCTTTTATATGATTTAGACAGAGAATTTATGAGATGTAAATAACACAATAAAGGTTTATATTGAATATTTTCTAAAAATAAATCGAAATTATAAAAAACAATACATTTATTCCTTGAAACTACTTGGACAAATATGAAACAAGCATTCAGGCAATACTTTTGAGACTTCAACGCATCTGATAATTTTTATATAACTTCACCTCTTATGCTTAGAGTGGAGGTATTGAGATCGTATAAGTATAGATGAGCTCACATTCAGATATGATGTGTGAACTTCTGTTTTCACTGCAATTTTGAATCAGAATAAACTCAAAACAAGAATAAAATGATATACTCATTCTCTAAATGTGTTCGAGATTTAAAGTTGTATGAATAAAACGATTCATCTTTCGAAGCCTCCCATTTAATGAGAGACTTCGAAAGATGAATGTATTCATGTAGATGAAATACTATATATGACCATGTGTGATACTAAAGATATCAAAATGTTCATTTTTAAGTGCAATAGAAGGGTTATCTCTCGTAAAATCTCAATTTAAGGAAGATTTAGAAAGAACTCCTTTCCTAAGTAGATAGTGTGTGGTTTCTGTCTTTTGGTTGATCAGGAACTATGAAATTAAGTCGGACAGAAAGAAGTTCTTTCCAAAACAGACTCCAAATGAGTTGTTCGAAAAGAACTTCCTTCTGTATATGGATAATTGTAGTTACCGCACTGAAGTATGTGATTGTGATGATGGAGTTCTCGATAAATCTAAAATCGGATTAAGATTAATTGAAAACTCAAGTAATTCTTTGAAATCTTGTGTTGTCTGGCACTATAATAACCAAAGAATGAGAATATTATGTTGAATGATGAGTACGTGTGCTCGGCATTCGCCGAGCAATTGAGTTTAACGTACTATGAAAAGTGATAAATTTGGGCTTTTTTTCCTAGGGTTATGATCTCTTCCTTTCTGCTCAATACGACAGAAATGAAAGAATGAATTTGTACTCCCTAATTGATTACTACAATCTGTATCTATCTTTAACATAGAATTAGCTGCATTGTGATTTATACTCCAGAATTATTCAATTTAAGATCAACCTCGTAAATTTTAATCATATTGCACCAATACTCCTACGTTGAGATAAGAACATGATTATACATACCAAAGCCCCATATTAAAAATCAAAATTTAGCACCTCCATTATGCAACCACATTATTCGTCGCAAATAAGTATATTTACGCATATTATGATGCATATTCACACAACTCGTATACATGAAAAGTTATTAAAATCAGACAAAATTATTGCAATAAGGAAAAAAAAACAACTTTATTATATATGTTAGTAATGAATTACAAATATTTCTACAAAGAATGCTCAATACTTCATATAATCTTCGAATATTTCTTATTACAAGTTAATACATTTTGACTCGAACATGATAAACAAAAGCTGACACGCTGATTACTACATTTATGAAAATATAGTACGTTTCCATTCATCTGTTTACTTGTTTTTGTTGGAATAAAATCATTTTTTTTTTCTTTCATGAAATAAGAATTTTGCTGTGAAAGCAATATCTCTAACAATAATTAATACATTACATCAACTCTGGAATGAGTATTTATCAAATATGATATCAAAATCAAAAATTAGTTGTTTTTTATGAGTAACAACGATGTAAATTGATTATTTGACTAATTATCAAATACTTTGATTTTCCAAATTTTTTTCGAAATTGATTTTTTTCATGTGAAAATTCAAATTGTTTAATTTCATTTTTGAAATTTTGAATTTTTTTTGGAATTTTGAGTTGATCAATTCAGCAGAATTGATAATGCTATTGCTTTAGGGCATACCACAAGGTGATGAATAAAAGGTGAACATTAACAAATTATTTTAAATCACAAATATCATCCTCATCAACTTTAATTCTAAAAAGAACTGTACTGAATTATGAAAATGCATGATTTACATTATTAAAATCTTTGAATGAAAATAGTACAAGATAAGTTTTTATTCATTTTTAATTAGATTTAAACGAAAAACTACTCCATATTAAAATTTAAGTCGAGAAATCGTATTTTGTTCTTATTTGTTAGCATTTTGTAGACATTCTAATCTTGAATTAATTTGTTACATGATATTATTAACAAATTTAACTGAAAAAATATGTTAATATGGAATAAACCATGATTATATAAGCTATCAATGCTATATATACATATGTAAAAGATTCATATTAACTCAATTAACAAAAATGATAGATTTTCATAAAGGTTCAATCTAGGTTCGTCCGAAAATTTTGATTTTTATATAGAAGACATAGTTTCATATACATAATTAAATTTTCAAACAAATTTGATCATACCATTTATTAAGCAGGATAGTATATTAATTACTATCAGTATAAAAATATAAAAATGATTATATTTAATTATTGCATAATTTAGTCAAAGAGTTATAAGCCTCAAGTGATCGTTATCACCTTCAATGCACGTATACTTTATTGATTCATAGATATTTAATCTATGTTTGACATGTTGTTGTCGTCATTCGTTTTGTTTCCATTCTTCCTAAGTTAGAATTAGAGAATACACCATCCACATCATCTAATTTGGTCCTCAGCGATAGATTGGTTCATTTTGGAGGAGTCCCATCAGACAGTTTTCGAGCACCAAATATCAAATTTTAATGTATACAAATCTTTAGTGATTTATCTCTTTTATGATGAGTAAAAGGTTTCTGCTCATCAACATTTGATTTCCGACATATATGATTTCTAATTGCAATTATTTACTTTCTTTTTATAATCTAACTCTGTGACTCATACCATAAATTAATTATTGGAAAGTGTCAATATGTTTGGCACAACGCATGGCGGAAGATACCAAACCATGCAGGGAATATGATACGTTTAAGATCTCCGAACTTTTTTTCCAAAAATTTTCTATCGTTGCCCTACCTCTGATTTGTGTTTTACTCTCAATATTTCTGATTTTGAATACTTTTCCGACGTTGTCAGTATTTTTTGTTGAGATGTTTTTCCTTCTTATATTGCAGTTCTCTCTTATAAGAAGTTATCAAAACAAAGAAGATTTGAAGTCAGTAAGTAAAAAGAGGGAAGCTACTCGCTCCTCTTCTTCTGATTCATATTTTTATTGGTTTCTTATTGTGTTACTTCTTTCTCCATTTTATGCCTGCTATTATTGTTACAAGAAGAGAATATGTTGCTGCGCTTGCTGCGCTTGCTGCAGGAAAGAAGAGTCTTCTTCTTCAAGCAATGCAAACAAACTTAATAATATTACAAATCAAAGTTTGATCCCACCAACTCCCCAGTATTATGACCAACCAAATCCAAACCAAGCTCAATACCCCTATCCATCTCAACCATACTCACCCGAGCCATATTCACAAAAGGGTCCAAATCCTCCTCCATATATCCCACAGCAACCTCCAGTTGATAATCAGTACCAACAACCTCCACCACAGGCAACATATTATAATCAGCCAGTTGCTCCACAACAACCAGTCAATAATTATCAACCTCCACCACCAACAAATAGTAACCAATATCCACCGCAAATTCCACCAGAATCAAATCCTTATGATTTGTAATAAAAGATTTATATTTTCAAATGAATTGATAGAAAGAATTCAATTTTCGGACCCCTATGGTCGAAAATTATATGATACCTAGTACAAATATAATGCAAGTGCTAAAATCTAGGAACTGGAGAAAAGGTTTACAAAAAATACGTTAATCGTTCGATATACTAGAGTCAAAATCTCGAGCACAAAAGTAACATTGAATACTTGTAACTATAGAATTTCCATGTAAACTATTCATTTCTATCGTTTTTTTAGTCCACATTTCCTCACTCTCGATTTTACTCATAAAAATATTACAAAATCACTATACAATATATAAAATATATATTTATATGGTTAAAACAATGTTATTTTTGCGAGATTTCATCTGAAATTAAAATTAGGGATTTTTTGAATTTTGAATAAGGGTTTCGTTTTGCGAAAAAACGTACAATACGCAATTTCGCTAAAAAAACATTTAGCTAGCAATTTCGACCTTTGACTCCACTCAAGACGTCACTTTTTTAATTTTGCGGTATCATATTTTTGGAAAATCTTTATGAATATTATATAAAAAGTCTCTTTAATATCTATATTTCATATTTTTATCGATTTTTAAAGTTTTTGCGAAAAGTATTCAATTATTTTTGCTATTTGGTCGGGTAAATGTCAGATTTGCGACATTTTCTGATATGATATTCAGATTCTACGTTGATAATAATGCTTATAGAACCCTCTTGCTATTGTGTCAAAATTGCGAAACCGATAGCAAAAATATCTCGCAATATCAAAATTGAGATATTGAGTGAATTATGCATTATAGAGATTAAAAATCTGATTTGTGAAAACATCTCATCAGTTTCTAGCTAATTCAAAAATCTTTACTATCTTATTCGATTAAAATGAAAAGGGAATAGTTTCATTATGCTTTAAATGACAGCCTTATAATATAATCATAGTTTTCGCTCAATATGCAGCATTTTTTTTTCGAAATCTATGGTCAATATCCTAAATACTGATTGCTTTGCATTCATATCTCTTACATTTTCTATACCCACATCACTATTCATTGCTATTCCTATCTTTTTCATTTTTGTTTGTTTCTCATAATTTCTCAAAAAACATAATAACTTGATATTTGTAAATATCATACTTTATAACGTAAATAAGAACTTGACCTATTAAGAAAAGCAGTAATGAAAAGAAAATCTGAAATTCATAAAAATTACAAGTTTCTGATGACAATTAGCTTAATTAAACCAGGTACAAGATTATATAATTGTATTTTCTATCCAATTATCCATATAATATCTTATCCAGAAAAAATAACTTGATCAATACCAAATGATTTTTTAACTAGTAAATAAAGTATTTTCTTTACACACACATTGTATATCATAGTTTTTTTTTGGTTGCGCAAAACATCCAAAAACAAATATGCTATAAAAGTGACAATTTTAGCAAAACGAAACCCTTATTTTGAACTAAAATTTGTGATTAGCAAATATTGAATAATCGATTGGAATATGAAAGAAATACTTTAAAATTGAATAGAATGTGCCGATAGAATTTTTCTCACAATTTTAAAAAGTTGTTCAAATCCTATTTTTGATTGAGTTTTTGCAATTGTTATATATCAAGTGACAAGCTAAAAATAAAATTTTTGTTGCACTACTATTTTTGCAACAATTTGTAAATTACGTGCATCCCTTGTATTCCAGTGATCAACATCGAGATTACATATTGTAAGAAATCCTTTTGAAGTAGATCTCTATTTGAATTCAAATTCGGACAGTCTATTTCATGTTGCTTCGTGAGAATGTATATAATTTACAATGTGAATATTATATAATTGATTCTGTATAAATAAGTAATTATGCTTTAGGAAACTGCTCGGCATTGCATGAGATCTAATCTTATAATAATTTTTTAGATATGTTGAAATATGTAATATTTAGCTTCAATATCATTTATTATGGTGTGTCTTTGCTGTTTTTTTGATATTGGATATCAATGACTCTTCTGTGAACGAAAAAATCATATAAATCATTAAATTCTAAACGTAAGCGAAACTCATTCAATTTATTGTTAGAATCAAATCTATTTTAAAATTGAGCTATTCGTTAAATCACAAAAGGATACTTTATATTTTTAGTCAAAATTTGTTGATAGGAGCTTATTGGCGCAATCTCATGTTCTTCCTGGAAGCAGCGCACAGACCAGTCAGAAGCGCTCCTTCCAGGACCAGAAAGACTAGAAGGGGGCCCTGACCTTGAGAAAGGACCCCCTTCCAGGTCTTTCTCCAAGGAACATTGTGCCATTGTGGGAGACATGCAGAGGCAATGTCTCCCAGAATGATACATTGCGACCAACACGAGTGAATGGGACACTCTATTCTTTCAATTTTCTCATTAATATTTTATCTTTTTTTATTAGATCAATAAATAAACTCTTTTAATGTTCACAATTACATAAATCCATATGAATCAATTCGCTATTTATTTACTCTCTAATTTTAATAGCTTTTTTGAATCTTGCAATCTAAATAATTAATATATGCAGGTCATTTTATTTTTTTTCTTAATTACATTATATATAATAATAGATTATATGTCCAAATCGAACAAATTGTGAATTTTTACTTTTGAATGGTATTCAAATTTACCCTCTCCTAAGAAAATGCCCCAACAATAAATAAGAGTTTTGATCATTTCTTTAGATCAATGAAAAATTTTCCTACCAAATTAAGGTCAGGTGAGTGGGGCTTCCAGGCGCGTTGCGCCCTCTAGCCCATAAGAAATTTTTGTTTAGATTAAAATTCAAATTTTTATTCTGAAATGTTTGCTTTAATGTTTTTTACGGATGGAAATGAACTGGATATCGTCTGAGTCTTCGCTTGTTTCCTCCTCCTCTTCTTCTTCGTCCGAATTGTCTTCATCTTCACAATAACCAGATAAGAAGATGGTTATTGTGGTTTGTTCTGGTTTTTTGAGAAGCATTTTGGCTGTGCCAGTAAAAACGAACTCAAGATTTTGATAGAATTGTCTGCTTGAGTGAGTGAATTTGCATACTGTAAGTGGCATTGCAACTCGGTTTGCTTGAACAGATATTATTGAAACTTCTTCTCCATCTGGTATCCGTTCAGGAATCTCTAAAGCGGCTGTTGTTATAATATGCATATTGTTTTCGTAATGCAATTTTGGATATATTTCGAATGGATGTGCAGCTACACCAGCTGGAGCAACAATGGAAAGATTCCAGGAGAAAGAACCGCGTTTGTTTTCATCTTCTTTCCAATTGTAAGTTAAAGGATAAGGACGAAAGTCGTTGAGTGTTTCATATAGCTGTTCTCTTAAGTTTGGTTCACAGCAAATAATGAACTCGTCAATTGCTTGAAGAGATATCATAGTTGAAACATAAGGCAAATTCGACAAGAAAAAGTCAACCATTACTGTCGGGTTTTGAACTTTGTTTTCTAATGTTTCGACTGGTTTTATTATACTTTTGAAATATCTATCATAGTCATTGTTGTCTGTTAAGGACAAATTGTTTGGATAAGCTGCAATGAGTCTTCTATATCTTGCTTCTGTTGTTGAGAATGAGAAGACACCTTCTGGTTCTGTAGGAGTGTAAGTTTTTAGTTGAACTTTGCGTATGTTTGGTGTCTGATTTGAGTCTGATTGGACTGAAACAACTTGAGCTTCTGTAGTTTGTTGTGTTATTGTTTGTTCTGAAGGTTGCTCTGATGTTTGTTCGACTTCTACAGTTTCTTTTGGTTGAATTTGAGCTTCAATTTGTGTCTGATTGGACTGAAACCTGTGTAACCTCTTTGGACATACTAGTAAAGTATGAGGATATAAGTGTTTGACCTTTAAAGAGCTTTTGTAAAGAATTGTCAGTCATGCTACTACTGTGGTCTTGCATTAGACAAAAATGAACTGACCAGAAGTTTGTGGAAAATGAATATTGAATAAAAACAGTTTTCGTCAACGGAGACCCCTCTATTTTTTTATTTTATTTAATAGTTACCGTTGGAAAACCGTTCCATCTCAAATATTAAATGAACTATAAACGTTTTTTGTTTTCTATATATACTTTTTTGTTCAACGGTAAAACTTTTTACACAACGGTTTTTGAGAGTCGTCGCCGGTGACTTTTTTGTAGAGCACTCAAAATAGTATAACTTTGTCCGGACAAGTAAGGGTCTATCGTCGCTACAGGAAAAGTTACAGGCGTTCCAAGGAAGTATACTTTGAGAAGCCTTTTCTCCCTTATAGAATGAGATAGGACGGTTATTTTACAAAACTGACAACACTTTGACCGAGTAGTTTTTTGTGCTGAACAAAAAGTGTCATATAAACATCTGTCAAAAACCGCTTTTTAACTTCACTTAAAATGCCACGTAAGCTACGTAAGAATATACGTAAGAGGAAGGAGCATTGAAACATCCAATAGTAAAACTGACACCACAACAACAGTTGCAACAACAAATGATGAATGACCCCACTATGTTGCAACAAATGTCAAGCAACCCTATGCTTTTAAACCGAGTTATTGGTGCACAGAGTGGAGGTTTAAGAGCGGCACTTTTAGCGAAAATGGCAGGCTATGGTGGAGCTGCAGACGGAACAGCTTATAACCCTCAAAGTCAAATGAATTTGAGTTCACTCAAAAATCAAATAACAGATGTCAAAAAGTCAAACATAGACATACAGAAACAAATAAGTGAAAACGAAAAGAAACTAGAATATGACAGACACACAAAGAAACTCAATGAGTTAAACGTAGAGAAAAAGAAGAAAGAAGAACAACTGAAAGAACTAAGTACAGAGGAATATGCGAAAAAAGTGTCAGAAAAAGCAGCAGAAGTAGCAAAAATGGAACAAGATGTTATAAATTTGAAAAACCATACTACTCAATATAAAGTACTGAAAGATGAAGAATAAAACAAAAAGCCCTGAAGACATATATGGATAGCGATGAGTATAAAAAAGAAGTTGAAGCAAATGTAAAGGCAGAAAAACTTTTACAGTTGCAAAACCAAACCGTACAGTATGAAAACTTAGCACAAGAAAGTAAAAATAACGACGCAGCCATGCAAAAGGCAATGAAAAGCGCAGATATTATAAAAGCTAATAATGACTGGTTAGATGCCCAAGCCAACGCTAAAGCAGCCCAACTTATAGGGTCAATAAGGACAAAAATACAAGCGGATGAAGACAGTTCAAATGAAGCTTTAATGAATGCTGACTTTAAGAATGCCTTCGAAGCTCTTCATAGTAAGGTGAAACTAGTGAACGACTTCTCATCTGGAAAGAAACTGAAGTCTGAAGGTTTCGACAACGAGTTAAGAGAAGTAGCACAAAATATGACGAAAATAACAGATGCAGCAACGAGACAGGCAGTTCAAAGTGCCTATGACGCCGTTAGAGCAACTGTTGTGGAAAGTCAAGAAAAAGAGTTACAACAGACCAAAACAGACCTAGTAAATGCTTTCTTAAGAACGAAAAGTCAGGTAGGACATTATGCTGCAGATGGAACATATGTGCCAGCTGGTGGAACTTATATACCACCAAACCCTCCAAGAGAAGCACCTGCACCAGGACTACCTAAAACATTTACATCGTCACATGGACACAGACACAGGCATGCACCAAAACCAACACAACAACCAACAGTTCAAAATCCAGCACCACAACAACAACCAACAGTTCAAAATCCAGCACAGCAACCAACAGTTCAAAACCCTGCACCTGCACCACAACCAAAACCAGCAAAACAACCACCTCCACAACCAGCACAGCAACCAACAGTTCAAAACCCTGCACAGCAACCACAAACAGAGCAAAGACACAAAAGAAGTAGAGAACAAGGAAACCAAGAATTCTTAAAAATGCTTAAGGAAGATTATGGTTACCCAGATACTCTTGACTTTAGTGACAGATATAAAGAAGCTATTAGAAAGTTCAAGGAAGGAAATACTGACCCGAACCTATTTAGCTTTATGGTTCAGCACCAAATGGGATATAATCTCAAACCTGGAAAATACAAGCTCGCAAAGGGATATGATTTAATAGCATATCATCCAAATGACATGAATGAATTTACTCCGAGATATTTGGTGTCAGAGCTAAATGATAATTCAACTCTCTTCATGAAACGCGTAAAAAATAGAGACGGAACGAAAGAAGAAAGGTTTATGAGTCCGGATGACTTAGATAGGGAACTTGTTAAAAACGGTCTCGGAATATATGAAATGCCAGCAGATGAGGTACAAGAAACTCCACAGGAAGAAGTTCAGATACAACCAGACATGGAAGAAATAGTTCAGCAACAACAGCTAGAAGAGCCTGAAGGAAACGAACAAGTCCCTCCTTTGGAAACTAACTTCACAGAACTAGATGAAGATTTGGAACAGCCGAAAAATCTTGACCCTCAACAAGTGTATGCGGAGAATATGGAATCTTTCCAAGAGTCTAAGAAAAATTCGGCTGACATAGTAGAAGAATATCGAAAAATGTTCGCCGACATACAAAAGACTCCAACATCAGATGAAAATATTCAGCATAGAATGGAAGTACTGAAAGAAAATGTACGCAAATACAATAATCCTTTTTACTTACGACCATATAACGTTCAATCTTTGGCTGAACTCGGTGAAAATAAAAGGTTAAATTTCAACAAAACATATAGAAATGAAACATTGTTTAAAGTTCATTCAGAACCTAACCAATATGGAAACAAACCTACTTTTGTTTCTGCAGACTATGGAACTACAATGAGATGGGGTCATAAAGCTAATCCGGATAGGTGGTTCATAAACTTACAACCACAATTCCAAGAAGTTGTAGACGCAATGGAAGTGAATGGTGAACCAGATATAGCTGGTATTTTCAGCGCGGCTTTAATGCCATTGAAAGATATGAAACATGCAGATATTTTGGACCAGTATGAAATGAACATGGCTGAAGGAAATATAACACCTGACGTTCTAGAACATTTATCTCAAAGAACTACACAGAACCATAGAGATGGTATATTTGGTGAAGAGTTTAGAAAGAAAGTTAGGGAGAGAGAAGGAAGAGAACCTATTGTACATGACCTTGCAAACAAAAGTTTGCAAAATGTCATAAAAACTTACTTTGCAGACAATGAACTGAGAAGGGATGAATATTTAAGAAAACTCAAATGGACAGTACCAAATGAAATGTTAGTATTGAAAAACATGTTCCTTGACAAAATAAAACCAACTACAGAAATAAATGACGCAAGACTGAAACATTGGGTAAAAGCTTTCCCATTCACAAAAGATATTATTGGTAACATGGAAAGAAAACCAGAATGGCTACAAAAACATATATTTGGAAACGAGCTTATTCCATATGGACAAGCTCTGTTTGAAGAGCTTGAACCGGAAACTCAGGAAAGAGTCATGCAAACAATAAGCGAAGACTCAAATACAAACTATGACAAAATCTTTCTAGGATATAGGTTACCTGAGATGGGCGACCAGAGCCCAAAGGCAAAAAGGACATGGGAAATTTACAACATACTAGGTGAACATGAGGCAAAGATGCAACAACTTGAAGCAGAGGGCAAGTTACCAAAAGCGACACCAAAGAAGAAGAGTAGAACAAAGTGAAAGTAGTGAAGAAGTAACTTCATCTAGTGAAAGTCGTGGCAATGAAGGAAAAAGAAGAGTTAAAGATTCAGTCAGGAAGAAAGTAAAGCTTGGTACGAGTGGGTTCTATTATGACACATAAATCCAACTATTCTATATTTTTACCCATATGAAATGTACGCCGCTCAGAATATAACGCCAACAGTTTTGGATGCCATGAACGGAAATGTTTCCGAATGGTATAACGAATGCGACAATGCCATTAGAAGGTCAGAAATAGTTCCTGGAACTTACGAATATACAACTGCTGTTTCTTACGGAAACGTAGGTGAGTTTGGAGAAGGTTCTTCAACAACAGTAGATATTGCTTGCGACAGGTTTCATATTATTTCTATTGACAACTCATTCTTATACGTGGAACAAGACATTGAAATAAAACCTTCTGCCAAGTTGTCTGACAAGAAAGGTTGCAATGGAATTTTCTATGTCGGATACCAATATGCTCCAGAAGTTTTCATGGGATATAAGATATATTCTAACTCTGACTTAGTTCAAACAGTAACATGGGCAAACTATGAATGGTTCGCTTTGAGAAACTCAGTACAACCACAAGCTAGAGAACAAACAGACCAGTATGCAACTATTGAGAAAATAAGAAGACTTGACCCTAACGTTCCAGGAGTTTATGTTAACCTTTCTGGACAAACTGCAGCAGCAGTAACCAAAGTAAAACTGAAACTTAGAGTTCCTTTGTCATCTTTCCTCATCTTCAGGTTTTTAAGATACTTGCCAAACTGGGCAGGAAAAATTTCTATTGAACTTACTCCAAGCAAAAATAACTTAGTCATTGCACCAACACAAGACCCATTCAGCATTACTGTAGCTGGAACTGGTGGAGCCAAGTTCTGTGACTTTTGCAAAGACAGAGTTGACTTAGACTTTGGTTTCTCAAACCTCAACACTGAAGTAAACTATTATTTCAATGCTGCTGGAGATGCTTGGGACCCAGTTAAGTTCACATGCGAACAGTTTGAATGCAAGAGAATAGAAAGCAGACTTGCCGGTTATATGTTGGACCCAGATATTTCAAATGCTTTAGCTGCCAAATATATTGCAGTTCCACTTATGTTCCCTATACACCAAATATCTGTCAAAGACTTTGCAGGTGAAGTTGGAAACCAAAGTGCTGACCCAGGTGCAAGAACAGATATTGCTTTAACAACTGCAATGAAACATGCAGATACTATGTTTGTACTGTTCAGACGAACTATAAATGACTATTCTTGTTTCTACAACCCTGGTATTAAATATCATATAAACATAGATGGCAAATATTATCCAAGAGAAGAATATTCTACAGTTGAGGATATGAGGTCATACAACTTGACATTAGATGCTATGAACTTTAACAACAACTTCACAACAACCATTAACCCTGAAATGCAAAGTTCTATTATGCCATATGTGAAAGTATGGACTCATACAGGAGGTCAAAAAACTCAATATACAAATGGAGACCGTTCAAACTTTTGGCTTGGCATTCCATTTGCTGACTCAGAAGACTTTATGGGTGGTATTTCAACTGTTGGTACTGTACAAATACAATATACTGGTGACAGAGACGGTCCAGATGAACTGAGAGCAAAGAAGTTTACAAAACCAATAGCACTTTTCACGGAAGATGCTCTTTTGAAGATTCGTTCGATGAAACCTGCTGGGGCTCCTCAGATTGGCATAACGACAGCTTCCATCGAGCAGATTTTGGCAGCAGGTCAGTAAGTTGTTCTTGAACTGACTTCTTTCCGTCAAATATTGACAGTACGCCAGTTTTGACATAATATTGTATTATAAACTTTCCTTTAGTAATATCGGTCAGTTTTGAAGTTATATTTTTGTCTGCTTCAAGAACTTTCACCATTTCAGTTATACCAACTTTCTTTGCTTTATGAAAATATTTTGGTTCAGCAAATATTGCTATTCTATAACATTTTCCATTGTTTGTGTAAAGAACTATTCTGTCAATGTATTTGTATTGTTTGTGAGTATAAACTTTGTTCTGCTTCAATTCAATAAGATATCCGAATACGTCCATCTTTTTATTCTAAGTAAAATGTCATTTCCGAAAAATAGAAGCGTAAGTGTTTCAAAAGGTTTAATGGCGGTGGCAGATGTGAAGTTAAATTCACCAACTCAAACAAACAGTCAAAGTGTTGTTGTCAATGTCAAAGACAGAGATGTTGAAGTGGGGAAACCATGCGAAGACAAAGATGGTATAACAATTGTTCCTGTAAAAGAACCAACATATCCTGAAGTTAGCAGAGACTTAAGTTCTGTTGCAGATATTCGAAACGACTACCAACAACTGAAAGACAAACTTCAAACTCAGGAGAAGATTTGTCAGGCTTTAAGTATAATGTTAAACTTGGTCGAACACAACCCTGTAAAAGTGAACTCATATGTCATTGACCTCATGAAGTTTTGAAAGAACTATTGAAACTTTTGACAGAGGCAGACGATATAAACATCAAAGAAATAGAACCCGACATTGATTGCTGTGGTGTTTCATATAATGTCATTGACAAGATATACGTTATGAAAGGAGGTGAAACGTTGAACTTAAAATATAGTTTCCCAGACGTTATAAAAATATTTGACGACCACAACATTTCATTAAAATTTATTTGCTAAGTAAATGGCAGAAGACATAATGGTTTATACTATTACGACTAAAAACCCTGAGTCATATAATTCTATAACAACAAACTTACAAAGTCCTCAAGGACGATATTGTAAACTAACCTTAAACACAATGACGACTAAAGCCTGTTTTGCTCTTTTGACACCAGAAGACTTTATTGTTGTGAATGGTAAAAAATACTCCTTTGAAGATACTTACTCAGATATACCACCAACAGGTTTTGTTGACTTATTTAATACTTTAAGTACAGGTTAACATGTGCTGCAACTAGAGCAGGTTTCATTATGTTTGGATGTCCGACTGAGTTTACTATAAACGATATGAGCTATAATACAAAACTTATTTCTGGTTTTTACTACCAACAGTTTCCTATAACAGGAAAAGGTGTCATACAAGGAATGTCTATTCCATTGACATTAAGCACACCAATCTTATATATTGTTTCAAACTTAGGTTCAAAGTGTTATTCGAATGTCGACAGAAACTATTATGACCAAAAGATACTTATGCGTATAAACAATACTTTCTCTGCTGGTTTGCCTATTGTTCATTCGAATGCAGAATTTTCAACCTTAGTGAACTCAAACACTTTGGCAAGTATAACGTTGACATTAGTTGACGCAAACTTTGTTCCTGTAAAACTTTTATGTCCTATGTATTTGTCAATGACAGCAGAAAGTTTCGAATTGGAAGATGCAACTGGTGAAAGTATTGTATTACAAGAACAACTTCAACAACAAATAGCTCAAGAACAACAAATGCAACAACAAAGTCAAGAATAAAAAATATTATTTTTTTATTTTTATAAAAATGTACAGAATAGATGTTTCAGATTTTTATGACTTCCAAGCATTCAGAAATATGTGTCCATTTAGAGACTATAACAAAGCAGTCGAGAATTTGAAACGTTTAGTCATTTATGTTGACTCTGCCCCAGAATGTTATGTCATGAAAGAATGGGATGTTGTCTTTAACAAACCAAGAGCAACAATAGTTTCAGAACAAGAATGTAGACAGAAACTTAAGAAAATAAAAGTTGTACAAGTTGGAATGAAGATGTTAGATGCTTGGGATATCTTATTGTCAAAGTTAGAAGATTTTTCAGTTCGAGGTATAAAGTTCTATACACCTTCTCCAAACTTCTATTCTATCTTCACTGGATATAAATATGAACAAGTAGAATGGAAAGAAAATATTATAGAAGCTTGGTTAGACCATGTCAAAGAAATTATATGCAATGGAAACGAAAAGGTTTATGAGTATATCTTATGTTGGTTTGCAAACATCTTACAACATCCAAGTGCTAAAAATGAAACTGCTCTCATTATAATTGGAAAACAAGGAACAGGTAAGAACACATTCTTTACAGATATCTTGTGCAAACTGTTAGAAGGTTATTCGAATCCGAATATGACAAACTTAGAAAACATCTGTGGCAAGTTTAACTCCTCAATAGAGAATATGAAACTTATAGTTTGCAATGAACTTCAAAGTATAGATACAACAAAAGTTTTGAACTCAGATGCTTTGAAGAGTCTTATAACAGACAAAGTTGGAGTTGTTGAAAGAAAGTATAAAGACCAAAGAGTTTGTGAAAATGTTGCAAACTTCATTATGGTTTCAAACAATGCTGTTCCGATGAAGTTAGAAAGTTCTGACAGAAGATATGTAGTTGTCAGAACGTCAGATTCTCATATGCAAGATACAGAATATTTTGACGACTTAGCAGAAACTTTGACATCTGACTTTTACAACCACTTGTTCTCATATTTCATGACATTAGATATTTCTAAGTTCAATCCAAGACAAATTCCACATACCGAAGAGAGACAAACATTGTTAGAAGCAAACAAGAGTGTATATGAACTGTTCATAGATGAAACTGACTTTGAGTGTTTAGATGAAAAGTCTTTATATGATGAATATAAACAATATTGTCATGAATATGGTTATATGGCAGCTTCTAAACGAACATTCTTGGCAAATGTCAAAAGTCTTTTAGATGTTCAGAATGGTGTATATACAAAGAAAAATTTTTCTGAGTAAATTTAAAAAAATATTTTTTTATCCGATAGAAAAGATGGCAAAATTCATCTCAGTAAATAAGTACATGTCAGGACTTAAAGAAGAACTAGACCCATTCACATATTTGAATGTTTACTTCTACCATTTTGAAAAGTCTTCATTCAGCAAAGTTTGGAACATCGAACCAGTTAAGTTTGCTATTGTGACTAAAAATGGTGCGAAATTTGAAGACTTAGACATAGAAGGTTTGTTAACAGTCAAAGAAAGTTTTGACAGAAGGTTCTCAAACCTTAAAGAAGGCAAAGCATACAAACTTGTTATACCTTATGAACCAAAGAAGACAGACGACTATGAATATTATGAGTCTAAGATAGTTGAAGTTCAAGGTAAGTTGGGTAAAAAGATTTTAGAGTCTAAGCCAGTGTTTACTCCTAAAGAGGAAGAGAACATTGACATTGACCCAGAAATGTTCTAAAAATAAAATTTTATTTTTACATGTCAAATTTCTTTTTCTCTGGAACTGGTTCAGGTTCTTTCTTCTCTTCTTCTACTTTCTTTTCTTTCTTTTCTCTCTTCTTCTTTTCTGGTGGAGTTATGTCAAATTTGGCGCAACCATATTTATGTAAAAGTTCTTTGTCCTTTAATAGCTCATCTATTCTGTTTTCTATTTCATCTTCAAGAATAGCGCATGTGTCTTCTTTGCATTCTAAGAACTTTTGTTGGACTTCATCTTTCCAATCGGTGTCATCTCTGTCAACAAGTCTGTCATTGACAAATTTTAAGACTGCTCTGCTTAATGTTTTATGGTTCTTGTCATATTCCCAAAAACAGAACTTTAGAACAAATTCCCTTTCTTGTTTACACTATGTAAGATTTTATGGTCGACAGATGTTTTGCTGTCAAAAAGTTTGTCTCGAATATAGATAGCGAAATCGCTAGACATTTTCTAAAAGATAAAAATTTTAATTTTTCTAAAAATATGTTAGAAAAAAAGTTTGCTGACATTGACAAAAATTTGAGAATGTTTTAAACAAGAACAAGAGGAAGTTAGAAAATGCTCAGATAAAGCCTATACATGAAAAGTTCTTATTTGCTCAGAATGGTATAACAGGTCTAATTGCACCACCTGGGTCTGGTGAGACTTTCACTTATCTTAAAATGGCTGCACAACAACAAGAACTAGATGAGAAGAACCCATTCTATGAGTTAGTAGTCATTTGTAGTACTTCTGGTCAATTTGACCAAACCGTCAATTCGTTCAAAGATATTATAAAGAAGTCTAAGTTAGTATGTATAAAGGATACTGAGTTGTTAGATTGGATAAAGAAGTACCAAAGAAGAGTTTTGAAGTATAATGCTATAAATGAGTATATAAATTCTAAGTTCAAAGACCCAAATGAGGAAATGCAGAGAATATTAGAGAAGAAACACTTCAGAAACAAACAGAAAGAGATAGAATACATTTCGAAGAAATTGCAATCTTACGATTGGAAGACTTACCCTCATAGATGTCTTCTTATCTTAGATGATTTCGCCTCTCATCCTTTGTTAAAGAATAGAGAACAAGATATGTGTCGAATTCTTAAGAAGCTCAGACACTTTAACATCTCAGTTGTCATTTGTGTACAGACAGCCAAGAGTTTAAGTAAGGATGTTAAAAGAATACTGACTGACATAATACTTTTCCCCGGATTGTCCGAAGACGATTTCATGGAACTTATGAAAGAGTCCATGGCAGGTAAGTTTGACAGACATGAACTATGGGAGAAGTACAAAGTCATACAAGACCCTCATACTTCTTTCAGAATTCATATCTACGCAAACAAAGTTCAAATTGTAAAAAGTCAAGCTTGAAAAATAAAGAGTTCATTTACTCTGCTTGTTTGAAGTTGTCAAAATACTCTGTTATTTTTTCTTTCAGTAGCGGTAAGTCTTCTTTGAAGGTAAGTATTGTACAACCTTTCATATCATAGTGTGTTTGAGGTAACGTATCTTGAACTATTTGTTTCACATCTTCATTTGGGGTCATTGAAATCGGTAAGTTTTCGCGATAGAACCAATTTCTGTCAGATTTGTAAATCTTAGCAAGGTCGTAAAAGCTTTTGTTGTTTCTTCTGACTAAATGCAACATAACCATATCTCTGTCTTCTTCATTTTCCATCTCTTCAGTATAAATCATATACTTATAGTTCTTTTCTTTTCCTTTTGGTACCGAACGTGGTATTCTTTTCTGAATGCTTTTGTCTTTTGCTTCAAGCTTGTTTTCCATCTCTTCACGTTCTTGTCTATGAATTTCGTCAAGAAGTCTGTAAATATACCAAGCATAACGAGGCAAAGCCCACATTGCAACAGCATTTACAAGAAGTCTATGTACATAATATCCTCTCAAACCGTTTGGCAATTTTTCACGATTTTCATAGAGTTTTGGCGACTGGGGTTTTTCTCCCACTCGAGTTTTTGCGACTAGGGTTTTTCTCGTAGTCGAATTTTTAGCTTCATTTAATAGTTCAATAGTGCTTTGGTTCCTAAACCAGTCTTGTGGTTTCTTATTGTTGGGTGCAAAACATGCTGTCAAAATACTTTGCATTTGGTACATATCATCTTTGACCGAACGAATGAGACGGAGTTGTTTGTTAAACTGAACCCACTCATATTCTTCATTTATAGCTTCATGGACTATAACTGTTGTTGTGTTCTCTGTTGTTGACATATCTGTCTTTACATACAAAATAAAAAAATAAATAAAAATAAAACTAACTTTATTTTTTCTATCTTAAGGAAATTCATGATTTTTGGTCATTTTTCAGCAAAAATATATTTTAGGTGAAGAGGTGAGATTTCACCTCTTTTTTCACCTCATTTCTACCCCAGTTATTTTATAAACGTTTCACATGGTAAACGTTATTTTTGTCTTTTGCCAGCAAGGGTACTTCTTCTCTTCCAATGGTTCGGCAGAACTATACTCACTCATGAGAAATGCCAAAACGGTTTAATAGAAAAAGTATCATTTTTTCATGTCCGAAGACTCGAAGGTGCAACACTTCCAAAATACCGACGAACTCAGAAGAGCAGCATGGCAGTATGTTCTTGACAACTTCTTTGAGTTCTCCAGGTACACCTTGGAAAATGCTGAAGAACTCCGACACAGAGAATTTGGAGAAATTGCGCTCCAATACTACCTTGACAAACAAAGGGTAAAATAAGACTAAAAACTTAACGTTTAAAAACTGACATTTTTAATGAGCTCCGAGTCACCGAGAAAACTTGGTCAGATGTTAGCAGCTTACTTCCCTGAGGAGGATGGAAGCGTTACATACATAAGGTTCAAAAACAACGAACCTGGAATTGCGTACCAAATTCTTCACGGTCACGAACCGAATCTGTGGTACGAGTCGAATTGGTCGACCTTAGGGAAGAGACTGAAAGCCTGTCATCTTCCATTGGAGCTGTAGCATACTCTTTGCGTAAACGGTTCAGACCTTCTTCGAAGTCTTGGTCTCTCTTCGATTGAGATTGGAATTGGAATTGGAATTGCTGGGGTGGAGCTTGCTGGAACAACCAAGGATTAGGAAAGTAAGGCATAGGCTGAGGAGGGTAGTTCGGGAAGCCTTGTGGTGCTTTAGGTTCCTCTGGTTTGGGAATGGACTCGGTTGGTGGGACGTCGGACATTCGTTTGTGTCCTGTCGGACCACAACGATAAAAATCTCTGCTACTAGCAGTACTTTTTCTGACAGTAGCAGTACTTTTTCTGACAGTAGCAGTACTTTTACTGACAGTAGCAGTACTTTTACTGACAGTAGCAGTACTTTTACTGACAGTAGCAGTACTTTATCGTCGAAAACCCTCTCAAATTTTCCTTTTTACTGACAGTAGCAGTACTTTTACTGACAGTAGCAGTACTTTATCGTCGAAAACCCTCTCAAATTTTCCTTTTTACTGACAGTAGCAGTACTTTTACTGACAGTAGCAGTACTTTATCGTCGAAAACTCTCTCAAATTTTCCTTTTTACTGACAGTAGCAGTACTTTTACTGACAGTAGCAGTACTTTTTCTGACAGTAGCAGTACTTTTTCTGACAGTAGCAATGGTCGAGGTCGAACCTACCGACGAGGCAATTTACCTAATTGAAATTAACGAGCTTGTTAAAGACTTCCTCAGGCAGAATGTAAAAGGCAAGCTTGTTAACGGTTGGATAACGGGAAGGGCTGCCTTGAATCTCGAGACTTCGACTGGAATTCCAATTCAAATACCAGACGGGACAGCCTTCGACGACATAAAGCAAGCAAAGAAGGAAGCCATTATAAAGTTCTTTGCCAAGCGTCCTTGGATACTACTTCCAAACAGAGAGAACCCTTTCCCAAGAATGAACCAAATTCTCAAGGGTCTCCTTCACTTCTCTGGTCAGCCGTTCTACATAACCTGTGAAGGCGACATTCAGCCAGTTCAGTAAACATCTCATTTTAACTTCACTTTTTTTATGTTTTTACTCACACTCGTACTCAACAGGTTTGTGTACAACTATTTCAACTGTGAACCTTGTATTGACCGGTCTTCCTGCAAATGCAAGTTCGGTCAATACACAATTTATGGTGGCAAGAAGGACAGTGGGGAATGTTATTCTGACATCTGTTGTTGCGCTCGAGAGAGATTTGAAATTTCAGAGCCACCTTCCCCAAGAACTCCAACACCAACACTCAAGTTGCCAAAGACTCGTGTGAAGAAGAAGTCATATAACAAAGCACTTATAGCCATATACATGGCACGTTTAGAGTAAAAAACATTTTTTTTCATTTTTTGAATGAAGCAAGTTAAATTCGTCCCGCACCAATCTCAATGGACCGATGAAGAGTTTCAAGCTATGGTTGAAGGCGTTGAGAACGACATAGACGGCGAACTTGAAGGAGCTCAAACCACAATTGCAACCAAAATTGCAGAAGTCAAGGAACAAATAGCTCCACTTAAAGCTACCAAAGCTACTCTTGACCTCATGGATACTTACCGTTTAGATGTCAAGAGAGGAATAAGACAATTAAAATTAAAACTCTTAAATTACGAAGCTATACTCCAAAAGTTAGCAGATGAGAAGACTTTACCAGAGCTACTTACATGTAAGGGACTTACCTTCAAGCAGTCCGACCAAAGATGAATTTTCTGACATTGTCCCAATTTTGTCCGAAAGTCAGCTCAGATGTTTTGAACTGCTCCCAACATATCCAGAATATGAACGTTTGCCTGAACTCTTCCGCAATCTCAAAAAACGTTTTTTGGTTCTCATGTTCGAAACTTTTATCGGAAGAGCAACAAACGTTCAGAAGAAGAACAAGATATTATTTTAAACTTGTTGTATGACATAACTGTCATAACAAGCTTTTTGAAGTAAAACCGCCATTCTCAAACCACTTCATTTTTTCGATGTCCGAACAAGCACCGAAGCCGAACACAATAGCAGATGTCCTTTCAAGGTTGCCAGACAAGCGCCCAGTTCAAATTCAAATTGCCCAATTGAAAGCTCATCTGACAAACACCATTAAGACTCTCCAAAGTAGTCTTATGACAGAGATGACCAATCTCAAAGCCGATGTCCTCATGAACCAAGCTTCCAATGAGAAATGCCTGAACGATTTCACGGAAACCTTGCGCAATTACGAGAGAGAGAACCGAACCTTGCCGACTCATCTACCGTTTCTTCGAAGAGATAGACGCCATCTGGAAGGTACTCGGAAAGGACAGAACATGCAACACCGTACTTCGTGAGTACCAAATTGAAGAAGGAATTGTCGAGGAAGAAGAGGAAGAAGAGAAACACGAAGAAGTTCCTGAAGCCGCTACATGGGCAACCCTTGTTGCCGATGACGGTTACGAAATTTCCCAACCCTACCCATACCAAATCCGCAACAAGGAGACAGGCAAGGTCTTACCCCAGTCCTCAACAACTTGGGACACTTGAACATTAACCTTCGGAATCGGTTCAATCTCCATGGGCAAGCTTGTCGCAATTCAATGGGTTCCAAATCCAGGCAAGAAGACGAAGGTCAGACACATTGACGGTGACAAGCTCAACAACCGTAAGGAGAACCTCGAGTGGTTCTAAGAGTAAAAAAAAATATTTTAGGGGGAAACCCCAAGTAAATTTAAGTGTTTAGTTGGATAAGTAGGCACTATTAATGGTAATTTGGAAAATTAGCTCCCGACCTTTGAATTGGGCTCTTTCGTTATTCCAGTTGCGTAGGAGGTCGTCCCAGAGGAGTTGGTAGAATTGCCAATTCAAGGACGGTTTGTCCTCCCAGGCATTGAGGATGTACTGCTCGTAGAGTCTCATGACCTCTGCCTTGCACCAGACACCCTCTCCCTTGGAACGTAAGGCTTCTTCGAAGTGCTCGAATGCGATTGGCTGCTTGACCATCCGAAATGACACTTTTTGTCCGTTTGGTCAATGTTCGTGTCTCGTGCCATAGTCGACGAAAATACAGACAAACAGGTTATATATGAGTTTGAGACCAAGAATGGTGTAACTCGACCTGTCCGATTCAAAGACTCCGAGGGCGACCATGAAATTAAACGGAAATTAGCTAGGAAGGAATATGAAATGGACTGGTTGCCACCACCTCCACCTCCACCACCTTTACCTGTTCCTCAAGTAAATAAGCCTTTCCGTTCCCAAGAATTCCCACATTTTAATTCAAATTCGAATAAAAATTTTTTATTTCATGCAATGTTTAACTATTTCACCATTTCTTTAACACCCCAGTACTTACGCTTGGAGAGGACATGAACTTCGGTGAAAATTTTGTCCAATTTGAATTGACCCATCTTCTCACCGACTAAACCCATTTCAATGAGTTTGTTATAGCCTTCTTCGTTCGTCATGAGTGCGTCAATGTTCTCATAGTAAACCTTGACTTTGGATTTGACTTCGGGAAGAATTTGTTGTAGTTGTCAAGGACTGCCTTTGCGAACTGAGGGTAAGACCAATGTTCGACAATAGGTTTTAATGTGGTTACTAAGCCACTTTGACCTTGAGTGAATTCGTACTTCAAAACAAAAGGAGAAAAACCTTTCAACAAAGTTGTCGACCTTCTCATAATGTTTACTCTTCATCTCTTGAGGTTTCTTAATGGAATATCCCCATGTCGAATTCATAAGCAATTTGAGTGTCATTGCAAGTTTGGGGTTTGAAGCTTTCCTAATATCATACAGTTGTTGTATGACTTTTCCAACTGTATAGTTCCTTCCGCGGAACTCACCATCTTCGTTTGGAATTCCAGTCGGAATATATTGGACAAACCTCATGTACGCAGCGTTAAGGTCGACATAGTATATTTTTCGTTTGAGTCGAACTTGTCGCAACAATTGGTCCAGTTAGTGGAAATTCAAGTGAGTCTCTTATCTTCTGAGAAACTTCTCCTGTTATCTCATAAACATCGTCGAAGCAACCTGTTTCATATAAAACCTTCTGACCTAACTCAGATGCTCTCCAATACAATTTGACGTCAATTGGATGTCTCAATGGAAGTTTGTTTATAGCATCTTGAAGTTCTTGCAACCTCATTGGAAGTTCTTCTGGTTTCAGGTTGGTATCCGAACAACCAACTCCTTGTGGAACTGTGTACTTCTTTTGTACTAGAACTTTGTCTGGAACAACTTTTGGTCTTGCTAACAATGAAAAGTTTGTTTCGTCTTTTGGTACAAAAGTTTCTGTCAGCTTGTCATCTGGAATTGGTTCCAACAAACCTTTCTCGAAAAGAATGTTTACAGCTCTGACAATGTTGCACTTACTTTTACCAAAGAATGGGTTTGTAAGACTTTCGTTCAACATGAAGTGGTTGTGGACAATTACAATCTTCAACCATGATAAGTCTTTGTCAACAACAAGTAGTCATGTGAAGAACCTTTAGCTGTAGGTATGTTGACTCGGATATTGACATTTGCCAACGGTGCAATTTTTGCCAATTGACCTCTGAGAATGTACCTTGTCTTCACACATGACTCAAGATACTTCATCTTCTCATCTGTAACAAGACCAGAGTTCTGAGACATGTAAGAATACAAGGTTCATTGACAATTGTTTCAATTGAATTGTAAATTCCATACCTTGTCAAGTCAATGTCAGACTTATTTATGAACGGGAAGTATCCAGCATGTTGTCTGACTGCTTGAGGGTAGGTTGGTACCATTCGAACTTGACACTTGCAATTCCTTCAATTGCATTCAAAATGTCTGAGTCGGAGTCAACCATTTGTTTCTTCTTTGTAGTCTTGAAAGCGTCAAGAAGTTTTGCGGCTGTTTGTTCATTGCATAGTAAATGTGACCATCCAAATCTGTTATGGTCAATCTGAGATTGTGTCCTTTCTTATTCCGTCTTGAATTGCAGCAAGTATCCCATGAAGCCTTCTTTGTTCTTCCTTCGTCAAAGTTACTGTAAAGGTTCGACCAGATGTAATTTGACTTCTAACTTCACGATACTTTTCATATGCATATCTTGTTCTTTCCATGGGAGCATGTGTGTCTTCACCTTTTCCTTTTTTCCTTCTCAAAGGATGCAATTGTTCGTCATGTTTCCAGTAGAATCTGGCAAAGCCGTTGTGTCCTTCAACTTGAGGTTCACTAACATCGAAAGGCATGTCCATAAGACGTTCTTTCTTCTAACCTCTCTAGTCTGTTTGGATAAT